CGAGGGGAATTCAATGTCGCGCATCCCTTTCATCCACCCCCTTGGTAGCACGGTGCTAAGCGGTAACAATCAACATTTTAGCTCGCAGTATTAAGCCCTGCCGGCCGCGAGGTACCGTAGTTCATTGAAACCCTCGTTCTGCCCTGCTGACTCCGGGGTTCAGCCGACCATCTCACACGGGGCAACCATCGCGTTTCCTGAGGGATTCTGGGGTTGCTGCGGTATTCAGTTCGCATTGGGCAATGATGAAAGCATTGACAGCATCTTGATTGTGATGATTACGATGTTGAAATCTTGGATCCGATCGGAGTATTCGGGGCACTGGGCCCAGCGTCATTGTTAGGACTAACCGTGCAGCGAGACTCTTGCCTACTATGTATAGATCAGAAAGGCAGCATCGACTCGCTCAACACCTCAATGCTAATTTCAATTGGACAAAATAGAACTGACCCAGCTCCGCTAAACAAAGCCGACCGTTGATCACCTCGGCCAACCTCACAATCTTACTGTTCAACGGGACGCCCGTCTTTGTGATGATATCTCCTAATATGGCATCACCACGACCTCCAGCACCAAACAACATGGCATCATCAAAGCAACCCCGCTCCTCCATCAATAATTCGCCACCATGATATCAAAGCGGCTCTGGTGAAAGAAGCTGAAACGGCTAGTCGATGGAGTCCTCGACAAGGCCAACCAGTGGCAGTGGGACTTTCGATCGTCCTCCGAATTGCTAAATCCTGCACCCCACGTAGCGCGGTCTTTGTGCTATTCTGGGCTCGCACTGGCTCATCTCTTGTCCTGCTCTTTGCGAAACGCCGACTTCACCGTCTCCCCCGCCGTGAGCCAGCTCGGTCGAGGCCCGTCCGCTTGCATCAGCTTGAAGTCGTGCGTCCCCAGAGTGCATTGTCTTGCAGCGCTCGTGCCCCTGTCGAGTCTGTCTGCAGTTTCGAAGAGGGTTCAGGATGGTCGGGATGCGATGCGGTGAACTCCTCGCACTATCCCTCAATCAATCAATCAATAATGGACCGACCCCATATTGGCCCGTGGAACTACGTCACTCTGCGGAGTATATTCTCTATCTTGTTCTCAAGCTCCGAGCTTGACTGGTCATTGCAAGTCATAATGCCTTCATGACGTCTCGAAGACTCTTGTTTTAATGACAACAGTCATTGTTTACGAAACGCGTCGCTCGTTAAGGAACATTGTTTTGATTTAGTGCATTAGGGCCTTTGCAGCGCTCAGACGGTCAAATAACCGCCCTGCAACCCTCGAATTGTCAACACCAATCAGATTATCAAACTGACAAAGCGGCTGCATTGAAAGACCGATAATCCAGCACTCTTTCTTCGTCTCGACCAGGGTGTCTGGTCGGGGATCCCGATCTTCCTTTGGCTTTCTCGCAGCAATCGCACCTTCTCTTTCGTTTAGGCTGCGCCACTGCCCGCAAAGAGTAAAGACCCAGACCTCTGGTGGGGTCAATCAATCGCGATGATGTGACCCGTCAGCTGCGTCAGAGCGCCATGTGCGCCCTCGGCCAGTCGCAATCGAGTCTCGTCGACCTTCCCAGCTGCGGGGTTCATCACATCTCTCCTCCCCGTGCCATGCCCTTGTCCATCTGCAGCCCAGACATCTGGACCGCTTCTTTTCCCCCCTCTTCTCCGTGGGTCATGGCCCTATCGTGATGTCAGAATCGATCCAAGTTCCCAATCGCGTAAACAAAGCAAACTTTCCAACGCGAACCGGATGCGCAATCCCGTGACCGGCATCCAACCAGAAGCCTGGAATCCGGTCGAGTGACATCAGATGATAACATCAAAGACCCAAACCCAAACACAATCAACGATCGTGGATCTTGTTTCTGGATTTTCTGGAAAGTGGTGATGTTTGTTGTTTTGGCTGACGATAAGTCACCATGCAGCCCTGCACTTCTCATCTGACAGTCCCAATACTTGAATTACCCTTACCACAATTACCATCTATAGTCTTCATTATGAGATTATCTCATCTCTCTCCCCCTCAATCTCGGTCCTAGTATCCCTGTGAGCCTCGAACTATTCCCTACGGGGTATATCTCCTCCACTCCACCCTGGATAAAAGCGCAGCCCCCATCTTTTCTCAAGACGCCCCCCCCCCCCCCCCCCCCCCCCCAATTTGTCACTAAAAATTCTCCAGTTCGGCGCCGCCGATCTGCGGCGCTATTGAAAATGCCCCGGCTGCCATCAGTCCCCATCACCCACGCCGCCCACGCTCCTCGGCTGCGTGCCCGTCAGCCGCCTAGACTTGGAAGTGGTCCTTCCGCCCCCTAATACCCCTCCCCCTGGCTACCATGCAATTACTCTTTCCAGCCTTGTCAGCCTGAGCAAACTTTAGCAAAGCCTTATACGAGGCTGATATAAGTACTTGCTATATGAAGGTCCGAAGGACAACGGAGAATTCCGTCTTCTCCCCGTTCATCCTAATTCAAGCGTTTACGCACTGCCCCGATCGTGGCACGGGATGGCCGGTGCTCCATCGGCTCCGGATTACCATTTCGCGCCGTCGCTGATAGATCACAGATGGTTCGTCGCATCGACGGACTAATTGTGAGCTTGCGGTCGAGTAGCGCGGGTAATTCACTAACTAGTTAATTAGTCGCTCGCAGATTCCGAAAAAAGAATGGGGCTCTCATTCAGCCCGCCTCACTCGATAATTTAGAATTACTACGGAGTACTGAGTACAGTAGTCATAATCCAAAATTCGAATACTTTACTTCAATAATCCCACTCAAACCCCCACAGCAACCAAATTTCATTTCTGTACAGACTCAATTGCTTTTTCCCTCTTCCAGTCGTACAGTTGACCTGGCACTGTGATACAACGCCCGGTCAAAAAAGCAAAAAGCAAAAAAAAAAAACCATCCTCCATCTTCGCACCTCGTTGCCTCATTTTACCAGAACCCCTTTAAATAGTTTCCCGCTTTTCCCACGCTGATCGCTAGCCCGCGGTTAACTGTCAACCGCACCGCGCAGGATGGGCGTCTGCATGGTTGACCCCACGCAGTTCACTCCACGCCGTGTCAGTCGCTATCGTGTGCCACATTGATGCAGGAGAAGGTTAATTTGTGGATGGAATGAGGTGACCTATATGAATCTCAATCAGTGGATTTTGGTTACCGTGGTTGCCAGTCGTGCATTACACTCCGTATGAAGTATATTGTTGTGTAGTGTATACTTCGGATTCGGACTTTCAGGTACGGAGTATATGTAAACTCTGTCTGATAATATTCCGTTCTGCCATGCCGTGTGAGTCTCCTTGCATGATACCAGTAGAGTTGACAGCTACGATGCGTGGATGATCTACTATCTACATTCTACAGTATGTAGTCCGTACTTTAATCACCATGAACATGAAACGTGGTGTGTGACAGTTGAGGTTGAGGTGTTATCTTCCACTTCCAATATTAGACGCATCTCTGCCTTGGGTATACATACACACCACACCACCTTCCCAAACGGGCCCATTTCAACACATCAGATTTCGATATCTCCAATTCCTAAATTTCAGGCCAACCATTTGCGGTCGACCTTTTGCTTTTCTGTATCTTTTCTTTTTCTTTTTCCCCTGCCAGCGCATCGATGGATCCATAGAGTCCATCGAGTTCACCGTCTAACAATATTTAATCCACCACGCTGTACAAATAGCTCCCGGCTACCCAGACAACGAGGCCAATCTTTCCATCCAGACCCTCCGCGGAACGCGGCTCGCGCAGCGAAACCCACAATAACGGACTACCTACGGAGTACAGCACACCACAGCACATACAGTACCTACATACATACTGTACTACTAACTAACTAGCTTTCGCGGGACATGGACTATTTAGTCGGAATTTCATTTGTGCCGTCTTGGTCTTGAACAGCCCCGCGGTCTGGATGCTCCGTTGCTTGGATGATCGAGCTCATGCGCTCATACTCATGCTTGGATATTCCTGCTTGGCCGGGTTGTGCTGCAGCAATCTGACGACATTTTTTTACCCCTGAACACCTCTCACAATGAACTGATCAGATTACGAGGCAATGGGCGGCGGGTTTTTGGCAGGAATTGTTTGGAAAGAATGGGATTTGAAAGATTTGAATGAACAGGTAATGACATGAGTGAAATACTCGGATACTCGGGCGTTTTGTCTGCTTCGTTTTTTTGTGGTCGGGTTGTTCGGGTGATGGGTTAGTATGGGGGTATGAGAGTTCCCGGTTGTGGTTAATTGGGGGGAAAACTTTTTAGTTGGAGGGTGGACTGATTAGGTTGGGATGCGAGATGTATGGAATTACTATCGTTCCGGGTAGTTTGGGATTGCTAAAGGCCTTGAGGCTGGTTCAAGGTTGGCATTTAGTATGTAGACTGTAGTCTTTCGACGTGTGATGATATATATCGAGGAAATCCAAATATGGAGGATGTCAATGGCTAGAATTTAAGATCGAGTTTAACACAAAGGAATAGGTCATCTAGGCAATGTTCTCAACTATAGATAGAATAGAAGAGGCTTATTTGTCCATGTTTTTGCAGCTTGTTCGCCCTTAAGTTTGAAAATATCTATCTGCTTGAAATCGGTACATAGATCTTGATGAGCGCTACAATCTGCGGTTGAATTTCTACCACGTCCAAACCATTCAAAATTAGCAGGACATTCCACTACTGGTGCAACATCCATTCCTTTAAAACGAGACCTAATTGATCAGCCTTAAATAAGATCTTTCTCAATAATCAACTTCGCAGTTATCCTCTTGCACTGGTGATGCCATGCGAGACTAAATTGATCAAGGACAGCTCTTATCAGCTTATCGGTCCACGCTAACCCAAAACAGGCAATACTCACCCAAATTTTCTGCGCCTCCGCGAGCAATGCTACACTGCTTCCCCAGTAAGGAGCAACGACTCAGCAGCTCCAATCTCAAAGCTGCAATTTTAAGAGCCATAGCAGCAAGCTAATTGGCTTCCGTTCCTCCAGACCTCCAACAAAAATGGGGTTCGACAAGTTCGCCACGAAAAAGCGCCGTCGCGAACCGTACAATGTCGACGTGAAGCTCGTCGAGATCTACGAGGATCTCGCTAGCGAGAAAGACGAAATCCGTCTGCGTGCTGCGCAGGGCCTCGTCTCGCAGTTCACTCCCGATAAGAACCCGACCGATGAGCAGATCAAGAAGACGCTCCAGCGACTGTTCCGCGGTCTCTGCAGTAGCCGCAAGGCTGCTCGCATTGGATTCTCCATTGCGCTGACCGAGGTCTTGACTCAGATCTTCTCGGCCCCGAGGGAATTCGCTGAGTTTGGGATTGCGGATGCGCTGAAGATTTGGGAGTCGCAGTCCAACTCTACTGGCAGTGAGACCGGGCAGGTATGTTGCCTCAAGGCCTTCAATGACAAGACGATTGTGCTAACATGAGACCTCTTCGGGGTTATAGGAACAACGCGATCACCACTTTGGCCGCCTCTTCGGTGCTGAAGCAATCATCAAGTCCTCCATCCTCTTCCAGCCCTCCACCCCGTTCACCGAATGGACCAAGGTCCTCGATCTCATTTTCGAACTCGCCCAGAAGAAGCCATGGCTGCGTGAGGAATGCGGTTGGATTATTTACCGCTGTGTCTATGATCTCTCCGCGCGCAAGATGGATGCTAAGTTCGTTGAGGCTGCCGTGGAGCGTCTTTGCTCCCATGACTTGGCCCGCTCTCCGGAGGGTGTGGCTGTCTGGTTGGCTGCCAAGGACATGTTCCCCAAGGCCGAGTTCCCTAGCAAGGTCTGGAAGCACGATGATCCGTTGGATCCGAAGGAGCGCGGTAGTTTGTCCAAGATTATGAAGGAGTCATCTGCTGAGCAGACCGAAGGCGAGAACAAGGGAAACAAGTCCTCTGGAGTGTGGAACTCGAAGCTTCATTTCGCCTGGGATGCAGTTATCTCTCGTACTAGCGATGTGACCAAGGATGGTAGCAAGTCCAAGTCCAAGTCTGCACGTCTCAGTTTCGTTGATTTCTGGACCGAGGTTGTCGACAGTAAGTCCAACGTGAAAACATTTTCGAATATCCCAGTTCTAATTTGATGTTGGTCAGATGGCTTGTTTGCCTCTTCTTCCTCGGACGAGCGCAAGTACTGGGGTTTCCTCCTCTTCAACAAAGTCCTGAACGAGGGCTCGCCCCAGCAGGCGAACCAGATCTTCACAAAGAACCTTGTCCGATGCCTGACGAATCAGCTCGCCGTGGAGGACCGTTACTTGCACCGCATGGCCGTCAAGGCCACCAAGGCCGTCCAGACTCGCGTGTCCAAGGAGCCCGGTTTCGCATCCGCCGCAGTCCATGGTCTGATGGGAACCAGCGGAATCGTCAACTTCGATCAAGCCACCAAGACCAAGACCATTGAGAAGATTGTTGCCGATGCCAACAGCGATGCTCTGGAGGAGATTATCCCCGTGTTCGAGAAACTCATTCTGAACCCGGGCACTACCGACGAGAAAGCCGCTGCCTCGAACCGCCAGTTCGTTGCCGGTCTTTTGTTGTCGATTGTGCGTGCAAAGGCCACCACTGGAAATGATGACTCCGAAGAGAACTACCAGACTGTTCTCGAGCAGATTCTTTTCATCTTCGTGCGCTTTGCGTACTTTATGGACAGTGCACCGGAGCCTGCATTGTCGCAAGCGACCCAGGAGCTGTTGCGCAACCGTATCAATTCTTCCCTGAACAGCCTGCTTGCATCTCAGAAGTACGCTGCCACGATCCCGTATGCTGTCGTGCGCCAGATTCGCGACGGTGCAAAGTCGCAGGAGCACGGCAAGTTTATCATCAACATGGATGATAAGCTGCAGGATTCGGTGAAGATTGCATTCAAGTCATTGAAGAAGCTGTCTAGCAAGGTATGTTTTTGGGCTGTCTTTGTTATAACTCGTTTTCTTCTATCTGTGCTAATACCTTCCCATAGGAGAAGAAGGGGGAGACTTCTAGCATTGCTGCTTTCAAGCTTCTTTACTCTTTGACTGTCTTGCAGGTGTACAGTGGTGATGCCGACGCTGTCTCTATGCTCGACGAGTTGGAGTTCTGCTATACCAAGTTCTTGGGTGATGATTCAAAGTCCAAGGATACTTCCGATGCCTCTGATGCCCTGGTCGAGATTCTTCTCAGCTTTGCCTCTAAGCAGTCTCAGCTGTTCCGCCGCATGAGCGAGCAGGTCTTTGGTGCTTTTGCTGACCAGGTCACCGAGAACGGCCTGGAGTCATTGATCTCGGTATGTGCTCTTAAAGTCGACAATTTCTGTGTTATGATCTAACCCTTCTTGTAGATTCTCGAAGCCAAGGAGAGTCTTGCTGGTCAGCAGGAGATGTTCGAAGAGCAGGATGATGATGACGAGGAGGAGGAAGACGATGAGGAAGAGGACGACGTTGAGATGATCGACGTCGATGACGAGGACAGCGACGTCGAAGTCGTCCTCGGCGGAGGCGCCTCCGACTCGGAGTCAGACTCAGACGAAGAAGAGGACGATGACAACGAAGAAGACGCCGCTGAAATAGCCGAATTCGAAGCCAAACTCGCCGCCGCGCTGGGCACCCACCGCGCTAAGCAAGACGACGCCTCAGACTCGGACTCGGACGCCGACATGAACGACGACGAAATGGAAGAAGTTGACGAGAAACTCGCCAACGTCTTCCGCGCACGCCACCAAGCCGCCTCCCAACACAAGGACAAGAAAGACGCCCGCGAGAACATGGTCAACTTCAAAAACCGCGTCCTCGACCTCCTGGAGATCTTCGTCAAGAAATGCCACTCCCGCCTCCTGGCCTTGGACCTCCTCCTCCCCCCCTCCTCAGACTCACCCGCCGCTCGACCGTGAAGCAGATTGCCAACAAGGCCAACAGCGTCCTCCGCGAGTACACCAAGCTGTGCAAGGGTAACGCGCTTCCCAGCATTGATGCCGAGGATGGCCCTGAAGCTATTTGGGAACTCTTGCGCGCTATTCACAAGGAAGCTAGTCATAGTGGACCGTCCGCGCATGCCACGGCTTGTAGCCAAGCTTCGTTGCTTGTGGTTAAGGTTCTGGTTGGACATGATAAGGCTGCGATCGCGGAGGTTGTGGATGTTTATGCTGAGACTCGCAAGGCGCAGTTGATTAGCTCTAAGTGCCATATCCAGCCGTCTTTCTTTACGGATTGGAATAACTGGTGTGTGTCTGTGAGCAAGCAGTTGAAGAACTAGGGGTATGAGTGGAGTTGGTGTATATAGATTATGTCTTTTTGGCATTTGTTATTCCCCTATCAAAAATATATGTTTCTATTCTTTTTCTAAAGAGAGGTTCAATTAGATTAGAATGTACTCGATTGTCTGTTGTTATTGGTTCCGGAGGCTTCCAAGGCCTTCTTGCGTATACAGGTGTTACGATGCTGGTCACTCCTGGGACTAACTTCGTGCTATCAAATGCAAGATATTCTGTCTCACAAGTATCATTTTTAGGTTGGTGAGATAGTGAGGGACGTTCTTATTCCATGTCAAGTAAGACTTCACTTAAAATTTAACCAACAGGCAGTTGCGAGACATCTTGATCCATCTGCCCTCCCTTAAGGCTCTTAATCATCTCATGGAAAGCCCCCGTCGAATCTGCCGCAACTTCTCCTCTCATACTAAACATATGCGGATTTTTCACTAACCTCTTCCCCAGCCACCAGAACTCCAACGCATGAACCATAAATCCCGACGGGCCTATAGATGATAGCTGATGCTCCGTATATTTCGAGTCCCATATAAGCTTCCACCTATCCAATGCACGTTCTATAGGTTTCAAGGTGTCTGGGGTATTGGTGATATTCGCAATTGCTTGGAGGTCGAATAAGACGCAGTGAAGTGCTATGGAAGAATTAGTTGGACAGATCTCTAGACGAGGGGGAAATGTTATCATACCACTTAGGATAAGGAATAATCCGAAGAGACTATTGACTTGTGGAGGCTCTGCTTCTTGATCAATGGGCTTATCCTCCATCAACCTTTGCACTACTGATCGGAGAGTCAATGGTGAAGCCTGAGATCTTTGATCCAAGGTAACACTGCTCGTTTCGTCTGGGTGGATCGCGTCAAAAATAGTATCGTGCATAGGAAGACTAAAGTCCGCTTCAAAGAGTCTGATCTGAGGAGGCGAGTGATAAAATATGACACAGTGGGCATCAACAAGATAAACCCATGCCATTACCCTACACCATTCATCAGCAAGTCTTGATTACATGGGATGGGATAAACGACACAACTAACCTCACAAGGGTCTCTTTGCGCAAATATTCCTCTAACGTGACAACGTGGCTATCAAGAATTGTATCGTTCACCATTTTGGTAAGATTCAACAATCGAACCACGAATATTAAAGCCGGTAGTCTCTGCACTCGAATCCGTCTCTTTATTTCCACTTTAGCTTGTGAGCCTTGTAGTTCGATTATGAGTATTGCCGCTTGAACAAGCTGTATAATTGCCGTGGAAACGACCGGATGGTCCTTCTGGCGTAACAATTGCTGGAATTCTGGTCCCTCGAAGATGAGATATTCAACCATACCGAAATACTCGCTATAAGCAGAGGCACTCTCGGGGGAGGCATACGTTAAGCCGAAGAGTAAGATAGCTAGAACGAGGGACCGGGATGCAGTATTGACGTTGAAGGAGGCTTTGTGGATGAATGGATTGCTGCTGTATGCATGTTGGAAAAATGTATCCACGAAGCGCATTATATTCTCCTCTGAGACGAATGCTCGGGTTTTTGTGCGGTAAGACTCGACATCTTGAACAGACGGGGCTGGAGCATGACCGAGATAATGAAAAAGCTCTTCACTTATTCTTGATAAGCTCGGATAGTCATCTAGACCATATAATAGGCCTGAATTCTGAGAAGTCATATCCAAAGCTGACGGGTTTATGAAGGCGTGAAAGAGAAATGGCCATGTTTCGGTAAACTGGCCCGACGGGCTCGCAGATCCGAATAGAATATCCTCTTGCTGCCCTGCTAACAGTTTGTGAAAGTCGTGCGGACAATTAAGAAGGAAGGAGATGGAGATTCGCCGCTGGGAGTTTTGATTAGTTCCTACTCCTGATTTATGGGCTGGATGGCCCGCCTGGTGCGATTCGGAGTTTTCGTGATCATGGCTGTCGTGCCCACTAGCTTGGAACTGCTTTGCGCAAGTGTATAAGCAATCTAGACCCTTGGACAGGCAAGTCTCGCAAGGAAGATCCCCATCGCAAGCTACACGCCCTCGTGCGCATAAATCGCAGGCTTTGCGCCTCCGGCCACGTTTTACCGGGCCAATTGGAATGTGGTCCTTCTTCTTGCAACTTTTCGAGTGACGGAGCAAGACATCACTTGAGCAGACCATCAGCGAAAGGAGCAAATTTGAACCACTTTATAAGAAGGGATACCTTCGCACGAATCGACGCTCACAATATTTACAAACAGCGGGTCTTTCGGATGAGTCTAAGTTGCTCTCGTCAGTTTTGGGAGCTTAGAAGCAGGCATCTTTGCTTACGGTTTGCTTCGTGTCGTCGTAAATGACTGGCACTAGAAAAAGGTTTAAAACATCGGTCACATCGTAGCCCCTGTCCTGAGACGGGAGCAGGCATTGTTCTGAAAATATCGTCATGCCTCGATGGACAAGATATAAGGAAAGATTGAGAAAGTGTTTCACGTTCTCCAAAGTGGTCTGTCCCAAGGTTTCGCCGCATCGCGACCGCTTACCGAACTGACCCGCCTTGCGAAGCGTAGATCAAACCCTGAAGGTCACATCAATTATCATCCGTGTATATTAAGACAATTCTCTCTTTTATGGAAAGATAATCCACTTCAATTCCATTTCTACTTCATCATTGGGGACTCCTGTAGCCCACTTGGAAATTAGTCGGGAAAACCCACATCATCCGGGAAAACCCACGTCTTAGTAGGGAGAAGTATATAACGACTCTAGGAAATGATTTTTTCATCCTAATGATAGACTTTGTTCAATAATTCCAAGAGCGTTCTGTAGCTTTGTCGAATCAATTTTCCTGGAACAGTGATCTTGACATCCTTCTTGAGTGACAACCGATACACACGACCCAAAGCAATGTCTTTTAGGTGCTATTCAAGAGCCATTCAAGGTATCTACTCTATTCTCTCCACGCCTTCCAGTCACTAACAAAGATCTCATATAGTTCGACTAACGCTCTACTCCCAAGTGTTCCTCCGTACAAATAGATCGAATGCATTATTACATTCACAGCACTTCGTGTCGAGCGGCGTCCTGGAGAACCGGGGCAATAGACAACCTTATTCAACACCCAAAGCAATCGAGGCCCGACAATCTTTAAAGAAACGATTCCCAAATTCCAAGTCCGTCATATCGACAGATCCAAAGTCCCCAAATAACACAGCAGAGCATGTCCTGTCAGCATCCCCTCTTCAACCGAACCCCCGAAACCCCATTTCTTCAAACAACACACTAACACACTCTACAATAGAACAACCCTCGACCAAGTGATAAACTGGTCCCGCCAGAGCTCCCTCTGGCCCCTAAGTTTCGGCCTCGCCTGCTGCGCCATCGAAATGATGCAAGTCTCCATGCCCCGCTACGACCAAGACCGTCTAGGCATAATCTTCCGCGCCTCCCCACGCCAAGCAGACGTGATGATCGTCGCCGGCACGGTAACCAACAAAATGGGGCCCGCACTTCGCCAGTGCTATGACCAGATGCCGGACCCCAAGTGGGTTATTAGTATGGGCAGTTGTGCGAATGGGGGCGGGTACTATCATTATAGTTATAGTGTTGTTAGGGGGGTTGATCGGATTGTGCCGGTGGATGTTTATGTACCGGGTTGTCCGCCGACACCGGAGGCGTTTTTGTTTGGTGTTTTTCAGTTGCAGAAGAAGATGAGGAGGACTAGGGTTACGAGGATGTGGTATAGACGGTGATGGGTGGGAGACTGTGTGGGGATGTCATTTTGGTTCAATTTATGTGGTAGCCTTGGGGAAGGGATATACATCGTGCTGCAATTCTTAGAAAAGATAAGCAAGACCTTAGTGTTCATTTTGGACAAGACTCGTTCTTCCTCATAGAGAAGAAAATACATGTCGCCTGCCACGATAGCGGCGCATATCTCGTTGACATGCTCTTCAAACCCATCAACAACTTAGAATCCAGTAATATACCGATGTTGATTCGTCTCCTCCAGCACCTCCAACTTCATGCCCACTTCCACAGGCCCCTCACTCCTCGGCGCGGCCAACATCCCAAAGCAAGGCTTATACTTGATACCCTCATCGACACGACGATACGAAACCAGCATATCCCAGGGCTGTTTTTTATGTTTTGCCGCAGTATCCGGGTTAACATTCGGGACCTGACAGCGCGCACAGCGGGCAACAATATCCAGATCAATAGGTGCATGGTTAGCCTTTTTTTTGGAGATCCCATCATTCAAGCCACCCTTCTTAGACGAACTGCGAATACGCACAGTCTTCCACGAATCCTCGACCCAAGGCGTTTCACCACGGACGATGATATTCGGTCTAAAACGCTCGACAGTGATCGGATCAACATCCACACGACGAAGCCGAGTATTCAATTCAGCCAATGACGCTTCCGAGGCAATCAGAATGGGGAATACGTCCGGGAAACCGGTACTCTGGACACGGCCTAGCACTTTGGGGTCTCCATTTCCCTTCAGCACGCGCGGTGTCGGACCCTTATACACCAGTGCAACAGGACGACCCATAAACTCCGAGAACGGGGCATTGACAGCATCGCCGTAGATATATCCGTCTGTATCATTATCCCAGATTTTAACCGGGGCCACGACAGTGTTAGCGTCCAGCCATTCCGGGGATGGATGGGACGGGATGCGGACGGTATTAACGGCAGGTTTGTCGGCAGAAGTACTCTTCGACGGGATGGTGACTACCAATTCAGTCCCATCAGCACTTAACCCCGTACCGATGCGCGTCATATCAGGAATCTGACGAATAGTCAGAAACTCGCGTGTCGATGCATCGACGAGCATCCAGCGCCGATCAAGATCGAGACCGTGTTCCTTGAGAATGGTGGATTGGACCTCGAAACCACGGCAGGATTTGATGGGGTACATGCGCAGCGAGACGATTTCACTGGATTGGCGGCGCCAGCGCCAGAGTTGTGCGAGGCGCGGGAGAAGTGAAGATTGTTTGGTCCATCCCTTCAATTGTGGGATGAGGAGGAAGGGGAGTATGAGGAGGAGTCCTAGGACTAGGGCTACTAGTGGTGGGGTTGGATGTATATCCAGCATGATTTGTGGTTGTGTGTGTGAATGGATGGAGATGAGAGAAATGAAATTTGGGGATATACTTGGTTGGAGTCATGGGCTTATTACCTCAGGGCTTCTCCAATCTATAGTTGTGGGGCTTACTGGAAATTTCATAAATTTCCATTATGTGACCAGTTAAAATTTGCAAAAATGAGTATGTAATGAAAGAACCGGTTTTGTAGGTCCGGATTGATAAGCACCCGTTTGTGCCGACGGTGGCCGCCTTCCAGCTTGGTGCCTGGGGTGCTTATCACGAGCTGAGGTAGTATCCCAACAAAAGGTAATCGAGTAAGCATACGAGCTCGAGAGTGATTGGCCCAGCACGGAGCATGATAGTAATATGGAATTGGAGGGACTGGACTGAGCTTGGGTGCGGTCAAGCATCATTCAGAGTAAGTGGAGGAGAGATAAGTTTTATGTTCAAACTTATATATTCAACTATGCTAAAAACACCATACGCGCATCATATGCGAACGAATTAAGATAAAAGCCCGAAAAGATATCAATCCCTGCCACAGAGCTCAATCTGCAGCAGATGCAAAAATCCAAAAAAAGAGATCCAAAAGAATACCTACATCAACGCAAGTGCTCGTATCAAAGGCTCCGAGGGCAGCCTTACGCCAGGGTCATGCCCCCCCCGCATACTCCAAGCAGTGGTATATGAATATCCAAAATATACTCATAAAGTCATCATGCAGCGGCCTTGCGTTTCTCATCAATCCAGCAAGTAACCATAGTCTTAATCAGTGCCAGCGCAACGTTACGCCCACGCTCGATATCCGCATCCGCCGAACCACCGGGAACATGCAAGAAGAGCACGTTCCGGTCCAGGCCCTGCCTCTTCGCCAGTGAGAGACTGGTATAGAAAATGAAATCGCACAGATAATGACCCGGATCCTGCGAGACACGCAGGTCCAGGCTCTCCGGTGCGTGGGACTTCCATACGTGCAGGAAGTGGTCATCCGGCGGGTAGGGTACGGTGAGGCTGGTGGTGGGCGTGACAGAGCCCGGTGTCTGGCTCGCATTCTTGATATCTTCTTCGGATGCGAGACCTGGGACTAGGACGGGTGGTAGACCCATTTCGCGCCATCGTTTCTCCCCGTCCTCGTACCCGTTTCGTCCATCGATATCGGTGATGTTGTAGTCATCGCGATGGGCGAGGGATTCTACCGAGTAGTATGGACGGGGCGAGGCGATACCGATATGAATAATTAGATCTGGTCGTCGCCCGTCGTGTGTAGCTGCGTATTCTTCCAAGATCACGGGCAGAGTCTCCCGAACGGTTGCGTATGCCACGGGGATGGGAGATGGATGGACATGAAGAGAGATACGGCGCTCGCCATTGGTATCATCGGTTTTGAGGGGCGAGAAGGTGAATGAGGGAGGAAGAGATGAGGCGATGAGGAAGGATGCGTTGACGAGATTGGTTTTGAAGGGCTGGATTGGGGGGTCTCGAGTTAGTCTTGTCTTACATGGGACCTTGATCGAGGGGGTGAAAGGTGGATAGATGCAGATGCATGGTGGATGTGTGTCGCTCTCGGTATCGGAAACAGGAGAGATCCGATGCAGATCGGTTGTACGTCAGTGGGCAGTGACTTACACCAAATCCCGTTATAAGAACGGAGATCTCGTTGGAACCCTGCGGGGATTGCGAGGGTTGGCCCACCGGGGAGGAGTGGGTAGGCGGGACCACGGGGCCATAATCTCCCATGGTGAGAGTCTCGGGGTATATTTATAGGATGAAGGAGGAGTAGAGAGGAGAGGGAGAGGAGGTAGATGGGTGAGGGTATTACAGAGAGAGAGAGAGAGAGAGAGAGAGAGAGTAGACGAGGATGGTCAAAGGAAGAGGGAAGGGGAACATGTGAGGGTAAAGAGAAGGACTCACTGCGGGGAGTGGCTGGTTGTGGGAATGCGGGGACTCGAAGCTGATTGGTCGGGTATACTTTTGAGTACTCGAGTTAGACTTTGATCACCCACTTGATGTAGTTCAAGTGAGCTTGTTACCTAATAGTGATGAGAGATTGAGTTAATTGGTAGTCGTTTAGCTGATAAGAATAATCAAAGGGGGCTCTTATGTTACTAGGGCTGTTGTTATACCATTGTTGCTGTAGTATATCTCTGCTCAGAACCGATGATCATCGTCAGCATCTTAACTTTGACCGGGCTTGACTATGACGATGTATACATAACTCTATTTGCACCTGTCATATACATTCTACTGTAGAACATGTCTGACGAATGAATCTCTCACCTTGGCTAGACCGCGTCTCACTCTAACATCGGCCGTGATACCTTCCTATCCCATCCGCTCTAGAGTACTTAGAATACTCTACGCACAGACTATTCTAAATACAAAGAGATCAAACTAGCACCACCTTAATCCCTGATCCCACCACTAAATCCAAACCCACTGCGTATTCCTCGTATTCACCCAGTGGATCCCCCCCTGCCATGCCCTCTCGATTTGCCTAATCAGGCAGTGATTGATCTGCACACTCTCGTTCTCACATTCCCTTTTCTGTACTCTCAAGTGGTTAAAGGTTAGTCCCAGACCACCCTAAGACTCGGAACATTTCATTTCCCCCAAACATACTGTCTCCCATAAATGGTATCATCTTCGGAGTCTCCCTATTCCGAGCCTCGCCCTAAAGGCATTAGCGTTGCTCTTAAACGGGCGACTCTCGGTTGGTCTAGCTTCCGGCAGTGGCGTCGACAGAGTCGTTGCCCTGAGTGCTCTCCAAGGCTTTCGGCTGGTTTGCTCCCGAAGATGTAGCGAATAAGATCACCATCTTTACAATATACTCTAATTGTTTTCGGAGTAATAATCAACACACTGGCTATGACTGGCCCGAGCGTGAAAATGAGGCTGGCATGGTCCTTGTTCCTATAAATTGCTATTATTTGGCAGGCGGGCAGAATGAGCAGTTTGCTTGAGAGAATTACAGTCTTGACTTCCTGCTTGTCCTTTCTGATTCTTTCTCTTGTGACTTTCTCACTCTTTGCTCAACCTTTCCTAGCTTCGGATTTGACTGGCTATGGCTCTTCTTGCCGAGCTTCTGGCCATACCCTACCTGGCCCAGGGTTTATGCGTGGCGGTCCTCGTACTATTCGTCTCCAGCTTCTGGCAGGATCTCTCCGATGAGATCCCGTATAGCCGGATACCGTTAGTCGGCAAGAAATGGTGGGATCTGTCGAATAAAAAGGCCAAGGCACGATTCGCGGAGGCTGCAAGAGCTCTGATCGCAGAAGGTTTCGCCAAGGTAAGACAGTCAATGGGCTCTCTTGGACCAGAGAACGAGCACCGAATATTCACGAGGGTGGATAGGGTTCCGGCGTTTTCCAAGTCATGGCTACGACCAGGCCTCTCATTGTCTTGCATCCCAAATACGTGGATGAGATCAAGAACCATCCCCACCTGGACTTTGAGCTTGCCACGAAAAAGGTATGTTTCACCATCATATCATCGAAAACCTAGAGATGGAGATGGAACTGACCACCACAGAACTTCTTCGAAGATCGAATCGCCGGGTTCGAGGCATTCCACCCCGCCGGTCCTACGAGGATAATGCTGGACACGGTGCGAATCAAGCTAACCCAAGCACTAGGTATGTCAAACACTGCATCTTCCGAGGTAGATCCCTAACACAGGCCAGGCTCATTGATAATCCCACTCTCCATCGAGACGGCCGCCACGATGAAAGAAGCCTTTCCCCCATCAGACGGTACATCTTCCCCTGCCCGGCATTACCTACCAGCGATACCATCTAATATCCAAGCTGACTGACTTCCCTTCCCAGAATGGACTACATACAACTTCTCCCACAAAATCCCGTGCATAATTGCCCGCCTCTCCACCCTCGTCTTCATGGGCGAGACCGTCTGCCGCGACCCAGCTTGGCTCGACGTCTCAGTCAACTACACAATCGACGCCTTCCTCGCAGCCCGCGCCCTGCGCATGTGGCCCTCCGTGCTCCGTCCCTTAGTCCACTGGTTCATGCCAAGCTGCCAAAAGCTACGACAACATTTTGCCGTTGCGCGGGCCATCGTCGCCCGTGAAATTGAGAATCGCACCTTGGCCAAGCAGGGTCAGCTTGAGTCGGGAAGTGAACCGCGTCGCGCCGATGCGCTGGATTGGCTGGATGAATTTTCGACGGCGTATGGGTTTGTGTCTGATCGGCCGCGTGAGCAGATTGGACTAGCGCTGGCGGCGATTCATACTACGTCTAATCTGTTGACGAACGTGGTGTATGATCTTGCGGCGTATCCGGAATACGTTGAGCCGCTGCGGGAGGAGATTAAGGCTGTTTTGGCGGAGGATGGGTCTTTGAAGAAGACTAGTTTGTTGAAGTTGAAGTTGATGGATAGTGTTATCAAGGAGTCGCAGCGAGTGAATCCTGTGAGTTTTGGTAAGTCGAGTCTCCCCCCTTCCATTTTTTACTCTCTTCCCTCTTATACCCACTAAACGCTTTCTCCACGCATCAAACCAACTAACCACCCCGTCCTTCCCGCAGTATCCATGAACCGAATCGCCCTCACCCCAATCCCCCTCTCAGACGGCACCGTCATTCCCCGCGGAGCCACCATCGCCGTATCAGCACACATCAACGAAGACGACACCGTCTACCCAAACGCCTCCACCTACGACGGCTTCCGGTTCTACAAAAAGCGACAGGAGCCCGGTCACGAGCACCGACATCAACTCGTCACAACGACGAGCGAGAATTTTGGCTTCGGACATGGACGACATGCATGTCCGGGACGGTTCTTTGCGGCTAGTGAGATGAAGATTTTGCTGGTGCATTTGTTGTTAAAGTATGATTGGAAGTTTAAGGATGTCAAGGGGAGACCGAGGAATTTTGAGGTTGGGACGGAGAGTATTGCGGATCCGAGTGTTGAGATGTTGTTTAGGGGGAGGGTGGCGGGGGTTGATCTTGCGATGTTGGGGGAGTGAGAGGGAGTGAGCATGGATATGTGTGCGTATTTATGGATGTGATTTGGAGGTTAAATGATGTAAAATTTATTGATTGTGATCTATGCATGAGTATTGATTAGGTATCTGCGTGTTAGCTGATGCTGGATGCTATCCCTTGATATGATTTCCAGTATACTTCGTATCAGGTCGTTTCAAGCGTGGGCATATTCCGTATATCTTGTTAGGAAAGCGTCGTTGAGATATACTATACCTCCCCTCTTATTACAGTCGTACCTTTATAAGGTTACCCGATGGGTACCCGTGGGGTGATAATAAAGACGGTTCCTGGTGGGCTTTGATCCGTCCAACATGTCGTGGTAGCTTCACGGCCCGTCAGACAGAGTTTCGGCATCGGATCTGGCTACCACGGAGAGAGGTGTGTATGAGGTTACAGTGAGATGATAGATATAAACTACATTAAGCATACAAGCCTGGTAGTTGAATAATAATGTTCTAGTCTTTATATAAAAGAGGTAGACAGAGTATGTATTACATTAGTAGAAGAAGAGAATAACCGTAGCTCAAAATAGAAGCATTCTCTATGCATATGCCACTACTGTAGTACTGTAAGATAGTGGGAACTAGGAAGGTCCCGCTGTGGCTTCACATTCCTTTTGGTTCAGTTCCACATGATCGAGATAGAGTAGCACGGACCGGACGCATAGGGTCCTCATCGCGATGCAGATGTAGAACTAAACCTCCAGTCTACGGAGTAAATAGATGATTACACTATCGCAATTCCTCAACGAAAAATCAAACCTCAAAGTTTAGCATGAACCAGGTATTACAGTATGACTCAGGCCAAATGGACAACATGACAAGCGGGACTCCGTCATTTCCAGAGTGGAGCCATATGAAAATACAGTCCGTATCTATGTAATAATATTACTATCCATACCCATATCAAATCACCAATTCGCGAACTATAATACCCATAATAAACAGCGCGACACGCGACGCGTCCCTCAACGCGCTACGCGTCTCCCTCCGGAAAGAGTTATATTGGACCTCTTTAACGAGACAGCACTAGGCCCCAAAAAATTGGATTTCCCCCCTTCCCTTCCCGAATCCCGATCCATGGACTCTTTTTTTTCTTGGTGGGTTTGGGGGCTTGGACATGGTTCTGGCCCGCCCTTGTGGGGTTGGGGGAGGATTTTGTTCACCGCACAATGGATTTACTGTTGATGGATTTGAAGAGTTGGAGGTTTGAATAGTAATAATAGTAGTACTATGATTAAGTGGTAGTTCTGCTCTTGCTGCTAATTATCTTGTTACTTTGTAGTGGCCAAAATCAATTGCAAGGGAGTATACTAAGACTATACTTACTGTCCTTGGTAGAGTAACTGTAAGTTCAAAGCTATGGGCATCCGCTCGTGCTCCCCGCCACTCTATTTCCCATAGGACAGTTCCGGAATTTCCCCTCTCTTAGACCTTCAAGTCTTCCCATAACGGTCAAGATCGAATGCAATGGTCATCACTAGTACGGTATATACTCTCACTACTGTAGGTGAGCTGATCACCCGACGCAGGCAGCGTGACCGTTCGCGGGAGGATCAGTCAGTTCTACTTACTGTGCTTGATTCAGCTTCGAGGGCCCTTGCAGAGAGGGGGGGGGGTCCACTAGAAATCTTGGAAGTTTGGAAAGAGGTGATTGTAAGAACGGTGGGATAGGTAGGATAGGATTAGTTATATGGTATACAGTGTACTCTATCCTGCAGGCTCGTCTTGTCTGGTGATCTCGGTTCACGACTATGATCGACCGTACAGCCTACGAAGACGGGTTAGATATGGAGCTTTGAGTCTACCTACTACTATGGCTTTGCGAATGTGTGTGGGCTCCAATCGTGGACTGGGATTGATCGAAACGGTATTGAGGGTTCCTTCCCAGCCCCCTCTATTTTTCTAAATTTTGATGGTGGAACGCACTATGGAGTGGTGTAGCTATTCTTGGATCTTGAGATGTTGAAGAAGGAATAGTATTAATGTACGGAGTAAATTGGTTTCATACTATATACGGAGGAGTATACAATAGATGCTATGGTCTTTTGTAGAGCATAACTGCTCTACCCTGTAGTCTGTATAATTATGTACAATGTACTCCGTACCGTATCCTCCGTAATGCAATCATCCTCTTGATCAAGCTGCAGCGTGCATCAAGTAAGGTCCGGGCTGCAGCTTCTCGACTCAGGAAGGACTCGAGGAAGATCTAAACAAACCGATCCATTCCTCGAGCAGGAGCTAAGAAAATAGAGACTCGATAGCAAAAGTATCACTGTAACAAGAGAGGGGGAAAGAGAATAGGCGAAAAAGAGGCTAACTCACTAGCAAGTTAGCTACAGGTAGGAAGCATGTCTAGGAACGACATTTTTAGTCGCGAGTAGCGCAGGTCCTCGAGGTGGGCCGTAAAAAAGATGGGCCAGTCCGGTACTCGATACCGCCAGATTCAGTGTTGGCACCGCCTAACGATGGAGTACCGGGTACACCGTGTATCTCCAGTTGGCTGTTAGCCCCGTTTCGCCCGTCCCTCAGGGCTTTCCCTCCCCAAGACTCTCCGTCCGCCTCACTGCTGGCGCCCAACCGCACCTTCCCTCTCACCCTCTCACCTCTACTCTTTCCTTCTTCCCTTCTCTCACCCCCTTCCCTTCCCCCCCCTCCAACCACCTTTCCTCTTTCCTCTTGCGAGTTTCTTTTCTCGCACTTTCTTTTGTATCTTGTCCGGTCTTCGGTAATGACGACTCTTTCCTTTCCCTTCTTCGCCGGGATGGAGTCGCAGTTGTGATTTGGTGACCCGATATTCCAAGATCTCCCCGAATATCACCCAGTTGGCGCATTCCCCAGGAACCACCTAGACCCTCAGATCACCTGAAACTCTAGGTCCTGTTTGCACTGCCTATCACTGATCATTTCATTACTACGCCTGACCTATTCGCTCTCGTTCGACTTTTCTTTTTCCTTTTCTCTTCACGACTCACGACCCTACCCTCAGCGCGATCGCGCGAGCTGCACCATCTCACCTTCCACAGCCGCGTAATTGACCAACCCCCCTTCCTTCCCTCCCCCAACTCCTTTCTCCTCCGCTTCGAATTGTTCCTTCCCCACATACCAGTGAGCGGATCCCCGCCACGACTCTCAATCATGGCTCAGCGTCAGCTTTCGCAGACGCTGCCCAAGAACTTCACCTTCCCGTCGCTCAGTACCGATGAGCCCAAGACCCCCGAACGCGAGTCCGCCCAGATCGAAGTCCCACCTCCGCCGCGCCATTCCTTCTCCAGTTGCCGTTTGCCTCGCGTGCGCGTCCGCTCCGGCACTGATGTCTGCGAGCGCATCAACTTGGACCTTTTCCGATTCCAAGGTTCGCTCTCATCACAGGATGTCCCCGTGCCTTCTATCGAGTACCCGCAAGGAAGCTCGCCCTCGGGCGCGACTTACTCCGACGACCTTGCAAATGACGATCGCTTCCTCGCGCCTCCTCGCCAGCGCTTGATCTTCAAGACTCCCCCGGCCCAGGTTCGCGGCATGCCTTTCGATGGCAGCGACTCGGAGCAGATGTGGCCTTCGTGGGATGAGACTCCAGGTCTGGCGCGGAATATTAAGCGCCCGGGAACCGCCTGCTCTGATTCCTCCTGCGAGTCCGTCGAGACTTATGCCTCGCGCCCTTCCGTAGGAGGTAGCTGCACGAGTGTGGAGAGCGATTCCTTCGACCACGCCTTTGTGCTCGAAATCGCCAAGGAGCCTGGGACCGAGTCTCCCACTCTTCCTGAAAGACAGCAGGTCCAACGACCCTTGGTCAAGGACAAACTCTGGACTCGCGAGATGGATAATCACCTGTGGAACACGTATCAAATGTACCTGCAAGACCCGACCATCACCCCGTTCAAGCAGACCCCCGGCAGTATTCCGCCATTGGGCGTCACGGCCAGAGTTGCGCGTCGCGCGAAGCGCACCTGGGACAGCAGCAGACGATTGTCCTTTGCGCCCACTCTCCCGACTCAATCGAATGATCGCAGTGGCAGTTCCACTCCTCGCGCGCGGGAATCCTCCGTGCATCATCCCGCGTGGCCCCGGTCGGATGCAAAGACCCGTTGTCGACTCAAGCATTTGTGCCGCCGCAAGTTCTCCATTTCGCCTTACTACCACCGCATCATGCAGTCCCGTAGCCCGGAGCCCATGGCCGACACGCTTGGTGTGCCTGCCGAGTCGCATGTCCGTGACTTTGCCGGCAACACGAATGCCTATGCCACTCGCGATCTGGGTGTCTCCCTTGTCTCGACCGAGCACTCGAACGTTCTGGCTCAGCTCGCCAAGGAGCCGGTACCGGGAGACTCGGGATCAAGCTGGTTCAACAACGCCATTGTGCCCGAAGCCTCGCCTGCTCTTCCGGCACCTCAACCTCCCACTCAGCTCTATCAATTCCCCGCAATTGATCCTCATAATGTGCCCCCTCGCTTGGGGTCACCTTTCGTTTACAGCACATGGGGACCCGGGGGTTCTCGCCGCCATGCCACGGATGTTCCCCAGTCAGCCCGACGCGAGACTATTCATGTTCCTAACCGCCGTTTGCGTCGGGCCACCCATCTGGAGACTACTCCGCGAGATACGGATGACGTATTCACGAGCGATGTGCATGCCGAGAAGGATGCCGAGGACGAAGATGTTCAGACTCGCTTGGAGCATTTCCTGCGTGAGAACAAGTTCCAAAGCATTGGCAAGGGCCGGGTTCGCCTTCGTAACCGCGGTGCCACTACCTCTGGCGCCGTTGCACCTCGGGATGTTGACCAGCTCTTTTCACCTCCTTCCTCTCTCAACTCCTCCCAAGCCGAAGGTGAGGAGACCACGCCCACCACCAAACCTCCCATCAACCACTTCTTGAGCCTCGGCGGTGAGAACATCAAGCGACTGGGTTCTCCCTTCAAGGTCGAGTCCGCTTTCAAGCGTCGAGATGGACCTGGGCGGTTCATCAGACATGCACCCTCGCTGTCAGAACCATTTCCCAATGGCACTATCACGCCGTACGCCGAGACGTCGACCAACCCGACTCCCTTCCAGGAGCAGAAGACCGCAGTACCGGTGCTGCGGAACCCCTTCGAGGAGGGCCTGTCGGATGCCGAGCGCATTCGCCGGCAGATCCAGAACATGTCCTCCCTGCGCCAGTAATTGTGCGCCTGTCCGCTTTTTTTTGTCCTGCTGTCGCCTCTTCCCGACCTTTCCGACTGCATTGTGGTGCCGATTTATTTGCGACCTTTTCTTTTCAACCCTTTGCATAACGACCTGAACGATACACGAGAGAAGCACGTCGGCCATCGCTTCCCTCTTCTAATCGCAGCCTTTATTTTTCATGACAGCAACGGCCTTGACGAATGTAACGATATGCTTTGAGATGGCCCGAGATTTTTCCTTCAACTTTCCAGTGTGTGTTCTGTACCTGGCTTGCTTGGGCATTATCACTCCCCTCAAAAACAAACCGACTGCTTTCCCACTACCATGATTTTCATCTACTCTCGCCACCGAAGAGAAACTTGTGATGGGCTTTTTCACCCTTCTTTTTTTGGTGTCGGACACTGTACACTGCGTTGACTTGTCAATGATCCGTTTTGTTTCATGAACGGATATCATATTGCGAACTTCCAACATCTTTCGTGGAAGTTCCAATCTCTAACGCAGTGTCAGGTCTCTCCTTGAACGAACGTCATTGCATTCTACAAGGAGTAGACCAGCCGACTCCCATTGGGACTTACTTTCATTACTGCCCCCCTCTATTCATTTCACTCAGCGTCTTTGGATGACAGTGTGGTTGCTGTGGATTTGAAGACAAGGATCAGGACATGACCAGAATGTCTGACTAGACAAATTCGAATCCATCCATACCTGCCATCTTTTGATGCTCATTCACTCTCTCTCATCGGCTAGACCGATTGATTCATTTCCTTTTCAGTTTCCCGTTCGGACCCGTGGCTTATTGTCATATGTCACGCACCGACAAGATACACCAAGAAAACCATCAAAAACACCGCAAAACCCTCAAACTGAAAACCGAAAAACATCATTACTGCTCTCAGCTACTCCCTCGTCTAGTTGCGAGCCACCTTCTTTCGACTTTCCTTTATTTCTTTCTGTCTCCGTCTCCAGTCGTCTGTCTCGTGTGTGCCACTAGCCAAATGATTGAGCACTTTATCTTGCATGGCGACGTGCACTGGATGACCTTCCGCCTCATAATTTCTCTTCGGCAATCCTCCAACGGCATAGCTGAACCTCGCTTTGCTAACCGGAGCCAACAACATCCCCTCTCGACTTCACCTTGACCACCTCTTCCCGAGGTGATGCATGACCATGTCTCCGAATTCCCCCCAAAAAGAATGTGCACGACGATACACTATGCTATTTCACTCCCATTACATAGACGAACCGAAACGAAACGACCGCACATGATTTTCGAATGCCTGTTGCGCCCCACGAACGACCCTTTTCCTGACTCTGATGAGACGCAGCGTGGTGTTTTGGTTGTCGTTCTTCTTCTTGATCTGCTCCGCCTCGCCTTTGTGCCCGTGCCTGTCTGTGCCTTATGTCTGTGCAATTTTTCGACCTTGATGCCAGCGAGCTTATTTTTAACTCCATTTTGCTTCTATTTGGGTTCTTATCTGTCATCTTTCGCTCGTCTGATGAGATCTTATTCATATTTTTTCCCTTTCTTGATTCGACTCGACTCGTGTGAAGGGCGGGTTTAATTTGTTTCCGCGATCATGTCTGTCCTCGACTTTGATCTGCGCTTGCAGATGCAGAAGTACTCCATCAGCTCTTTCTCAAGATCAATATCTTTGAAGCTGCTCTGCTCTGCCCTGCCCCCGCCCAACACACTCGCCAAGCACGTCTCCCCTCCTCTCGATATCGAGATTGCATTGCAGTGCGTCGCATCTTAGCTCGTGTTTCAGCACTTGAGCCCTCTATGACAGTTGTGGCATCCAGAGCCTTGTCTTGCACTTTGCTCTATGCTTATGCCTATTTTTTTCTTTGACAACGAATCTTCTCCAAGTCTTTATCATTTGCGTTACTCGATATCCAGTATTTAGATTTAGGACTCTGTTATCTTTACCTTGTTTGTGAATCGGGATTCCTTTTTCTAGCGTGATGATCGTTGGATTTGGTTCGTTGAATTATTACTCTTCTCTTCTCCAAACGCTTCCTCTTGTATAGATTGTAGACGTAGACATGCAGTAGGGACAGGAGGTTACTTTGAAGGGCTGGGTAGTCTTGTATAGATGAGATAACTGGAGAACCTGCACTGGAATGACGGGGTAAGTGTGTATATAGCGTACCAATGCAATGCTATCTACCCATATAAAAGCCTAAAGAACCGCCACATAATCACCATGCTCTTCAACAGGGTATGCAAAAAAACGACATAATAGGCAAAAAGGGGGGGTATAAAGACTCTAAACCGAAATATCATACAGAACAAGAAACACAGAAACCATCCTCATCCACATCTAACCATGCTCCAACAAAACCCGAAAGGAAACCAAGATCAGATGGAAGTAACAGACCAAACCTCAAACACGCTCAAGTTTCCTCTTCCTCTCCGCAAGAACAGCTTCAATCCGTCGAACTTGCAACGCAAGACCCTTCTTCTCCGCATTGCAAGTAAGCCATTCTTCCATTCGGCCCCGGACATAGGCCATAGACTTGAGAACGGGTAACACGGGCCCAGCACCGTCGCCGTCACCACCACCCTCCATAGCAATCCACCTCTCCGCACCGGGATTAAGCAATAAATCAAAGACATCGCTCCAAATTTCACGGTCCCAGTATCGTTTCAGCGATTCACGGATGCGATACGTTCGATTTCCAGCTCCAGCATTGGCATCACTAGTCCGCACGGGCGCACTTTCAAGATACTTCCCGAAAAGAAGGATATGAATTACGCCCGCGATACCGTAGAGATCGATTTGATGCGTCCAGGGCCGTGCTTCGCGGATTTCGTTGCACTCGTGAGTCTCTGTTTCCCAATCTGCCAGGAACTGGACGCTAGACGGGAAGGCGTTCATGTCAATTGCGCGACCGAAGTCTATCAAGGCTAGACCCTTGGCGCGCCAGCCGAAGGCGCCGGATGGTGCGTATGCGGGGGTATCGCGCGGGTTGGCGGTTGATGTGGAGCCATCGCCTAGATCTAGGAGGGAGAGAGCTTTTGTGGGTGGGTCTGTGGGGAGGGAGTCGTCTAGACGGACGAGGCAGTTGTCTGCTTTGATGTCGCCGTGTAGGATTCCTGTTGCGTGGAGTGCTTCGATTGTGCGGAAGAGCTCGATTGAGAAGAACATTGCGAGGGACTCGTCTAGGCCGCCGTCGCTGGGGTGTGTAGAGCTGATGGAGTCGTTGCGGAGGATGTTGACTAGGTCGAGGAGTGTGCCTTGGCCGCGGTAGTCTTCGACGAGGAAGCTTTCCCGTGGGTGGACGTGAAGCTCGTGGGCGCGAACGATGCTGTCCACGGCGCGGGTGTGCTTTGGTGCGTTGCGGAGACGCTCGTGCGCGGTGCGAATCATGTAGAATTCCCAGGCGCTGGCGGGCCCGTTTTCGACTTTGACTGCTTCGAAGGGGTATCGAGCGCTGTCGTAGGGGTTCGACTTGCCGGTGTTTTCTTCGTCCGAGTCAGAGCCGTAGGATCGTTGATGATCCACACTTTCGGCAAGGTAGACGGGTGCATATGCGCCAGCGCCTAGCTCACGACGGATGGTGTAGCTACGCTCAGCACCGGGGAAGTCGAGAGTAGGCGTCTCGTAGCGATCGTCATCCGCATTTCGGGATTTTCGGTTGTGCGCTTTGACAAACTTTTGGATCATGCTAGCATAGTTGCTATCTTGGACGTGGCCATGATATCCCGGATAGGCAGCAAGTGGTGGATCCAGGGAGTTCAAGATAGTATTGCGAATTCCCTTGTCCGTTGGATTGCACTGCGAATCCTTGATGATTGCTTCTCGTCGGCGAGCTTTCGGGGCAAGAGCCTTGAAGGCAGTCGGACTAAAAGGGACATCAACTGCTGAGCCGACAGTGTGATCCCCATGGTAGGGCGTCATTGGCCCGAATTCACTAGAAAGGAGGTCGCCCATTTGCGGCACACCAGAGGGTGACCTTGGTTTCGACGGAGTCTTCGCATTGTAAAGACTCCTAGCTGCCGTCATTGAGATAGACGACTCGGTTCGTTCCACAATAGGTGTCATGAAAGGCAGCCGGTTCTGCGCCATAATAGCAGGATCGCGATACGTCCCATAGGGAGGGTTATAGTCATCAGGCATTCGAGGTATGAACCTCTCCTTCTCTGGAGTACCATGCTCGGATTCGACATCTCCCTGACTGACAACGGAATGCGACGTAGCGTCGGCAGATTCACCACCAGGGACATCTTTGCTGACGCTGAAATCAGTCCAATCGCCTCCAGCTATACTGTCAGCCCGGGTCGTGTTGCCGTCACCATACTCCGTGTCATCATAAGATTTATGGAAGGTATGAGTTTCATCGTCGCCAAAGTCACTCGAAGCCGCAGAGATGTGGCCGGTGCCTGTACTATCAACGGTACTAGCACAGTCCTCATCCTCATACTCGCTGCCATAGAGACTATCAGCAGCATCGTCCATCTCAGCTTTCAATGGTTGATTGAAGATGCCATAGATTTCATCCGTTGCAGCCCGAGTATGCATAGTCATTGTTGGCTCTCGAGTGCTCTTCCTTCGGGCCTTGGAGCTCGTCGGCGAGTCGAATTTCATTTTGACTAAAACGCGTTAGCCTTCAGAAACGAGGAGTTTAGCAGGTCGTACTCACTGGTCTGCGTTTCTCCCTGCACCTTGAATTTTCTCGCTTTTCCAGTTTTGCCTTCATAGGGTCCATCATGATGTTGTGATTGAGATGGCTGTTCATCAGGAGCTGGCTTTTGCTCCAACCCTTCGGCCAGCGGCTCATCCTTGAACACCTTCAGTTTCGTCGGCCGAGCATCCCCAGCCGCATTGCCAGAGACTTGCTTCAGAGGCTCCTTATGCTCACGCCAATTCTTATTCATCCAACCACGTTTCATCGCTCGCAACTCCTCGAAACTAACTTCATGCGTTGGATCTTTGTGGTCGGGGTATACTGCTTCAAGGTCGACAAAAACACGCTCACGTCGACCAGTTCGCGGGTTTACCGCTTCCCTTACATGGTGTTCTGGAATTTGCTTGGGGGCACTTGGTTGTTCTGAAGGTGGATTTAGATTGGACTGTATACACACAATCGAAACACATAGGTTCAAGCCAGCAATTAGTCCTGTGATCGTAAATATACGGAAGGTCTCTGAAGAAGAGGAAAGGAAGGGCAATCTGGTATTGCAAACTCACCTCGTCCCTGAAAATGGCCATCTTTTGCGTTGGCACCTGTTTCTTCCCCGCCTTCAATGTCTCCCCCGCCCAAGGCTTGGCCTCCACCTCGTTTTCCTTCCTACGCTCTCGCATCGATCCGATACTGTCCCATCCCTTCGATTGTCCGCTGGTCGCTGGTTGACTCGACTGTGCTGCATCAGCATCGGAGAAGATCGCCATCTTCATCTTCCCAGACTTCGTCTTGGCAGGGGCAGCAGGTTGTGGTGCTGATCGCGAGGCTTGCGGGTTGGCAGCGGTCTCCGTAGAGGCGAATGGATCCATCTTAGCTGCCAGAGCGGGCCGAACAGCGGGCAGAGCAGGTGAAGATGGCCCGGCATCCTGTGATTGCTGCTCATATCGTTGCTGGAACTCGCTGTATTTTCTCGCGAGCCGCTCAACCGGCCGAGCCTCGCGGTCCATGCCAAGCCTATATACTTCGTCGGCCTGTGTCCAACGCCCGGCGCCCTCTAGCCATGCGGCAAACTCCTCGTAGAACAACGCCAGTCCCTCACCGATGTGGTGTCGTGCAAGGAATGCAAAGGTCTCACGCGGGGCATCGGAGAAGAGTCTAATGTAGTGCATCCACAACCGAAGGTACCGCGGGTCATTCCTGTAGTGTGATGATGACAGGAAGGACTTGGTAGCACGTTCGAGCAGCGGGAGGAGCCCAGATTCAGGCGTAGCTTGGGCAGACGGGTACGCGTTCAAAGTCCATTTCACGTAGCGGTCGTAAACATCGAGGGGATCGTCCGATTCTCCTATTGATTCCAACTCATTTTCGTATTCTTGGCGAATTGCACCGTTGATGGTCCTTGTGTCGTTTGGCGAGGGTGTCGACAATTTGTCGCTTGTGCTGCCTCCAGAGAAAATCCGTGCCAGTTCTCGGGCTGATCTGCCGCCGGGGAGGGACTGGACATTCTCTCTTTTGGGCCTCGATAATGTCGAAGTCGACGAAGTCGTTGGATGCCGCCATGTTGCCGAGATCTTTGGCAAGATCTGACCTGTGCGGAATGTCGCCAAACGGTTCGTGGGAATTGGCGAGGGGTTTGGGCCACACAAGACGACAAGACGAGATCCGGTGTTGGTTCCCAAAAGGCAGATTGGGTTATCGATAAACATCACATGACCTGTTACCCCGGTGATCAGCACGTGACTACCACCCTGATTCGAGGGACCCATTGCCCGGTTATGATTCAACGGAAAGAAGAAAGTAAAAGAGACATTTATTTACGGAGGGAGAGACAGAATCTGATCTGAAGCCATTGGATCACTCAGCAGAATCTTACATCCATAAATCATTCGAATCAAGTGATCGTGGCGCACCGCTGGCAGTTCTTCTTGCAACTTCTCCACAGCCGCACCCAATCAGCTCCGGACCCATCAATTTTACCCAGTTGTTATCAGTCTCCATCAAAAGCTCCCAACGTCAACTGCAAGACCAACTCTATGCAAGAGGGTCATGTCTATACTATCCAAAGATAAGACATCACCTACAGCAGCCGAGTCGACCACTCAATCCTCAATGCAGGCCTCAACCGCCAAGGGCAGCCACAAAAGGAACCTGAGCAATGGGACACCAGATAACTCTCCATTGAGACGATCCAAACGACAAAGGTCCACCGCCAATCTGAAAGAGGCCTCATCTGGTGAAGAGTCTGAAGTGGAAGACAAGGTAGTACCAACGCCGAGGAAAGCGTCCAGCGCCAAATCTACGCCCAAGGCTACCAAGGAAAAGAAGACTGAAGTTGCATCATCAGTCAAGAAAGAGGCCACTGAAGAGACGGAACTTGCTTCCAGTGTCATTGCTGCCAAGAAAGAATCCGTCGTTAAGACTGAAGGAGTCGATACCGAAGTGAAGACCGAGGCTGGGGCAGCTTCAACCGTTCAAACGAAGCCTGCCAAGAAGGCTAGAAAGACCAAGGAAGAGAAGGAAGCCGAAGCCATGCCGCTCGCACTCCGAACCCAGGGGCTGAAGATGTTTGTTGGTGCTCATGTCAGCGCTGCAAAGGGTTAGTACTTGTCGCGGTTGGTATTGATTGTTGAGGAGCTAATCGCAGCATCTTCGAACAGGTGTATTCAACTCGATCACCAATAGTACACAGATCGGGTAAGTGGTGAAGCACATCGTTGTATTTAAAGCCAAAGCTAATGAATAGCATCAGAGGTAACGCCTTTGCACTATTCCTCAAGTCGCAGAGAAAATGGGACAACCCACCTCTCCAGGATGATGTCCGCGATCAGTTCCGGAAAATGTGCGCCGAGCAGAACTATGATGCAGCCAAGTGAGTCTTCCTCCTTCATCATTGAACGACTGGCCTTTAACATATCATAGACACGTTCTGCCTCACGGGTCCTATCTCGTCAACCTAGCACAGAATGACAAGACCAAGGCTAAGCAAGCATACGACTCCTTCCTGGACGACCTCCGTCGCTGTGAAGCCCTCGGCATCAAACTCTACAACTTCCAGTACGCTCAACCCACAATCTCCTCCTCAACCCCCCATCTCATACTAACAAACTACCAGCCCGGGAAGCACCAACCAAACCCCCCTCCCGGAAGCCCTCGCCCGTCTAGCATCCGCCCTAACAAAAGCCCTCACGGAAACAACCACCGTCATCCCCGTCCTAGAAACAATGTGCGGCCACGGCAACACAATCGGCGGCTCCCTCTCCGAATTCCGCGACTTGCTCGCCCTAATCCCACAAGAGCACCACTCCCGCATCGGCATCTGCATCGACACATGCCACAGTTTCGCCGCAGGCTACGACCTCGTCACACCAGAGGGCTTCAAAGCTTTCCTAACCGAATTCGACGACCTAATCGGCCTCCGATTCCTCCGCGCCCTGCATCTAAACGACTCCAAAGCTCCGCGTGGCAGTAAACGCGATCTACACGCTAACATCGGCACGGGATTCCTCGGTCTCCGCGCATTCCACAACGTCATGAACGAGCCGCGCTTCGAGGGTCTCCCCATGGTCTTGGAAACGCCTATCGACCGCGTCCCCGGACAAACGGCTTCCTCTGCGGCGGACGACGACGCAGATAGTTGCGCCAGTGAGTCTGAGAAGAAGCCGAAAAAGGGTGTCAAGAAGGGCGGGAAACGGCCTGCTGGGGCTGCGCCGGCTGCGGTGCCTGATCACGGGGTGTGGGCTCGGGAGATTAAGTTGCTGGAGTCGTTGATTGGGATGGATCCGGAGGGGGAGGAATTTAGAGCTTTGGAGAAGAAGCTTTCGGAGGAGGGGAGGGAGATGAGGGAGAAGCAGATGGAGCAGTATGAGAGGAAGTTGGAGACTGAGAAGAAGAAGGAGGCTAAGGCGAAGGAGAAGGGGCAGAAGAGTCTTATGGATATGATGAAGAAGGGGAAGGCGTGAGAATGGCGATGCTGGAATGAACCAGTCTAGAGTAATGCATGGGAGGCTGTATTTCGAGTATCCAAAAGCTCTATACTGCAAGCCAGCTTCTAAGCGGGACAATTACAAAACACCAGGCAAAAGGAGAAGAATCGTGATATTGATTTAATTGAATATGCAATGAAAATTAGGCCAGCCAATATGGCCTTGAAAGAAGAAAATCGCATTTGATGGTATCAGGCAAGCCACCGCTCTGCAATGAATCCAATAGCCTCCATGCAAATCATAAACAAGACACCTCCTTTACCAACCCCCCGACTTCATTACTCCATGGGGAGTAGTCAGCGTGTACATCAATTACCCGGCGACATGCAAATCCACCTACATCACGAATGCGGCCGCTTCCTTCTATCCAGGTCCCAGACCTTTCATCAGGTGAAGATGGAGCCGAAGCCATGCGGTGGTGTCGCCGGTACAAAATACCATTCTAAGATAGCATATAGATAGATCGGATAGGAGACGTCATTGTCGTCGAGAATGGAATGAGATTGGAAGGACTAAGGGTGGGATGGGGTTTGGGTTCGCATGGGCGAGACCGAAGAGCTAGAATGGACGCCCGGGGAATCCTCCCGATCGGACGCTTGGAGGTGGGAGAATCCCGCATCGGCCATGGTGGTGATGGTTGGAGGGGCGGATCTAATGGGCGTCTCGATCTCGTCCTCCGGGATGGTGGTGGAAATTGACAGGTTGTGCATTGCGCCGCTTGCCCGGACACGGAACGAGCGTCGCTGGTCACCGACGGACGATGTTTGCAAATCATCATCGTACTGTGCCGCAGGGATGGCGCCCGTCTCGGCATCGTTGACAGGGTGGTAGTCTCCAAACTCACCACCGCTGACATCTTCAGAGTCAGAGTCTGGCGTCCCATCACGGTGCCAGTCGTCATCCTCTGCCTCACTGCGCATTTTGGAGATTTTCATGTAATTGTAGCATCCAATGCTACCAATGGTGACCACCAAGCCGGTGATGTTGACAACCGTGAGCTTATCATGGAAGATAACGCCCGCAGCACTGATCGTGACGACTTCTTTGAAGATTCCACAAATACTGAGAGTGACGACGGACGAACGTTTCAACAAGGCGAATTCGGAGGAGATCATGCAAAAGGCGAGGATACCCGGGAATATCAACAGGCACGACCCGAACAAAGTTCCCCGCTGTTCAGCAAGCGTAAGGAAACCATAGTGAATATCGTTAGGACCCTCGACCACGAGCGAGATGGCGAGAAGTGAGAAGAACATGACGGGCGTAAGGAGAAAGAGAGTCGAGAATGGATTGGAGGTAGCCGGATGGCGAAGAAGAAGAATCTGGGTCAGGCCCCATCGGAAACCTGAAAAGAAAGCGGAAGCAATGACTAGACTGAATCCAACCGCATTGAAAGCGGTCTCGCCTGCTACCATCATCACTACACCGATCGTCATTGTAGCGATGATAAGGATCAGTTTGACAGAGGGAGATTCGAGGCGGAAAAGGAAAGCAAAGAGAAGAACGAAGGCGAGTGCAGATGATTTGCACATGGTAAGAAACGTCAAGGAGATAAATTTGAGGGACGTGTTGCCGAGGCCAATATCGAGTGATGTCGCAGCACCGCAAGGAACAAGGCGTGTTATATAGAAGGATTTTGTGAGCACCGGTTCAGATTCCTCGGGGTCTTCCACGGGCGATGCTGAGGGTGACCGCGGGGGATGTCTAGGGCGTAGAGAAGGAAATATCCAAAGCAAAAGAGCGGCAAGGGAGAATTGGACAGCCATGTGCAGGCTGGTGGTGAAGAGAGGAAAGGGGAAGACGATGTCATTTTCAGAGAACATCCATTTGTTGTACTGCAGGGAAAACACAATATTGTTAACTATCACTCATCGTTTCCCTGGACCGGCCGACAATAATTTGACAGGGATGTTTGCAGAGTACTTACGATGGAGATGGACAGGGAGAAAAAGTACCACAGCAGGATCAACCCAGCGTTCGCAAGCAGCTTGCGAGCGACGTTCCGATCAGCTAACCCTAGCGAGGGCAGACCGAATCGAGACGACTTGACATCAGCGATACGAGCATCCAACTTGCGACGTTGGCGACGCCGCCGCCGTCGCTGGCGTTTCTGGTTTGCTGTGAGACCCGTCTCCTCGTCATATTGGTCATCGTCCGAACTCATCACATCCAGCTCCCGATTTTCCAGGGCCGAGGACGATATCTCGGAAGAATCGGTATCCTCGGCTGTCAAGGGCTCCTGTTCGTCCCATTTGTTTGGAGCTGCGTCTCCATGCGGTCGCAGGCTATCATCCCTCCGTTCCGAGGAGCCCGGCTGCATTGAACGATTTGCGCCCGTGAGCACTGAGCTCCGCCGTCGGTGGTGCCCGTTGCCGGCGGGTGACAACCCCATTATCGGACTGGGATGGAGACGAGAATCGGAAGGGAGGAGGAGGTAGGCGAATCAAGTTGTGTCAGCCCCATGAGGGTGCGACCGGGGAGTGTGTACACACGACCGCGCACCCTTTTGTTGCGAGGAAGAAAGTAGAGAGAGAGAGAGAGGTACGGCTCGGCAGGGTGGTGCGGTCGGAGATGGACAAGGTCAAAGACCTCGAGGTTGATAGAAGAGTAAAAGGAAAGTGAAGGGGGAGATCAAGGAAAGGAAAGGTCACGCGGGGAGGGGGGAAATAGCAAGTCGGGGGAAGATAAAGTTAAAAGTTGAAGAAACACCGACGGGCGGTTGATGGGGGCAAAATAGAAGGAGAGTTAGAGGGCCCTTGGCACTCACTCAGGGCCTTGTTTTTACCGTCTCCCCTTATCGAGACTCCCCTTAGGCCTGAGGCCTTGTATGATTTGGCCCTTCAGGCGGTGGCCCTTCCTCCCCCTCTCGATTCCTCTTCTTTTCTCCTCTCTTAATCTCCTTCCTCACATTTGTGGTTTCTCACTGGCCGCCACCATAGCTCCACCCAGCTTTGGCTCCACCGTCCGGTCGATCCGGGGTCCAGAGGGCACAACAGACCCAAGGATTTATGCGGTGAGTCCAAGGCCCAGGCTTACCCCGCTACGATTGGCGGACTGTGACTTCCGATGAGGCTTGCTAGGTATTGCTGGTTATCGCCGGTTACCAGGATGAAGCTGGGGGACGAGCTCGTCGAGATTGGGAGAGGGTCAAGCGGTGGCCCATCTTGAAACAGATGGCTGCTTGAGGTCTCACGGCTGGTAGATTGCTGCAGATCCGCCTGTGCTTGGCAGACTTGACCGCGACGGACACGAGAGTGGCTTCGATTCGAAAAAAGCTGCATATATAGCCGCTCAAGATGCTGCCAGGACAAATGTGCCGGATGAATGAGCTTTGCGATAATGACGATGGGGCTCTCCGTACCAGTGCGGCTCCCTCCAATAGCCTGCCGCAATGAAAAGAACCGCTCAACCATCGATATGACCTCAGTCTGAATCCATTCTCATCATCATGTCATTGCCTCCCAGACCCCTCTGGCCAGTATCGGGGGTCATATATGCCCCCCTTGGCTGGTAGAACTTACGGTTGACTGAGGTTGCACTCCTTGAACCTCGCCCATATCCTGCGTGTCTTGATCTGTTAGCTGGATCGGTGATCAAGCCATTCTATCCATCTGGAATCGACTGTTGCGAGCCGCATCCTTGCTTGACTTATACTTCACTTCTTCCTCAAATCCAGTCTTCATCATCATTCTGATCAGTCATTATGGCTCAGAAACCCTCGTATAATGCCATTGAGGACTATGGTTTGATCGGGGACATGCACACATGTGCCCTGATCAGCAAGGCCGGTAGTCTGGATTATATGTGTTGGCCGGTCTTTGATTCCCCCACGGTCTTCTGTCGTCTTTTGGATGAGAAGAAGGGCGGCTTCTGGTCCGTGGAGCCTTCCAGGGCAATGGTTGATCCGCACAACAAACAGCGGTATCTACCATACTCGAATCTGCTCGAAACACGCTGGACCAATGAAGATGGAGTCGTGACTCTGCTGGACTACTTCCCTGTGACGCCGAAAAAGCTGGCTCAGTCGGGCCGACTGCTCTCGGGCTACTGTCCGTGCAATGAGCCCGGGGCTAACCGCTTCAAGTCGGGGCTGCAGCACTCGGGTGTGATCAGAAAGATCGAGTGTATGCGAGGCTCTATGGAGTTACAGGTGGAAGTGTTCCCGGCTTTTAATTATGCACGGGATACGCATATCGCTCGTGCAAAATTGGAAAATGACTTGACCAAGCACCGGTGCCAGACTGTCCATTTTGAGAGTGAGTCAGAGCGGCTGCAGCTCGATATCTTTGCCGATTCGCGGGAGCCAGACAAGCTCGGGCTCCCCAAGGCTAATTTCAGCATTGAGGAGCGACCGGGGGGAATGGGTCGCGGACTTGTGGCCCTGGTTCGCCTGTCCGAGGGACAAACTGTGCACTTCATACTGCATAGTCCCGAGAAGGCGGTGCCTGGCTCGGCTCTGATGGGAGCATATTTGGGAAAGATGGAGGAAGACACGTCTGACTACTGGACTGATTGGACTCGCAAGTGTGCATTCCGTGGACACTATCGAGAGACGGTTGAGCGAAGTCTCTTGATCTTGAAGTTACTCACCTACAAACCGACGGGAGCTATCGTTGCAGCGCCTACATTCTCACTCCCAGAAAATGTGGGTGGTGCCCGCAATTGGGACTATCGATACTCCTGGGTGCGCGACACAGCATTTACACTGTACGTCTTCCTGAAAATGGGATACAGCCGAGAGGCGGAAGACTACGTGAACTTTATCTTTGAACGGATCTTCCCGCATGCCGCACAGGACATTGAGCCCGGAAGCAAGCGACCCTTCTTGCCGCTGATGTTCACTATCCGGGGCGAGTACGACATTCCCGAACTGGAGCTGGACCACCTTGATGGGTACAAGGGCAGCAAGCCCGTCCGCATAGGTAACGCGGCTGTTTTCCACACGCAGCTCGATATCTATGGCGAACTCTTGGACAGCATCTACCTCTACAACAAGCACGGGAATCCAATCACGTATGACCAATGGGGTTCGATTCGCCGTATGGTGAATTATGTCATTGGTGTGAGACACCAAAAGGACATGTCCATTTGGGAGAGCCGGGGCCAAATCCAAAACTTCATCTACTCCAAGGTCATGATGTGGGTAGCCCTGGATCGTGGAATCCGTTTGGCAGAAAAGCGAGCCAGTCTGCCCTGTCCAGACCGATTCAAGTGGATCCAAGTGCGAGATGAACTGTACGACGAGATCATGGACAGAGGATACAACGCTGAGCGCGGCCATTTCTGTCAAAGCTACGAGAGCCGAGAGGTTCTTGATGCGTCGATTCTCATCGCGCCGTTGGTCTTCTTCGTGGCACCCAATGACCCACGATTCATCAGTACTCTCAAGCGCATTCTGCAAAGCCCGGAGAAGGAGGGCCTCTCCAGTGCTAAGATGGTATTCCGATATGACCACCTGAAAGCCAATGATGGTAAGTATTCCACCTCCCCGGATGTATCTTCACATCCTCCCACCCGACCCGTTACTGATGCCCATGTCGCACAGGCGTTGGCGGAGGCGAAGGTGCCTTCATCATGGTTACCTTCTGGCTCGTCGAATCAATGGCCCGTGTAAGTGCTCTCCAAGCCCCTGTCGTGCAACCCCGAGCATCATTTACAATTCCAATTCCAATTCCACTCCGTACACTAACCATGAACCCACCCGGGTTGCCTCGTCGCATATATAGGCCGCAAAGTACGATGTCCCCATTCCGAATCTTTGGAAACTTGCGCTCTCGCATTTTGACAATATCCTGTCTTATTCGAATCATCTGGGCATGTTTTCTGAAGAAGTGGCTATCTCTGGTGAGCAGATGGGTAATACGCCCCAGGCATTTAGTCATCTGGCTTGTATTAGTGCTGCTATGAATTTGGAGAGGTTGGGTCGTGAGGAGTAGATTGGTGGGAGTAGAGGTGCTTGGAGGCAGGCATCTCTCCCCTTAAAAATGTTTTTCAGTTTCAGTTTCTCCTTTGATAGATGGGCTTTGTTATTTTTAATTCCTTGAATTTGATTTGCTTTGGTTTCGTCTGATCTAAGTAATTTTTTGTGGAGTCTAGGCAGCTACGGCCTTCGCGTTGCGATCATTTTATGGGCCCTTTAACCAACGTAATGAATTACTTACCTAGTCTTGACTTCTAGGTTCTACTTACGATGGAGATAAATATCTTCCATCCCGAGTTAAAATAATTTAGTAGCAAAACGGAGCATACATTCTGCATTACGATCATTTTATCGGCCCTCCAGCCATCGTAATAAATTACTTACCTAGTCTTGCCTTCTAGGCTTTACTTGCGGTGGAGAAGTATATCTTTCGTCCCAGGTTAAAATAGTTTAGTAGCAGAACGGAGCATTCATTACAAGGAATGTATCTTTTGTGAGCCGGGCCGCGACTATGATTGGTCGGCTATCAGAGATTCCGCACATTCACTGATTAGCCTCCTACGAGCTGTTAATACTTATCTGGTGTATGCGACTTTAGTATATTGGGACCTAGGGTGTAGTTGGTTGTTCTTCGTGAGAATATTCTCTTTGTGACAGCGGCTTTTCTCTATTCTTTCTTGTTGATGATTCCATTACTAACGGCTGGTTAACCATTACCTATGACAGTTAACTTGTAACTACCTATTTAACCACCGGCTAGCCACTAGTAATTAATCCCAATCATTTTCTATGTTCCAATAGTACTGCTCTTTGTTAGCTAATACTAGTTTCGGCTAACTACCTCTGCTATTCAATTAGTTTGGCCGTCGCATTGTTAATCACCACTGCTGGTTCTGAAATACTATTGTAGCATACCTAGGTAACCATTACTACTCATTCAATGTCACTGCAAGCCAATCAAGATCTCAACCATCAACAGACTAGGCTTTCAGTACAATCGATGTGATGCCTACCAAGGATACCCTCGAGGATGGATCCTTCTGGGCAATCGATCCAGTGGAGACTGGGGCCGGGCCTTCAGGCGGCGCTTACATAAACCCCGCTTTGATGCGGGATCCGCGCGGGCTGATCCGTTGCCTCAACTCCACTAGGTTATTGCGTCCCCAAGACCTCGCCTTCGAGTCAATCCCGCTTCACCAACCAGCTCTGTGACGCGGCACGCGGGACTGGATTCTACAACTGGCCTGCTTCAGCTGTCTGTTGGCGCTGACTGCTGCCTCCTCAAACTGACTTAGCGCCTGAAATCCTCCAGTCTGCGCCCCCTCAATGGCGGAAGCAAGCTCGGATTGGGCTGATCGGCTTGTCTCCGATCAGGCGTTGTCGTCAGACGAGGAGGACTTTGTGTCAAGTCAAAGCACGGCGTCGGCAGACCGTGAATCTCGCACTCAAGAACGTCTGTCCTCCGCACTCGGAAGGCTCCATTTTGACACCCCGCAACTCGACAATCCGAGTTGTGATCATAGCGCGACTCGGACCTTCACACCTGACGCCGGCGCTCCGGTCCTCGATTCCTCGATGGCAAAGCCCGAGAGAAAGAAATTGGAGTTGCTTGATTTGCCTTTGGATGTGCTAAAGGACATCGTCAAAGAGGTTCGTAAAAGCTTTCGGATCATGTTCATAGATCATCAACCCACACGGAAGTTGGATCACAAAGGCTAATAGACGCGCTTGATAATAGGTGACACACACAAATGACCTCACCTCGCTTGCACTGACATGCTCCGCCCTCCATAACCTCACTATCCCCCACATGTACTCTCGCTTTGATATTGTCTGGCCTGAGTCGCTGAACCCATCGACGGAGGAATATTCCGGAGTAGATGCGTTATCTTATGGATTATCCACGCTGGTGATGGGGGAGGATGTATTCCATCAAATGCCGATGCCGAGATATGGCCAGTCCGCACACTCCTGTGCGCATTGTGGCTGTGGCGATCATGCTCACCGGCCTGCTGGTGACGAGGCGCAGGCTGTTATCCCCGGGTTTCACTCCCGACGAGGAAATTACTATGCGCAATACACCCGTACGTTCTCGATTGGCAATGGTCCGCTGAGCTGGGTCCAGGAATATTCCGTGAACAGGGAGGTGGGAAAGATGTTGGGGACACTGGTGGCCCTAGCCGTCGCGCGGATGGTCAATCTGGAGGCATTTATGTGGGACATGCCAACGGGGGTAGTCCGTGAGATCTGGCTTGCGCTTGCTTCCCTAGCAAACCGACCAGGTCACGAATGTCGACTGGAACGAGTCTGGGTGCGGTGGCATGATAACTCGGAGCATTCAATGCGCCCCAGTACCGCGCTATTGACATCGTTGCTGACTACCATGAAGAACACTCATATTGAACACCCTTCGCTATCAGTATTGCCACCGCTAAAGAGCGTGACGGTCCTTGACATAGACGAATCCGCTTATGTCGATGAGCTTGCTACTCTCATCGAACGGTCTCGTAATCGCTTGGCTGAACTGCGGATTGGGATTTCTTTAAAGGCTAGCATGTTACTGTGGGTCCGCTGTGCCAAGGAGACCGATAGTTCATTTACCCCTACCAAGCCGTGGCCCAAGGTTGGTGGAGTACTCAGCATCCTCTCCAAGCGTGATGAATCGGAGCATGAGGACGCCTCGACAAGTTCCTCCGCTGAAGAGTCGGTGCCCTCGGAACCTTCTACCTGTCCATCAACAACGGAAAAGCCTAAAGAAGGAGAGTCCGAGGTTCCCCAAGAGACGAACCCCTCACAGGGTGAAGAACAGCAATCTTCTGTACCAACTACTGAAAGTGGACCTCTATCATCCGCATGTGTTCCCAAGTCAACTTCCAAGACCCGTGTGCCTTACTATGGCTCTCAGCTGAACACTGATAAACTCAATCTCGAGGTCCTTGAGTTAGAGAGAGTCCCACTACATGTCCCAACTCTTCTGCCAACCATCGAGTGGACACGTCTGACTACTCTAACGTTGATGGCATGCACGGAACATGAGAATCTCTGGAGAGCCTTGCGCCGAAAATATGCACCTCCACCCGTACCGGCAAACAAGCAAAAATGCGATCGTCGCTCTAGTCATGAAGTCACGGAATACTCACTTAACCTCAAGCACTTGCGGACAGATAACGTGTCTGCCTATTTGATGCTGTTTATCAAGGAGGCCATTGCTCCAAATACCCTAGAGAGCGTGTACCTGCATGAAGCGCCGGGTTATGATTCAACCGTCCCGATAGATGCCATCTACAAACACATACTCCGCCGGCACCGACTGAGCCTGCGAAAGGTGCTCATCGACGCATCCGAGCGATTAGGCACGGGCTCCGACATCATGACAAATCGCTGGCACAAGTGGGTGCTCAATCAAGATATGATCTCGTTCGTCACGAGTGGCCGTATGCCGCAACTCCGGGAACTGGGAATGGCAATGGATCATCGGAACTGGCATCATTTCCTACAGCGACTCCCTAATATGTCACGACTCTATGCTCTCTATCTAACGCACATCGGCAACGCGGTCCATCAGAACCTGAAAGAACTTGCCCTCCAAGTCCTGGACATCGTCAGCATACGCCCTGACCTGAAAATCACCTACATCGGCCTACAAGCCAGATGCTACCAGATCCTCGAAGGAGGCCGTGACGGAAGCGAGCCGTACTTTGACGAAGCCCATGGAATTGATCACCCTTCAGATCTCGACGATGACGTAGAGGACGACTCTATGAGTCCAACTGGTGACGAGCATGATTCAAGCATGCCAGACGATTCTGACCGTCTATCTAGCGATCTCTCTGACGGGTACGACACCGAGCAGGAGGACGATGGTGTATCACGGGTGCGGTTCCGGCTGCAGGAGATCCTCTTTTACGACGACAAGATATCCGTTTTCAAGGCTCGCCATGGGGTGATTTAAGGGGGCGTCCTTCTTTTCTTTTCTTTCCGGGTTGCGTTGCTTTTATGTTTCTGGACATGGCTTCTGCTTAGCTCCTTTACATTTACAGGCGTCGGCAAGTTTGTGGTGCTTGGGAAACGCTTGGGCTTTGATGATTTCGTTTTAAGATACCATATGCACATCGCTTAGGATCAAATTTGTTTATTGTGAATATTTGGGACTTATGTAGTCGGACTGTATGCGCTAACATACGCTAGCTCTTGCCCCTAACCCCTAGCCCGTAGTTAAAAGTGAGAGCTAGCTAGGATATTTTGGCTTCCCTTGAAGCACTAAGCCTACTCTATTTCTGGAGAATTAAGCACTTCGGGTTTCAGGGTTGTATGTTGGGGGTAGCTATGGCGCTGAGAGACACCCCAAGGAGATTTCCACTACAAATAATTATTTAAGCTTCCACGAAGGTGACACGTGAGGACGTACAGGTTTTACAAGTATACATGCCACTATTTCGGGCTTGGATTAAAGAATCTAATTAAAATCACAGTTATGCTACATACCTAGCTAGCCTTATCGTCCTCTCATTTCAAGTGCTCACTTTTCATCTCAACCACAACCGTCTTGGTAATATTCGAATTCGGTCCCAAAATCCTCTCCTCACTACCGTGACGACCATTCCCCGCATTAGACCCCGAAATATTCACCTCCACTCCATTATAATTCTCATCATCTCGAGAACTAAGCTCAATGGCCCCCACAGTCCCGGATCTCATCGTTCTCCGGTTCTGAGATCTCGTCCCGTAGGCCCCGTAGATATTATTAGATGGGCCGTTGTAGGCGTTGCCGTAGGAGCGGGCGTAGGATGAACTTTTGAAGATTGTGGCGAACATGGGTCGAAGGGACGGGGCTGAGGCGGAGATTATGGCGACGTTGACTTCTATTTGGGACCAGAAGAGGATCTAGGAAGAGAAGAGATTAGTTAGTATTCGAGAGAGGTTGAAGGGATAGGGGAGCGGTTTAAGTACCTGGATTGCGTCGTAGGAGACGTCTTTTGTGACGGTGTATTTGTATAGACCGTTTAGACGGACGATTGAGGCTGCGGATGCGAATGTTCCGCTAAGGAAGATGGCGATGAGCGCATCTATGCACGTCAGTTTACGGTATTTTTAGGAGTTATATTTGTTGTTGTCAACTTACACTTTCTTCGACGGTGCAGGTTCAGCTTCATAAGCAGGGGCAATGGTATCACTAGGATGATAAGGTCTGTTAGGATGTTGATTCCCGCTGTTGAAAAGTATGTAGCGTGTAGATCGTTGCATCCCTCAGGGAATGATGGGTCCCATGCTCTCCATGGTTTACTGCGGCATTCAAAGGCCTAGAGTGATTAGTGTTAGTCGGTAACCTTAGCAGTTAGGAAATAAGAGGCTTTTTACATTGACGAAGACCACAATGATGGTATACGCGAATACAAAGAGGCCCACTCCAATGACACATTTCCGGAAGCGATTGACAGCGAAGATCCGATAGTATTGCGCCAAGATGCTGAACTTGACGAGTCCGATGGAAAGTGGGTAGACCAGCTGGTACACATACCAGTGCTTCAGTGTCGGGACGAGGATCTTGTCGAGAGGCAGATCTGCAATGTGTCGTCTGGAATAGATCAGTGGCGGAGCCCATGAAATTGAGATTGAAAAGAAAATGAGAGGCTCACCCTGTTCCGTAACTGATGTGGAATCCATTCATGATTCCCATTCCAATCGTAACTATCAACCCGCTCAGGATAAGATAATCATCAGGACCGACCTTGTGCACCAGGAAAATGCGACAATATAGCCTTAGAAGAACGCTGGTTGTTGACAGTAGTAGCAAGAATGACATGACTGCCAGGAACACTGGCTGCAGCGAACCATCACTCGCTGAGATGTAGGCCATGATCGACCAAACGAACACAAGCAGCAATGAAAACTCATGAGGCTAACAGTGACAGCGAGGACTTATCCCCATGGCTCAACTCAGAAGGATAGAGTCTTGGCTTATAGGATCCGGTGATTCGGTTCTCAAATCTCCCTACGACAAGGCAAGGGCCAGGATCCCCCAAAAATTACCGGGCCACATTATTCAACCCCTGTACGGAGTATGCCGGACAAAGACACAATTGCGATGTTTACGAGAGCTATTTCCATTTTGGTAGCGGACCAAACCGTGCTACAATTTTCATACTGCTAAATATTAGTCTGGACTCTCAAGTATTGCGCGTATATTCGCCAACGGCACTAAACCTTTCAGTCTCCATGGCCGAATTCCCAGCCAAGGATTCAAGTAGTCTGTCTTATATTTGCCCAGAACAGAGAGGATCTGCACAATATTTACTGTTCGGATGCGAGATTCTTTAGCTCCGCCAATAAGATAATTTGCAGGATGTGTTGAGCCCGGGATTTTCAATTTGGGCCAGCCTTCTTCGATGCCGTGGGCGCCGTGTGGGCGCAATTAGACCCATGAGCGGATATAAGCTATTCCCAAGAGAGTTAAGTTGACCAGGATCTCTCGATTTCCCATTGGCGCCCGTAAGGTTCCGGGGATCTCAGGGTCTTGGCGGGGCAGGGGTCTGCATCCTTCATTAGATTGATTTAGTCTGATTCGGATAAAACTTTGCAAGGAACATTCCGATGCGGGGGTCAATACGAAGTCACATCGCATACGTAGAGCCTAAGAAATTTCCTCCGTTTATTGTGTTTAGAGCACCCAAAACCAATTCTCAGCTCGCTTTCAATGCTAGGATTTCTCGTTTTATTAGTTTAATATCGCAGAAGCCCACTAGGAATCATGCCATATCCCGCCATATCTGATTTCCGCCCCCGCCAAGAAACTTCGCGGGAGGAGAAGCTCCATCTACGTAGCATGGGCAACGTGGACGTGCATACAATTCACGCCTGCTCATTGGCGGATCAATATATTGGCTCCTGAGGCTCCGCTCGCCAGCAGGATGTCTTAGATGAATTGCGTTTGTTCATCTCGCCACGCTTCTAGCTCAACGCGCTAGCAAGCCTCTCTCCAAGAGCCGGCCTTAGGGCTTCGGTTTTGACTGCCGAACGAGTGATAGCCTCAAGTCCCCCTTTTCAACGAGTAACCCCTCATAAAACCACGTCCTTATCCCTTCTGTTTCTTGCAAACGAGCTTGTGGATTCGTGTGCGTTTCAGAAAAAGCAAAAGCCAAGATGCATATTTCTAAATTCCTTTTGTCCTTCGGGGTTCTGCTCTTGACAGGGGAGTCCTTGGCTGCTCAATGCAAGAACCCTCCTCAACGTAAAGAATGGTAAGGGATTCCCCATTCCGAAGTCTCTTCAGGGAAGAGAGCTGACTGCTTATTAGGAGACAATTGTCCAAGTCTGAGCGTTTGGATTACCTCAATGCTGTGACTTGCTTGGCCAATAAGCCCGACGTCACTGGGGGTCTTCAAAATGCCACCAACTTGTTTCAGAGTTTCCAGGCAACTCATTCGGATCAGAACTCGGCGATTCACTGGGTGGTAAGTCCCACATAGGATCTCAACACTATCTTGGCTATGTCAGTGCTTTGTCGATCATGCTGATCACAGTCGATCAGGGCCACTTCGCGCTATGGCATCGATACTTTACCGCCACCTACGAGCGGTACCTGAGAGAGGTCTGCGGCTACAAGGGTGCCCAGCCGTAAGTATTGGCAGCTCTGGCCGATGCTATTAGTTATGATTTAGATGCTAACTAGCTTACCCCCTAGGTACTGGAACTGGGCCCTCGACGCATCTTCCACGGACAACTCCTCCATGGCTATCTATGAGACGGAAATTTTCGATAGCGATTATGGATTTGGTGGCAATGGAAAGCCCTTCCGGGAAGCGACTGCTGCTGAGAACTCCTTCAACCTCACCGGCCGTACCGGTGGTGGTTGTGTCCAAGACGGTCCTTTCCGCAAGGGCAAGTTCTTCTTGAACGTTGGAGAGCCCAAGGGTCAGTCTGACTGCCTGCGTCGTGATTGGATCCCTTGGATCATGAACTACTTTGGACGTCAAACTCTTGTGGATCACGTCGAGAGTCAGTCAGACTATACCTCCTTTGCCCGTGCCCTGGAGAACATCCCCAACTTCTCTCAGCCCAACATCCACGGCAGTGGTCATTTCGGTGTTGGTGGTGTTCTTGGCACACTTGGAAACTCTGCCCACAGCCCCGGTGGTAAGTCGATCTTCACTTAACTGGCAATGTTGTAAGTGAGCAGTTTCCTGACATATGTAGACCCTTTGTTCTTCCTGCACCACTGCAACCTTGATCGCGTCCTTTGGAACTGGCAGCAGAAGGATCTCCCCGCTCGTCTCCATGAGGTTGGTGGCCCTATTGAGCCACTTGACTACAGTGGTCAGAATGTCACCCTGGACTTTAAGGTTAACATTGGCAAACTCGCCGGCAATGCTACCTTGGAGCAGCTACTTAACACTCAGGGTGATGTTCTCTGCTATAACTACTATTCCCCACAGCTCGCTGCCTCGCAGGATGTTGGAAACTAAGATAGTTGGTATTCTAGTCGACGTGCCAGACGTGGATAGATGTTAACACACGTTGGGGTTAGATTTTGTATAACTAGAGTGAGGCTTCTTGGTCTTAATCTTAATCGGTTCGTTGTGATTTGTTAGAAGATAGGACTGCCACTGCTTCTCCCTATGCAGCTCCTGGATAAATCTGATTGGTTTTTTTTTTTTTTTTTTTTTGAAAATCTCAGTTTTTTGAACAAGTAATGAATTTGAACATTAGAAAAGGGGTAGTATTCTTTGTATCTATTACGTATGTGTTTGTCACCGGCCGAGTTCGCAGGAGCGTTCTTCGGACGGTTTAACCAGCCGACCAAGACTCTATAAACTCTCAAGCTTAGCTATTGTTTTTGGAATCGCAGTAAAATCACACCAATACCCCCCGCCAGCCTTGCACATGATATGTCCATTGAATCTTGTCGGTAAATGGCGTTGAAGAGAGTGGCCAAAGACAAGAGGTATAGCCGATCCCTTTACACCACCATCTACCACGCTGTCCTCCGTTCTCACTACAGCCGGTCCAAAGTCAAGCTCGCGCCATGCTCCGCACCAATTTGTAATCGCGTAGCTGAGACCAGGCGGCTCAATGACATGAAGTTGAAGTTGTCGCTTGTACATCTCCTTGCTAACTGCCAAACTGCGCTCGATGTTTGTCAACTTGAGCCCTTCGTTGACTGCGAGGCGGTTCTTGTAGGCCACTTCGGCTAATGGAGTCTTTGCGACTGGCAGTCGTGAAACAACAAATGAGAGGCCATTGTGAAGGTATGGTTTATCCGCCGGGAGAGCAGGATGCCGTCCTCGAATATTGAGAGATGTGCTCAGGGTCACCATCTTCGAGTCCTTTAGGCTCAGAAAAGCGAACTTAGCGAGAATAGCAGTGATCACATCTGCGTTTGATAGTGTAGCTGCATCCTCGCCATATTTTGCTTTCAATTTGACCATGCAGCGCTCACGTAGGTCATCTACAAGATTGACAGGCAAGAACAGGGTCTTTCGAACTTCTTTCGGGTCCCGAACGAATCCCGGGATGAAAGGGATGATTTTCGTAGCTCGCTCTCTGCTACTGAGGATGCGAAATTTGCCTTTCATTCGGAGCTCCTTCTGCGAGAGCTTTGGACCGTCGAGTGCATCTACTGAGAGCTCGACAAATTCAGGTGGAGTTTCGCCATTGAGCACCTGCATCCATGCATTGATCATGCTTCCAAAGCCTAGCTGATCGGAGACCGAATGTGGAAGGTTCAATGCGACTATCGTGCTGTCGGTGTACTTGGTGATGTGTACAAAAAGGAGAGGAGCATCGGGCTTCTCGAATTTGCGCTCCACGGGCCAAGTGGATGGAGTCCATTCTCTCTCCATATCTAGGATGTTGGATGACGCAAATGAAGGACCAGAGTCAGATTGAGGTGCTTGTGGTAGAAGACTGGTATCTCCCAAAGAGGAGTCTATTGTTTTGTTTGTCCACTCAAACAGGAGATAAGCCGGTGGGAATGGCTTCGGGAAACGATACTCGAGGTCGGACTTCTTAAGCTCAATTCGAGCTCCAATGAGGGGCAGATGCTCTCTAATAAGCCTATCGAGAGAATCCCGCATAGCTTCTTCATTGAGGTTCTCGCGTACGACGAGAAACAATAGGGATCGGATCTCTTCCAGGGGCCGCCATTGATCAAGGGGCTTCAGGGGGATAATTTGGACATCGCTGCGGACGTCGCCATTTGTTTTGACTGGACTCTTTCCATTGGTTTCAGACGCCATTGGTTGTGAATTCACTGTCAAGCTGTATGAAACCAAGTCGGAAGAACGGTATAGCAGCAAGCTTGAGATAAAGAAGTAATAAGGTCAGAGCAGGGCCGAAGGAAGTGGAGAATATGAGGAGCTGAGCTTAAGCAATCTGAATGCTGATCGATAGTAAGCCGGTGATTTACATTCGCCGGGCCGACTATTGATACGCTGACGCCACAAGATTGGGGGCCTAAGTTATGTACAGTATCTACAAGGGGCTTACGCTAACTCTAAATACGCCCGAACTAGTGAAGGCACGCGTCGTTCTGAGGATTACGCGTTACCATTTCACTCACTTAATTACTACTCGTGCTAAGATAAGTACTCTAAAGCCCTGGTACAATGATATTCTTCCTTTATCTTCATTTTACATGTTGGAAATGTGATAGATATAATTGCTTACACATTATATAACCAGGATTAAGCTTTCGGGCGGGACTCAGCTTGGCGTCGCTCCACTCCCATGCAAAGCGGGTATAGTTCTTCTGTTACTTTTTGAGCCAGGCCAATTCTGTTTCATCTTTCTAATAGTCACATGCGTTATAATCAATAGCAATATAACTGAGAGGTGTTCTACTCCATAAAAGTGCGATATTTTTCTGGGGATGATTTAGCCCAACGTATGCGTCGCCAGCCATATCGCCAAGAATATGTATGGGACTGGGGAGGAAACCCAAGAAGCAGAAGGGCGGTATAGAACAACGGGATTTCAGAAGCGAGGAAGAGGAAGAAAACAAGATCGTGGAAAAGTGCCCCATTTCCTTCAACGGCTCATATTTCGAGGATATAGCGTAGCGTGCCACTTCCAATCATGATGGAAACGTGTGCCGTACTGTTTATGCAGATTCAAGCCTGTTCTTCCGCAGGCGTTTATATATAGATACTAAAGCTCGAGGATCAAGATTCCCTTGGAGAAAGCTACCCTGCCTGTTAGAGATTTGGATTCCGTGACCATAATTGTGCGTAGGCCAGCTATGGAACTCGCGGCAGTCATTTGTCGCTTGGTAAGAAAGTCGTAGCTAGGTAAGGGCAATACCATATAAGGTAGTAGGGAAGTGGCTAGCTGATTTGTCTCTATAAGCCAAGGTGGACTTAAAGGTTCCGTTGCAAGTAACAAGAAAGAATGCCTAAATAGCTAATCCACCTTCTTCGTTTCTTGTCTAAGAAAGTCGCCCATGTTTGGCACAGAGCGTAACGAATCCGTCTAAGCCGAGAAACATAAAGTGTAGATATTGCCAAAAGCACAACCTAGATAAGGTCTTTTAAGTCCGTATGCGCTAGTAAAGATACTACTACACATATTAGATCCTCCTATCCCTGTCCAGGCGATAGCCTATAGCTGCTACGACTCGAGATTGATAACCATAGGAGTATTTATCCTCTCCGAGTCCATAATATCGTGTCTCAGCGGCATTCCAGTAGGGGTATAAGCTTGCTAACCTAAAGAGGTAATTAGGCAGTCGATAAGGTCTTTAAATACTTCTGCTACTTCACTACCCTTCACGTTGAACCTGTAGTGCATCCTCTTAGGTGCCGGAAGTGATCTGGGTGTGACAATAATTGAGTTGATTAGGAACTTCCTCATCGGAAATAAGGAGAGAGGATGTTAGGTCTATTTGAATCGTTATAGGTCATCTAACCTATTTAGCAGACTTCCACATATTGTCATGGAATGGCATGACATATATACCGTCTGAGCGATGCTTATAGAAGACGTTAAGAACGAAGCGGTAAGCAGGAGAGAGCTAGCAATCTTTTGAGAGGGAGACGGAGAGGGAAATATTAAATAGGGACAGAGAGAACAGGCTATCGAGGATCTTGACAAAGAAAGCAAATGCAACCAGCGCTGGTTAAAAATATACATTCCAACTAAGTGGTTTTTCGACTTAGTACTGAGCCTATTTAATTACCTATTAGTGCTTACCGCCTACATGTAGTTCTACCGTTTTACCATATTAAAAATCTTTTAACCTACTAATGTTTCCTCCTTCTTCTCCCGGCTTCCCTTTATTACTTCTTAGACCTTATACTTTCTTACTTCTATATTCTCTTCTACTTACCTGCTTTACCTAATCCTCTATAATTTATTAATTCTATACTCTACTCTTACTCATAAGGATTTTATTAATATAGGTAGAAACAGCCCTATAAGGAGAGCGACTAGACTCCCTCGTATGGCCCTACCCCTCGCCGTGAATAGACACCATCTGTGATATGCTCATCACACGACCACGAGCGACTATCGAAGCCATTGTCCACTCGTTTACTGTCGCTCTTTTAATGCCACTCATTTTAATATGTAGCAAAGAAGGCCGTGCTAGTGCTACAGAGGACTAAGTCCGGTAAGAGAACATAAGTCTTATTTATGCCAATGGCTGCTCTCCTATAACCGTCGTTTGTTACTAGCGTTGTGAAAAGCTGACAACCCCATATAGGCTGACGGATCTTTCCGAGATTAATTAAGTTTAGATACAGTATGAGTGAAGGTCTGTACGGTACCATACCGATTACATATTCGATATTAGGCTATAATAACATATACATTCCCTTAGCTAGTAGAGCCTTAGAACAATGTATATCGGTTAGCACTTCTTCTAATCTACTTAGGCGTAGATAGCCTAATGCTGCTCAACTGTATGTTAAGTTCTTTTTCGCCTTTTCTGCCTCTCCCACGCGGGTAACGCCCACTTCACTATATACTTCGACCTTAGGAGTTAGTCCGCTTTAGCTCGTTCTGCGGGTTCAAATGCCACCATAGCTCTAAGTAAGTCCTCAAAAGCACGTAGCTCACCACCTACAACGTCCCATTTACAAGTCTGCTCCGTCTCGCCACGGCCCATGTCACAGAGGGGCTGACGTAGACACCGGAAGATGGGAGTGCTAATACGGCGTCTGCTTTGTAAGGTCCACTTAGAAATCTCACCAGCTTAGCTAGATAAACGTTGGACTGGGGATAAATGGTACCAGGCTCCAAAACTCTCCCAAACGGATCTGCAATTATAGAAATAGCCGGTTCTAATGCTGCTAGGGCTTTTTCTTTTGATACCCCATGGATATGATCCTGGGCTGTTGCGAGGGAAGCATTCAACAGCCATCAACCATTTGCGGTGGCTGGGAGATGCGTAGTCAGAGGCTCAGTCATAATTAGCCAAGGAGAATATTGAGCTTTGCCATCACAGAAGCTGGGCCTGCCAAATGCTTTGTGGAGGATGTCATCAGCCAGGTCACTACAGTATCGAATGGTCGTTTATTTGGCCCGGTTTCTGAGGATCATTTCCTAATTGAATCATGCCTAAGGCTAACTTATCCAAGTCAGCAAGTGTGAGCCAGCTATAGTCGTTTGCCCCCCCCCCCCCCCCCCCCCCCCCGGTCTAAGCGCCGAGCGTCGCTTTACTGTGGCCCAGACGAAGCCTCTTCGCCTTTCGTGCTGATCCTCAAACTCAAGCCCACATCCAACCTGAGGCCAGTTTAGCTGCCATTTAGCTGCCATTTCAGCAAGATGGCACGCCGTCTCAGTCACCACGATTACACGGTCGGGTGGGTGTGCGCCTTGTCGTTCGAGCTTACTGCTGCACAGGAGATGCTTGACGAAGAACACCAAGACCTCCCTCCGAATATCAACGATTCAAATATATACACGCTTGGGTCTATAGGGGCGCACAATATTGTCCTCGCGTGTCTGCCCGCTGGCCAGACGGGTACTAACTCTGCTGCGGCAGTGGCTATGCAGATGAAGACGACGTTCCCGGCCATTCGATTTGGGCTGATGGTGGGAATCGGAGGCGGCGTTCCACGCAAGGAAGCGGATATCCGACTTGGTGATGTTGTTGTCAGCCAGCCTGGAAACGGTCATGGTGGGGTAGTGCAATATGACTTTGGAAAGTCGACGCTAAGCGGGTTCAAGCGGACGGGGTTCCTCAACGCTCCACCTACCGTCCTCCTCGCCGCTGTTACGAAGCTTCGATCCAACCTAGACCGAGGCAGATGTAGTCTGTCGCCACACCTGTCGAAGCTTAGTGACCTCCCCAAATTCGGCCGCGACCAAGCTGGAAACGATGTGCTATTCGAAGCGACGTACAATCATAGTGGAGAGGATAGTTGTTCGTCATGCGCGCCCGTGAGAAAGATACCGAGGGAGGAGCGGACTAACTATACACCTATGATTCACTATGGTACGATTGCTTCGGGGAACCAGGTAATGAGGGACGGTGTAGAGCGGGACAAGGTCAGCTCCGAATTCGAAGGAGTTCTCTGCTTTGAGATGGAGGCGGCCGGCCTGATGAATCATTTTCCGTGCCTGGTGATCCGCGGAATCTGTGACTACGCCGACTCGCATAAGAATAAGGAATGGCAGCCGTACGCGGCAGGAACAGCAGCGGCATACGCGAAGGAGCTGCTAGGTGTGATACCAGCGGCGGATGTGGTGGACACAAAAACGGTCGAGGAAGCACTACAGGGTCAGTGTTTCCACCATAACCCGAATCTCAGAAATCAGCCTCACGCGCCATAGAGCCGAAGCGTAGCTTCTCCCTCCCCTTGCCACGAAATCACAAGTTCGTCGGTCGAACTGCAGAGCTCTATACCCTGAAACGAAAACTCCTCGTGGATAAAGATTGCCGGAAGGTGGCACTCAGCGGCCTAGGTGGTATCGGCAAGACACAAGTCGCGCTACAATTCGCATACTCGGTCAAAGAAGATAATCCCGAATTCTCCATCTTTTGGGTACAATCCTTGAGTATGGAAACTTTTGAGCTAGGTTGCATGGAGATAGCGAGAGCATTAGGGATACGCCAAGGGCAGGAGGGTAATGAAGACGTGAAGATCCTAGTACGGCAACGTCTACGCGAAAGTACGGCAGGAAAGTGGTTGCTAATCGTCGACAACGCTGACGACCTTGACTTACTTCTTGGAACCCATCAAACAGACGGCTTGCTGGCCTTTCTGCCGGAAAGCGATGATGGCCTGACGATATTCACGACTCGACATGGAGCCGTAGCGCAATACCTGACGGGCAGCGACGTGGTTGAGATGGGGAAGATGACGGGACAGGAGACCGCGGAGTTGTTAGAGAAATCGTTAATTCGAAAATGCCCTTCCTACGACTACGAGGCCGTGATGAATCTTCTCGACGAGCTAGAATATCTCCCATTGGCTATTACTCAGGCGGCAGCATATATTAACACCAATAAAAGCTCCATATCCGAGTATTTACGGCTACTCAAGAAGACAGAGCAGGACGCTGTTGCGATTATGAGCACGGATTTTGGGGACAACACACGATACCCGAACTTGACAAATGCAGTCGCGAAGACATGGATGATAACCATCAACAAGATCCTCGAATGCGATACATTAGCGGCAGATCTCCTCGCATTTATATCTTGCATCGAATGGAGAGCAATCCCATTCCCCATTTTACCAGCATCTTACCCCGAAGCCCGGTTGGTAAGTGCCGTTGGTACACTCTGCTCCTTCTCGTTTCTGGAGAGGAGATACGAGGACGATAAGCTCGACATGCATAGACTAGTCCACTTGGCGACCAGAATATGGGTTAAGCAAAGCGGCCGTGAAGTAGAGACAAGAACAGCCGCATGGCAACACCTCTGCAAAGTATTTCCCTCCGGTGATTACGCTAAGCGTGAGATCTGGCGGGATTACCTACCGCATGTGGCCCGCATCGAGAAGGATCAGCAATGCCAAGGTACACAAGAACGGAGCGAGCTATGTTTGAAGGTCGGGCGGTGCCTATACGTTGATGGGCGGATAAAAGAAGCTATTCTCTGGCTGAAGGAATCTTGCGAGTGGAGGAATAGAAATCTTGCTCCAGATAACGTGGATCGGCTGTTCTCGCAACACGTGCTCGCTGTAGCATATCAAGCAAACGGGCAAGTTAAGGAGGCAATCAAGATACTAGAGCGTGTTGTCGCGATACAAGCGGAAGTACTCGCAGAAGACCATCCCGATCGACTAGCGTCGCAACACACTCTCGCTATAGCATATCGAGCAAACGGGCAAGTTAAGGAGGCAATCAAGATACTAGAGCGTGTTATCGCGATACAAGCGGAAGTACTCGCAGAAGACCATCCCGATCGACTAGCGTCGCAACACTCTCTCGCTCGAGCATATCAAGCAAACGGACAAGTCAAGGAGGCAGTCAAGCTGCTAGAGCGCGTTGTTGCGATACAAGCGGAAGTGCTCGCAGAAGACCATCCCGATCGATTAGTCTCGGAGAAGCTCCTTGCCACTTTCCATGAGGACCAGCTAAATGGATCTGAAACAAGGCAGGCATCTGCATCGTCTAGTGAGAATCTCGTGGCTAATGGTCAAGACAGGTGTCCGTTCAACCAAGCACCTGACCTTCCGCAAGCAATATCCGGTAACAGCGTCCCATTTGATACGACGCCAGATGATTTTCAGAAGATCAGGCACCGAAGTCCAGCAGCACTTTCACAAGAAGACTTCTCGCGCGGCGGTTAAAGGGTATTTTAAAGAGGGGCAAAAAGAGCTAGCGTTCGTGTTTTGCAAGCAGGGAGTCATTTTTACCGCAGGAGTAGGCTATAGGCAGCAAATCCCTAAATAAAATAGTTATTAGTGAGTACATAATGGTCTACCTAGAATCAGTTACGCCTCCCGTAGCAATACGTGCCTTTGGCTTAACTAAGATCCTGCTAGCAATACTTTCAAAGGCGGAGACACATGCTCAACACGGGATCAAAGCGTTGTGACTCAAGGTAGGATTTAGATATAGGATCGCTAGCTTAATGTAATGTGATGTCGAAGGAAGAAGTTAATCATAGTTTTCAATACTCAGGCCTATATGCCGGAAATGATCCCTAGCGCTTTCTTCTCTTGCCCCAACTTAATTAATACACCATTCGAGAAAAGGGGCGAATCCTTGGGTAGGATCTTCGGCATAGTAGCTCGAATTACGTCTTATGAAGCGCTTAAGCTCAGCAAAAACTTCTTCAATCGGATTCAGGTCCGGCGAGTATGGAGGCAGATAAACCAATTTGACACCCGCCTTGGCACACATGGTGTGGTGGAACGATGCATTGTCCATGACCAGGACAGATTTCGGCTCCGGCCATCTTCCGTAATGTCTCCAACCAAACACTGACGATGTCCGTTTGGACCATGAAACCAGAATTGGTCAAGTAGCAAGTAGCGGTGGAATGAATCGCTTTCCAGCATGAGTAAGGTTGCTCGTCATCAGGTAATGAAGGACATCCCCTTCGTGACTATCTGGCGAGGCTCTCGCAGTAAGTATTTGCAGCGATACATAGCGCCGGCGTTGCTCATCCCAGGCGAGCCAAATTGTTGAATATCCACCAATCCATGCTTGTGAACGACTGTGTAGCGGCCACTACAAAAGGTGTCTCCGATAAGAATTGGGTGATATCTGCCGGACACATAGTCCTCGAGACATTCGAAATCTACCTCAGGTGAAAAACATCTTCGATCGGTACATATGACGAGTCAGCCGTGGCATGAAGGATCGAAATCGGTGTTGTGACGGAGAGACTCTGCGGTGACGGCTGGTCTTTGGTGTGAATGAAAATCAGCGCGAGAATATGTCCTGATTACATCGGCGAGGTATCGCAAGTTGCGAGAATGGGAAGACAGTCTCCAGCCAGGCTTCATGTTCATGTTCATGTCTTTGCGGACCTCATCGAGTGACGCACCGTAGCTGGCAGTATTGAAAGGCGGCGTGGGGCTTCGGCGGTCGCTACATACCAAGGATGGAAGGTGGCCGAAAGCTCCGGACGTTTTCACCCTGGAACCTCCTCCTCGGCTTGATATGCTGGTGCTAGGCCGTTCAGCAAGTGAAGGCGGCTAACGATAGGCTACAACTGTCCCTTTTCAGCGATTTCATCCTGGTCGGCTTTGAAACTGTAAGCGTAAATAACCAGCGGCAGCACGGCGCAGTCCTCCTTTCTACCTTCCTTCCTTTCCTACGGTAGGGCTAGATCATATGACCCTAGTAGGTAGGAAGATAGAAAGGAAGAAGGAAAGAATGCGTATATAGAAGGACGGGAGGGTGGCCCTAATCGTATTTGAAAGGCGTGACGGCCATGGCAGAAATCAGGCCTACTTCTCGGGTGGTGTGAACAGCCTCGCCCTATCTTAAATTCTCTTAGACTAAATAGTAAACTTAAGCTTTATTGACCCTATATAGTAATATAGAAAAGGCACTATACGCGGCTATCATATTCTTTTTTTTGTATATATTTAACACTTGTAGGTACTCCGTTAGTGGAGTATCTAGCTGATGTGTCTCGAGCCAGGCCATATGCCCGGCCCTACAGCTTGTATTGGTTATCTCCACCAGTGGTCAGAGACAATTTCTCATCACAAACAGACAACCTACACTACATATTGGAACTTCAAAGTCATGTCTTCAGTCATGATTCCGGAAATGTCTCAAGAGTATGGTCAAAATCTATGCGGCAAACGATCCAAAGTACATATAGAAATTCTTTGCGTCAAGTCCTCAAGTCAAAACCTCGAAACTACCATTGTACAAGCTCTAACAAGTGGATATAATTGAACACCCGATGAAGATAAAGGAATTCTGTCGCTAAGTAACACATAGTATAACTCCCCTCAAGCATATTCCCGTTCAGCCAATACACTAGCCTCGATAGCATGTCTGCGTTCCCGCTCATTCTCGTTAGAGTTATCCTTGAAGACATGGTCCATCTGCTCGAGTGTGCGACCCATAGTCTCCGGCATGAAGAAGAAGGTCCAAACACCCGAGAGCACACAGAATACAGCGAAGAATACGTAGGCACCGTAGCCCGTGTCTTCAACCAAAGGTGGGGTGATGAGGCCGATGATGAAGTTGTTGAGCCAGTTAGAACAAGTAGAAATGGCGACACCCTTGGCGCGGAGGGAGGATGGGAAGATTTCTGAAACACATATTAGTATTGTTTAGTCAAAGATATTCAAGACATCTGGGCTTACCAGATGGCACTGCCCATGGAACGGGACCCCATGTGGCTCCGAAAGCAACCATGTAAAAGAGTAGAAAGGCTGCGCTGACCCATCCTTCTGTCCGATGCCCTTCCCAGTTAGGGCCAAATCGACCAACTAGAATAGCAATGACAATGTGTGAAATGGCCATTAGAACAGAGCCGCATAGCAAGAGCTTCCGACGACCCAAAGTATCCATAGTCCAGACACTAGTCGTCACGCCCACCAACTGCAGCACGTTCAAAACTCCAGACATGATAAGCTGCATGTTGGTATCAAAACCCATAGTCTTGAACAAACTGGGCGAGTAATAGATCAATGCATTAATTCCAACAAACTGCTGGAAGAACATGATACCAACACCGATATGCGTACGGCGCCAACAACCCCTCTTGAAGACATCAGCCCAAGAGGCCATCTCCAACAGGATTGAGTTCTTGGGGCCGCCACCTTGCAGGTCCGGATGCTTTTCCGCATTCATTTCCTGATGGAAGCGGACCTCGACTAGGATGTCCATGTACTCTTGGCGCACACGCCTGTCGGAGGTTGGCAGGTTGCGCAGTTTAGACAGGCTTTGGAGGGCTTCCTCGTTACGACCTTTTGAGGCGAGCCATCGTGGTGAGAACGGGAGGATGATAACACCGGCTGCAAGGATGAAGCCGGGGAGCATCTGTAAGAGGAAGGGTAGACGCCAGGCCCATTCGCCGGCCATGTACCGTGTTCCAAAAGTGATCCAGTAGGCAATCACGATGCCAAGCACGATGCAGAATTCTTCGAGAACAAGTAACGTTCCACGACATTCTGGGGGACCTAAAGTGGAGTGAAAAGAAAGCGTCAGACTCGGTGTCTCTGTCTCGAGGGTGAGGTAATAACAAACTTACTGATTTCACTGATATAGAGGGGAGCCACCATGGACAGCATACCAATCCCCAAACCTCCAATCAATCGAGCCACGACCAGCATCGGGTATCCAAATGCGGCAGTCTGGAGAATCGAGCCAATTGTGAAGATGACGACAGCCACCACGATAGAGTATCGACGGGAGATCTTGTCGGCGATCCATCCCTGATTCAGAGCACCCAGCAGTGCACCCAACTCAATCATCGCGGTCAAAAGTCCCTTCCAGAAACCAGCACCGGAGCCCCCGACCCGCGGGAATTCCTCCAAGAACTGGTCCATCACCAGAATGACCGACACCACACCCTGATCATAGCCAAAGACGAGACCACCCAATGTCGAACAGGCAGCACACATCAAAACGAATGGGTTGCTGATTAGACCCCGCAATCCCGGGGGGCCATACGGCTCCCTGTCCGCCGTGATATCTTCGGCATGATGCGTGAAGCCTTCCACGGGATCGAGATCAGCCTTGTCTACTGCCATGTCTGCCATTCCCACGGTAAACAAGATCTATAAGATCGGACTAGAAGAGAACAGATGAAAAAGGAAGTACTCGGCGGTTTTGACCTCTTTTGAGGAGGAAATTTCCGTTTCTGTCCAACGGCTTGGATCTGGCGTCCCCAGCGGTCATATTTATACCAACCTCAGCTCGCTCTTTGCTGTTCTGCGTGGCTCTGGCCAGGTTTCCCCCTTCCCCTCCCTTCTCTGACCAGACGCGGTCGATTTGCACCAACGGAAGCACCATGATTGGATGCTGGTGACACCAAAGACCGATTCCGGTGTTGCGGGGCCCTGCACAACCCGAGTGTCCTCCAGCCCAGCCAGAGATGACGGCAGTGCGCGGGTTACCGGTCGCCGGGGCCGCAAAGGGGAATCGACGGGGATGATCTCCCAAGTCGCGCGTGGGGAAAATACGGGGAAACTGGCCGTTCAATCGTGTGAGACTGATTGGTTGTTGGGGACGGCTATTGGAAAAAAGGCCATTTGTATCCACGCCGACTGGTTGGAGAAAGCCTATTTGGAGACAATGAGACATGAGTGGATGAACAGGGGGACCTTGAATCTGGGGAAGGCCATCTTTTGATGCTATCATGCTATTTCCATGATAGCACGAGACTTGATGGTAGGTAGTATTGGAGACGTGCTGCTGCTACGAGCGCATGCTGGTGACTTGTGAGTCTCTTCATGAACCTCTACCACACACGAGACTGATTATCATAATCTATGAAACACACTGAAGCTCTGAAGCAGCCTGGACACCAAGATTGAGAGCATCTAACTTTCCTCAACTCCGGCCGATGTGGATACTCCTCGGGCTCTCTCCGAGAGTTTTGTTCTGTTGCCCAGACCAGTCCGGGTTGGGACTAAATGCCGCAAGACGAAGATCTCCTGCAGAGGAGCATCGAGCACATTCGAGGGGACTCGGGGGTGTGATAGGGTATTCGAATATCCGGGCAGACATACCTCGTTCGGCCCGGTTGTCGTCGGCGAGCATGATGACATCCCGCGACATCAACGGATGATGTTCACATCTGATCGCAGCAGACCTGACCTACGAATGTGAATCATTATTACTTGCAAGTTCACAAGTTCACTGCTAACTTGAGTGTCGCAGTGTCTTTCCCCATGGGGTCCGATTTAACGTGTCCACCTGGAATTCTCACGCCAGTTGGGGTATGGCCCGTTCAGGTGCCGTTACTAAAGCGCCCCTCTTCCGCAGTGGAGTTGGGCTTGTCATCATTCGGAACACGGTCCCCGAAACCAAAGTCTCTCATCCTCTCAGCCTCTCTCTCCCCGTTCGTCTTTTCCCTTTTCTCCTTGAACGGATACCAGTTTCCGGTCCTCCCAGCGACGTCACTCCTGCTGCTCACCCCCCGCAGTCCAGCCACCGTTCGCCCGAGAGCCCCCCCCCTGCACAAAGAAAGTACTCAAGTCTCCCGCCAAACACTATCCCCAGGTACCACCCGGAACCATGGCTTCCTTCATGGAAGAGCTGTGGTCCAGCGTCTTCACTCCGGGACCCACCCGGACGTTGTTGATCGCAACCAACGCGACTTTCGCCGCCCTTCAGCTCGTCCTCTTCGTCCTCGGCCTAGCCACCTACAGCATCCATTTCGTTGTATTGTCGGTGCTGTGCGCGGGGCTATGGTATTCCATCAACTGGTTCGCGCACGAGGTGCGCCTCGCACAGGCAGCCCAGGAAGCCGAAAGGAAAAAGCAGGCCGAGACAGAGGCCGGGTCCGCCGACAGGAAGAAGGATTCCGGCGCGGTGGACAGTGCCGACAGCGAGACAGAGACCGAATCCTTTGCAGGGTCAAAGAAGGTTCCTACATCGTCCGCTGTCGCGACGGGCAGTGAGACTGCCTCGGCCAGACTGCAACCCACCGAGCGCGATACCAAGAAGCGGCCGAGTACGGGCGGCGATAGTTCTGGATACGGGAGCACTGATAGCGAGTGGGAGAAGGTGGAGGATAACAAGGCGTGAGGTCATGAAAGAGCACACACACTCTGGGGGGTGGGCTTTTTGGACAGCTCCAAGCCCAGCGAAACTTGCGGGCCCCTGGGGAATGAATGAGGTTCTTATTTGGGCTCTTATTTTCCTCGCTTTACGGACTTCATGTCCGAGGTGACACGACACGACTTGATACGACTAGTCTCGCATTTTGTTCTGCGTCGGACTTCAGTTCCGTCGCACACAGCGTTCATCAGCGCTTTATCTCACTCGTCTTTTTCATGGGCGCATTCGTTGTTGCATTCCCCTTGCCGTTTTGGAGTCACCCCGCGTTTCTTACAGAGTCAACCTCGGCACGCTCTGAGTAGCATTTCAGCTATTACAGTAGAGATATTTCTCCTATAGTCTATTTTCACTATCTATACCCCCACCAAATGTTACTTTTTGGAAGCACCATCTCCATGTAGATATCTAGAAGGTCAACTAGAACGAGGGTCACGGATCACGTGACCACGCGCCGCTTTCGAAGTTACGAACCTCCAAACACCATTCGTTGATGATTTGTTGATCGCACACCTTCAGCTTCCCGCAAGTTGGGCTTGCTGAACATCGTATTCAGCTTCCTTCCACCATGCTGAACGTACTCCAACCAAAATGATATCCTCCGTCCCTCTCAATGCGGGCCGTCGACGCGTATTCGGCTCCGTCTTCTCCCCCGCGTCACTACAAGCTCGGCCACCCTTCGAATCTAGCTCTGAGCTCGACCAAACACAACTCGCTTCGTTCCAATCCACGGGTTCTTCCTCGACAGTGAGAACGGCCTCTTTGGCCTCGCCTCAGCAAGAACGATCTCCTGATGCCCCGCGAGATAGAGAAATATGGGAGCAGGCCTGGTCGGCAGCAACCGCCTTTTTGGCCGTCCCGAACCAGGGATTCGCCCCGATTTACGATGCACGACAGACGGATGGAAGTGAGGCGTTGAAGGACTGGAATCGTTTGAGTCCCCCGTCTAAGGAGACTGCCGATGCACTGTCGTATCTGGCAGCTACCATCCAGCAGGGTAACACCGGATATGGAGTGACTGCTGGTTCGAAGAGTCTGATCGATTGGTATGGCGACGAGATACGGCGGCACTTTCTGGTCAATCTTCGGAGTGGCCTACATGAGGTATGATCGGGGATTTGAACGCGTGGAACCATTGGTACTAACGAATGCAGCTCTTGAAAACGCCGGGGAAAGAAAGTCTCTTGCGAACAATTGTGGACTGCTTGCAGCTTGCTCGTCGCATCTATCTCGCCCCCGTCGTTCATTATCTATTGCCTCTTCTTCAAGCGCAGAAACAAGGAAGAGTCTTGACACAGTTGCAGCGAGGATTCCATACGGTGGTCTCTTATTCATTGCCATGGTCCGAGATATCACCACTTCTGGGTGGGGAGCTGGCACAGGATGCATTGATCATTTTGGGTATCGACACCCTGCTCGAAAATACGGCTGAGGCCGAAGCCGAAGATGAAGGCGGCGAGGATGAGATGGAAGTCGATCGACAATACTCAGTCTCGTACGCAGATTGGAAGAATGAGGACTCGGAGACGCGTGCTCATTTGATGACCGAGGGTGAGCATGATCAGGTTACAATGGCTCGGGATCGGCTTCTCGCCTTTCTCAACGGTCTGCAGCAGGTCGGGCTTGGCGGGGACAAAGCTCAAAAAGTGTTCGCCAGCGTGATGAATATTATGATGACCGAGTTTGTCCGCGCCGCCTACACGGGTCAATGGGAGACACCATCCTCAGTCCCACAGCACTTACGCCATTGGATTGAGAATGTCTTTGCTCGACTGGCCGTACAGGTTCTGGCGATCATACACACACCTCACGCCGGAGGCCAACCTTCCAGCCCTCTGGATGTCAGCTTTGGCGACGTGGAAAAGTGGCAGGAGATGGGCGTTGCTCGCTTAGGCGCTCTTCGCACCAGCGAGCTCTTCGATGTCATCGTTGACTGGCCTGCGAGTAGCGGCGCTGTAGATGATCTGCGACACTTCACCACCCATCCTGCCGCCCGAGCTCATGTCACACAGTCGTTTATTACGATTTTGAACCAGCGATTGTTACACCCTGGTGCCTCGACGGTTGAGATCTTGCAATTGTACATTTCTATCATTCGGGCTTTCCACCTGCTAGACCCCAAAGGCGTTCTCTTGGATCGGATTGCTCGGCCAATTCGACGGTATCTGCGAGACAGAGATGACACCATCAAGGTTATCGTTAGCGGGCTGCTGGCCGAGCCAGGGGCGACTAGCTCAAAGACCCCGTCATATGCCAATGAAACCCTTGTTGAGCTGTCCACCGAGTTATCCAAGGCCCATCAGCTCTCCATGGAAACCAATACCAGTGAATTAGACTGGGATGATATGAACTGGATGCCCGATCCCGTCGACGCAGCACCAGACTATCGCAAATCAAAGAGCTCTGACGTTATCGATAGCCTGGTCAGCTTATTTGACTCCAAAGAAACATTCGTCAAGGAACTCCAAACCCTGCTCAGCGACCGACTTCTTCAAAAGCGCGAGCATTATGATCAAGAAATCTCAGTCCTCGAGTTGCTTAAGGTGCGTTTCGGGGACTCTGCGCTACAAGCATGCGAAGTTATGCTCCGCGATATTTCAGACTCTGGTCGCGTCGACGAGGTTATTCGCAAAGACCAAGGTCTACTCAGACCGCCTACTCGCTTGTTCAACAAGCGACCGCCAGAGCCACCGGTCCCAGACATCCATGCGAAGATCCTCTCTCGCTTCTTCTGGCCCGAAATCCAAGACCAAGACTTCAAGATCCCCGACGAAATCACCTCTCTACAACGCCGCTATGCAACTGGCTTCGAAGCACTCAAAGCCTCCCGCAAACTCACCTGGCGCAACGGGCTAGGTCAAGTCCTTGTTGAACTGCAACTAGGCGACCGCGCATTCTCCGAAGAGGTCACCACCTGGCAAGCAACCGTCATCCACGCCTTCCACTCCGACCACGACGAAGGGGCCACCCGAACCGTCCCCAACCTAGCCGAACAACTAGAGATGACACCCACCCTCGTCCGCTCCGCCTGCCTATTCTGGGTAAGCAAGCGCATCCTCACTGAATCCTCACGCGACGAATTCAGCGTCCTGGAATACCTCCCCTCCGACGACGAAGATGAATTTGGCATCCCTGGTGGCGACGGTGGCGACGCAGACATGCAATCCGGCGATGCATCTAACGCCGCTGCCGCTGCCGAAGCGGCTGCAGCGGCTGCAGCGAAAGAAGCTGCTGAAGCGGCGGCTATGGAGAAGATGAACCTTTATTGGCAGTTCATCGTCGGTATGCTGACGAATCAGGGCGCGATGCCGCTACAGCGGATTGTTATGATGCTGAGTATTGTGGTGCCTGGCGGGTTTCCGTTTAGTAATGAGGAGTTGAGGGAGTTTTTGGCGGGGATGGTTTCTAGGGGCAAATTGGAGATTGTTAGTGGGGGGAATTATAAGCTTGTGCATTGATGATGGCTTGGCTTTGCATTTGATTGGCGTTGGGATTTGGGGGTTGTGTCTTGCCTATACCCTAGGTGTATGAATTATGATTTTGCTTGATTTTGAAAGAATAGGTGTTTTTCTGGTGGACAACAGGGTTTATTCAAGTAGCATAGAACTGGACCCAGGTAAATACATGATCGCGTTCCCAGTGCTAGTCATGCCTTCTTTTTCGGCTAGACTTCCTGGTTAGATGTTCTCCATATGGTAGTCGGTCTACGTGGGTATATGCCATGATCTCTTACTGCCTAGATTTACATCGCCATATTCTAACCTTGCTATGTGTGACAGGGCTGAACTACTGCCTGTAGTGCACATTCTTGGCAACCGGGTCTCCGTCTCGGGGGCATTTTACGGTTGTACAATCCGCGAGACGGGAAGACTGTCATCTAATCGAACCCCACCTGAAGTCCCCAAGCTCAGACTTATGATCTTTCTAATTTTGCCTCAGAGTGCGGGGTTTAAGAAGGGAAATTCTTATGAATTGATTCATCAACGGTCATATAACAATCAGCTCAACCACCTCCATCCGGCACAACAAGACTGTGGCCGTCAGTATCTTACAGTTGTACACTACACACACCACAAGATGTCTTTCTCCCTCGCCAGAATGACCAGGGCATCATTGTCCATGAAGCCCTCATCCTTCAAAACCAACCTGACCCTTCGCTCTCTGAGCACCCGCGCAACCACCTACAAACTCAACAACGGCATATCCATTCCAGCCCTGGGTTTTGGCACATTCCAAGACCCCGATTCCCAGGAAGAAACCGTCAGTCGAGCCCTCCAAAAGGGCATGCGCCTAATCGACACAGCCCGTGTCTACGACGTCGAATCGCAAGTCGGAAAGGGAATCAAGAAGAGCGGAATTCCCCGCGAAGAAATCTTCCTCGGCACGAAGCTATGGTGTAACGATTACCACCCCGAAGACGTGGAGCGCGCATTGGACGATTCCCTCCGTGACCTCGATACTCCATACGTGGATCTCCTGTTGATGCACTACCCGTGTACATTCAAGCGCGGTCCCGAGCGGTTCCCTCGCGATGCCGAGGGGAGGATGATTGCAGGCGAAACGAGCTACGTGGATACCTGGAAGGCAATGGAGAAACTCGTGAAGACCGGAAAGGTCAAGTCGATCGGTGTTTCGAACTTTAGCAAAGGCGAGATCGAGACTTTAATCAAGGAATCGTCCACAGTACGCATTTCACTTCAATTCCAAGATAATAAAAGACTAACTAACCCACCCCAGGTCCCAGCCGTCCACCAAATGGAAGTCCACCCATACCTCCAACAAAAATCCTTCAACGCATGGCTTAAAGCCCAAGGCATCCACGTCGTCCAATTCAGTCCATTGGGAAACATGAACGATTTCTACCGCCAAACCGGCTGGTCCAAGCAAGTCTCCCACATGATGCGCGTAATCGACCAACCCATCCTCAAAGAAATTGGTGAAAAGTACGGGAAAAGTCCCGTGCAGGTCGTTCTTGCTTGGGGGATTAATAACGGTCGCTCTGTTATCCCAAAGAGTGTGGTTGATTGGCAGATTGAGGAGAATTTGGAGGCGGATTTCCGGCTGGAGGAGGGGGATATGGAGAGGATTGCGACTTTAGATGCGAAGGCGAGATTCAATGATCCGAGTTTGGATTATGAGTGGCGGTTGTATAGTGATCTTGAGGGGATTGAGGGGACTGTTAGGGGGAAGACTCATTAGGGGTGGTTTGGTTGGATAGATTTTAGATTATGGGTCCTGGGATAGTGCGAATTTGAGAGTTTGTTTTCTTGGGCAATAATTTGAAGAAGGAAAGGCTTTTCCAACCTATGATCTTGGTTAAAATGGAGGGTGATTGCAATGGAGTAGATTCCAAGGACACCTCGAGGTTCAGCCAGAGACTTAACCGAGTAATCTTCGAGCAATAAAGGCAATACACGATATCTTAGCAAGGTCCTTGCTAAATTTAAATTCATTTACGACATTGATAATGGAACCCCCAAATAAATGGATCTGTCCTTCCATTGATTCTCTCCTCTGATGGCTCTATAATTCGGGTTGTACTGTACTCATAGATGTAAACTTCAGTATGACTAGACCCAGGTTGTGAGAATTAACTTTATTTACTCTAAATACACTCTCTACTCTATCAATCTCCGGTTCAAGGCAAAGTGAAACCACCATCAACCACAATGTTCGACCCAGTCATGTAACTAGAAGCATCCGATGCACAGAAAAGATATGCCTGTGCGCGGTTCTCAGATTAGCTCGTACTTACAGAAGAAGACGTGGGAGATCTCTTACCCCTTTCAATTCGTACGGAGAAGCCATTCTGCGAGCGGGGGTCTGATCCAGCCACTTGTTACGCATTTCCTCAGACGCATAAGCTGTCATATTGGTCTCCATATAACCAGGGGAGACACAATTCACTCGACAGAAATCAATCCACTCAACCGCTAGTGACCGGGCAAGCTGCAGAACGCCAGCCTTTGAAGCATTGTACTATATTCGATGTCAGATCCATGCTTTCCAAGAACACAATACCGATTTCAAGGAATATCCAAAGATTAGGACTTACCGAAGCCTGTCGTTGGGGCGTGTTGACCAATGATGCACTGACAGAAGCCGTGAAAACAACATTACCGAATCCCTGTTGCTTGAAGATCTTCGCAGCAGCTTGTGCAGTATAGAATGCCCCGTTGACATTGACATCCATAACCTCCAGGAACTCCTCCTGCGTGTAGTCCTCGCCCGCATGTTCAGAACAAATCCCAGCATTAGCCACAATCACGTCTAATTTTCCGAAATCCTTCACAATCTGATCCACAGCCGCATAAATTTCGTTTGGCATGGTGACATCAGCCCGATAGGCGCGGGCCTTTGTCTTGTAATTAGATGCCAGTCGCTCTGCGGTCGCAGGGGCTGTCTCAGTCGTTCGGTAGATGATAGCAATCTAATTCAATTAGTATCAGTCCATAGTCCTTCCATATTGTGACAACGAAGCTGCCTTGTGGAATACATACTTGAGCACCAGCCTCGGCATATCCAGTAGCCACAGCTAGACCGATTCCTCGGGCACCACCTATGGATTGTTAGTGCTAGCTCTCTCTTGAAATGGGGTGGACTTCCCTGTAATTGCGACAACCTTGCCAGTCAAATCGAAAAGCTTTTGCACTGGCGCATCTTGAGGCTTGTAGAGAACCATTTTGTTGATAGCTTACTTGTACGACTCCAGTATGGGAGAATGAACTAATCGTTTTATACTTCGCCTCTCTAACTCTCGCTTTTTGAGTGCTATTTTGACTGGTTTATTCCTATAGATGTCAAACGCATCCAAGTAGTTCTTAAGAGCACCGTCTCGCGGATTCCCACCGTCTCGGGGTCCCTATTGTCGGTGCCGAGTTGTGCTTGGAGCCCCGCTTGCTAAACCTTGGACTCGAGTCGGGTGCGTATATGATCGCCAGCCTGCTTCTCCGCATTAGTGGCTGTTCGGCCTGGGGTATCCGAGTCCCCGGATTCTTTGAGGTGTTTCACTTAATCATACGTCAAGATACATTCTAGTATATAAAAGGCATGCGAGTAGGTGATCTAGAAGGTGTAGGATATTCCTCCCGCCCCGAAAAGAAGCAGTTTTTTCTTTCTTCAAATCGACACAGACTCTCAATTTGTCAACATCTTATAGCTTTTTTCTTTGAATATTTTATCAAGATTAAGTGACGAGCGAGCAAAATGGAAGATCGCGACAATGATTGAGGGCCGACGGCTCCTGATCGCGGTCAACGTCCTTGCCGGTCTAGCAATTTTCTTCTTCGGTGAGTCTTTTGGTTACCCACTATTGGGTTTTGTTCTGCATGGGAAGTTTCTGACCTTTCGCAAGGCTACGATCAAGGTATGATGGGTGGAGTAAATGACTCCCCTGCATACGTACGCCGGATGGGATTGGGATACCAAGAAAATGGATCAATCACCGTTACAAATACTCTACTACAAGGAGGTATTGTCTCTGTCTACTATCTCGGGACATTGATTGGATGCTTCATGGGTGGCTATGTCAGTGATAAATTGGGTCGAATCAAGTCCCTGGGGTTTGGTGCTGCATGGGGTATTATCGGTGCCGCCCTTCAATGCACAGCAATGAACCCCACCTGGATGATTGTGTCTCGACTGATCAATGGCGTCGGAACTGGCATACTGAATGCGACCGTCCCAGTCTATGGCTCTGAACTTGCCGACTACGAGACTCGTGGAATGTTTATCGCCATGGAATTCACACTCAACATCGTCGGCGTCGTTGTGGCATACTGGCTAGGCTTTGGACTGAGCTACATCGACAATGGCCAGTCAGAATTCCAGTGGAGATTCCCAATTGCGTTCCAAATTATCATGTTGCTTCTTCTTCTTACTGGATGCTGGTTCTTCCCGGAATCTCCCCGTTGGCTGTGCATGATGGGACGTCGTGAGGAAGCGCTTTACATCCTCAAGCGCATTCGGGGCACTGCAAATGAACGTGCGGCAATCCTCGAAATGCGAGAAATCGAAGCTATCGTTGAGCTAGAGAAGGAATCCGAGGGAAACATCACCTACTTCGATATGTTGCTTGGTACCGGCAATGAGGATTTGCACATAGCACGCAGAGTGCAGCTTGTGATCTGGCTACAGATTCTACAGAGCTGGACCGGCATTGCCGGCGTGACTATGTATGCACCGAGTAAGTAACCTCCACCTTTTTGACCACCTCGCAGAATACTGATCTACCTGAAGCAATTTTCAAAATTGCAGGTTTCGATTCTCAAAAGACAATGTGGATCTCAGGATTGAACAACATTTTTTACTCATTTGCAACTCTTCTTTGCGTTTTTACTCTTGATCGAATCGGCCGTCGGTGGACGCTCTGGTGGGGTGCGGCAGGACAAGCCATTGCCATGTTCCTCGCAGGAGGTCTCGCTCGAGGTGGATTGGATCACCCGGATAATCAAGGGCCTTGGGGTATTGCAGCCACATCAATGGTGTACCTTTATACGTTCATCTTCGGCGCTACTTGGCTCACCGTCCCGTGGCTCTATCCCGCTGAGATATTTCCCTTGAAGGTTCGAGCGAAGGGAAATGCATGGGGTGTTGTTGGCTGGAGTTTAGGCAATGGGTATGTCTCTTGAAGCCTTTCAAGTTGATATCAGTGAAATAGCCATCTAACATAATCCAGATCCCTTACTTTAGCTCTTCCTTATATCTTTGGAGCCATTGGAGAGAACACTCTTCACGTGTTTGGTGCTGTGAATCTTATCAGTATCCCGATTGGTGAGTTCTCACTTGGTGTTGCTTTCCATTTGAACGGCGATTAACTGATGAAAATACAGTATGGGCCTTCTACCCAGAGTCAAGCCAACGCACCTTAGAGGAGATTGACTTACTTTTTGCCGCTAACTCCCCTTGGGCCTGGAAAGCCGAGTCTAACTTCAAGATACTGAAAGCTGAAAATCCAGCTATTGGTGGTGCTCGTGGCCGAAATAGCATTTTGGAAGCAGAGAAAGGACTTGAAAATGGATTCAATCCGGAAACCGAACATGACGAGACTGTGTCAAGCCGCTAGAAAGTTTTCTGCCGAGGAAGTTTGAAAATACGACAAGAACAACCAACGAAGCGTATTTATACCTAAAGAAAGCTCTTAATTGAATGGACAGCCAGTTTGCGCAATATCCTTCAACATAGGGACCATGAAATTTGCCAGTTTTAGCAGTGACATGCACAAGCACGAAGTTACACTGAGCTTGTAGAATGGCCATCCCAATTCATTCAATATATCCATATTTTCAAAAAAAAAAAAAAAAAAAAAAAAAAAAGGGGGCCCGGTTCAAAAGCGTGAATCTGGAGACCAGGACCGGTTTAACCGGAAGGTAAGCTTAACTTCCTTATTCTTGAAAGGGCTGTTTGAGTATGCGTTTGGCAGTCTTGTTTGACGATTCAGGCATGATTTCTTGTTTTATTGATTAGATAGGGACTAATAAGACAATCTTCAACCCATACCTGGACTTCAAACTGATGGAACATGTTACTGTCTACTTTTCAAGGTAAATATACAGGTACACACTTGATGGTACTCGTAACAGATACAAAGAAGCTCCATTCTATTTAACTAGAAAATCTCGAGGGTAAATAACATATTCACGATCAGATAATCGTGTACATTTCATATTTCAAATATTACTCAAACGATCAGCAAACTGTTCAAGTTAGTCAGCTGTCCGAACTCAATCGAGTCTTTTGAGAGTACTTACTGCCAATAACACCGTTCACCGGAATATCAATAGAGGTAGTGTAGCTCGCGGCATCGCTCAGAAGGTACACGTAGGCACCCCCAAGCTCCTGGACCTCGGCCAACCTAGGGAAACCACCGTAATACTTGAGCTGTTGCTCCCAGTCAGGCTGCTGAGGCACCCAGTATGTCATAGCAGTCTTGACCAATCCGGGAGACACACTGTTCACCCGGATACCATATTGTGCCCATTCCATTGCCAAGGTGTGGGTCATGTTTCGAACGCCGGCCTTTGATGCGCCATAAGGAGTGGAGGGGACACGCTGAAATATAAATTATCAATATTTTAGATAGAGAGAGGGAGGGGAACCGGGGTCGCATACCTTATTAGGACGGTACGAGGCCATTGAAGCTGTAAAGACGACGGACCCCTTGATGCCGAGCTTAATGAACGCACGAGCGGCAGCGCGAGCCGTGTAAAAGGCACCAAAGAGGTTGACATTGAACAAGCTCTCAATCTCTTCTTTGGTGAAATCAAGCGCGGCCTTGTGATGTGTACGACCGGCATTAACTACCATGCCGTGCAGTGCGCCAGCTTCCTCAATTATCTTATCGATCGCTGCGGTGATAGTGGCCTCCTCGGTTACGTTGGCATTAAGAGCAAAGATTTGGCCAGGGTAACGCTTAGCAACAGCAGCAAAGTCGTCACCAGTCTCTCCAATGTCAATAGAGTAGACCTTAGCAGCACCGTTAGAAAGACAGCATTCCGCGATGCCCAGACCGATTCCTCGGTTGGCGCCGGTGACTTTGTAAATATTGCATTAGCTAGGTCTTCATTGCACTTCTCGAGAAGTTTCTAGCACATACTAGCGATCACCTTTCCGCCCAGAGTGACTTGGGTCTGGGGAGTGTCTGCTTGGGGAGTGGTAGACTCTGTGGAAGTTGCGGCGGGAGACATGGTGAGAGTGGATGTTTTGGCGGATGTATGCGTACAGTATATCACGAGGAAGAGTTGAATGATCACGGAGGGAAAATTGAAGTCTCAAAGAGGGACTTATAAACAAGACATTTCTCTTCGGGACAATTCATCTGCCAGTCATCTGTAGATCACGCACCAAGCAAGATGCTCCACTCTAAACAGCTCGAGTCGGTGGTCCCCCGAGACGGCGAAGATGCTGGGGAAGCGGCCCCCGAGACGAGACGAAATGACCCACTTCATCCACCCCCTACACTCCGATTGGACTCGATGTTATAATTACTAGGCTTTTGACGAGGAGAGAATGAGGGGGTGAAAGCTTTCCCCGGTCGAGATTGTGACGCGCCTGCGGGGCAAAGGTCTGGAGAATTGTTATCATCCAACATTCCTTCCTCTTCATGGTATAACTGTTAGAAGATCCAGGCATCTTGTTCTTTTCTCTTCAGTGAAATCTCCGAATTCTTGTCAGAATCGCCATACTTTCTCGACAATGGCTGCCCTGCCTGCGTGGAACCTTCTCAAAGGCAAGACTGCCGCAATTACCGGTGGAACAACCGGAATTGGTCGTGCGATAGTGTTGGCTTTCATCACACAAGGCTGCAATGTCGCTGTCAATCATCTAGGCCTTCCTAAAGATGATGCGCATCGCCACAGTCTTATCGAAGAAGTCAAGGCAATCGAGAACAAGGGAATCAAAGCTGGCAAGATCTTAGAACTTGCAGGCGATGTGACCAATCCACAGACTAGCACAGACTTGGTCAATGAAGCTGTGTCTGAATGGGGAAAATTGGATATCTTTGTTGCCAATGCCGGGGTGTTCAAGCAAGCAGAATTCCTGACGTGAGTAGCATTTCCGCAGACCAGCCGCGGTCCAGCACGCGATGGATCTCATTTGTTTGCAGTTAAATACAGTGCTGACAAGGTATTAGAATTGAACCGTCTCTCCTCGATCACAGCGTGGACGTCAATATTAAAGGCTGCTTCTATTCGTGTCAAGCAGCCGCTCGCCAAATGGTAAAACAAGGACATGGCGGTTCGATCATCGGAATTTCCTCTGTCAGTGCTCTACTAGGCGGTGGCTTGCAAACCCACTATACTCCTACAAAAGCTGCAATCTTGTCGATGATGCAGTCCATGGCGATTTCTCTTGGAAAGGACAAGATCCGGTGCAATGCCTTGATGCCTGGCACCATCGCGACCCAGCTGGCCGACCACGACATGAAGAACCCTACCAAGAAAGCTGCCCTGGAAGCGCGTATTCCTCTCGGTCGCATTGGCGACCCCGAAGATATGGCGGGCCCTGCTGTTTTCTTGGCTTGCGAGGAGATGAGCCGTTATGTAAACGCCACGGGTGTGTTGGCTGATGGTGGAATGTACAGTAATCTGCAGTAGCCGATGTTGCCATGTCTTTTTTTTTGCGATCATATTCGATAGACTTTGGAATCCATATCTTTGGATCATTCCCAAATTTGATCCGTTATTTTGCCAATAAAATCGAATAGAGCAACAAACATAATAAGCCTTTCTATATGAGTCTTCACTGTCTACGTCAAGATGCGCAGCTAAAGTACCAAGATTCAGCTCACGTCTGAGACTACTGTAAGTTACACTCGCAGAAGCTTCCCTGTACTGGTTAAGCTTCCTAACCGCCGGCCTCAATTTTAGAGAATAAGACTAAGGTGAGTACATTTTCAATCTTACGGAGCCCACCTCTCGAATACAGTCTTTTCAAAAAGTGTTGTTTCCATTATTTGCCATTATATCCGTATCCCTCTATGCCTTTCCAGCAGATCCACTAATCTCAATCCACTTGATGGTTAGGTCTGCCACCTTTTGAATACCTTCCTCAATCAGCTGAGTATGTGGCATCTTGTCTACATTTGCTCGAAGGTGCTCGTAATAATCATCCAGTACCAGTCGGTTCACATTGATCTTTGTGACACCAGCAGCCACGCAGCGCTTCATCAGTTCTGGCTCAAACCCATTAGTGCCGTGAAGAGCAAGGTTGACACGCCCCTTTGCCTGTTGGCGAATTTTCTCAAATCTATGTCCAAGTTAGCATTAAAGGCATCCCCGCAGTGCGTAGAATCTTCAACTAACCTTTCAAAGTCCAACTGGGGCCCGCGTGACCCATATTCACCATGGACATTACCAAACGCAGGTGCAAGAACATCCACGCCGGTAGCAACAAACTCGTCAACCTCCTCAGCCGTAGTCATACAAGCTTCCAGTCCTGCGGTATCCATGACTCCATCTTCCCCTCCTTCGATGCGACCGGGCTCCGCTTCGGTAACTTTCTGTCGCTCGTTGCAATATTGTACCAGCTCGCGCGTCTTCGATAGGTTGACCTCCTTATCATAGTGCGACATATCGACCATGATACTGTCGAATGGTAGCTCTGCTGCGCGCTTGATGATGTCTTCTGACTGCGCATGATCGAGATGAATACTGATGGGTACGCTTGCACGTTTCGCGGCGTCCGCAGCGGTGCGGATCAACAAGCCATTGGTAGCTTCGATAGCCCAGGGGAAGAATTGGATGATTAGAGGTGAATGTGCTGTTTCTGCAGCCTTTACAAGGCCAAGCACTTGTTCGATATTGTATGCGATCGCAGCGATGACTCCGTAGCCACCGGCTTCTGCATCGCGCAGAATACGCTTATGGCAGTTGGACTCTTTCCAAGACATTTTGCGGGTGAGATTTGTTTGTTGTGGGTAGTAGACTGGGCTTTCTCGAAGGATTTAAATATGTCTCCACAGAATAATAATGAGTCGTACGGTCCATCATCATAATACTACATTTGCCGATCTATCTCGAAATGCAGGGCGCTTAGAATAAACAAATTGGGCCATAGTGGGGGTACCATGGCCCCGAGACGAGCATTGAAGCTGCCCCGCCATCGGCCTTTCTCAGAGTGTCCAAATAGGCCTCTCTACGCGGTGATGAGTTCCCTCCAAATTTCATTCGTCATCTATGAATATTGATCTGCTTCTTTTGAGACAATAATAGCCCTATCGTGAACCAGCTTCAGTCATCGCTCCTCCATCTACCTTCAGCCATAACTTCGCAAATCCAATTCGATATTAGACGCATCCCACGAGAATCAAATCATGAGCCAACCATTCGAGTCGCACAGCCCGCAATTCAACACAATTGTTGGTTCATCACCAACGTTGGCGCTCTTAGCAGAGAACCAAGACTATCCCTTCGCTCACGAGGCTGGAGTCTTCTTCCCCGATACCAACAACCTATATATTACCAGCAACCGATGCATCGATTCCGACGGGAACCAAAAGGTTCACATTACACGCGTGGATCTGAATACAGAACCAGTTATCTGTAAAGTGATCACTCCTCCTATCCCCATGGGAAATGGAGGAATAAACTATGGCAAAAATCATGTTCTGTTTTGCGCCCAAGGATCCATGACCGAACCCAGTGGACTGTATCGGATGTCCACAGAACCCCCTTACCAGACCGAGCTTTTGAAAGCAGATTTCCTAAATCGGCCTTTCAACTCTGTTAATGATGTGGTTGTGCACTCGGATGGATCTGTCTGGTTCACCGATCCCATCTACGGCTTCGAACAGGGCTATCGACCCACACCTAGTCTGCCTAACCAGGTGTATAGGTGGTGTCCCGATACTGGGGCGATCCGGGCTGTGGCTGATGGATTTGGGAGGCCGAATGGTATCTGTTTCTCGCCCGATGAGAAGGCAGTATACATCACCGACACAGACCGAGTTCATGGCGACGGTACTGTCAATGATCAGCGTGTCTCGTCTATGTAAGATATGAAAATTCCCGCGCCCGCCACAAGTTTGTCTGGGGGGTCTTGCTGACTTTCATTCCAAGTTATGCTTTCGATGTTACGAAAATACATGGAGAGCCGTTCCTTGTTAATCGAAGACTATTTGCTATGGCAGCTGAAGGCATTCCGGACGGAATCAAATGTGATTGCAACGGCAACGTTTACAGTGGCTGTGGGGATGGAATTAATGTTTGGTCACCCGGCGGTGTTCTCTTAGGACGTATCTTGATTGAGGGTGGTATTGCGAACTTTTGCTTCGGAAAAGGTGGCGAGATATTTGCTTTGAATGAGCATAAATTGTGGCGGGTTCAATTAAGAGCAGATGTAAAGGGTGCATTGCTGGGTATATAACGGATTTCGTCATCTAATAATAGAACAATAGCAATACATCATAATATCCGTTCCACAAAAATTCCTAAAACACTGATGCTCATCCAGCCGGACTACCCGTCAAAGGCCCATGCCTTTCCCATATGTGTTGCAGCTCATTGCCCAAAGACCTAGTTGGCCAGCCAGTTCGGTCCCGACATAGATCAAGAAGCTCCACTATTGCCCATCGTGTCTGAGTGTCTTGGGTAAACATTCCAGCTATTATGTAGTCAGCACAACTTCTCCCATCTTGGATCGTAAGTCACACACCTATGAATAAGGCTTGCGATGACATTAAGCTTGACGCATTATCCGTCAAGGTCATTGCAATGCCACCAATATCATCAATGCAACGCTTTATGACACTTTGTCGTTCAATGAACTCGTCAAGCCCTCCTAAGCTAGGCTCATGGGCAAGCAATAGGAGGTTCGATACATTGAAAAATTGCATTGCCACCCCTGTACGATCTCATTAGCATGTACTTTGCATTATCAACGTTGAGAACCTACCAAACGCAGCGGGGCGAATCCAGATTGGCCGAAAGCATTTTGCGCGATCGCGCGGGCCAAGCGGCAGTGGAGTGAACTCGATAGTCAAATGTCGACGCCAGTCATCAAGCATAGTGCAAAGACGCATCCCCTCATCAATTCGACTCTGAATATTCTCTTTCGTACTGACATCCGCACAATAACTGATCACCTTCGCCGTGATATAGATCGATCGCATAGCGAGTTCGTGGGGTAATAGAGAGGAGAGTGGTTTTTGAGGAACCCAAAATGTAAGAGTCTTGCGTTTCTCTCGAAAAGCAGCCCAGATATCCTGGCAAAGCCATGCCCACCAAACAGCAGAGTGGAGTCCCCCACACTCGCCGTGGATGGTTTGGGATCGCTGAATCAGGAATACGCCTTCCAGATGCCGCTCCCAGTCATTTGTGGAGTTGTCGAGCATCTCGTACGCGGAGATTATCAGAGTGGTTGCGAGGAGCTCCAAGCTCGTCTTGTAGCTGGAATATTGCATCGCTTTTTGAACGTAGTGTAGAGTTTGGTAGTAATATTGAAGTGCGGCTTCCTCTTTATTGGGCATGTTTTCATTATCCAGTCGAGGGTTAAGAGCTAGGTGGCGAGATGCGAGACCGAGGATGGCATTCATCAACCCAGCATTATGTATCTATAAAAGTGAGTCAATAATGTGGGCGGGTAATTCTTTGCAAAAGAAAGATGGATGTACCGCTAAGTGCGCGACGAATGTCGAAAACTGTGTGGTTGTATCAAATAGATCAATCTATACAGGACCAGTTAGTCTGGAATACGGAGGGAAAGTGCATCAGCTACTTACCCATGGGCACACCTGGTGCACAAAATGTTCAAATAATGTTTGCTCAGCTGGCAAAAGCTCGATCGCCTTCGGTGACTGCCAGATTTTCTCTTCGTCTAACGTACTTGATACATCCGCCGAGCCATAGGTTGCATTGCTAGCATGAGGGCTATCCAAAACTTGAGTCGCACGTTGAAGTGAACTAGGCTCTTCGGAACCCTCAGCCCCAGAATGGTCAAAGGTCAATATTTGAGTCGACCGAAAATGAGGATGGTTCGCCAAATGTGGACTATCCCGAGCTGCATCGCTTGCTAGAAGACCAAACCATTGCACTGCCGCAAATGACGCATTTGATGGTGATAGATAGCTATGTTGGTATGCGACTGGGCTGTGGTTTGACACAAGGTCATTGGCTGATGAATGGTCAAGCAAGTCTGTGTTAGGCAGGGTGCTAATTGCACCCGAGGTGGGCCATGATACATCAATCGGTTCGGTATGTTCGTCAGTTACAGGACCGGGGCCCGAGCCTCTTGGAATGTGAGGCTCTTCCTCTGCAGCAAGCACCGGCTGCGGCGTGCCTGTCGCAGCCACAGCCTCTGTATTTTCCTTGTCTGGCGCCGGAGGATTAACGCTACGACTAGCCGGAGTAGCATAATCGCAGAGCTTATCCTTTCTCGCACAAGGACCACATATCGGCTTGACTTCATCACATTTCAAATGTCTTTTCCGACATGTTATGCTACAACAATCGTATTAGGCAATGCATAACATACGTGCCGCAAGCAAGGTACGGTATTCACTCACCAGCCCTTCGTAGTCCTCAGGCCACGCCCTCGAGACTTCCGTATGCGGGGTCGTCTCAAAGGGACTCGCGGTGTCATCGTCGCGGTATCATCAGCGCTGCAGATGCTGGGGTCAAGATTCGAGTCCATCGTGGCTTCCATCGCTAGTAAGTTCTGGTCCCCGTCTCGGGACATCGCCTTCTCAGTAGTAGTCACGTGGTGTCTGGGGCCTCCATATCCCCGCACGGCTTGTTGGTCTAGAGATTCAATGCGGCGAATACCATGTTAGATAGTATTGATTTACGGTTTAAGAAAAAAGCATTGGAGATCAGGAACCAAGTGGGGGACAATTGTATTCCAATTATCCATTCCCTTCGTGATGAGATCTTCCAAGGTTGATCTACCCCCAGGACAGCGACCGTATAGGTAGCAATATATATCGTGTCCGTGGGGGTTTCTCCAGTTCAAATCAGTACACCGAGTGCAACCTTATTGTATGCATTTTACAACATTGTACAAGTTATTCTCTATGAAATAGGTATTTGGCGCAAATTCTTTCGTACGCTCCAAAATCAAAAGCTCCCATTGGCTATGAAGGAGGTATACCTAGTTGTGCATTTGTTATGGGATGCGCCTAAGCACGCATCAGCAAGGCTACCAGCCAACCTTACGAACAAGGCTCTATGTTCTGTCAATAGTTACCTAGCGTATAGAGATAAAGTTCCGAGAAGAGAATAATAGGTGTAGCCTGATTCTATAGTAATTGCGAATACCTAGTAGGTTTATTTGTTTACCATTTCCATCAGGCGACATCCACGCAGCAGAGCATTCCATTTACGAAGACTGTACCGAAAGTGCAAAAAGAAATAAAGGTATCATTATAACATAATTTATATCATCACATCAGCCAGCTCCTACTCCGCGTCCAACGGCGCAACAGGCGGCTGATCATCCACCTGAATACCACCCCCTCTTCTTCTCATTACTATCCCAAAACGGCAACTTCCAACCACCCTCACTCTCGGGCGTCGCCAACCACAGCCGCATAAGATGACGTCTGGGAGTAGGCGGGGCATGATCCGTATACGACGTGCGGGCATGCAAAATATGCGAATTGGCCAAAAACTGAATATCGCCCACATCCAGAATCATATGCAGCGAGAGACGATTGCAGGTTTCTTCCAGCACCTTCAGGGCTTCCTGCTGGGCGTCGGAGAGGGGAGGGATGATTCCTGCGTCGGAGAATCGGGCGAGAGAGCGGACGTAGTAGGGGTCCCATTTTGTGTAGACACGGCCGTTTTCGCCGCGCTCGAGGTAGACGACGCTTGTGCGGATGTATTCGTCTTGGCCTTTGCTGGTTTCGCCTTTCCGGTCGAAGTACCAGATTGGTTCGGTGAGGGTTTTGAGGACGTCGGGGCGTTCGATGGCTAGGGTGTTGTAGACGTGGTGGGAGGAGACGATGTCGGATTCGCCGCCTTCCAGGGCTTTGGCAATGCAGAGGAGGCCCACGATGTCGGAGTCGTCGGCGTGGAAGAATTGACTGTTGGCAAACGGTTAGAAGATCGTCCAGACAGAGTGAATCTGAGGGAAGCTCGCAGGACATACCGAGCGTTTGTGCGGTAGATGCGCACTTTGTCGATCTGGGTCGAGTCCTCGCCCAGATCCTTGACGTGACCAAGGACGTGGCCGCGGCTATTCTGGCTGACGAAATAGCCCAGGTAGGTGCCCAGGCCCATGTATGCGACGGCAGACTTGTGGTTGCCCCATTGTTCGACGGGGAAACCCTTGAATAGAATAAATCCCTTCCCATCAATGATATCCTTGCGCAGAGCCTCCAAGTACTCCGCAAGTTTGGGCAGATTAAAGTTGGACTATGTCGCGTTAGCTAACTGAATCATGTACCTCGGCCTGGCCGTGAAACCTACCTTGGAGATACCAGTGAGGGGCGTCTTGGAAGCAAGGAAAGCATCCGCTGCAGTACTCAGCTCCTCCACTTGCTCCTCGGTGAATCTGTGCGTCCACTTCTCCGGGTTCTCGCGGTAATCCTCAGCCTTCCACACCGTCGGGCCGGTGATCTCGCGGGGGAAGCCATCAAAGGGCACAATGTGATCGTAAAGCGGGGGGTGTTGGCCTGTCGTCTTCAAGCCATCGGGGAAGATATCCAGCGGGGCAGAACTGGCCAGGTTATGGGGCGCTGTAGGAAGCGCATCTGTAAGAGCGGGAGCCATGATGGACGCGAAATGCAAACGAAGATGCTTTTGGGGGATGCAAGAAAAAGAGGCTTGAAATTATGTAGTGAATATTGCAAGTCAATGGAGGCGCTAGTCCTATTTATAATGTGACAGTCCCGGCCGAGATTTGAATGATGAGATGGAATGTCGTCTTCCTTGTGACGGTAATCCGAGGTGAGGAATCGAGTAGCCAGTATGGCGTGCGAGGGTTGCGATCCACACTCTCATAGGATGAGGCATGGCGAATTGGAATTCCAATAGGGTGAAACGGGTTTCACGGGTCTGAAGGGCGGAACAGCATTGCGAAATTCATGGCGAATGGAGTTACAAGCCCTTGGAGACTGCGCTTGACTGGATGATAGGAGTTGATTGGGAGACTTGGGCGGGGGATGGCGCAATTGGCGGGGGTCGATGTTGTGATGCGACCGCGCTTGGGGACTTGGAGGATGTAGATTGCTGCAGGAAGAGAACAACCAAGACGGATAGTTGTCTTTCGCTGTAGAAATAAATATATTTCTAAATGTTAGTATAACCTGCAAGTCACATATATGCAGTTGGTTGGTTGGGGGTCAATAATCGTACTTGAGATGTTGAATTAAAGATCAAACAAAGACGACCCGGCTGGTCGGCACTAACCCGACAGCCCGATATTTCCAGAATTTATGGAACTAGCTAAACATCAACAGAGCAACATCTCGATTACGTGGGCAACTTTCTTCAGAAACCACTCGGCCGATAATTATAGTTTCCCCCATATTCGAACATTCCGTTGAGCATCTAGTCTCTACTGTAGATGGTGGACGATCGTCCTGCATCATCCAACACTGCTCGTGGTTGGCTGGTTGATTTTTGAGTCTTAAGGGGTGCTTACCTTCTCGGGCGAGAAGAAATTAGATCTGATAAATGTGAAAGATAAGATGGTCGTTGCATATTGTCAATTAGGCTTACTTGGATAATTCTCATTGGCTGCTTATTACTATGGTTGTGGTGTCTCTGTTAAGTATAGTAGGGTTCGCTCTGGACCCCTCGCCGTGTATAAGACTAAATGGATCTTTGTAACTCTTAGAATTTGACAACATACGGTGAAAAAGAGACTAGATTCCTCTAATACCCTCCGCTCTCACATATGTGCAAATGATTATGCCTCTTTCATCGCTCAAAGAGGACGTGCTTCTTTAATCGCCATGTTGGAACATTGTCTGCTACTTATGTTGGTTCTGGGCATTCCAGAACATGAATTCTGTCATATTTGGTCCTTTAACCTATCTGGTTACGTGTGCCTAGCTGTGCCGTGACATTTTACCTTGATGATAGCCACCTATTGAATAAGAATGCCGACCCTTCAAATCCCCCTCCAAACTACGACTCACGATTGACAAGCAAGCCTAGTAGCGGTTCACTTCTATCCCCTCGGTTTAACCTCCAATGACTAACAAAATCGGACCCTGTTGCGAGGCCCCAAACTCTGGCCAATGCAAATCAGGATTGAGCTTCCTCTTTCGGGGTGCCACCCCACCAGATTACTCACGAGAACCACCAGAACGTCCTTATCAGGCATTCGGATGCGGTCCGACGCCCTATCAACGACAATCGGCTCGCCAGCCCGGTGATTCATCCAACAATCTCTTTGAAAACAGTCCTCTGTGAACAGTTTTAGAATCGTAGTCAATTCCATACTATTTCCTCATTGAACACCTTGATCGTCCATCATATACACATCTATCACATCTATACCTTCCCCCTCTAACGCGGCACATCTCCATCTCTCCGCAATCCAGCACATGGCCCCGCACCGCATCCATGTCGCGGTCCTAGACACCGACGTCCCCTGTCTCCCCGTCTACGCCAAACGCGGCCTCTACAGCTCCCAATTCCGCGTCCTCCTCCAAGCAGCCGCAACCCGCATCAACGAACAAGCCGAGACCCCCCTCCAAGACCCTCTAGCCGTACACATCACGGCCTTTGATGCCGTCGGCGGCTCACTGCCCCCTCTCGACTCACTCCGCGCACACCCACGTACGTCGACCGAGTCCCAAAATGGACCCTTCGGTGTCATCGACGCCATCCTGATTACTGGATCTGCCGCGTCGGCATATGACCCGTTCCCATGGATCGCGGATGTACAATCGTTCATTCAAACGGTTTATGCAAAGTACCCGCTAGTGAAGATCTTCGGGTCTTGCTTCGGCCACCAAATTATCGCGCAAGCACTACTTTCCCCGTCTACGAGCGGCGAGAACATAAACAACACGTTCAACGTCCAGCCCGCAACGACGGGCTTTGAAATGGGTATTCACCCTATCACCCTGGACCCTGCGTTCACCGCGCACTTCCCACCGCTAGCCCGGGTGTCTTCCAAAGGACCCTTTCGCATCCAGTTAATTCACGGCGATCAAGTGCTTCCCACTCCACAGGCCGTCGCGGCAGCTACCTCTGCAGGAGAGACATCCGTCTCTCTGCCAACGCCGTGGATTAACATTGGCTCGAGCGCGGCCTGTCCAATCCAGGGACTGTACTACCCCGGTCGAATCCTGACGTATCAGGGTCATTTTGAATTCGATACTTTTGGGAACAGCGAGTTGTCGCGGGCATTCGGGCGGCGGATGGGCTGGTCTAAGGCTGTGATTGATGAGTATGATGGCCAGATTAATGTTTCAAGGGTTGCTGGAGAGCAGGATGATGATGATTCCAAGGCTGCGGCAGAGGCGGTGGTGCTTTTCTTTGCGGGGGTAGATCAGAGCACGAAGTTTGAGGGTGTGCAGGTTGCGGATGGGTTGATGACGCCGCCTCTTGAGGAGATTTCTGGCTGAGTTACAGGGCTGAAGGGGCTTTGAAGGATTTGTTTTGTTTGAGCTCCCTACGAGCCTTGTCAGATCTTTTTTTCCGACGCGCTGCATGTCGAGTTTTGATGGGGATCACGAGCTGCCATTGCGGTAAGCCCCTCGATAGTGGCGAGAATTGGGTTGCTTGGGGATAGTCGCTGGACCCTGCGTTTCTGCGACACGTTTGGTATGTCGAATCTGCAGGGAGGGCAAGAAGGAAAGATCCTGCATATACGATACCCTACAGATGGAGCTGTATAACGTCGAAATCTGTTTCAGACTCACCCCTCCGGTAAAGCTGCATGGAGCGATGGTATGGTTAATGTATTGAACGAAATGGCGGGACAAGTTGCCTCGTACGCAAGATCAATCGAGATATGTGCTTGAATAATGTGAAATACGCTTCTGAAACATAGGCCGCATTGCAGTGTGTATTGTAGTTCATCTATATTTAGGTACTGTCTCTCTCAGAGGTTCAACAAGATGTTCGGGCAACCTCCGAGTTTTGAACCTGGTGCTCGGGAGTAGCATGGAAGAAGAAATAAGCAATCCTTGCATCTGTGGTACAATCGAGACCTGCACTAGATCTCAAAATCCAGATCTGAAAAATTGGACTGGTGGTACTGTCCATTTATTGGGGCAACTTTCCTTAACGACCAGATTGATAACCGTCGTGGGTACTTCCCCAAATAGACACACGAGCGTTAGTGGTTAGTTCAAGTACAGTGCAGTAGTTACCTAGTAAAGCTAGCCTAGATATAGTAGCTGACTGCCCATAGCTACCGTAGTAACTAGAACAAGAACTAGGCGATAAAGCTTCCCAGATACGCACACCATACAGTAACGTCGTACCGAGAACGGCGCCAAATCCCCACCGTGACAGATCTCCGCTCCGCCGTTTCGGGACCACCCCACCACCAAGGAGGAGGAGCGATAAGACAGAGTAAGTACTAGTCTTGTACGGAGTACAGAAGATGGGGAATAAGGGAATTGCGACCGCAATTGCCAGACTAAGAATAAACCTAGCTCCGAACGAAATAGCTTAAAAAGAAAAAAAAAAAACCACTGCACAAAGTGTCAAGTATATACTTCACTAGAATAAACTTGTACTCGGTACCAACGATAGAAAGTCGGAAAAGTAGAGTTTTCTTTTCTAAAATTTCCCCTTCCTCGCAATTCCTCCTTCCCCCTCCTGCACGACCATCCCCATCCGGGATGGCGCCCTTGCCGAAGATGGCCGCCCACCAATCAAGATGTAGATAATTGGGAGAATTGGCCTCCACTGTCCAGATGGAAAAGCCAATCATGCTGCTTTGGTATGCTCTTCATCGGCATGTGCCCCGTGCTGGTGGAGTCGGTTAAACTCAGCGTGAGCCGGACTTTGGAGGTGTATTACCTGACGATACGGTGCGGGAATTTAAAGTTGGAGCTGGACGGGCAAGGCCGGAGGGAGTATATATATTGGGAGGGATTGGAGAGGGGAGATTGAGGGAGAATAATTGACGTTGATTGTTGTGAATTGGGGTCTAGTATAGGGTAACTATGTTAGGGTCACTACGTTAAGATTCTGCTCATGTCTTGATGTAGGAGGCCTGGTGCTTGAAACCGGTACTTCACGAGCCAGCCTCGGTATCGGCACCAGGCCCTAGCTGTGGCCTGAGACGATTGAGGATCTCCGTTCCCTTTGTGTCGTTGGGGGTTACCAGAAATAAACTCTTTGTGCAATGCTCATTGTGAATCTCAATCTCTATTTTAATTGGGGTCTATTCTCTCATTCTCCTTTTATGAAGCTATTTCTAGCTTCTGAAAGTCATTGTATCCTTGTACTCAAGTATCCAGTACTGTGTCCGTATACTTTACCGTATCTCCGGTGAGCCGGGTACGGGTAATACGGTAAGTTAACGTGGCGCTAAGGCCTTTGCCACCCGGAGCTCCCCTCCTTCGCTCGAGAGCTTCTGGAATTTCGAGAGCTTCTGAGAGCTGGGGAGAGCTTCGGAGGGGCCGCTGATAGCGCCTATCGTAACCTCTTTCCCCGTCAGCTCTTATCGAGGAGAAGAGGGGGCGAATTGTAACCACCCACTATATACAGGACAACCAGACAGAGAAAATATAGAAAGAACCTGTTAGCAAGCTGAAGGTAGCCAAAATCCAACTGACCAAAAAAAAGCTGATCTCCCAGCTCTCTTCGTCCGGCGTTCCACCGGGCTTTCCGAAGCGTAAAATGACCGTACGCACGATTTCCCAGCTCTCCGATTAGGGTGGATATTTTAAAGGGCCGGAGTACGGTACCTCTACGCATATGTACATCATGCATGCGGGCAACGCCCATCCTAGCTAGGGCGGGCCTCGAGCTGAGGATCCTAGATCCTATTAGATCCTGATAGTTTGATTATGAAGGGGGGGGGGGGGGGGGGGAAATCAAATTTTCAGCTGTGCCTGGGGGACGAACAAGCAAATAAAATACCATGGAAGCAGGGACTGGGTAATTACCGTTCGGTACGGTAATTACGAAGTTTTCCTATTTCCCTCGATCACCGAAGAGACTCGGTCTTCTTTTAGTTCTTCTCTCTCCATAATTCAAGTCCGGAGAACCTGGTTGTAACCGCTCGGTAAGTTTGAATTGTACTCCTCGTTAGCTTTCCAGCTTACCCAGTCCCGTCCTGTGCCACTCAATGAGCCGCGCTTTCGTTCATCCTTTCTTCCTTTCTCTCTCCTCACCCACCAGATTCAAGGCTATTTTTTGACCTCCCTTTGGGATCCTCGTCTTCATTTCCTTTGTCCTCGACGTATATATACTTCTCTCCGGGGTCATCTTGTTCACCATACAACCCCCCCGCTAACACTTTCCCCCCGCACAAACTAAGAGAGACCCGAAAGACAGATCCGAGTGCGACACAAGAGAGAGAGACATAGAAGAAGGGAGAGCACATATGCACCATGCCTCCTCGAAGCTCGCTGACGAGCTCGTTCTCGGTCACCGACGCCAACAATGAAGTCATTTGTCCCTTGAAAAATAACGACGGTTCTAGTTGTCGCAAGCGATGTACAGGAGTAAGTTTCACTTTCATTTTCTTGGTTTTCCCTCGCCTTTGCAGTCTTCCCCCCTCCTCCTCGAGCATCATTCAATTACGAGGGCCCCACCTTATCACCATCGAGACGGGGGAGGGTTGAGGAGTGCGATGGGGGAATACTATTCCCCCATACTATTAATTCGAGATCGTCCAGATCGAAAGCTTCCATGTAGCTAACCATGGCCCACAGGAAAAGCGCTATCGCTCCATGCAGGAGCACATCCGACGTGCGCATCCGAACCACTACATCCCGAAGCTCCCGGCTACCGAGGAGAGCTTCCTGCTAATGGTCACCACCCCGCCCGATCAACGTGCGCACTTGTCCCCGCCAGAACCAGCTCGTCCTCGTCGTCCTCACGGTCATGGTAAGATTGCGCTCCTAATATTCTCAATGGTTCTTCCCCCCTTTGCTAACGGTTACTCGCAGACATCGCGGATAGAGACATCTACGTTGCTGATCCCAGCTCTCCGGCCACCCCTCGAGCTCTCGATGAACCCCACCCCGCCGCTGCGACCGCCGCCGTTGCGCTCGCTCAATTGCACCACCACCGTCTGGCCTCCGACTGGGATACTGATATGGTATGTACTTTTCTGCTCCCTTTTCTTCATTCTGTGGTCCTCCCCGCGATTCTCCAGATAATTCACACAGTTGACTAACGTTTTCCCCCGCGCTCTCTCTACCCCACAGGACACCCACTCAGACACCGATATTCACCAAGGCCGTATGCGCTCTTCCATTGAACTCCCATCGCTGCGCGACCACTTCAAACAAGAATCCCTGCCGCCATTTTCTTCGCCCCGCCCGCGGGAACTCCTTCCGTCCATTCTCAATCACTCTCCCCCCGGTCGCTCCTCGACTCTTCCCCCGATCCAGCGACGAGACAAGCTTTCCCGCCCGCGCAAATCGTCCATTACGCAGTCGGCCCGCAAACCCAAGCACGACCGCCCGAAATCAAAGGAATTCGGCCGGCGTCCGAGTCTCGGCGATCGCAAGGCCCTATCCGCAGAGCCGCAGACTGCCGCGTGGGCACAGGGCAAGCGCTGGGAGGATCTCATCGAAGCGGCTACATCCGCGACGGAAGCTGATGATGAGCGGTATTCCGAGGTCAGTTTCGGCGACACCCAGGCTAGCGATCCCATGATGATTGACAGGATGGAAATTAATTTCCAGGCTGGTCAATCCCCAACGATCGCTCCACTGCTTGCGAACGTGACATCTGCACCCTCGGGACTCAAGAACCGGTCTTCTTTACCTCCAGCTTTCCAATCAGGTTCAGGGCTTCCGCCATTATCATCGCACCGACAGTTCCCACCTCATTCATATGCAGCTTCGCCATTACACAAGTCGCTCACTCCTCCACCCTTTGAGGGCCATCGTGGTCGCGACAGTGACCTGGAACCATTCCCATCTATTGAATCATCTCTGGACTCTATGTCATCTGCCTCGGGGAAGAATTTCCCCTCATCAACATCCGGCATCGCGCGCTCTATCAATTCCGACTCCAGTCCCGTGTTGAATCTCATTCCACCACTCTCCCAACAACGCCAGCACCACCGCTTCTCAAACCCCACGCCTGCGTCATTCCGCAATAACGATGTTCAGATTTATTGCGCACACTGCAAGCGACCCTGGGCGTTGAATGAGTGCTACGCTTGTACGGAGTGTATTTGCGGCGTGTGTCGCGAGTGCGTCCCCATGTTCATCTCCAGTCCACCAGCCTCTTTCCGCAGTCCCGGCAATGGTTCGCTGAACAATGCTCCACCTCCGGGTCCGACAAGTTACCCCAGTGCTAGGGGATGTCCGCGCTGCCGGACGACTGGGGGCAAGTGGAAGGCTTTCCAGATTGATGTTAAATGATCTGGTTGCCGTCCACTTGCTACCCATGCAACGATCTTGATGGCACGCTAGCAACTTGTGTGATGTGGGCTTTACGGATGTTATGAATTATGCCTGATTTGAGATATACGGACATTCTTTTCCTTGTTTATTTTTTGGGGGCGCTGGGTGGATTGGATTACTTCGCACGACATGATCTTGATCAACTTGTTTGAACTCAGCGGAGAAAACAAGATCTATCACAAGATGCGCCATGGAGTACATTTTCGGTGCTGGATTCCGAATTGAAAAAAATATGTAAAGAAGCTGGTTCTTTTCTTTGCAGTGGACTGAGATAGTCATTCTTTTTCTTTCTTGATCTCATGTCCATCTTCTTTTTCTTTTCTCGTTCTCATGCCTTTGGTTTTTTTACGGTTACCGGTGGCATATTGGGGGGTTTATATGGGGTTTTCTTTTTGGTTGATTTCAGGTTGCAAGTTTCATCTGATATTTATTTCATTATTTATCATGTTTATGTTCATGTTCATGTTGATGGTTATGCCTATGCCTATGTTCACGTTTATGTCTATTCGTTCCGTCTACCATGAGTTATTTGTTTTCTGATTTTGATTTTGATTGTGATTCTGTCATTTCATCTTCATATTTGTTTTCTACCGTTCATCTCTGCCTTGAATACCTCGTGATACGATCTTGCACTACTCCCTACTATCTATCGCAGGTATCTAGGGTTTGAGGTTCTCGTTTTATAGAAGGGGGTGGATGGAATGGGATGGGATTAGCGTGGAGGTGGATCTCGGTTTAGCTAGTACAGCTAAACTAGTCTGCTTTCGTCTCTATCTCTTTCGTCCTGGGGTTATGGGTATGGTGGTTATCTCGTATATTTGATGTTTTATGTTTGCATTTCATATTCACATTCATACACATTTTGGAGTATATTGTCAATTTATTTCTTGATGATTTTCTATCTGTTCCTTATCATCATCGTAGGCTACTCTATACGTTTTTGTCAGTAGATCCAAGGACTATCTGATTGGATCTTCGTAAATTCGTAGCTTTTGCATCGAATCGACCAACTACATTTCCTGTCTGCTCCTCGCGAGCCACATCTGATGTAGACACTCCAACATGAAACTAGTCTTCTGCGTTATACAACCCCTGGAATGCATAGTAAAAAAAAAGAACTAAAAATCGGTTCCCTCCTGTACAATCTAAACTAAACCAAAGTAATTCCCGTATAACACCCATCATTCCTCACCAACTCAACCTTCATCCCATCATCCAACCCAACAGAATACAAACTGCCCCCCAAATCAGCCACATAAACAATATTATTCCCCCGATCCAGCTTCAACCCAATCGGCTCATGGAAATGCCTCGCCAAAATAACCTTATGCATATCAACCTTCTCCCCACCAACATAAGCCCTCGACAACGAACACCCCATCGGATGCTCCCCACGATCCGTCCAATACAAAGTCTGCGTATCACTATCAATCTCAATATCAATCGGCTCCGGCAAACAATCAAACAAGCACTCGATATCAGTCCGATTCTGCGCAGTCTCCCCGGGCGGAATGTCCAGGCCCGCGCGGAAAATCCGGCCGCAGCCCCCTTTGCTAGGACCCTTCTGCGTCCAGTACATGAGGTCGTGCTCGTCGTCGATCGCAATGCCGACGCACCACATGCGCATCTGCTCGCTGAGCTTCATGTCTGCAGTGACGCAGCGCTGGACAATGATCTCGTGGTTGCTACCGTCGTAGTCGACCCGGTGCACGCTGGTGCCCTCTCGATCGCAGAAATAGACTTTCTTGCGCGAGTCGATGACGGCGATTTGTTTGGGCGTGTGCACTTTGCCCTTCGGGATCAGACACCGGATCTGGCTTCCGTCCATGTTGGCCATCCAAACGGACCCGTCGCAGGCGGCCGTGCTGCGGCCCATATTCGTCCAGAAGATGCGCTGCGTTTCGAGAGAGACGTCTATCCCGTCTGGGAGATTCTGGCCGACGACGATTGGGGTTAGCTTTTGCGTTGCGAGGTTTAGACGGAGGATTTTTCCGTTCGCGTGCACTTTCGAGACGTCGCGCGCGTTTCCGCCCAGGCCCACGTCTAGCAGGTAGATATCTTTTGCTGCGGTGTGGGGGTTTGCGGGTTGGGCTTCTGCGGTGGCGGATTTCACGAGGGGAGGGTAGAGTCCGCCCTTTGGACTCTTTTTTCCGAGACGGCCGTGTTTGATGTAGTGTTCGCGGAGCCAGTCGACGGTCTTTTTGGGATCGAGGCCGCGTTCTTGGACGTAGTTGTCTTCGATGTAGGCTACGGTGTCGAGGCCGACTTGGTCCATTAGTTGGCAGGGGAGCGGGCCGTTTTTGAACATGTGTTCCCAGAGGAGATCGATTTCGCTGGGGTCGCTGACGCCGTCGGAGAGGATGTTCATGATCTCGCGTTTCACGGCTGCCCAGAGGCGGTTGAAGATGAATCTGTGAGAAGTCAAGGGTTAGCTGGGGGGACTGGCAAAGAGGATAAGAGGGGATGATAGAGGGAAAGATACATACCCTGTCGATTCTCGTCGTGCAGTCACTGGTAACAGTCCACACTCGCCCATGACATCCTCGAGATAGGAAAAGATCTTGGGATCCGTCTCTCCACAAGTCATCATCTCCACAGTCCGAATCATGGGCGGCATGGTAAAATGCATATTGAGGAACCTTCTCTTCCGCTCAGTCGAGATCTTACTCGCCATCAAACTCGACTTGAAAGAAGAGCTATTGGACCCAATAATACAATCCGCCGGACATCTCTCATCCAGCTCACGGAAGGTCTCAACCTTGAGATCCAGCTTCTCAGGAATAGCCTCGATAACAAGCCAAGCATTGCTAACCGCAGGCCCAACTTCAGTAAAAGTCTTGTAATTCCCAAAGGGAGCCTGGGTATAAGACTCAAAGTCGACAGTCGAAAATCCCGTGTCGGCCAGTCCACCGTCAAGAGCTTTTTTCTCATCCCGCACGTCGTCACCGTTTCCAGCGAATCCCTTGTCCTTGCTGACTCGCGGCATGAGCGAGTACTCCTGCTTGTTGGCGTCGATGTAGTCGACGACACCCTGCAGCGCTTCCATAGATGGATCTCGGACATGAACGTTGTAACCAGCTGCCACGAAGACGCAGCCAATGCGCCGGCCCAGGACTCCGCCGCCGATAATGGCGACGGGACGGTCGGTGCGAGGCTTAACTCCCATTGCGGCTGAAATTTGATCTCGATGCAAAGGGAAGAAAGAGTGATGTGACGAGGGTACCCCGGGGTTGAGGACGTGGTGGTATGTCGATATGACGTAGATGTGGAAGTGGAAAGAGGCAACTTGGACGGCGAAGGTCACTTATTTATGTGTTATGAGAGAATTCAGGAAGGAAGTTATTGCCTATGCAAGCATCTTAACTCTGTAGCATATTCCAGATTCTGCCTTCATTAGACGCGCCATAAATCGCGCTGCCGGAAAATCGGCATCGTCAAGAGAAGAAGGAACGGTCTTGAAGATACCCATTTCAGACGTGATCAAGGTTCGGAACACTCGGGCTGTGGGGATGTGCCTTCCCAATGATGCATTTAGAGTGAATGGATCTATGACCCAGTTAGATGTAGATCCACCGTGAAGTTGGAAACTGGGCCCGGTCTTCTCAGAATTGATAGTCGGAGCGGATTCGGTTCGGAGTCGGTACGGAGACAGTTCGGACGTCGTCGGGTTGCCGAGGAGTTCTGGCTTTTCGGCAAAGCGTAGAAGCTTCATGAATTGTTGAGACTTTAATTGCTTGATTGAGTTGGATTCTCTGAGCTGCCTCAGCGTGTGGATAGAGCTAGATTCAGCATGAGCAATATGTAGAATTCCGGAATGACTCTCTCTGGACCTTCAAAAGTCGTTAATTTAGGGCTTTAATACATATTACCACTTCTGGAGACATATCTTGAATAGCGTTGAATAAATTTGGGAATTCAAATTGCATTTTTGTCTATACTGCTTACAATCTATGTAGTACAAAACTACATAATCAACGAGTAACCCTTCATACGTCGATCTAAAACAAAAACACCTGATCTGTAGACTTCGACAACACGCCGGGCTCCTTCCACCCAAGCCCAGCAAGTGCCTTCTTCATAGCATTGATCATTGGCGGTGGGCCACACAGCAGTGCCTTATTAGTCTCATCTGCAGGCGCCAGGTACTTCTTAATCAAGTCCTGGCTGACAAACCCCCTATGCCCCTGCCATCCCTCTCCAGCTTGTGAGAGCACATACTGCACTTGGAATTTCTCCGGAAACCGCGTTGCAAAGTCATCCAACTCTTTCCGCAACAAGATATCTTCTTCCGAATTGTTCGCGTAGAGCAGACTCATCTTCGTCGAGTCGTTTTCATCGTCACAGATAGCCCGGATCAACTGGTACATAGGCGTGATACCTGTGCCACCCGCGATCATGCCGATGTGCTTCGCGTAGGTGGTGCTATACTGCATTGCACCCTTGGGTCCACGAATTTCAATCATGTCACCGATTTCCATCGACTCCAGGTGCTTTGTCATCAAGCCTTGCGGGTACACTTTGACCAACAGCTCGATACGACCCAAGTCAGTGTTATTCGAGACTGGAGTGTATGAGCGTGAAACGCTTTGTCCATTGATTGTAGCACGCAGTGCGATGTGTTGTCCAGTCGGAAGACCCAGGACATCGTCGACATTTGGAAGACCAAACACGAAGCGGTATACATTGGGTGACACGGAGTCCTTGCGCAGGAGCGGGAAGTTTTTCCATTTGCGAGGGTCGAGAGGGAGTGTGCGTTTAGATTTGCTGGGTTTGCTGTTTCCTGTCTGCAATTTCTTCCGGAAGATGATCTTGTCGGTGCGAGTAGTGCGATGGGGAGAGTAGTGGGTGAACTCTTGCTGGACGTCCAATTTATTCGATATCCACATTGTCAGACCCATTGTGACAGACAGTTGGGCCACACTTGCAATTCCGAACCCGGACCAGAACTGGCCTGAAGTGTTGGAGCGGCTAGAGAGGAGAGTGGAAGCGTAGCTAGACAGTTGGTTGAGCGACTCGAGGGTAGGTCTCCATCCTTGTCGGTAGCCATGGACTGCTGCTGTACCAAGAGCGCCAGTGAAACCCAGTTTAATCAGAGCTGAAGCAAAAGAGTAAATTGGACTCTTTGGAGTCTTTTTCACGTTGATTGCTGCCGTTTGAGCTACTTGTTCAAAGGTTGGGCGGTAGACCTCGATGGCCTCGGCATGTTCCTAAACAACACTGTTAGAGCGATAAATGAAAATGAATAAAACTAATTCCATGTATTGCTCACCTCAGTCGGTAGGTCCCCAATATGATACTTCTCAAGTTCCTCCCGGGCTTCATCAGAGTGTCCAGTCTCCTCGAATGCTTCGGTAGCATCGGTACCAGCAACTTCAATCAAAATAGCACCCCCGCCAGGGTGATCTTCAAGGTACTTTGTAATATCATAGACCTTGTTGTGCAGGATAATCCACACATCATCTGCCTTGTTGTGCTTCTGCACCTCTTCAAGCGTATACATTGCGAAGGGTAACTTAGATGGCGGCTCAAACCCACACAACACCATTGCGGTGCAATAGGTATATATACAGTCCTTCAACCCTTTGCACCTCATTCTCTCCGACCGGACATCTTCGGACCAAGGAAGACTCCATTCTCGGCCCGAAAACATGAGCTTTCTGTTCTGCATGCAAAAACCCCATTTCAACTGGCCCGCCACTGCTCCACGTACTTTTCGTGCGAAGTTCGCACGAGACTCGGAGCCAACGGAGATATTCTTTGTATGATGGATCGGCGTCGCCTCCACTCATTCGGGATAATCGGCATTCAAATGAGCCTGCATAAACCGGCCTGTGTACTGGTATATAACCTAGGGAGCTACAGTGATGGCCGCTGTGAACCAACAAGGCCGGAATTAGCAAGTTCATCACCATGCCCATTCCCAACGGAATATCACCAAATCTCAGCCCTTCGTTCTATTTGATCGGGGATGATATTGCAACAGCACAGTCTGTTATACTTGACGCAAAATGGAAGCTTGAAGATGTGAAACGAGCTGTTGGCGGGTACTTCCATGTAGCTCAGCCTTTAGGTAGGCCCCTGTGCACCAAACAGCATGTTTTCTCTGCTAACATCAACAGGTCTGAGTTTCCACGTCGGTGATAACGACCAAGAAATCACCACAGTCGATGATATTCTCTCTACACCTTCTTCCACCACTATTGGCCTTCGCGTCGACGGCCAGGCAGTCCAAAGTCCCCAGGGCCCCGAGGGTCTCCCACTAGTCGGCAGCTTCTACGAAATCTTCCCTGACCACCTGGGCAATCACTACCGTCTGTTCCGCAAATACGGCCATGTCATCAAAACCACCAACATGGGAAAGACGACATACCTCACTGACAGCCCCGAGGTAGCTGCTGTGGCCCTCGCCGAATCAGCCTACATGACGAAAAAGATCAACGAGAACCATCCCCTCTGGGGCGTGAAAGACAACACTGCTATCTTCATCGGCGACACTGAGACTGAGAATTGGCGTCTGGCACACAAGTTCCTACCACCAGCCATGGGCCCCAAGGCTGTGAGACACTATACCCCGCTGATGCAGGAGTGTGTCCGCAAGTCCTTCGCCGTATTCGATGAACTTGACGAACGTGATCAGTCATGGAATGTCTACCAGTATATGGTGAAACTTGCCTCGCAAACTATTGGCAAGTTCTCGCTGGGAACAGACTTTGAGCATTTCACGCATGTCGATGCCCCGCTGCATCCTATCGTGACAAACATTGCGAACCTGCTTTCTCTGAACAAGAAGATCACCGCCCGCGGCGAGTGGTATCGACATCTCCCCTTTGGAGATCCTGCACGGCTGAAGACAGTTCAAAAGACCATCTACTCTCTTCTACAAGAGCAGATTGACCGCGTAAAGGGCTCCGGTATTGCAGGAATGGCGATGAACGAGGCTGCTATCAACGCTTCTTGCGTGGTGGACTACTTGCTCAACACGGTCGATGAGTCTGGCGAGAAATTCCCCGAGGGCTTGATATTGGCGAACATGCTTATCGTCACGGGCGCGGGCTTCACGACTACATCTGCGTTGATGTCTTGGCTGATCTACTGCCTCGTCAATTACGAGGGCACACAAGACCGGCTCTACGAGGAGCTGTGCGAGGCAGGCATAGCCAACACCAAAGAACCTGTGACCTGGACTCCTGAGCTGGCGCATAGTCTGTCATATCTCGATTGCTTCGTCAAAGAGACCCAGCGTTTACACAATGCCTCTTTCCAACCCGGGCGTACAACAAAGACCGAAGTCGTCTTGCCTGGGGGGTACCGTCTTCCTGCAGACAGCGTGATTGTCCCTGCATTATATGCAATTCACACGAACCCAGAAGTATGGCGAGATCCCTTCCGCTTCGATCCTGACCGGTGGACAAGCGATGAAGTCAAGAATAAGCACCGTTGCGCGTACATTCCCTTTGCGACTGGTCCACGCGGCTGTATTGGCTTCAATTTCGCGCTTTTGGAGGTCAAGATATTGCTGTCGGAGCTTGTGTCTCGGTATGAGTTCTTCCGGGAGGGATTGGATGCAGTCGAGTATGATCCTGAGTTCCAGTTGATTCGGCCATTGAACTTTTATGTGCGAGCTAAGAAGAGAGCGGGCGTTGCTTAGAGGATGCGTAGAATACACTTTGGAATGAGAAGCGTTGTTTGTGTGATAAAATAACAGTGATTGGCTCGAGGACTATGTACAAAGTTCAAATCAATTCTTTGACCCTGTTACTCACTGAGTGTGATTCGGCCGATTCTGTCCATCGTTGCACTCATCTCGAAGGCACGGGCCTGGTTGCATGAACTCCAGGGGGGTATGCCTGAAGAGGAGATACTGCAGATTCGTAGCTAAACAAAGTACCAGGATGGTCCATGTACATATTCGGTTCGTATAGCCTGTCACCCATACCATGCCCAGCATATACGCAGGGATGTTTGTGAACAGTTCGGATTACAGCAGGCATATTTCAAATGTACATGTCTAGTACCGTTTCTACTTTACATCGAATAGATGAAAGATCGCGCCCAAGGATAATGATCAAGCCCGAGCCCGCCATGATGAGATCCCGTTACAGAGCCTAGGGCTGCACTTGTCTAAATATACATCCATAGACAATTCAAACACTTGCACTCAATTAGTTACATCGCGTCAACCCGTCCTTACCTCAACCATCCTCGGATATCCCTACCTACCCACCCGAAAACACCTAAACCCTCAAGCTAAGAACCTCCCTCGCTAACCACCCCGGACTTCCCAGCCCATCACACACACCCTATACCCGCCACCACCAAATAGGCTAAATCCCCGACCATCCCAGCCCTCCCGAGCCATGACATGACACCCACCTCAGTAGTTAGACCTCCATCCGAGTAGCATATCTTCCAGCAATTCTAAGCTCGCAAGCATCCCCACCCGCCCGACGCGCCTAAAGTGTTAAGCCCGAAGTCCGAAGACCACGCACGGGATAATACCTCAGCTACATTTATCCCGTGGCGTCGTGATATCCATCGGTCCAGTGTAGCCCGAGCCTCCCGGGTAGTAGCAGCCTACCAGGCACATACTGTACCCGTACCTACTTAACCGGGGGCGGGGCCTCCGCCCTCGTGGCCTGCCCTATTAGCCTAACCCGGGTCCGGGGGCGCAGCGCAGCGCACTGACTAGCTAGCCTGCCTAGCTGGACTGGCTAGTTGGATCAAGCTCCAGGCGGACTAGGGGAGTATCGGGCTAGACTATCTTTGGACCGGGGCGTTGCAGGCTGAGGAAATTTACCGGGTGATATTCGGGGATATAGCCATAGGAAGAGAACATGATCAGGGTCATCAGGTCAGGCAGAGTCGAAGTTAGTGGTTGTTTGTATAATTTATCCCGTCGGGTTTGTACTGTGGATAGCAGCTTATTCTCCATGTACAACGGGTAGTTCATACAAATGATGTATCTACATAATGGACAGGCCTCGTTCAAATGTGGGTTCTGCCTTACAGACGCACCGAGTCCCTTCCGTGATGAATCTAGCCGTAAGGTCAGAATCAAGTAACACTCCACCCCGCCTTCGACCTTAAGCCCTACCTTAGCCCAGCACGCATTATGGAGGATAAAGTGCACGTATATAATATAAAATAGTGTACAGTACCCTACTCTACTACATGCTACGGACTATGTAACCCAATGCTAACACGCACCCCCACGCACCCACCAAGTTCCAACCAGTAAATCGAATCATAATGAAATCACACGGTGACCCCCATATGAATTTCGGAATCGGGATCCCACCGGAGCAGACTTGCCTTGACCATTTCGATCAAGTTTTACCCGGGGCCGATGTGGAGATTTTGGGGGGACTGGTTGGTTGTCTGGTGTGAGGGTGGGTTTTGTCGGGGAATGAAAATATCGGTCGGGCCGATGGTTGTCTACCAACTTATAAGGATGAAAGGTAGAAAATGGGCGTCAGAATAATAGGGTAGAAGGAATCAGCTAGGTGGTTTAGTATGAGGTTTAGTATGTGTTGAGAGGAAGCAATGCTTATTGAGTTTCCTAAACTTTTCCATAGTTCTCTTGTCGTGCAGTATGTCCGGAGAATTGTAGGGTTCAGGAACGGTCGGACACGGCTCCGTGTTGCGACGGGAACTGTGGGTGGATAAGATCCCGATCGCTTATTTTCCGGTTTTGCAGGACGGATACCTCTAAACTACAGTACAGCATCTGGCAGGAAATGTCAAAAGTACAAGACGGCGACAAGGTGCATTCTCGCTAACGCAAGGCTTAGTACGGATAAATTTTGTTCTATAGAGTAATACTGGAAGAGCTCTTATACATTTCTTTCAGCATACTGTAGTATGGGTCTAATGACTATTCTCCGTTTCTCCGTAGGTATCCATACATAATGACTATTCACTATACATTATTATTACTTTATACTCCAGTAACTACGATAGGTGAAATCTCCGCCGGGGATTACCGCAGAATAAAAAGTACATAAACGGTCATCGAGGCTATGACAGACCGATTCGGTAATCCGGAGCGCGGGACGGGAAACCCGTTGAAATCGGGTAAAAAGGGGAATCGGGAAATGGGGGAAGAGGAAGGGCGAGGGACAAGTTGACCATAGTCTGTGCTTCCACTGTTCTTGCGAGGTTTGGTTTGGTTTTGGGGGGTGGGGTTTAGATCCAAAGGTTTAGCCACCGGCACAACTGTCAGTCTGCTGGACCTTCTATGGCGGGTACCGTAGCGGCTAGGAATTGAATTGGGTAAAAGTCCTTGAGGGGTCGAAGAATAAATAACGGTTCTCATCGATTCTACTCAGTACAGTAACCAGAACTGTGGTTCCATCCCACACAATGTGTGCCTTCGTGGGGTGCGAAGGCTAAGGGTGGTGCTAGGGTATACCGCGTTAGGTAGGTCGGCCAGCTGTTCCTGCAGTAACTGTCCAGTATCCGACGTTATTACTCCGTAAACTGGGAGCCAGAAGGAAGAATTGTGGATCACGGAATTTCTTTTAATAATAACCGTCAGCTGAGGCGCCCGGGTTCGGGTTGTCTCCGGGGAAAAGATCGGAGGATTGGACGAGGAGCCAGATGAGCAGATGGCGAGGGAAAAAAAAGAAATTAGAGTCAATAGAATGTCATTGGAGGGTTATTGTACGGAGAAGTTTACAGTGGTGATTTTGGTTGGATTAGGTTTTCGTGGGAGTTTGGATTTGGGGTTGACCTCGACAAGGTTAAACAACTTGGGACTAGCCCTTCCCAAATGCCAAGAAGGCCACATGGGAAAAGGACAGGGAAGGGGAAAAAATTGAAAAAGGGACCTCCAGGGAAAAAAAGAAAAATCAGAAAAGAGGCGGGCCGAGCACCGCTCGATCCTCGGGACCGGCAAGAAAGAACGGGGTCGACACGAGGACGATTGACGAGGTGTGGGGGAAGACGATAGAGTCGCATTAAGCGCTGTTCAAAGTTTGTGAGAATGAAATGATGATCCTACTTTGTGTTTGTCTTGTCTAATGTAGTTTTCGTTGTATACTACGTGTCCTTGATTGTAGTATAGGGTAACTCCGTAGCAGTACGACTGTATGAAAGTCCACCCGAAAGTGCTGAAGGACTCTTCGGACAACCCGTTCCGCTACCCGTCACGGCCCTGGTTAAATTTCCTTTTTCAGCAATTGATTCTCCGAGAGGACTCGTGGCTGGGGTACGTTCCGATGAGATAGTCACCCCTACTACAGTACTACTGCGTATACGGTACTATAGTCACCGTACCGCTAGGAATTACAGAATAGCTTAATCTTGTAGCTTGTTTAGCTATGGCCAGTACTACTTTGCACGGATTTACTACGGAGAATGCAGGGCTGTTATTCGGAGAGAAGCCGGGGGATCCGCCGAGCATATTTTTGACAGGCGAGGCGTAAAAGAATAATTCCCGTGGTCACCACATGATGTGCACATGATCAAGAAGGCCAGGGTATACGTCGGACCTGAGAAAGCCACATTGTCACATAGCCACATACTACTGTCCAGTTGTACACATACTTCATATTTTTGATTCTGCCTCCTTCATAAGGGCCAAGTCTACCAACACACTCCAAAATCGATTGGTCAATACTAATTGTCTCAGGCAAATTACTTTTTCTTTTTTTTTTCTTTCCACACAGACCCTCTCCTCTCCTCCTCCTCATCCGGTCTTGGTCTTGGTGCAACCGCCACCTTTTTTCTCCCCATCCCACCCTTCAACCCGAGATTTTCTCTGGTCGGCTCGCAATGGCCCGACTTACCTAATGTGAATTCAGCAAATGCGGGGTTGCCCGGGGTCGGTTCGATGGCAGCCCTCGGAGGCTGGGGGCCAATCAGCAGTTTAGGGGCGTTAGTCGGACGGGGCCGAAACGCGACGGGTCTGCCGTGGGGGGAGAAATCTCGGTGTATGACTTTTCCGTGATCCTGGTATGGGAACGCTGCATGTAAGGGGGTATATACCAGTAGAGAACAGGGATTGACTTGAACTTGGAACTTGGGCTGTAAAGAGATCGGTGACGAGGACTACAGTGGAAACTCGTTAGAGGTATGCGGTAGGGATATACCTAGGTATGACGAGAATAAGCACTGATCAACCCTGGCCAGTTGGCTCCCCCAGTCCCATGTCATTTTCGACTGGGATCATCCGTCCCGAGTCCCCCGTCGGCCTCGGTGCGACTCGTTTGTCCTGGAGGTGAAGCGGTGCAGTTTCCCCCAGTGACACAGTATGTACAATCCGTGCTCTGTGCTGTCCTCCGGCATCCAATCGTGTTCCCCCTCGCTATGCCGATCCATGGACTGTGGAGGCAACCACCTTTATTCAAGGAGGAGGAGTTAGTCAGGCAGATATCCGATGGGAAGCGAATGGGACGTGGCAAAAGCAATTCTGACAATAGGGAACTGGCAATCACCGGGCAGAGCAGGAACTCAGCCAAGCTGTAGTAGCAGTATCCATACTCCATACAACGCGGAATCGCGGGTAAACTAAACACCAAGACGAAAGACGGCAACATTGACCATGACTATAACACGCCACGGAGGCCGCCGCACATAGGAAGACGAAGGACCTATTATTATCATTCATTTAACACTACCACTAGCATCACGACCATCATCGCAGGGCCGGGGCCGATCCCAGTACGTCACGGTGCCTCATCTCACAAGCGAGCGAGTAAAAACCATCCATAACAGCCCCCAGGTCTCCATCAGTGACATGCTCCGTACGGAACTGTAGGAGGAACCCGACCAGTGGCCCTGATGTAACTTCCGGACTGGCAAGCGAGGATCAATGGTTAATGGGTAACGAGCATTGATCAATGATCAACCTTGCCCACAGCTTTAGTCTCGGCGGATCTCGTCCTCTTCCCCCGCGGGGAGCCCCGGGGGAAGAGAACAAGGATGTTTTGTTCTTTTCGATTGGGTCGCCCTGGGACCCGATGGTGGATAGTGGACGGTAGTCACGAGAGGTCCAGGGGGAATCCTATACCCTATAGGCTGTAATAACCTAGGTCTCTACCGGGGCTCAGGAAAGATCAAAGTCCGTCCCACGAGAAAACACGGGGAATACCCGAGGAATCACAGAATCACAGACCTTGTCCCGTGTCGAGGACGTTCTTGCTTAGAAACCTTTTATCATTACCTTTCCACTATGATTATGATTACTACTCTCTTCTCTTCCTCTCTATTCTTTCCCCTCTTTCGGATCTTCCACGATCGACCAGGACTGGATTCCGGGGAAAAAGCAAGCCCTGCGGATTGTACTGGACTAGTCCCGTCCTCGGCTTCGGTGGAGTGGTCTTTGTTGGGCGTAGTCATACGCTACACTTTTTATTATTATTTTTTTTTAAAAAAAAGGTACCTATTCTTTCCGATTATTGCTATACTTTACGGAGGTATCCTGCCCGACTCGGCCCTCGCACAGCTGTCCGAAGAAAGCTCGGTCGTGCCGCTTTCCTATTTGGGAGTTCCCGACGGCAAATGCACGTCCTCTTTTTGGAGAGGGGCCTGGATCTGACTGTGACAATCTGGTCTTTGGTCTGCTCTGGGGACGTTGCCGATCGGGCAGGAGAGACTGGACTGGACACGATCGGGCAAAAGCTGGGGGCAACCGGGCGAGTCAGGACAACGGGAAATAAGTACATTTCGCTGAAGAGTTTGATTCGGATAGGGCGCATGCTGGGTTATTCGTTATATCATAGGGTATTATGCATGTAGTTTTGCAGTGAGATTTATGGGATGATCTACGTATAGCATAGTATTCTATCATGAAGGTATACCCCGTGGGAAAGAAGTAGCCGAACGGAAAGTTACGTACAATTCCTGGACCCCTTGTCCAATTAAGAAGATCGGAAAGACTCGTCACTTGACTAAGAAACCAAGGAGTTCTTTTTGCTCGGCAACCAGGAGAACGATCGGAGACCGGATCAGCCGTTAGCCAAGGTGTACATTGGATGGTACGGATGGTACAGTAGTATGATCAAATGATGTTATTATGTAGCAGTAGCCAGTTAGGAGAATCACAACGTTAGAATCTTGTCTAGTATATGAGTACAAACAGATAACATTAGGATTTGGACTGGGAAGTGAGTATACTCCGTAGGTGGATTGGCATTTTGTGCTCCGAGGTGTACCACACGGGTGGTCGCTGGGCCGTGCTTTTCGGTCGGTAAATGGGCGACCGGGAAAAGAGTCGGATGATAGATTAGAAGGGATATATGAGATAGTTAGAATCGTGATAGTCTATTCTATTAGTATATAGTAATAGAATACGTGATTAGAAAGAGCATCTTTAATGTAATCTTCGGATCTCGTATACGTAGTCGGAAGCAGCTCGTCTTCAACTGCCCCGGTCAAGGTTCCTCGGCAAGTCAGCCAGGGCCGGTTTCTACCACGTCTACCCCGGAATGTAGTACATTAAGAGTAATAGTATAGTCGTATAGTATTATATTATATAGTATATAGTATATAGTATATAGTACATAGTATAGTATATCCTATAAGTATACTCTCTAGTTATCGTACAGCGGCTGTCGTTACTCTTTCTAGCTCGGACAGTCTGTGGGGGCGTCTCCACGAAATCCTTAGGTCCTTGCATAACTTTGGGCCTCCGCAATTTCAAATGTCCAGTTCCCCAGCGGCTCTCGGCTCCATCTTTTTCTTAATTTTTTTTTTTCCTTTTTTTTTTGGAAGTCCACTTGAATCTCCTAGGTCTTCTTTTGTTTTTCCCTCCCCATATTATTTTTATTTTTATTTTATTCTTCCTTTTTCCCCCAGGGCCCCATTAATTCGGCGTTCTCGACTCCGTTCCCTCCCGACCCCCCAATTCGCCTTCCCGGTCCGCAGCCCCGACTCTTCTGACTTTCCCCCACACTCCGCCCATTCCCATTCCCGCTTGGGCTCCTCCCTCTTCCTCTCTCTCCTACCACCTTCTCCCCCTCCTCCTCCTCTCTCTCTCTTTCGCTCCTTCCCGGCTTCATCGCGGCTTCATTCCCAGTGCTGCGCACTACTTCCTCATCATCCTGTTAGTCTCTCGATTTTCCAGTCCGTCCGAGCCGGTCTGAAATTCTATACTCGGCATATGCAATACTGACGCGGGTTCTCTCCCATAAAAATAGCCGAGCACGCCCGCTTGAGAACAAACCCGCCGAACCGGACCAAACACGAGACTTTGTACAACTCTCTCTCTCCTCCTTCCCACTTCCTTCCCATCCACCTCCCAGTTCTGGTTTCCCAACCGGATTTTCAACGCAGGTAGATGGGCCCTCGCAAATCGCCTGCAGTGTATAACCTCGAGTTTTCTCGCCCTGCTCCAGACCCGCGGGTCTGCGATATCCACAGCCATGCGATCAAGCATCGCCTGCGCCCGGTGCCGGCGCAGTAAGATCAAGTGCGTCAATGCCGGCATCGACACTACCTGCCGTGCCTGCGAGTCCTCCGGCCGCGAATGCGTCTATCCTACCCCGGCGATTGGCGTAACCGGGAAACGGGATCTAGCAACTTTAGCAGAAGGAGAGGATCGGAATGGTGATTGGGATGGTCCGAAACGCTCGCGCCCGCGCAAGTCTATCGGCATGTCTGGCGCATCCCCCGGCTCCAAGGCCGGTCTGGATGCCTTGGATTCGTCCATTCTTACCACCAAGGTCTGGGAGGCCGTCTTTGACCTCTTCCAGTCACATTTCGCTACCCTTCTACCTTTCCTACACCCTGCGACTTTCCTCGGCCAGATCCGACTCCTCTCTACACCTCCCGTCCCCCCATCAGTGGCCCCGTTAGATGGCCAAGATGCAGCACATAACCCGTCCCTCAAGACCGACCCGTCATCTTCGTTGATTCCTCTCGGAGTCCTCGCGCTAACGGCTCGTTTCCACCCTCCCCTTGTGGCCTTCCACTCGCCGGCTTCACCCGGCCACGCTTCCAACCCTCTCGCCGCATCCGAATTCTATGCGACAGCTTTGCGCAGCCGGCTGGCCGGCCTGGATGGCGCAAGCCTCGCAGTGCCCGATTTGGCTCGGGTACAAGCTTTGTTGATGCTGGCACTGCACGAGTGGGGGATGTGCCGGGGAAAGAGCGCCTGGGTATACGTGGGCATGGCCATTCGACTTGCACAAGCTATGGGGTTGCCGTTCGAATTGGAGAATGAATTCCCCGCGCGCGACGTTTCCCGCTCATCGCCAGGTTTCAAGACCGAGGCGGATCATTTCGGCCTCACCCGCCGTGTGGAGCCCAAGGAACTTACCTCCGACGATATCATTGCACAGGAGACGAAGCGTAGGACATTCTGGGCTTGCTTCCTACTGGACCGGTGCCTGAGCAGCGGAAAGTATCGGCCTCGGATGATCCGGGTCAAGGAGCTCGGAATTCAGCTTCCGAGTGACAATGCTTTTGCTTTCGGCGAGCGTGTAAGAACGGCCCGTTTGAATGAGCCGACGACACGCCGTCCCCAGAGTTTCGGTGCACAGGGTGTGCAAATCCCCAGCATTCGACAGAGCATTGGCGGGTTTGGTGATGAGAAGCACCAGAGTGGTAATGGTACTCCAGACGGCAAGGCCTGGTCACCAATCTCACGGCGCAAGGATTCAAGCGAGGACGATGTGGATCGCTGGGAGGTCGGTGCTGAAGAGTCAGTGCTCAGCCGAGTGATTCGCATCATCCGAATCTGGGGAAGCATTGCCAAGTGGTCCTGTGCTGGCGGTCGACGAACCGAGCAGTACCCGCCCTGGCACCCTGAATCCCGCTTTGCATCGCTGCGTATGCAACTGAACGAGTTCCAGGACAGCCTCTCCCGCAACTTGCAATATTCTCTCCGGAATACGGACACCCACATCATGTATAAGACCACCCTGGCTTCTTATACTGTGATGCACGTCGTCTACTTCCTGTCCGTCATCGTCTTGCATCGGGCTTATATCCCGTTCCTGCCACTCCGTTGCAATGAGCCTGTCGGCCCACTGGATGAGCCACTGTTCCCCTCTGATAAAGTCAGCGGTCCCCCCGAGGCGTTCTGGCGTGATAGTGCTCGCGAGCTGTTCAAGGCTGCCCGCCAGATGATTGACCTCGTGGTTACCTGCCAAGCCCGGGGTGCCCTCGTGGAGAGCCCGCTGGTCGGCTTCGCGATTTATAATGCCGCGTTCATCGGTGTATATGGCACTCACTTCCCTCACATGGATCCCGAGGGTCTGCTGGGTGTGCGGTCCCCTCCCCCGAGCCACGACAGCCACCAGCCCGGCGCTGCCCAAGCTCGCAAGGCACTTGATATCTTGCGTGAAATGCGGCCTCGTCTGAAGATGGCCACCGGCTGGTTCCGCACCCTGAACCGTCTGCACAGCTACTTTTCCAAGGTCAAGCGTGACTTCCGCCGGTACTCGCGCAATCGTCTGGATAGCATGTCTGACGCATCAGATCACGGTGCCGCCAATGGCATCCGACCTCTGCGTGAGGGTGGATCCGGTGGCGGTCTTGAAGAGTTCAAACTCCTTGAGAAGCTATTCCTGGATTTTGGTACCATCGAGGACCAGCTGCCAGAGTCGCTCGATGACGATGGTACCGCGATTGCCATGACTGGCGAGCCTATGCATGAGCGCACAATGAACCTCAGCGACGCCGGTAGCAATGCTGTCAAGAGCGACGTCGACGGCAGCGAGATCTTCGACGGTGCTGGTGGCCGTCGTGAGTCGTGGGTCCCCATCAACAGCCCCGGTCTGCCTCTTCCCGGCCACGAGGGTGACCGTCGTCCCAGCCTGCCACTCCCCAACAGCAGGCCCATGCCTTCGCAGTCCCCCTATTCCCTGCCCTCACTGCAGCAACACCACCCAGATGGACCCATGTATACCTCCTCGCCACCCAGCCTGCCCAGCATCGCGGCAACCACCCAGTCACCCTCGCAATATCTCACCGCAACGACCAACCGTCTGCAGCCTATCAACTCATGGCTCCCATCTCGTCCATCCGTACCTCCTCCTCCATACTCGCAGTCGTTGCCTCCCATCAATGCCTCCGCCCAGAACGGCATGCCAGTTCTCCCACCCCCGGGCTCTGTCACACAGCTCGCTCCCTCGCCCCCATTGACTTCCACCGAGGGTCCTGACACTAGTCTGCTTTCCACAAGCCTGGGTGGCGACGATGTGCTCGCCTTCTTGGATGGCTGTGAATGGGCACAATTGTCGCAGACTGCTCCCTCCGAGGTGGGCATTCCTGCTGGCTGGTTGAGCACCGTCTGGGCACAGTTCGCTCGGTAGGCGTACTCTTGCCGTGGATGACCTTGTACTATTATATTTCACGACTTTCCTTGACCTGTTTTTCTCTTACCTATTCCGTCCTGCCTTCCTACCTCACCTATACCTCCTTCTCTCTGTCCATTTACCCCCTTATCTCTCTCTCTCTATCTACAATCGCGGGCGACTTTCCTCAAAAATGTGCAGGGCGGATGGGTTTTTCTTTGGCTTGGTTGTCACGGCGTTGCGGAGGGGATTTCTTAGGGAAAAATCCCAGACGCGAGTATACGCCTCTTGCTATATGGGTGTTCTTCTCTGTCTTCTGGCAGCCTTTTTTTCTGTGATGGATTCGCCACATTGCGATTCATCTTGCCCTCTACCCGCTGCACCTGAATCGAATTCTATCAGGTGCTTTCATACCACACCGCCCACCTCCTTCTTCCTCTTTTCCTCCGGGCTCGTCCCACCATTTCCTTTTCTTTGCCTCTTTGTTGTGTTTGAGCGAGCTACTGAGTTGTACTGGCTTGGGCCTGGTTGATCGGATGAATACGAGCGGGTTGGATTGGATCGGGGCGTGATGTGATATTTTGAGAGGAATTTTTTGTTTTGCTGCTGTTTTTACTGCGTGGGTATCGTGTTTCGTGGCCCGAACTCGAACCCAACCCGAATCCTGTTTTTGGGATGTGATTATGAGCCATGGCGTTATGTCGAGTGTATCTCTTTGGTCTTTGGATTTGGATTTGGTGCCTGCTTTCAAGCTATGTCATGAGCTGTGAGCCCCCTTTTTTTATCTTCTTATCTTTTTTTCCAATTGATACAAGCCGTTTTGAATTCGGTGGCACTGCAATATTTTTCTTCGTTCCTTGGTTGTAGGGTTTTGGCTGGAGGTGGTTTAGGGTGCTGCTGATATGCTGGGAACTTGTTGAGCTGGGTAAGCTGATTCTAGGATCTGCGTAAGATGAACTGGATATTGGAGCTATGTAATTGCATAATCTGGGAGGCTGTGTCGCTTTGATGGCGGCGCTTAAGGATCATGCTGATACGCTGTGGTGTTTACTCATCTTTTCGGCAACATTTTTAGAGGCCTTGTTTCTCCTTCGTGATGCAAGTGTCCAACACCAGCACTACCTCTTACGCACTGCATAGGTACCCCGAGTAGGTACTAAGGTATGAAGATTCTGTCTCGCTTCGCGACGGCGCTTAGTGGTCGCGCTGATACGCTGTGATATCTTTTGTTTGATGGCTCAAGCATCATGTGGTAAAGGGTTTGTCTGAATGGACTATCTTGAGAGAGACTAATTCGAATTCGTTCTTACGCAGATGAGGGGACGAGGGAGATGGAATGCGGTAAACTCGAAGAGGTCGCTGTTGAATTCAGTCGCAAGAGGCTTATCGAGCATGCAAAACGGATTTTGAGGTCTACGACCCGCAAAATTGAGAACCACCTTCTCTCATCAGGGTCTGGATTGAGTTCTTTATCTGCGATCCTCGAGATCCTACGGCAGCGTCGATATCTGAGCGATTCCAAAGTCCGAATTCGATTAGCCAGACTCGCATACGGATTTACAGAGTCTACACGCTTGGGTGACCTCCCCGATTTCCTTAAAAAAGCACGCCTGTGGCGAGGTATACGCTTCCTCGGACGTCCCATCCGTAATTGCCGCTTTATCTCACAGATTGCTTTAATGGTCCCTAAATTCCGCAGAGTTGAAATCCGTCGTATCCCTCGGCCACCACCTACCCAACTAAAGCCTGAGAGTATCCTTTCTTTAGAAGATACAATACAACGCCTCGGGCTGGATGATTGCGAGAAGACGCTTCTCCAGGAAATTTCCGAGGCCGAATGGTCGAAAGTTCAATCTAAATTCAAAGAGGGATTTCACGCCCACGCCGAAGTGCAGTTGATATCATGGTACTCGGCTAATCCACATATGCAGCCTGTCATCAACTATTTTGGCTGTAGCAAAAGAACTTGTCTTCTCTGTGAGGCCCTGATGAGTATTCAGTCGCCGACTATTTCCAGCAGGGGTAGACATGGTGTCTGCTTCCCTGATTGGGGTATTCCTGATATATTTGTCACTGAGTCACCTTCGATTTTGGTTAACTTGGAACGCCATTTTCTGGGAAGAATAAGAAAATATGTGGCTGGTGGGAGTGGGGACTATCAAATTCATTCTCACGTTCCGCAATCCACTGTCGTATCGGCGGTCCGTAGTCAGGACCTGGAGGGGGCTCGGGTACGGGAGGATCTCATTGATACCGAAAAAGCACGAAGGTCAGATCATATCAAGATGGAGAATGCCTTGTAAGTGCTTTTGTGATCTTCTATTAAGGAGTGTTACTTACCAAACACAGAAAAAACAATACATCCAGGACATCAACATCCGAGTTCGGGGTCAGTGCTTTCTCTCGCAGACTAATCTGCGTGATGTGTGGGGATCCCAATCCAAAACGATGCTCGCGCTGTAAAAGTGCCCATTACTGCGATAAAGATGACCAAAAGGCCGACTGGTCCAGCCACAAGCTACTATGCAAGCAAATGTCACTTTTGAGTGCACCAAGAACGCCCAACGACCGATTGGCGATCCTATTCCCAGAAACAAAAGCACACCCTCAGTTGCAGTGGATACACTGTCAACGCCCGGAAAGGGATGAATATTCTCAAGAGAGATCTCAGAGAGCAGAGGTTGATTCATTCTTTGGCCAGAATGCGCTCGTCTCAAGATCTTTCGTACGTCACAATGCACGCCGCGGTCGTAACCTCAGGAACACCCTTGTGGTTAATTACAGGGATCGCTTTTTAAAAGACGGTTCTAAAAGGAATGAAAGCATTATACGCTGTGTTGGATCAACAGAGACAGCACCACACGATTGGCGAGGCCCTATACTCGTTCTTCGGGAGTCCCGCGGTGTATATGAAAACATCACTCTTGATGACTTTCGTAATATCGTGGACTACTTTGCGACATACAATTCCTCCAGGGTTATCGAGTACGACCACATTAGCCAGAAGACACTGGGAAAGAGCCAGTGCGAACTCATGGGCGTCAAAATCAATAGCGATGGCGAGATGGAGCTGCACGGAAGTCCTAGATTCGTTCCCGTCGGAATTCCCAGAGAACACCCTATACGCACGCTACCCGGTGATATGAATATAAGGGCATCAATCTCCCACAAGATAGGAATACCGCTACGGCTCTGGCAGACAATGAAGTGGGAATCCGCCTTGACTTTCACAGAAACTATGAACTTCGATTCCTTGGGATGCAATCTATCTAACAACCAGGCCGTGACATTTCTCACGACTGAGATAGATCCGCATAGCTCGAATTGGGGATTCTCGTCAATGAACTATTTTGGTGATATTGGGAATGTCATCGCTGCTCGGGAGGACGGGCAAAATATTACTATCGAAGAAGTTGAAGACATTTGTGAATTTTCGCAGAACATCATGGGTCCCAAGTTCGAGGAAGCTTTGGAGGCTAGCGGCCCTGAGGATTTCGCTCAGGCTAAAGCCGCTATTGATTCTTTGTTAACACCGGAAAGCTTCAGAGTCTTCCAAGGGGGCCGTCGCAATGGAGCAATTGATACCTACTAGCTCCGAGCTTATCTATTTTATCGGCCAAATTGATATGAACAATAGTTACAACGCTTTGATGTTGATATTGACATTGCTAAACAATCCTGTGTTCCTTGAGTGGTCGACTTGCAAATATTCGTGCGTGCTTTATTTGTCAATGCAGTCGCAATAGACTCAAAGATGGAGCTAATGTCTTCCAGCGATCCTCCCACGCTATAAATAGCTTCAATGGTATCGGATGACCAACCTTTTCGTATGTTATTTATCGTATTCCCGTATCCTTGAAGCAAAGGAGTGATAGTATCCTGCATAGCTAGGCGGCTCCATAGGGACAACACGTAAGCGTAATGCTCATTATCACCGTAGGGCTTCTGATAGCGTGTTTCGTTGAAGTAGCACTCGTTAGGTGTCAGAACAATATTTTTAAGATAAGATAAGGACGAATAATTCGAGTAGGCTGAAAATGAAGTTTCATTTTCCGAAAGTCTACCTGCATGTACCGCTGCTTCGTAGGTCTTGATGCAGAATTAAAGCATGCATTCAGTTGCATTTAATGAAGCACGTCGACCTAAAAGATAAACTCCCGAAATACTACTAGCGATAGCTAGCTATCTTTAGCTAGCGATTAGTAGATCGGCTACCTCTATACCGGCTAGGGATCGATTATAAGATCCCTTTAAAACGTGACTAAACCGGCGTCGAAGAGCCACTACTATATAGCCCCCTTTACGGCATAAATAAAGAGGAACTCCTTTACCTACGAAAAAACGTTAACGGACCTACTTAGGAAGAACTTTATATATATAAGCTAATCGCCTATAGTAGTATTAATCCTACTAGTTAGGAAGCTAGATGTTACGCGGAGCCGACTGGTCACTATGAGTTAGAATGTTCACGGGTTATACTTACCTAGTTCTAACTGCGGATTCTAAGAGTATCTCGCGACCGTACCGTTGCTATGCTAAGCCTTACGTCGGGTTCGGGTCCTATCGAGTATCTTGCAGAACGTGCCAGAAGTACGCGCTAAGTAAGTCAATCACTAAGTGTTACTACCGAGTGAATCCCCTACTTATAGGTTAGGTTATCTTAAGGTGAACCGTAATGAAGTAGAGTGCTAAAGGTAGTAACTAGGTAATAATGTGTAATTGATCGTGAAGAACTAAATATATAATACTAAATAAATATCCTGTCAACGTATGGACGTTGTGGGGTCATGTGACGAAAGACCCACTACCCCTCGTCGCTTCTAGATCTTCTCTATAAGATCTACAGATTGATCCTTAACGATCTCGCATTGAATTGCCTACTTAGGCAGGAGACTATTTAACACTCCAATATCTTGATCTTTCATGTGATCTTTTACCATGTTTCTTGTGATATAAATACTGCTATGTTGCCTAACTAAATTGAATCAAGTTTATCATCCCTTTTGATCTCTCTTCTAGATCGGTGGTACTCTTCCATAATCGTGGTGCTTCTTCATCTTCTAGGAAGTGCACACGACCGACATACTCATAGCCGTGTATTCAGACACCACATTGAGTCTTATCCAATCTTATGCATACACTATCTTCTTGTGTGCATTACCACGACTTTACGGTCACCGCCTAAAAGTTATTAGCTTTAATTAGATAAGAAAGCTTAGTTATAGGAATTAAGGCCAAAGTAAGCGCGTTTTACTTCACTTTCGTTATGGCTAGTGTCGGAGTCTAAACGAGGGCGTTTGGTTGTTAGTATGTTAAGTGGTTTAGAACTAGAAAGATCGAAATTTATATTGTTAATTAAGGCCAAGGGTTCTATATCCATCGATTCTGATTAGCTAGAGGTTATCGATTTATCCGATTTCGGTTCTAGTAGTAGTGTAATTAGTTAATCACCGAAGATTTCGTCTAATGATTTTAGCCAAGTATCGTTTTGATGAGAAGTGGGCTAAATATAAGGTGAATCTGAAGGTTAAGGAGATCCTTTACCCCCTAGGTCTTATTAATTGACTAGGATATCTATATCCTCGAGGATCTAATTAGTTTCTTCCTTATTAAGGATAGTGATCTGTTGTATAAGGTCGTTTTCCTTATACATTTAAATACGTTAGTTTAGTTGAGATAGGTTATAGAACTCTTCTTCGTTAAATTAAACGTCTCGTGCATGAATTACACGTCGTTTAGTAGGTATCTAGATACGCTAGATATTATAAGCTTCGTATCCTACTAGATAACCGACTACCGTGCGTGGTACGAGCTTAGCTAATCTAGGTAGTTTATTAATACGTACCTAGGGCGTTGGTTGAAACTTGAACCTGATTTTCTTGATTCACTCTTGCTGATCCCGACACGCTAAATGGCATGGATATATTGGCACTGTTATTTCAAGCCCGCCTTCCTCTCTTCTTCCCCAACACCAACGAAGCAGAAAATTCCACTCTACATGATGGATAAAGAACGATTTAAAATCGCAAGCATTAATGAAGGGACCACACATGTTTTTCACAGTATTTTTGATATCGTCTCTTGGCAACAGCTCGGAGTCAAGGTTCGCTTGAGAATTAGTCATCATTTAGGAAAAGTACACATAGAAAAAGGCCTCGTGAGCAAGATAGCTGGTTTGAAATAAGATCTCTATTCCTGGACTCAAAGTGTCTCCTGACCCGGCGTCATGTCTGTAGTGATAGGTTCCGGGCATACCTGAACGGGTATTGTCAAGGTAACAGTCGATGAGAGGGGAATCAAACGAGGGATTTCAAATGCAATAACCACCCGTATCGAATAGAATCTGGAAATGAGACACGAGGAAAACGTCGGGGTGTAAATTTTGTTTGCGGGGAGTATGATTGGCAGAGAGATAGAGGCTGAGTTGATCTCTGGCTCCGTTTCGACGAATCCGTTGATTCCAACCCCGGGAGCTTGCTCTTGCAGAGGTGCCTTCCGTTGCTTGGTCGTCCTCCATTGTATAGATGTAATGTTTAGCAGAGCTATTGGGATTGTTCGAAAGAACGTGCAATGTTGGGGATTTGCATAGCACCGAGAAACTTCATCAGGCAGCTCCGTCCATGGCTCCGTACCGAATTCTGTCATGGCATTGAGCTTGCTTTGAACAGTCTTTAATATGGGAAGGGGTTGACCCCATACCCATAGGTGTATATTGTAGATCAATTTTCAGCACAGTTGATGCGGGCGTTAAAAGCTGATTTATGTCCTTGCACAGCCGAATTACGGGTTGATTTGCCTTGGCGGAGAGCAGCCCTAGTTTCTTGCCGGATAGACTTTGGACCACGCAGTCGTTTGAGATGGTGAAAAACTTGCTTTTTCGGGGACGAAGATAGGAGGTGATTCAGGCAGTGTTGGAAGAACATAAAGTCGGTGTTCCTCATTGACAACTTGAAGTTTTCGTTGATCCGCTTTTGAGATCATTTCAGAAACACGGAATTTGACGGCATAGTCGATGGATACTAGATCAGGCCCGAGGTCGGATAACGATGATGATGGGCTACTAATACTCATTGATTGGACTGTTGAACCAAGGCTCGGAGGCAGAAGTAAATGTCGGGTTTGTATTCCAGGGTGCTTCTGCATATGCTCGCATGTCTGCGGTAGAAGCTCTAGGGGCACAACGAACGAAAAAGCCACTCCTGCATTCAGAAACGTAGCCTCCGTAAAATACGGCCCATATTTGGGCTCATCCATGCGTAAGAATTTCTTCTTGACAAAGGTATGTGATGTCCATGGACTGGAAAGGGGCACCTCGATACCTGCCATGGCAATTCCTAGCAGAGAAAGTCCAGATCAATGATATGATCTCATTTAGGTGATGAGGGGGCCAAACCTTCAAATGTGATCTGGAGTGTATGAACCAACATATCATAATCCGGCTTGAAAATAATGTCACCCTCTATTCTTTCATTGGTTCTGAAGATGGGAAACTTTGATGAGCCGTTCGAAAAACAAAATTCTACCCCAGGGACGGATGTCTTGGAGGCTGGTAGTGATCGATGCATCTGTTTCGCTGAATTCTCCATTTGTTACAGTAAACGAGAGTGCTCAATAGAATTGACAAGCGAAATTCCGTTCACTTATGAGAACCAAGTCTGTCGGCTATTGGAACTCGCCATTTTTCAACAAACATATCTCGTCACATTGGATCGCCTCGTATTTCGACGTAATTGGTAAATACGGCGGGGCCTCTGTCGTATGTACTTCCGTATAGTAATACCGCACCGAAGGATAACTTGATTCATAATACTAATGGCCCTGGTTCTCAATCAAAGAGGCCTATGTTATGCGTCAGTCATATTTCGTCCTGTGCCGAAATTTCCTGGGCTAACGGTAGAATTTGTTAGCATCAACATCAGCATCTCACATCTCACATCTCTTTATTGGTTGACGTGGCCGCCCTTGACAATTCAACAAGTTATCCCAATGCAGCATTCAACACATGACATTTTTCAGCATTCCTAGTCTGGAGGAGCTGCTAACGTAATCATTGACATCCCAAGTCGCTCGGGACGTCGTGTATTTACAAATTGGGAGACTTCTGGGGACCTAATATCTGCACTGACACGCTTGTGAGTATTATATTAGAATCAGTAGACTTGCTAGGTGACCTGTTCCTCCCTTCCATTTAGGAATTTATAGGTGCTGTTAAGCTATGATGCGTCTTATTTATGCCTTACAGCTTAAATATACATCTAGGAAACTAGATATATAGCACCTTCGATTATGCGGAGCGCAGTCGGTGCTTTTTTTGTATTGTTAAGCAGTGGGTGGTTATATGGATATATATTTTTTAAGGAAACTAGAAGTACCGAAGACAGTGTAGAAAACCTTCCATCAAGGGGCTTAGACATGATACTTTGAGAAGAGAATCTTTCCACCTACTGTATTGCAAACCTTACTTGATATCCCGCTACGTAATAGAGAGATTTCCACAATTTTCTCCCGCACCCCTCCTTTTAACGCAAAATCACAAAGATAGTACAGGACACCTTTATCACGTTGAGAGATACGCACATTCAGAGCAAATAGAGATACCACCGGAATCTCGATACTATATTCTATCTTCTTATAACCAGAGGATACACCTCTGTGCCACTCTGGAGACGGCAACTTTAGTTCTAAGCCACCCATAACGACACGGAGAGTAAAATTGCTACCCTGTTCTACATGTCCTGGGATTTCCTTGTCACCATGCAAAATCCCATCCGCTTCTTCGTGATTTCATTCATTGTTCAAACGATGAGCCTATATGCATTTCAGGAAACAGTGGGTTTGGTTCCTTGGAGAATCGCTACGACCCATGTTGTACGTCATAGATATTTCAGGCTACATTCCACATGTAAACTTTTTGGTAGCTAGTCTGACAGAATATCAAATCATAAAATGCAAGACTTCCAGGAGTAGGCTCTTCTTGACTTCGTCGGGGGTTGGAGGCAGCCCCATCAACTCAGTCACCGCAATTTGGGCACTATGGACGCTGTACTGCATAGCTAAAGTAGTATCGTCGGGTATATCCACAAACTGGCCAACGCATGCGATGTTGGTAGTTCCTTGAGGAATCACTCGAGGTCGATCTCCTTCGTGCCGTGACAGAAAAGGAGCAGTCCCAAATGGCATTCCGTATGGGATAGTTTTCGAGGTTGACAGAAGAGGCTGAATAGGGAATTCAAGAAATGAGAGTATCTCGAATAAAATCTCCTGACCGCTGCATTTGTACATGGGCTTTCTCACAAATCTCCCCTCACTGGCCGGTTTCAGGGCATAACCGGATATAATGTTCGTCGATCTTGATTGGCTTGAAAAGACAGGTTGGCGTGGAATGGACAGCGATATTGCCCAGTTGCTCTCTGCCAAGGTTATGATAGCGCCCGTACCGGGGCGGTCATGTGTCAATTTCTCATAAAGTACCATGAAATCTGGCCCGTGGAATGTTGTCGTAAATGTTTCGACTGTAGACCGTAGGCCTTGCGACAGAAAGTTGTTAGGACACCCGAATTTTGGAGAATGCTGCGCAAGTCTCAGCCACAATCGCCAGTCACGAGCTACTTCATTTTCACAGTTCAGGGACAAGTTAGGAGGCGAGGATTGGTTTGTTCCTAACGATGCACCTGCACTAGTCGAGCCTAATGTTGCAATAACGATGTCCGTCGGATTGATATTGACCGTATGCTCTAAGCCATCTTGAAGGAACTCAAGCGACGTGACCATAGCTGGGTCTTCCACCGGGTAGACAGTCAAATTAGTTACCTCTGTATTGAAATGAAAATGGACATGCTCTTCTTTTAAGTAAGTCAGAATAGGGTAGACGATGGATTCGTAAAGATTGGACTCGGTTCGATTCAGCTTTTTGACGTTGTTGAGGTCTTGTATATCTTCCAGATATTTGCGAAGATGTCTTCGAAACTCGATGGCACTATGCCAAGGCTGCAGTCCGAATCTAAAGGCAGTTGTTTAGATAAACTTTTGACCTCATTCTTTTACAAGGGTAACAGGACATACTCTGTAGCCCATAACATCCAGAATGTTGATTTGAAGAATGCCTCATCCATTATATCCTTGACAGTCTTTGAACCAATTGTAGCTTCGCCCTCCAGTATGAGATTCACTAAAGCAAGTCGATTCCTAGCCCCGATATGGAGACTTTTGGTTTCGACCAATTCCAATCCCGAAGGTCCATGCTTCAGTGCTCGAACAAGAGCAGTTTTCTGCGGCTGAGGCCGTTCGATATTCTCAAATCGTCGAATCTCATCCATCATAGTTCCTCCAACCTCTGTTTTGCTTGGAACAAAAGACAGAAGTCTTTCTAGTGAACTGCCGTGAAAATATGGATGGCATTCAAATGGAAGGAAGTACCCGTCCTGTGCATTACCACCTGGGGTCATTCCTCCCCCTGGAGCCGGGTGTAGGTCGAGAAGATGAATGCTTGAGCCTGGAACTTGGGCTTCGCTAATCAGATGCACAGCTACCGATATTGACGCAATCCCACCGCCAATAAGCCATGCTTGCATGTGCTTTGGGTCGCGATGAGACTGGCCTAGCTTCAACATGGTGCTTGGAGAAGGTGAGGGGGATCGAGAGTTATGAAGTTTCAGTAAGCACGCAAGATTTTCATTGTATACTCGCCGCTCCATTGAGCCTGGTGACCATTTACAATTTAACTCTGCAATTGGGTATAGGATATGGTTCTGATATATTTTTTTGAAGCCCCACGATAACTAGGTGTGCGTCATCACTATTTAGCTTTTTTGGGTTTTTTCCTGATTCGCCAGCGGAACACTAAATAATTGGCAATTGCATCATGTCAATTGCCGAGACAGCTCGATGAAACCAGAGATAGAGAGAGAGTCATGCAATTTGATAATGTGGATGGGCTAGGCCTTAGGAGCGAAAAAATGACTCGTCGCAATTTGGATGCTTTTAAGTCAGGATAGGACAGATACTGCCTGCTATAACTCAACGAACAAGGAGCGCTTTGAATTTTCTTGAAGTCTTGTAAGAAGAGTGAAAGAGCAAGTACAAATTTGTCCAAACGAATGATAAACCGTGAGCTTGGAGGTGTGAGAAGATGTAGTTGCAAGCTAGATTTAATATCAGATGCTTAAAGACCCCAGCAGTTGAGTGATAGACTAGGAAAATTCGAGTTGGCAACATTGATCACGTAACAATAGTACGGTTTGGTGCGCAGCCTTGTCTTACACTAGTCTTCAGGGCCGCTTATTTCAATCTCATGTAGGTGCTCTGCGGCTCTGCGCCGACCCTCTTCACTAACGAGAGGGTTTTTCTGCGCACTATAGTTCCCATTAAAACAAAAATCTAGACACAGATTCAGATTATTCTTACGCTTTCAATCCGGCCGCAACTCTGGTAGGATCCTTCGGCTTTTCGTCTTGGCTGTATAGTTCTTGTCGAGCTTCCTCGTCATTCATTAATTGCAACATGCTCCTTGCATGTGCCTTTCCCTCCTCTGACACCAGAGGATTATGGATAGCTCTATATTATATCAATTAGTACCCTCACTAGAGAGTCAAGCAAAGATCTTACGCCTTATACCCCCGAGCGGCATCAATTCTCTCCTGAGGTGACCTCGGTCTATCGTCCCCACATGAGCGTTCTCGTCTGTGGCGGTGATACGATACATGCATACTTCCTTCCATTAGTTCCTGGCGGGCCTCTTGCTCGTCCAGCTTTAACAACATTTCACGGGCATGCTCCTTTGCCTCTGGAGAGACGCGCTCATTGTGCAAGGCTCTGAAATACCTTATGAGATACTTTCCAAGACCAATAAAGTGGCATTGAAGAAACTTACGCCTTGTAGCCACGGGCAGCATTGATTCTTTCTTCAGGAGAAGATTGAATTTGATGCGACATTGTGGAAAGTAATTGGCTTCCAGTGCAGTAGAAGACTGTATCACATTATGACTATATCCTTAGAGCAGGGATCTTGCGCATTATATGTATCTACAGCCATCCGATCGGATTATCCACTCATTCCGAAAACACACGCAAGTATAGACCACTCTTTCCCCATTCGTGACCGCGTGGACAGTGTCTTATTGTCTCATTTTCATGGATGTCAGGCCCCTCGCCACAGAGGCGGACCTCTCGTGGAATCATCCCGTGTCACGCCATAATAAGTTCAGTCTAGATCCGTCTTCGTATTTTTCGGCAGTGGTGTCTGGAGTCATCTGATCATGCATAATGACGCCCCAAGCCCCATCAAAACCGATGCACACTATGACAGGGGTTTTTTTTCACTCCAGCCGAGCTAAGAAGTATTAATCGAATGGGGATGCGTGAGGGCCTTTCCAACTGGTAGCTTTAACCTCGTATGGCAAATTCATATATATTTTCATTCAAATTAACAGGATGATTAGCGTCGGAATCATTAACATTACCGAGGAGCACAACACCAAAAGAACATTGTGTGGGGGCCAGAGAGGCGAAAAGGGTCGGAAGGCTGAGTTGGTGGATTAATCGTCGGATGGGCCAGACCCACTCTACAGCCAGCGAACTCCTGATACATGAGAGGATCATTTCAAAATGACAGTCTAGAGGCGGCTGGCGAACTCCATCGAGCTCATTAAGGGGTGATCCGCCCGAAATATCGGAAGTTAATTCAAACTTGTAGTCTAGAGCCCGGAGCCGGGAGTGGCGAGCCACTTGGCGTGAGGATATGTGGGGGAAGTATTACTGCACTACAAAACGCGCTGGATCGTCTCGAGTCACTTCAACCTGGTCTGGAGCCCATTTCAAAGATAAGAATTCATGATACCCATCCAAGAGCTATTCAATGAGGCTATAGAGCCTCTTTGTTGATTGTCCCCTGCCCACGTCATCTTTTAGAATGTACACTCCGAATTGCCTGCAAAATTCAAAGGACAACACAAAAAAGCTCGCATAATGAGGACAACCATATCGTCTCATGTCAACCAAATCAACTATAAAAGGTAGATGACCTTGTTTAATGTCCACTTCGGCCATTTTTGCCTCGGGAACTCTCAATTTATATTAAACGAGGCAGGATATATCTACTAGGCGATATAATGAGGGGTAGGGCGTGCGGTTTAGGCGTACTCAAGGTCGCCGGAGATAGATATCAGGCGTCGCCAACTTAGAAATAAGTCAACTGGCAAGCTAAAAAATCAAGTGAGGTCCTAAACTGATACTGATTCTGCCTTGAGACGCATTGCTCCGAATTAATGCCAAAACTACGGACAGTTCTTCTAGTGCACATCGCAAGCCAGAGCATATAGACAAATTTCCGTCCAATAGTAAAGCCTTTTCTTTTTCAGCAAAAAACAAGCATACATAGTCAGAATTCCAGTAGAGAAAACAGTCATCACGGCCCAGCGCCCTATCGGGGTCATTCTGATACCAAGAACAAAAACGACAATAGGCAACAGGCCACACGATATTCAACGCAGAAATGAAGTGAAGAAAACCACTTATTTCAGAAACCCCCTGCTTTTATTAGCACCACAAGAATATCAAAGGCTCTAACGTAGAGCTTAAGTCAATCCTTCCGAGAGAAGGTCAAAGATATCGATCAAAATATTCGTCTTCGGCCTAGGAACAGACTTTTTCAATCCCATTAACTTATGAACCGCAATCTGAGCTCCCCGCACACTGTACTCGACGTTCAAGGTGGTATCCGAAGGAATTTCTGCAAACTGCCCTACCAGTGCGATGTTGGTAGTATTCTGCGGTATCACCTCTGGTCGATCGCTGTGTGCCCTTGGTAAGAGAGCGGAGGTTGCAAGAGGTAGAATGCACGGGATAGTGTTTGATTTAGGAAGAATACTTTCCGCAGGGAAATTGAGATGTGACAGTAGCTCCGCCATGATCTGCTCCCCAGTACAGTCTGTCATAGGTCTGTCAATCGTATTGCCTAATTTCTCAGGCCGAAGGCCGTAGCCCCAAATAACATATACGTTCGCGGGTTGATTAGAGAAAACCGGCTGATGAGGAACACTGATACTAAGTAACCAGTTACTGTCAGGAAAGGAGACTAGTGCACCAGTGCCTGCAACATCGTGGGTTAAGGCTCGATATAGATGTATAAAATGCGGATCGTAGAGAGTCACTGTAAAAGTCACGAGAGTGGATTGAGGGGTGGAGGAGTTGAAATTCAGTGGCGAGCCAAAATTCGTTGACCTACTTGCTAGGTGGAACCATAGAGACCAATCGCCATATGTGATATCATCTGGATCCGATACACGAGGAGGTGGCTCAAAGTTGGTTCCTACCTGAGCGCCTGAGTTTGGCGATCCAAGAGTCACAATAGCGAGATCGCACGGGTTGATCTTGACTCTTTGCTCTTCGTTACTTTCCCTCAAAACGAGCTCGGAAACCGTTTTCGCATCATTAGAGGACTCCACAGATGAGTTTAAGATTATGTCGACAACTTTTGTGTTGAAATGAAAGCTCACACCCTCCGCGCGAAGATATGCGGATATCGGTAGTATAACCGATTCATAGAAGTTGAATCGGGTTCTGTCAATATGTCTTACGTGATTCAGGGTGTGAATATCCGGAAGATGGGACCGAAGCAATCGTTGAAATTCAATTGCACTATGCCACGGTCTAAGCGAAAACCTAAATTTGATTCGAAGTAAGTATAGGCTTTGACTGACCTAGGGATTATGAAGGTCGAAAGACTCACGTAGTGGACCACAACGCCCAGAAATCTGTTCCAAAAAACTCATCCCCGAAGAAGTCTTGTATACTTTTTCTTCCGAGCGACTTTTCATTTTCTAATAGCACCTTCAGTAGTTGCAACCTATTATGAGGTCCAATCGATAAATGATTTGCATCCGATCGTTCAGCATGTCCTTCTTTGGTTCGAATGAATCGTGTATTTGCAACTCTACCAGGTACGGGGCTTTCACTATGTTCGAAATCTCGTACTGAATCCAGCAGAGATTTATCCGAGTTCTTTACCATTGGAACCAATGAGAGGAGCTTTTCGACGCATTCGGCATGAAAGTATGGTGAACTCCCAGGCCGAATCAGGAAGCCATTCTCTGAATCTCCAGAGCTAGTGATACCTCCCCCAGACTTTGGATGACGGTCAAGTATGTGAATGTTAGATCCTGGCATTTGTGTATCATTGATAAGATACACAGCTGCAGCAAGGGATGCAATTCCGCTACCGACAAGCCATGCCTGGGAAGTTCCAGGCTCGCGGACAGTTGAGGTCTTAGGATTCATTGCAAAATTGATGTGAAATGAATATTCTTGGACAAAAGGTTTCTTCACGTTCACATCTGTGGTAGAACTAACCTTATATAGACTATTGACCGAATACATAGGTCTAGATTAAATTCATCATTAGCAATAAGTCCATGATACAGTCATGCGACCCTACCGCGCCATGATGTCATTTGGTAGATCTGGCCAGCAATCAGACGGTCGAGAACAATCGGAAACGGGTAATATAAGCAGATACTCACGAACATGACCGGAATATTTCTCATGCGACGAGAAAATATTATCTACCAACAGCGTTAGGATTCGAAGATCGGACAGAGTCTGGCCGTTCGATGTCTGTGATTTATGAGTGGCATGATGGACTGGAGGAAAATAACAATTTACTTTTCATCTCTTTTCGGTAATTCACTCTATATTGAATCTCTTCCGCACCAGGTCCGAACTATGTCTATGATGTCATCGCTCTTCTCTATTATTGTAGAGCAATATTGCGCCATATGATTTTAGGCTAATCAAATTACTATGATCAGATACTAAGGGGTTATAAAACACAGTCTCGCGCCTTTTCAAAGGTTTGAAGGGATACCCTTAAACTTGCATAACTAATTTAATCAAGTTGTCTCACTTAAGGGCTTCGATATTTAACCCTTTCCAATACTGTAGTATTAAAATTTATAGACAATGCAGGGTTAGAAGGTAGGTATTAGGGAAAGTAGCTTTGCGCGAGGCTTAGAGATTACCCTCTAGAAGGTTTACCTACTCTTAAGATCTATTATTTTATCGTAGGCAACTTTGAGAACCGTCGTGCGCGAGGACCTTATCGGTTTACCTCACGAGGGTAGGTATAGGTTTCCTTTATCTCTATAATTTAGTAGAATAATCTTTAACTATCAGGAATTTTTGTTTAGGTTATGTCGGTACCTCTTGTTAATTGCGTTATTAGCCTTTTTTTAGTTTAATTTTATATCGAGTACTATCTCGTCCTTAGATAGCTTATTTCCAAGGTTGTTAGGCTCACTTCTATCCTTAAAGATTCTAGGATCCCGTGAGGAATATAGAGTCGGCGTTGAATTGTGGAATCTAGTGTTCCCAATTTCTATTAGAAGCGCTTGACTTTCACCACTAACTTCGATAAGTTTATTGTGGAGTGGAGTTAATTGATCTACCTCTACTCTGAGGGTCACTTCCTACCGTCTTAAAGGGAATAAAGACCTAAGAAGCATCTATCGTAGCAGAAATCGCTTGTAATATATTGCGGTCGGAACGGCGAGTAGCAAAGCTCACAATAATATTATCTATCCTTAACAGAGAATAGCCACACACAGAGTCGGCGAGTAGGCCCTTGGTGGGATGACTGAAGCCTAGTGTAGCTGGATATTCTTTCATCGATTTTCTTTTGGAAGTCTTTCGAGAGCATCTTCTTCGAATGGGAGTGTCAAGGAAAAATCAACAGCAGATCTTACATGCGCCCTGGGCTCATATTTATAACCCAGAGTCGGGGGAAAGGGAAAATTGGGTGACCTGGGTGATCAGGGTGAGAATCCTTGCTATATTCTCACCCACTCTCACTCCGGTCTCCAGAGTTCTCATCCATATCACCCACACTACCCTAAGATCGAATCCGACGTCTTTTTTGGCACAGGGGCGCATTGAGGATTGAATGCGTACTATAATGGGCTTAAGTACGGCTGAGCGGACGGAAAGCCCTGTTCTCCACACCCTATGGTCGTATGTGCTCGGGAGCTCTAAAGATTGGATTCTACCCAGAAAGACATTCAACCCTGGTCACTCCGCGTCTTTCTTCCCCTTCCTTTTTAGCTCTCTATCAAGATCAGCAATATGCCTCGCACTTGATTGGTGGATCGGCCGGCTCGGGATGACATAATTAGGTACTTCCCCGAGTCCGGCATCCCGCGGGAAGCCTGCTCATACTCAGTCCCCAAATTACGGCCGAGTTCTGCACGATAGCATTTATACCCATTTCAACCATTTCAATTGATTCCACCGTGATATATAAAGAACAAACCTCAAGAAGCCGCTATCATGGAGAATCACAACTCCACATTAACCAATGCAAAACACCCCGCTAATCCTTATCCATACGATACGGCCTATGTCAGCGAATTACTCAAGCGGAAGCGTCGCATGCGCGGGATCAAATCGTGTTTTCCCTGTCGGCATCGCAAGGTACGGTGTGATGGGAGCTTACCATGTGTAAGCTGTGTGAAGAGGGGTCATCCCGAGCTTTGTCAATTACCAGGACGAGGGAATGATGTTGGTGGTGAGATTGTTTCACCTAGGGAAGGGACGAGGTATGTACTAGATCTCAATTTGCGGTCATATGCAATTGAGACCATTCCAAGTTATTTATTAAGGCTTGGCTGGTTGTTAACATTCGTCTAGTCAAGATAATGAGTCTGGTTATAGCCCACAGCATCAGCAGGGCAATACGACATCTCAGTCCAACTCATCCACCACGCAATCAATCGACCTCATGATCGACCGGCTAACCAAAATCGAAGATCAAATCTCTTCCTTAAAGGCAGATCTACTCCAGACACGCACTGCATCAACGACCCCTGGAACCTTGGACATAAGTTCGAGTACAAACGCCAACCGTAATTCCAATCTCGTATCTAGCTCCCGCAGATCCTCTGCACCAAGCAAATCGTCGGGCAAACATTTCGTGGAAGATGCCACAGGCGCAACCATCTTCCTTGGGAGTCACTCAGATATCCCCGCAGCACTTGGCTGTAGACAGCCATCTCGGGATATGACGATCACCGATGCACTGGTTTTGGATCAGCTTGTACCACGGACATATCCCTTTACTTCTCTCTGGGGACCGGAGGCTGGGACGGGTGAGATTTGTGTTACACTTCCGGATGACTCGGATATTATCAGGTGAGTCGCTGAATTGACAACAGAAATGCGGTTAGCCTGATTGTTTGAGATTGGCATGATCTAATTTGGGTATATAGGTACTGGCAAGTGTATCAGACCGGCGCGTACCCTTTTTACCCTGGTCTTGTGACGATATCCCAATTCGAAACTTCGTTGTTCGCGTTCCTAGATCAGCGCGCCAGTGCGTCTCACAGTAATGAACCATCTGCGCTAGACGATGTTGATCCGTCATGGTTGGCTTTATTATTCGCCGTACTGGCGGGTGGAGTACAATTCTCGGATGATCCGATTAAAGAGCGTGATCTTCGGTCGAAGGTTTTCAGTACGCGCAGCAGTAACATCGAGCGGTCAGATCCACAGCTAACACAATAGTCATAGTCTGTTCATCTTTCCAATGCCTTCGCATTTCAAACTTCTTCAATAACACCAACATGAACCAAATCCAGGCCATGGCGCTGATTGGGCACTGTTTGAGGAATAACCTGGATACGAATAGTGCATGGATCCTTATGGGCAAGTCATTCTTTGCTCGTGGGTTTTTAATTAACACCATTGCTAATGAATCCAGGCGCGACTATGCGACTCGCACAAAGTATAGGATTGCACGAGGAAAATACCTCTGAATCCCCAGACTCATCACTAGATCACTACTACCGCAGAAGACTCTGGTAATACCCCTCCAACCTACATTCCACCCATCTACAACTAAAACTAACCATGTCTATCAAGGTGGATCCTCCTCTGGCAAGATACATTCCTCTCATTCACCTACGACCGCCCACCCAGCACAATAAACCACAGCAGCTCCATCCCCCACAATCCAGAATCTACATCGGCGTACTCATTCGCCGAGTGTATCTTCTCCCTGTGCCAGATCCTCCTCGATCGCGCCCGTCACCATCCCACCGATACTCCCACCACCATCAGTACACTAACCTATAAATCCCGTATCAAAAATATCTGGAATGACGCAGCGCCCTTTTTAGTTGACAAATCCGCTTGTCGCACATTGCAAGATCATCTCGAGCGTTTAGCGCTCCGGATTCATGTTAATTACGGTATATGTCGTCTCTCACGTCTGATACTTGAATCCGCCTCAGACAACGCCGCCATCGACATCCCCACCCTAGAAACCGAAACAATCACCCACGCCGCCGAAGCCGTCGAAAGCTTCCTCGACATGCACAGACTCTCATCCAACGTCTGTCGCTCATGGGCCTTCGTGCACAACGCCGTGAGTTGCGCGTTTACGTTACGCAGTTTCGGGACGACGCGGGTTGGGGGTGAATACTCGGGACTTATGGGGCGGTTAATCAGTGTTTTGGAACGGGAGGAGCGGATGTCTTCGTGGGAAGATGCGGATACGAATGTTCGGTGTTTTGGGCCCTATTCGAGGGCTTTGAGGGCTTTGAGGGAGTGAAGAACGGTTGAGAAGGTCTAGGTGACTCTGTAAGAATGAAGGGAGGTTACGTAGGGACCACGCAAAAGACAGGACTTCGACAAATTCCCAACCCCCAAAAGTGAAGCAAGAAACCACCGTTTGAATATTACAACGTGAAATTTTGAACAGACAAGACATGAGATGAACGTAAAAGGTCAGATGAATTACAAAACGGGGTATATTCCCAAAGCCAAAAATGATGGTGTAGAGTGAGCATAATTTGTTTGACTCGCAGAGCCAAATTAGAAGAACCTGATCAACAAAATTAGTAATAGCTCCAGACCAAGCAGAGAGGTAGCACGAGTAATCGAGTACGTACCAAGCAGCGATAGCGATAATCAGATACATCATCATGAGCAAGACGCCTTCAAGCCAGTGAGATTTGCCGTCTCCAATTAGGTAGTTGACCTATAAGAAAGCCATTAGTATCACCAGATGGTATAGAAAAGGTGCCAGTCATGGTGGAGGTGAAACATACCAAAAGAACAGCCACAAAGAGCAAGATAACCTCGAAACTGTCAAAGTTGAGAGTCTGCAAGAAAAAAAAAAGGTTAGCAAATCCACCAACACATAAATCCCAAGAAACCAGAATTCTGCGAAATCACTCACCATATCATCAATACCCATGATCCAACCCAAGACAACAATAAACGGCAAAACCAACAAAGCAATCTGCATGCTCGATCCAACAGCCACGCCAATCGCCAGATCCATCTTATCCTTACAGGCAACCGTAACGGCAGTAGCATGCTCCGCCGCATTACCAACGATAGGCAAAAGGATCAACCCAACAAAGGTCTCACTAATATTACCCGTCGCAGTCAACGCATCAATAGAATCAACCATGAACTCAGCGCAAACAGCGACAAGGGCAGTCGAAATGCCGAGCGTCAGCAAGGCGACGGGCATAGACAGTTGCGGCTGCTCGGGCTCCTCGCCTTCGTCATCTTGCATGTTGACTTCTTGGGCGTTGGAGCCGCCCATGGTCTGGGCGGTCATTTTGCCGATTTGCGCGATGCCGCGGTTAGCTTCGCCGCTCTTTTTGGAGCGCTTTTCGACTTTTTTGGAGGGCTCGTTGTACATGTCCACATGGGATTTGAGTTGGAAGAAGAGGTAGCAGCCGTAGACGATGAGGAGGAGAACGGAGGTACCTATAGACGGATCGTTAGAATTCAACGTGGAATATGATAGGAGGGTATGTTACTTACCCCGCGAAAGAGGAGCAGTGTTCTCCTTATTCCCATCAGACCACGTGTGGAAGGCAGTAGGGATAATCAAACTAGCCACAGCCAGCGCGAGCAGACTAGCCGCAGTCTGCGCGACGACGACATTGAAATGCTGCTCAACGCGGTTTACACCACCGAAGAAGAAACACATGCCCATGACCAGCAACAGATTGGAAAGCATACTACCAATCAGCGAGGTCTGCACGATAAGAACCTCCTTCTTAACCAGCGCAATGATAGAAATAATCAACTCGACCGCATTACCGAACGAGGCATTCAACAATCCACCAATGGTTTCACCAGTGCGCATAGCAATTTCCTCCGTCGCATAACTCAGCATCGCAGCGAGCGGGATAATCGCGATAAAGTTGACCACGAAGATAGCGATCGAGTTCGCCTTGACCACGTGCAATGCGATACCCACAGGCGCGGCGAGAATAAGCACGTTGATCCAAGAATTGAACACTGTCGCGCGGATCTGGCTTGCCACAGTGAAGTTGTTGGCCTGGGCGGGCTTCTCGTCATCCGGTTCAGGCAAAGGCACGTCCTCCTTATGGCCGCCAAACTTGCCAAAGAAACCCTTGCGCTGGCGCGCCTGAGTACCGTTGGCGTTCGCATTGCCATTTCCTTCAATCTCGGCTTCGAGGTCTAATCCCCGCGCCGTGGACATGTCTGCCGTGTCATTGATAGGTTCCTGGCTGAGATTGGATCCTGCGGGGCCGTAGCTACCGGCCGATTCGGGTGGGAATGTTCCTGCGTAGGCGGGGCCTTCGAGGTCGCTATTGAACTCGGCACGACGCCGTTGGTCCTGGGGGAGGCTCAGGTCGCCCATGCTCCGGGAGTGGAGAGTTTGGTCTTCTAGTTGGATGGAAGTGGTGCGGCGAGGGCGTCGGCGGAATTTCTTAAAGGGGTTGGCCGAGGATGGCTCGCCATCTTGGTCGTACCAGGCGAGGTTACGGGCCTGACGGCGGTAGATATCTATAGACATTGTTTAGCGAAGGGCTTGGTGGTAAATTGGAGTGAGGCGAAAGCGACGGTGATATTGATAGAGGTGTTGGCAAGAGGGGGTTAGATAGAACAGGCCAGGACTCACGCATTATGATCGATAGATAGTGGTATGAGAGATATGTCCTAGAATCGATGCGACGATGAGGTTTCAGGGATCTGATCGGGGGTGTCAGTCTTTGATAAGAATCAGAACAGCCACGAGCCAGCAGGTTTGAACAATGAATGTTCAACGAGCAGGGGTGCGGTCTTTGATATGCGGGTTGCTTTGATGCAACAGCCCAGTCTGCGCCTCAGCAAATGCGCTAATTCGACAGCTGGGAGACTGAAGCCTAGCCGCGCGGATCCCGACGTTAGAAAGCCACGTACGTGAGATAAATGTTCCAAATTTATTCAACCATACAAATTCCCAGAGAGGCGAATGGTGGAGAGATGGAGTGGTGAAGTTGCGAATACGGGGGACGCGACGTGGCGCAGTTGCAACGCAGCCACAGGAGAAGGAAAGGCAAAAATTAAAGAATAGTAAGAGGAGACTATTGAATCAAAACAACCCGGTTGTTTTTGAATGATTCCAAGTGGGATTTCTCCAGAGATTCAAGAATTGGGGAATCTGGGAGATCAAAGCAAGGGGAAGGGGGGGAAGTCGCGTAATCATGCGAGTTGTCAAGAAGAAGAAGAAGAAGCGAGCGTCGTGGCACAGAGAAAAGAGTGTGTGGGAGTGCAGCAGTAAGAAAAACAAAATCAGGGAGAGTCGGTACCCGAGGAGAAAGGCTGGACAGGAGCCAAATGGGAATTGATTCAGGATGAAAAGACAGGGTTAACTTTTTGGCCATCAATAATGCCAGCACAGCCACATTCGTGGGGCCCGGCGATCGTTCCCGCCGAGTACGAAGGTACGCTTGGCACAATTTAGTATTGTATACACAGCAACCTGTGTCCAGTGCGACCGGAGAATTATCAATCGATCCTGGTTAGTATTCAAATTCAAGGCCACGGATCAGGATATATAGGAATTTCTGTGCAGGTTTAGGTTGTGGTCGGGGTGACGATGGTGGATGATGCGTTGGCACTTGATGCTCATTTCCTTGGGGAGCATCACCCCTTAGCCGAAACACGGGCTGTCAACGGAGAACCAAGGAAACCCAAGCGAAATCAAGCAGGCAAAGAAAGGCTTCGCTAGGGGGAAGCTTTCCTTTGTCGAGCTTGAGTTTCTTGGCAATACCCTCCACCACCACCATCATCACATCATCATGTCGTATCCTCGTGTCCTGAACTTTTCTTTGCAGGAGATGTCATGGTTGGATATTCTTTCCCGATGATGACGGGCTAGCAGCAATGCAGCCACCAGGATGCTCACTAGCACAGACGATGATCGATGTGGCACATTGAGAGTACACCGGCCACGCATGGGTCCACTTTGGAATTGCTGTAGAACTCCGCGGGGAGGAAGATGATTGGACTAGTTGGTGACTTTGGCCCGCTCTTGGCATTGCCAGCAGTTCGTATTGTCGAATCACAAACGAGAGTTTCTGTGTCGAATCGAGCCTGGACTAGCCCCACGAACCCCCTTGCTCAATTTCTGAGCTCTGACGACGCTGAGAAGCTCCAAGGAAACGGCCGTAAGAGAAAAACTCGCGTCTGCAGACGGTCACGTGTAGCCCTCGGTCGGGCATTCTTTGCGATGTGAACGCTGTCAAGTGCTGTCAGAAACCCAACTGGGTAATCGTTCCTGTGCCATGTCGATTAGTTGCAAATCATGGCAGGCAAGCAACAGTGCCATCGCAAGGCTTTCCTCCTAAATCGGGGTCGGTATACGATTGGGTACGTCGGTGGCTGGTCAGCCAGCCTTGACTTGATGATGGCGATCACTGGGGAGCAGCCGCACCAGTCGAAAAGCAAAGATCAATGGAGAGAGTTCACAGTCGCAGCCTGAGATCTGAGGGCCTCAATGTCGGTGAGGCCTCAATACGTTTATTCAGCTGCAAATGCTGACCCGCGAAACCATTCCATCGGGTAGGCCAACAGGCACATCAGTCGCAAGATAGTTCCCTGCTTGGGTTAGTAGTTTCTGAGGGTAAGCGCTGGTTCAAGATCTGTAAGCTCAACTCCGGAGTCCCATTAGACTCCGAGGACGATAAAGAAACTCCATAAGGAAAGGTCGGAGGCTGAGTGTGTAGGCACCAGAGTCTTTTGAGAGGAGAAAGAAAGAGTAAGCGCCAAATGACGAGGCTCCGGGGGGGGCTTTATCCTTTTTGTTTCTAAAAGAAGAGCCTCCTTCAACCCGGGTTGGAGTCTGCCCTGTATGTGCACAGTAGAAACTCTCGAAATTATTGTAGTTGCCTGCTGCGGGGAATGGCTGGGCTTGATATTAAGGCCTTATTTTTGCCTGCCACTTGTCCTTGTGCATCTTTCAAACGAATCGGTACCTAGATTCATGCGGATCGACGCCATAGGGCTGGATTTCTATTCTTGGCTCACCAAAAGGGGCAGGTCACTACACTTGCAGTGGGGGCGGCATCGACTCGGAGAATGGCCTTTTCTTTAGTTTCGAGGTTCGCTCTTTGAAGATTGTGATTATCAGTCAATGCTCTAAAGAATGACAGGAGTAAATCGGTACCTGGTCACTCCTGGTGGTGGTAGGAGAGAAAAAACAGCGACTTACCCGGCGTTTCCGTGCCCTGAGTCTGTGGTAGGGCTGAAGTCTAGAACTGGTAGACCCGCCCTAATTCTACACACCTCCACTTTCATAAGGGCAATAGTAGGCTCTGTATATTCATCCATAGTATGAGCTTATCCACGAATTCACCTACTTAATGATTTCGTAACAGGAGAAGTTTAACCTCAAGTATGGACTCTTGCAGGCTGTTCAAATCTTCCGCTCCGGAAGTGCTACTTCATTCTTCCCTCTATTCTGCGAAATTTGCAAATATGAATAAAACCCATGGCGCAATTTTAATCTCCAATACTTACCATTATTCAAAAATTGTCCTCATGTCATGCAACAGCCCGTCCTTGCTAGCATGGCTCGGCTTCAACCGAGTGTCAGGAAATACATATACCCACTTATGGAGCAGCAGGATTTATGGATCTTGTCCTCGGGGAAACCCACTGCTTTACTATTTCGACAAACTACCTAACTCTCTGAATCTCAGCGACGGCATCCATTAGAAACATAATCATATAAAAAATAGTATTGATAGCCTGCGTCCGAAGTAAACAACACCTAGTTAACTAGGACGGTGTCCGTGTTGAGTAATGGGCATGCTGAGGCGGAGGTGGCACCCGGCGTTAACCTTGCAGGAAGCTCCCTGGTGCTAAATAACAAGGGAAGTTTTGGAGTAACCTTAAAGCTAACAGCGAAAATGCGACATTTTTCGAGATATATCAGTCAATTCTCGAAGTCATTACCCAGGAGGATCTCTTCTTTAAGTAGTAGCCCTGATCTGTTCGAGTACACCTCTGGACGCTTTTTGTGAGTCGTGCCCGCGCTGCTAAACGCGTTATTTGCGACTGACCTACTGCAATAAAACAGGTTCAACGAGGACCTCCGCCGCGCTGAACGTCGTATCCAATTCGACGTGGATACTCTTGCAAGGGCGGCCTGCCACTCTGTTGGCCGCCACCTGAATAGCGTGACCTCGATCACAAAACTCGCCGAGGGGGGCTTCAATCGCGTCTTGCAAATCACCTTCAATGATGGATATACAGTTCTTGCACGGCTACCTTACAAGTCAACCGTCCTAAAGCATCTTATAGTGGTAAGTGAAGCTGCCGCCCTGGCACTTCTACGAGCTTACAGGGTCCCGGTTCCTAAAGTCATTGCGTATTCCCCAGATCAGACGAACGCCGTTAGGACCGAATACATTCTACTAGAAAAACTCGAAGGGACGCCGTTAAGCGACTAGTGGTTTTCTATAGACACCAAAACCCGGGTCAAAATAATAAGACAAATTGTTGATATAGAGAGACGATTCATGAGCATTCCCTTACCAGTAAGTGGAAGTCTTTATTACCGCCGTGATCTTGACCACTCACAGCACGCTATCCCAGTCTCGGATAATATTATTGTTAGCCTAACCGCACAGTATGAATAGTGGTATAAGGAACGGGCCTCTTTAGAGGTTAATCGCGGCCTATATAAGTCTCTATTAAGACGCGTCTATTCTGTTTATAAGTATTAACATCGAGTTAAGGGAATACCTTTTCTGTGTACTTTGAAGCACCCGCTAAGCGCGAGATAAACTTTTGTGAAAGATTTAGTAAACCACGATAACACGTCGAAAGATACCTCCGAGAACTATACTAGCTTTAAAATATTTCACCTATTCCGTACTAGTATCTCCTTACCGATTATATAAAGTTAGCGCCTTATCTCGACGTTCTATTAACCTACCGTATATCTCGCCCGACTCTTCGCTACCCGGACGTTTTACCTAATAATATACTAATCAATACCTCTAACGACGTGGTAGGGATTATTAACTAGTAATATATAGTAATGCTACCTCTCTGTTTATACGCCGGAATCCCCGATTATTTTTAAAACTAGGGCGATCCCCTCTCCGAGACTTTATCTAAGCCGGAGGTTAAATTACCAGAAAATTTTGACCAACTCGGCCACGAAGAATAATATGCTATCTAAGAGACGATGCGGAGACGTATTATTTATTTTTATTACGCTACATTAACTATGAAATCCCTACTAGATCATTTCGACGCTATCCGATCCGATAACTGTATACTTCGAGCAAAGCTTTTCTATCACGCACAGGCTCCTTGGGAAGGAGACTCCGTCTCGTTGAAATATATCATGTTATAGGTTCTCAAGAATTGGCCCATGTTGCTGAATGAAGTGGTATAAATGATTTTTGTTAAGTATCTAGTTCATTTTTCCGAACAAGAGATTGAAAAATGCCCAGAGGATTATCGCCAGGAGCAGGAGAAACTACAAGAACTAGGCGAAATGAGGGATCTCATTGGGACGGATGCCCTTGGCTGGGTTTCCAATGATGATGAGCTTGAACGATGCAGGGCTGTGGTTCAGAGTATTAAGGATGGCTTGATGGAACATTCGAGCACTGAGATTGAGAAATCTGCGGTCCTTTACCATTTTCCTTTTGATGATCATGAAGACGGTGTATGATGTCTTTGATACTATAGGAGAGTGACGAGTCTTAACAGCCAACCCAGTTTGCCCAGCCATGTACTACTGCCTCGTGAAGGGACGGGGATACTATTCCTCTTGCAGCAAGATTGTCCAAAAAGAGCTGGTGGCCCAAGGGAGGCTGCCCATAGAGTACCATTCGCCTCAAGGGCCCCTTTAAACTTATCTCCCACCCATCTCACTTAGGCTGTCTGTTAGACGCATAGTCCTTATCTGTTTGTTATCCTTCTCAAAATTCCTAATACAAATCGAGGTTATGTAGATATCTATGTTCAAAGCCTTAATGAATAATGGTCATCATCCTTCATGCTGCGATCTGTTGAAAGCAAAACCTCGCTACTAAGGGCGATCCATCCAGATATCTCGAACGACCTACCTTACTGCCGGGGTTTTAATGTCCATTGAGATCCCAAAAATTTCACAGCCCCTTCAGATCAATAAAGTGCCCTACGTAGGCGAGCCAAGATAGGTTCCATACGTCTACTTTAATCACATCTCCCTTGTATGGCTCATAGTTATGAAAGAGTAATGTCTCCCCTCACTCTAAGCTAAAAGACTCATGATAATTCACCTCTCGGCAAGCTAGTCAAGCATTATCCCTTATCAATCCCCACTTGAATGCCCGCGTAAAACATGCACTACTACGTCACCATCAACCAGCTCCGTATCCTCTCTACATGACGGCACGACCGAGGAACCATCCCCACGCTAAAAAGCTTAGTTCAAAGAATGGAGCACACACTTCCATAGATTCGTCAACAAATTCCCCCAAAACTGAGAGGAAAGACAGTAGACGGACAAGTACCTGATGTACGGGAAAGTGATGAGCCTGCCCTGGCCCATCGGCATGCAGCCGTGCCCGTCCCGATCGTCAGGGGTAAACAATAGTCGGTAGATGCTGCAGGCACGAGGTAATTCATCGTCTTGCAGCTATGGAGAGGAATGGGAAGACTTGATTACGCAATCCTAGCCTGATATTGATAAAGTTGATGATCTTGTTTCTACAGGACGGCTACTGCGCCGAGTAGATTGACAGTATATTGAGGAGATAGCGGAAGAGAAGACTAATGTCCCGTCTGTTGCTGGAACATGGGTGGCCCACATCGAGGCGGGAGTTTTGCCTGCATGGTCCACTGGCACGATCGTACTGGCCAAATAGTCTTATTTGCTGCTCTTCGTTTTACACGGAGACCAGAAGAGTTCAAGGCTTACCGACGTCATACGCGCCGTGTTTAGAGGTCGTTGATCATAGTTTGGGGGTTTAGTCAATGACTCGAATTAAGGAAAAGTGTCTGCCTGTTCTAAAGTCTACCCGTGGTGGGATATGAGAGTGTTATTGAACTGAGATTGTCTGGGGCACGGACGTGGAGTCATGACGCTGCTCGCATTCCTCGCATTCTCGGCATGGACGTGGACACGGCTCGGGGAATAATCTAAGAATAAACATGGCTTTCACATTCCAATGGAATTTGTTAACTTGTTTCACAGTTTCATTGTTTTGCGTGGCAGTTGATCAAGAATGATTTATGACGATGAATCAAGGCTCCTTGGTCTTCTTGACCGACGTATGCCCAGATCGCCGAGGATTGCAATCGACATCCACGACCCGGATCGCCCTTGGCGGGAAAGACAAGCTTTTCTGTCCAACGCGAACCGGGCGTTTGACTGGAGATGCAGATTGAATTCAGCCGGTAATTATTCGAGGAATTGGATGGATATGCTTTCAGCTTTTGCAGGAAGCGCGGCTGGCAGATGGATAGGAAATGCGCATATTTTGGATAGTGGGCAGCCACGAGATTTGTGCATTGGACGGTTCCTTTTTTAGGCGCGGATAATGACTGGCTGGACGGGGATGATATTCCTTTGTCATGCACTAATGCAGGGGGCCAGCCACTCAGGGTCTCGCAAACCGGGTAGTTTTATGGACCCTTGCCAGTCCGCTCTGAGGACCATTATTCAGGGGCGAATTCTGTTTCGGTTTGAAAGGGACCATTTGAGGGACTTTTTCCCTTGTAGTGGGGTCGTGAGTAGCGGGCTGTTGAGCGAATGATATCAGTGGAGAGGGGATTGTCTCAGGGGCTCCCATCCCAGGGTTATCGAGGGTCATTGGCATTGGCGTGGGAGACGAGCTCCACTCGTTCCGAAACAAGCAAAGCTTCAGGGCCAAAAGGGCCTTCTCGCCTTTCGGAGGACCCCTCAAAGGGCTCCCCTCCAAAAGTGGCCCCAGTTGGAGGATCCACTTTGGTCCCTTCAGGGCCCAATGACCCTGAAGCGCCCCGAGATATCGGGGGCCTCAACACTCCCTGTGTTTTCGGTCGCCAATGATGGTTTGCATCTGACAGATGCTCCATTGATGTGCGATGCACCCACAGGCACAGCCCGCTTGATGATGCGTCGCCATTGCAATAATTAATCATGTTGCATTGGGGGATGATGGTGGTGGTGATTAATGGAGGAGGAGAGAGAGTATGAGAAGTGAAGTCGGCCGTCTTACCATCTTTCAGCGTCGGCCCCAGGCAGTCAACCCACTCCAATCACCTGCTCTTTCCCCTTCTCCTTCTTTTCCTTCTTCTCCCTTTCCCTTTTCAACTGCTTCCTCCTTCCTCCTTCCTCCCCCCCCCCCAATTCATTCGTTTTGTTTTGGCTCTCCGTGTTGTGACTACCCTCCAACACATCACATTCCTTTTCAAACCCGTCAATTCTTGACATCACTCGCTTCCGAGCTTTACCGCTCATCATGAAGTACTCCGTTCTCGCCGGTCTGTCCCTCGTGGGCTCGGCCTTGGCCACTGTCCCTGCCATTGAGATCAAGGGCAAGAAGTTCTTCTACTCTAACAACGGTACCGAGTTCTACATCCGTGGTGTCGCCTACCAGGCCGACTACTCCAGCCCTACCAGCGGTTCTAGCAGCTCCAGCCTCAACTACGTCGACCCTCTGGCCGACGTCGAGAGCTGCAAGCGTGACATTCCATACCTCGTCCAGCTCCGCACCAACGTCGTCCGTACTTACGCCGTCAGCCCCAACTCTTCCCACGACGAGTGCATGAACGCCCTGGCCGATGCCGGTATCTATGTCATCTCCGATCTGTCGGCTCCCTCCCAGTCCATCCAGTCCGACGACCCTACCTGGGATGCCGATCTGTTCACTCGCTACTCCCAGGTTATCGATGCTTTCGCCAAGTACCCCAACGTGATCGGTTTCTTCGCCGGTAACGAGGTTGCCAACAGGATCAACAACACCGACTCTATGGCCTACGTCAAGGCCGCCGTCCGTGACATGAAGACCTACATTAAGCAGAAGAACTACCGTAGCTCCCTGGCCATTGGTTACGCTACCGATGACGATGCCACCGTCCGTGAGCAGGTCTCCAACTACCTGGTCTGCGACACTGCCGCGGACTCCATCGACTTCTTCGGTTACAACATCTACGAGTGGTGTGGTGAATCTAGCTACTCCACCTCCGGCTACGAGGACCGCACCAAGGAGTTCGCCGACTACCCCGTCCCCGCCTTCTTCTCCGAGTACGGCTGCAACCAGCCCCGTCCCCGTCCCTTCACCGACGTGCCCGTCCTGTTCGGCCCCAAGATGAACGACGTCTGGAGCGGTGGTATCGTCTACATGTACTTCGAGACATCCAATGAGTTCGGTCTGGTCTCCACCAGCGGCAACAGCGTCAAGACCCTGCAGGACTTTGAGAACCTGTCTTCCCAGATGCAGAAGGCTACCCCCACCGGTGTCAACAGCGCCAGCTACTCCGTCAGCACTACCGTTGGCCGCAGCTGCCCTACCGTCGAGGCCGGCAACTGGCTCGCCGCCAGCGTCCTGCCTCCCTCCCCCAACGCCGATCTGTGCGAGTGCATGTACAACGAGCTGGAGTGTGTGCCCGTTGACAACATCTCCACTAAGAAGATGACCGACACCTTCAACTACCTGGGTGGTGTCAAGGGCGCCATGTCCGGTGTCGCCACCAACTCCACCGCGGGCCAGTACGGTGCCTACTCCATGTGCAATGCCAAGCAGCGTCTGGCTTGGGCTATGAACCGCTACTACCAGCTCAACAGCAAGAGCAGCGACGCCTGCGGTTTCTCCGGTGCGGCCAAGACTACCAAGGCCACCACTGCTTCCTCCTGCTCCGCTCAGTCCTCTGCCATGAGCGCCATCGGTACCGCTGGTACCAACAACGTCGACGGCGAGCTGGTTGCCTCTGCTAGCGCCACTGGCGGCTCCTCTACCTCTACCTCCAAGGGCGCTGGCGCCATGACCTCTAGCCCCCAGGCCGTCTACATCGGTGCCTGGCAGACCGGTGCTTACGCGGTTGCCGCGATCGCCTCTGGCCTGTTCATGATCATGCTGTAAACCACTTGTCATCCAAGAACCAAAAATGGGCTCTTTTCGTCTTTTTTTTTGTTTTTTCAACTTCATCTTGTTTTCTGTGATAAACTGGCGTGTCAAACTTGACACCCTCTCTTTTTTTCGTGTGCTATAGTTTCGGCAGTCTCGCACCTTGGCGCACATCCCGCTCTTCTTGTATTCGAGAACTTCTTTTCTTCCGATAAATTGTTTATATAATCCTTGATGGTCCAATAGCAAGCCGGTGTTCATTCATTGATTCAGCTTCAATCCGTAGTTTATATAGTACTTTGCATCTAGTGTCTGTGGAGATGGTTGCTCTTCAAATACTCCACCCACATCTACAGTAATAAGGTCCTCCTGTAGCAGGTACGTCATGGATGCGTATCTTGTAATTGCAACGCTGGAATAAGCTCTCCATAGATTAAATCCACCCAATAGCACCACATCTTACTCTAATCTCATCGTCTAGAACGCATCTCTCTTCTAGAACGGGCTCAGTTAAGGTACGGTGGAGTCGGGTGCGCGGCCCGCACACCTCTCCACTTGATCCGACCCGATTCCGACTACCAGTATAATATTCAAATACCCCCGGTGGCTGTTTAATTCTGACTCATTTCTTTGATGCGCGCCCTTCAGAAATTAGAGAGTTATTTGGGAATTCAATTGGATGATCCCGGCGTGGTTGGAGCGTGGTTTGTGGTGAGGGTGGTTGTTGTTGGTGAATTGAACCATCTTAGTGTCTTTGCAGGAGGGAGGATCTGGAGTGTAAATGTCAATTGGCAGTATAGAATGGTGTACAAGATACTATATGCTCTTTAAGTGAATTTCAAATAACATTCCATTGAGTAGCATAATGGTTCATTGCACTGGATATAGTAGCTCCGGTGGGTCAATGCCAGAACTAGTCCGAGGATGGAAGTACATGGTTCGCCAGGGGTTAGCTTGTACGTGCAAGACTACAGGTAGACATTGTGAGTCAGAGTCATAGATCAGCAATTGCTGGAATGGGATATAAATACTGCTAAGATTTGTGCTTGATTTCATATTCTTCAATTGACTCAGTCAGACATCATTGCACTTGTCTCTCCAATTGACGGTACCAGTCCTTTTCTATCTATCTTCCTTCTTGGAAATCATATCTACACTTTGTCAAAACGTACACAATCACAAACCACCCAATATGGAAGCTATCAACTCCGTATTCGCAACATGCAAGAAGGAATCCCGCGCTGCCCTGGTCACCTACGTGACAGCCGGATACCCAACCGCATCTTCAACACCCGATATAATGCTATCAATGCAAGCCGGCGGCGCAGGTACGTCCCTCCTTACTAACCCCATCTCCCAACCTAACTCAACCGCCATCTTATTCTAACACCCTTCTTCCTCAGATATCATCGAACTAGGCATTCCATTCACAGACCCCCTAACCGACGGACCCACAATCCAAAAATCCAACGCCCAAGCCCTCCAAAACGGCGTCCGGATCCCGGAGATGCTGCAGATGGTTCGTGAAGCGCGGAGCCACGGTCTTACGGCGCCGGTCGTGTTTATGGGGTATTATAATCCTGTACGGGCTTATGGGGAGGAAAAGATGTTGAGGGATTGTAAGAGTGCGGGTGTTTGTGGGTTTATTATGGTTGATTTGCCGCCGGAGGAGGCGGTGCGGTTTAGGGGGGTTTGTAAGGGGTTTGGGTGAGTCTATACTTGGAATTTGTAGATGTGATTCATTCGCGAGAGTTGACAGATTGGGTGCTAACTGCGGTATATTGTTAGGCTGTCATACATCCCACTCGTTGCACCCTCGACACCAGACTCCCGTATCAAAATGCTCTGCAGTATTGCAGACTCATTTGTGTATGTTGTTTCCCGGATGGGAGTGACGGGCTCCTTGAAGGTGCTTGATGAGGGCTTGAATAAGCTTTTGGAGCGTGTGCATGTCTACACTGAGAACCGGGTACCGACGGCTGTGGGCTTTGGGATTAATACTCGCGAGCACTTTGTGGATGTTGCCCGTATTGCAGATGGTGTCGTTATTGGGAGCAAGATTATTAGTATCCTTCGTGATGCACCGGAGGGTGCTGAGGCTCAGAAGGTGATGGAGTATTGCATGCATGTCACTGGCAGGACAGAGGCTCGAGTCATCACCCCTCCTACTGAGGAAGAAAGCCTGGGAGAAGCCACAAATATCATTTCAGCCCAAACCTCAACAAATGAAGGAGATGCTACGCCTACCGATCTGACCACCCGCTTCGGCCAATTCGGCGGCCAATACGTCCCCGAAGCACTCATGGAATGCCTCACAGAACTGGAAACAGGCTTCAACACCGCCATCGCCGACCCAACCTTCTGGGCCGAAATCGCATCCTATGCCTCCTACGCCAACCGCCCCTCAAGTCTACACCTAGCACCCCGACTCACAGCACACGCAGGTGGAGCCCGCATCTGGCTCAAGCGCGAAGACCTAAACCACACAGGCAGCCACAAGATCAACAACGCACTGGGCCAAATCGTTCTCGCAAAACGCCTCGGCAAAACAGCTATCATCGCAGAAACAGGAGCCGGCCAGCACGGCGTGGCAACGGCAACCCTAGCCGCGCGTTTCGGCATGAAATGCACCATCTTTATGGGCGCGGAAGATGTACAGCGACAAGCGCTGAACGTGTTTCGGATTAGACTCCTCGGAGCACGAGTCATCGCTGTACCCGGTGCGCATCCCGGTGATGGGGGTACGCTGCGCGATGCGGTGAATCAGGCGTTCCGGACATGGGTTACCGATCTTGATAGTACGCATTTCGTGATTGGATCTGCGTTCGGTCCGCATCCGTATCCGACTATTGTGCGCACCTTCCAGGCTGTTATTGGGAATGAAGCGCGGGCGCAGTTCCAGGAGGTTAATGGTGGGAGATTACCCGATGCTGCTGTTGCTTGTGTAGGTGGTGGTTCCAATGCTGCTGGCATGTTCTATCCTTTTGTGCAGGACAAGGGCGTGCAACTCATTGGTGTCGAGGCTGGGGGTGATGGCTCAGGCATTGGCCGGCACTCTGCAACGCTGGCGCGCGGTTCGGTTGGTGTTTTACATGGTGTTCGCACGTACGTGCTACAGGACGATGATGGTCAGATTACTTCGACGCATTCGATCTCTGCCGGATTGGATTATCCTGGTGTTGGACCGGAGTTGGCGAGTTGGAAGGAGTCGGGCCGGGCGAGGTTCGTTGCTGCTAGTGACCAGGATGCGTTGGATGCGTTTAGGTTGCTGAGTGAGACAGAGGGCATTATTCCTGCGTTGGAAAGTGCACATGCTATTGCTGGTGCAGTTAAGTTAGCGAAAGAGTTAGGTGAGGGTAAGGATATTGTGGTTTGCTTGAGTGGACGTGGTGATAAAGATGTGCAGACTGTGGCGGGGATGTTGCCAGAGTTGATGCCAGACATCGAAGAGAACTGAGTTCTGGGGCCCGATTGAGTGCAAAAAGGCGTTAATTTGGATGATTTCCTTTCGTTTGTCTCATTCTCTTAATTTTGAATTGAGTATAACCATAGAATGGGGGTTATTATCACCTTCAGATCTGATCTGATACTATTTAGTTTATCTCTCCTGCCTCTATGCCCTATAGGCGCAATTAGTCTGTTCTATGAAATATTGCAGTTATGATTCTCGTACCATTGAATGAAGAACTGTCTCTATCTTCAAGTCCCATAGTTCAGAAGCTTCTTGGACGGTAAACCATTTTAACCCGCAGCCCCGCGTAGCCGCTCCTCCTCATTGGAGCCACGCTACCCCTGCACACTTGAACCTCACAAGCACTGCCACCGCCGCTAGGCGATGCGGCTGATTTATTCCCAAAGATGCGCTCATCTTCTTCCTCTTCTCAACCGCTTCGCTCTCCAATTATACAGCATTAGATTCTTATGTTGCTAAGGGCTCTAGCATCACATCTTTTGTCAGTCCTAGCCACAGACAGACCATGTCTGATCCTTTCTCGGTCGCGGCTGGCGCAGTCGGTGTTATTTCACTAGGCATCCAGCTGTGCAAAGAGATTTCTAGCTACACAGAGGCCTGGCAGGGTTACGATGGAGACATCCAGAGCATTGGCGCCAAGGCTGAGTCGCTAAAAACCCCTTTGAAGAGGCTCCGAGACCTCGTCGAGGATACCCGACTGACCGATACGGAGATTACGAATGATATCAATGAGAAGGCACTTGGACTCGAGCATCAAGTTCAAAGACTTGAGAAGAAGCTTAACCTGATCAAGCCTGTATTCTCTGACAAAACATCAGACAAATTCCGCAACAAGCTCAAAAAGGTTGCATATCCCGTCGTCACGCGAGATGCCCTACGGGATATCAAAAGTGACTTGGATAGTATGCAATCAACGATACAGATGACACTGGCTATGTGAGTTGCATGGATCTTTGCGCATGATATAGCTAACGGAATATAAGATTTAATGCCCAGCAAGCCCAGAAATCCCAAGCCACGCAAGAGAAGATGGTTCGATTGATTGAAGAAATTGTATGTTCTCTATCTGCATGATAGGCTCACTGGCTAATACAATCCTTTCTACATAGCATGTAACCATGTTGAGCGTTTCATCAAAGTGCATGCCGGCACCTGGTTTGCTTCGATCCTTGTGTGACCGCAGTGACGAAGATGCGCAATTGGTCCAAAAGCAATTACAATCAACTACAATTAGCCAAAGTGACATCCCCGATCTACAAGCCAACGTAACCTGGCCAATGCTGGTTCATCGGAATAAGCGCAAATTTACAACAAAGTCAGTGGAAAGAGCGTATCAATATCACAATTACTGGCTCCGTCGCACTATCAAATTCTCATTCTCGCTTTCAACTGGAGCTGGAGGCTTCTCCATCGCACCTTCTTTGCATCTATGCAATCTTCTGGGATGGGACAGTTGGGCGTGTGACAAATCATTAGATATGAACACATTCAACTGGTTGTGGGTTCCAAATTTCAAAGGAAACGTGGATGATTTGATCCATGACTTTCGAGTTGCATTTTCTGCTGGCAAAGCGACACCCTCAGATATGTTGAGCCACGGTGGACAATGGCTTTCTCTTGTGGACGTATGTCTTGCTTCTGACTTGAGTGAGAAGAAAACTGACGTGTCCAGGTCTTTCACTCTTTTTTCCTCAGGGAGGATGAAATTGAGACTCGCAAGTTGACTCAGTTTCTAATAGATTGTGGTTCTATACCTGATAACGCAGCAAAATTTGGGTTTCTACAGAAGATGTCCTCTGCAAAATTCTGGGAAGCGGATGAATACACGTTCGCCGTCCAGTTAATCAACATTGGGGGTCCCTTAGGTACCATGCCACGTACGCGTGCTGGAAAGACGAATATGAAAGGCCTCCTCAAAAGAGACGAGGAATGTGAGTCATTGCTTTTTAATTCTATTTTTCCATGAATTCAATCTGATTTTGCCCAGTAATCGACCTACCCGGTATAGCGAAAGCAATTCTCCGAGAATCAGAGGCAGATCTGCGAGAGGCGTTAGATTTAGGACCCGAAGGACCTAACGAGGTAATCCAGGGTATATCTCTGCTGGAACTCGCTGTTGGATGGCCTGCTGGCGTACGAGTTCTGTTGGAATCTGGAGCAGATGGCACTGGAGTCGCTCTAAGTCGCTCGCCTTGCAGACCATGCGATGTGAATGATATTGACTGTGATACTTACTATGACTCAATGATTCCTCTGCTTCAAGCCGGATGTATAGTTAAATCAGCGGACATATTATTTTGCGAATCATCCAAGGTACGATTATTGCTTAGCCATGACCTTGTCAAGCGACGAAAAAAGCTACAAGCACTAGCATATTCTTCCTTGCCCTCGCAGAGGCTCGCCGAACTATCTGCAGGTGCTGGTGAAAACGTGACGGGGATTCCGGATATCCACGCTTTCCAAATTTACACCGAACTACTTAAGCAAGGCTTTACAATTGACCCTTCGCTAAAAATACGCGAAGATAATTCTCCGCCAATATACCATCGGCGTATTGCACACGTGGAAGCTTGGGAGGAGCTCTACCAGCTTGGCTTTCGAGAAATCGATACTCCAGATGCAGAGGGCCTCACACCATTGATGGTTCAACTCACATACGTCAATGAATTTTCAACCGACCCAAACCGTTCTCTGGCACGCATCCTATGGCTGTTTCATAAAGGGGCGAGTTTAGCAAAACCCCTGCCATATTCCAAGGGGACAGTGGCACACTTGGCCAGCTCGTGGATGATCGGCGAGATCCTACGTATGATCTGCTTGGACGAGTATGACGGCCGTAAGAGGTGGCCGGGATTCGTGACAAAACTTAGAGAATATAGGGAATCCATTTTCCTGGTTCCCTCTGTTTGTGATAACTGCATCTGCGCATGCTGTCCTGGCGGATGTACTACTTTCTTAGTGGCACTGCGAGCTCTTATCGCACTCTTCAAGAGGACTGATTTCTCGTTGAGCGAAGCAGCGGAGGAATTTCGCCTTATTCTTTCTTTTCTGGTTCAGTGGACTGATACCAGACCCGGGATAAATCATACCATCATTCGATCTCTCACATTTCATGCCTTGGGCTTGCGGCACACATGTTGCGCAGAGATTGACGACTTGGAGTTTTCGAGCCCTAGGTGGAGTAATGTCAGAGATGAGCAAGATATTGAAGACATTCTGGAAGAAGATCATTATTTTTACCATGAACTCGATCGACTGATTTCTGAGTTCGGAAGGGATTTCGATCAGCTTGGATTGCCTATCATGGAGTTCTTGGACAAGGTGTGGCATGCCCGTATGATTGAGTATCTTTCAACACCTGGCTCTTACGATGAAGAGCACATCCATCAGACTAGGAATCTTGGAATCTTCCTGGAGCCGCATGAGATTGACATTCCCGACATTATCTACTACTTTGGCAATCAGGTCGAAGAAGTTACATCGGATAGTGTGAATGGAGCAACTTTCATTTTTCTCTTGTAATTAATTTCTCTCTCGTGATCAGAGGATCACTTGCAATAGAGTCATGACTATCTATCATTTAATGCATCTCTCCCTTCTCCAATCTTTACATTACCCATCTACTCCACCAACTTTTTACCTTCCTCACTCGACGCAAGACTTGAAAATTGAATCCCGCGGATGGCATGCCCCTTCCACATCAAGAGCATCACAAAGAAGAATGAGAACACCGCAAAGAATGCCATCATCCCGTATACCCAGCCCACATTGACCGCCTCCACCCAAGGATTGATGTAAAAGCTGATCGTGAGTCCGTACACAATACGATAAGCACCAATCACAATGCCCGCCTCTGCAGGGTACTTGGTGAAACACTCGACGACATAATTCACCGTAACAGGCACGCTAGCAAGCGATCCGATTGTCACGATAAACACTGCTAGTGCGAGGACCATGTAGTGAAGGTGGTACTGGAGAGCGGCACCGAAGATACCCAGACCGATTGGGTTGAGAATCAGACTAGGGAGCCAGAGGACATGCAAGCGATACTCAGGTTTCCAAGCACCGTTGTTCCAGCGACGCGCAAGAGCGAGAGGGAGGCGGTCATTCAAGTAGTGCCCATAGAACTGGACGAAAATGATGCCGATCCAGTGACAGAATGTAAAAGCGGCATTTTGCTTCAGGGTGAAACCATAGCCACCCTCGGCGACGGACTTCTGGAGCCAGACAGGGGTGAGCGCATTGACGCCGACGTAGAAGCCGAAGGAGATGAGGGTGAAGATGCCCATAATAATAGTGACAGGGCAGATGCCAATGAGGATAGGGGTGATCCCAATTTTGGCCTATTAAATGATTAGCTGAAGCACTAGACCAAACGGATGGTTATACATGCCGTTTCCTTCCATGTGGTCGGCTGCACGACTCGATGGCCAAAGAAGAAAGTGGCCACCCGGTTTTCACCAAATGAAATTGGAACCTCCGGGTTCTTCTCAGGATATTCACGGTTGAAACCGGTCTCTTCAAGGCACAGGAAGCAGCATATCAGGGTGAATCCAAGTAGACCAACCGTCCACCAGAACTCAACAGGGAAAAAGGCCCCGGCTGAAATAAAGCCCGAGAATGTTGGGCCAGCAATCGTTCCGAACAAAAATGACATGTGCAAAGCAGTAAAAGCACGACCACGCTGATGCAAGAAGAACAAGTCGGTGACAACACGAGGACCTAAGACTGTCGGCACTGCACCGAAGAACCCAGAGAACAGCCGGGAGAGAATGTACGGAATGTAGTCATTCGGGTGGGTCATCACTGCTCCCCATACCTGGCATACAAGCGTGCAGAGCACACACCAGAATATGACCGAGCTGCGACCCAAAAGATGGGAGATGGGCGCGAAGAAGAATGGCCCTGCGGCCATACCGGCCAGGGCAGCCGAATTCTACATGATTGTTAGTTCTGTACCAAGTCTAAGCTGTCAAGTAATAAAGCAAGCAGGCATAGACACGTACCGCATAGGACTCCTGTAGCTTCGTCTTATGGTACAGCTTCTCTTGATCTGCGAGATTCAATTGCCCAGACAAGGGCGCAATAGCGCCCGAGAACGAAGCTAAGCAAAGCACCGATAGGATAATGTACTTCCGCCGCGTAGACCAGTTCTGCCAAGTTATCAGATTAGCTTTCGAACATCAGCGCCTCACGGTCACGCAATCCGCGCCTATAGAACATCATCGCATACCAGGGGGTCGCGGGGGTGGGTACTAGGCTGAGGAATCAAGACGAGATGCGCCTCACGCGCCGCTGGCGCGGAGGATGCCAAGTCCTGTGCCTCTTTCATGTCGTCTACCGTCATTTTTTTGAAGCTGACAGCCTCAAGTGCCACATCGACTGTTGAGGTGGGAAAGGGGGGTGTTGAACTAAGGGACTGGACCCATCCCTTGTAGTTTTATTTTCTTTTTTCCCTCGGGCAAGGTAATTGGATGTCTTGGCGGACGACGCCTTAATTTCATGTCCGAGCGCCGCTCGTTTAGCGGATCGGCCATTTCTGTGACGCGTCAGCTAAAGGGGTAAACTAAGCTCATTTATGCTTCTTTGTGCAAGCACCGGGCTATTGCATGTCGATTAATATCTTTGGTATTCAAACAGAGTAACCAATTGCTTAGCTGCTTAGCAGACATAGTTATTACACTCCAGTGACCAAGACGTGGCTATGAAGCTTGTTCTCAGAAGGTTTCGTGGCGGCTTAGAGTGGAGCCACTTTCGCAGCCAAGTCGGGTGAGCTCCTGAGTATCGAGCCTCACAAGTTCTCAGAAGATGGTCGGTTTTGGTTATCTACAATCGATTCACTCTTCCTCACTCTGTGCACGCCGGCTCCACCGCCGCACCATTGGCCCCCACCGGTGTAGTATATATGGCACGGGAAGAAACACGGTGGCAATCGCGCCTAGGAGGGTCAAGCTCCAGGCAATGCCAAGCTTGCGATACATTGGCTCTGAGACGTAGACTATGACACCCGAAGAGACAAGGCGCAACATCTGGACAGCAGCTAGGGCACTAGCAGCATGGTACTCGAAGGCTTCAGCGACGTATTGGTACGAAGAGATGAAGACGCATAGCACCCCGTAGCCCAACACCACGGATGAGCCGAGCGGACACCAGACTGAGATAGACGGGCGAGCCGTCCAGCCCATCCAGAATAGTGCGATTGGGATTGCGGGGGCCCCAAACATGGACAGATAGAGATTGATTTCTGGACCCGAGTAGTCACGTCCATCGGAGCGGCTGCGGAGGATGTCTTTGCGCACCAACTTCATAGCTAGCGGGACAAATAGGCCGGCGAGAAATACGCCTGCCAAGATACCGAGGAAGGCAAGACTTGTTTCGGTGGGCTTGAACTTATACACTTTCTGGTAGATATACATATAGCCCGCGATGAAGGTGTAGAGGATGATGAATATGGCCGAGAGATAGACTGCAAAAATCATGATGATCGGCTCTGTCGCGAGTAAAAGGAACGGTCGATATATTGCGTGGGCAAGGCGGCGCAAAAACGAGACCCTTTTAAACTCTAGCGGCGCTCGATACCGATGGTCTCCAGTGAGGCGGCGGAGCTGCTTTGCTTTCCAATGCAACAGAATAGGGCTGTATGTTTCCGGCATGAATAGCACAATTAAACCTAGTGCAATGCCCGCCAAGATAATAGTCATCCAGTCTATAAACTTCCAGCTCACTGAATGGGCAACGGAGACGAATGAACCGGGCACGGGGCCTATTAAAGGTCCCATGAAGCCCAAAATGGCGTATAGGGGGAAGACATAGACTCGCTCAATCCGTGACCAAAGGTCAACGATGGATCCTGCGGTGCACACCAGGGGAGCAGACCCAAAAAATCCAGCGAGGCCTTTTGTGAACATTTCCTGTGCTGGGGTCTTAGCGAGACCTGTCCCCATTTCAAACAATATAAAGAGCATCAGCGAGGGAATGAACACGGGATTGCGTCCAACAACTTCGGAGATAGGCGCTATGAACAATCCCCCTATCCCGAGGCCGGCTATGTAAAGAGCTTGTAAAAGAGCCAGTCAGTCTCTAGGTAGAGCATCCATAGCACCGCTATTACTTACCTGTAGGCACCGTCTCGATTGCAAAGTTATCAGATCCATAAAGTTTCCGGGTCTCGGGGGTGAAAATAACAGCATCAATTGTAGTCGCCCATAGCATCGTGGCTGCAGTCAGTGCCACTACCAGTGTACATGCCAGCCGAAGTGGGACAGACCAGTTATGCGGGTCCATTGGGTCACAGTCGCCCTCGAAGGTGACCACGACGAGTCGATCCTTATGGACTAATCTGTCGTCGATTATACCATCAGTGGCCTCCTCGGGTGCGCCATTGGGCTCACTGCTGCCCGGTCTTTGTCTTTCAACGCCTGTCAACATCATATCGAGCGTGCCTCCCAGAGTCTCTTGCGAATTGATAGTGTGCGGTTCGTCTTGGAACTCTGTGTCATAATCCGCACGCTCTACATCTCCATCACGTTCCAAGTGTGTGCGGGTCGTATGGCGAGGATGAAGGGCTGGTCCCGAAATGAGAGTGCGCTGACCATGCTCTCGTCTTCGTCTTGCCGGTTCACCATCGTCTATCTCGCGAGGTTCAGACAGGATCTCTCCTTCACGGTACCAGTAGCGTCGCTCTCTAGTCCAGACATCATCGGGCTTGTCGTGTCGCACCACAATCTGTTTCTCAAGTTGTCTGCAGATCCTTCGATGTTGAAAGAACGACTGCATCGCGTGTGAGTTGCCTCTAGTAGCGCTTACCCTGTCAAATTTTTCAGGGAAATGTCCTTGCACTTTTGAAATATCTTATTAGCTGCAAGAGCAAGCATTAATTGAGACCCGCTTGTGGGGCAAATGGCTGGTGACGGAATTTCCTTGAGGCATGAATGGGTTCTATCGTCATCGCTCGGTCTGGCCTCCCGCTAAAAGTGTGTACCATCATGACTGGCTTGGCGTCCGTCGATGAGGAGTATATGGCATTCCTACTCTCCCTGGTCATTTCAAAAATGTTTATAATGACACGCAGATCTAAGAGAACAGTAGATTTGGAAGATATCCTACTGTGTGACACGAGAATATTGTGTACAAAGAGAGCTAATGGCTGTCTCATACAGCCGTTTTTGAGGTAATACCGGGGATATTCCGTTTATAATTGTTATAAAGCTGCTCTGATGGTACAATGACCGGAGCGTACTGTGCACATTGGAATAACTGGTCAAATTTTAGAGGCTCACCAAAATTTGGTTCGGTGCCGGTCTTTGAAAGTATGTTGGAGCTTTTTCTCGTTCGTGGTCTGGCGGCCAGTGCCGGAGATCAGTCTTACCTGTCCTCGATGTAGCATTTATTCCAACAACGAACAAGTTCAAGTAATTGAGTTATTGATGAGCTTGGAGTCACTATAATCATCCACCTCAGCATCTATGGAACCAACTTTTCAGTCTCATTCAGAGTCCTCTTTCTCATTCTCTATTATGTGCTTGGTGACGAAGCGGGGGTATTCCCATCTTTGGTGTTAAGTCTAGAAGAAATAGTCCAATTCGCCCAGGATGCTAATTGGGCACGGGGAAGTCAAATAGTACCTATGTATAGATATAATAAGATGAGGGATCTTTCAGTAGTCATCTAGGGAACAACTCCAGCGATTCAGTATGCTCCACCGATCTTACAATTGCAAACCCACTATCTCAATGTTGAGAATGGTAGGTACCACGCCTAGCTGGTCTTATCTAGCATAAATATGACTCGACCTGGCTTGGTGAAAACTTGTACACAGTACGGTCTACACCATTTTCACACACTCTTACCAGTTATGGCGAGCTCGGGCAGATGCCCGAAAGTGGAGTTGGCGGGGCCATTTTTTTCTCATCGGCGATTTGAACTATCGCCGAGAAACGTGAAATACAAAACTGTGCGATCTCCATGAATTTTTCGATCTAATTTGAGTCAGGTACCGATGCTAATTCTGGTATATCATTAATTTGCATCACTTCTTTGACTTTGACTTTGAAGCATTCTCGAAATGGCTCTGAGTCCAGATCCCGAATCCCAAAAACCTGAGCCGCAACTTGACTCGCCGCACGACTCAGAATCGGACTCGGAAATAAGCTCCAAGCCACAGCCGCCCTCTGGGTACAACCTGCCGCTATGGCGCAAATGTCTCATTCTTTTTGTTGTCAGTTGGATGACTCTGGCAGTCACATTCTCGAGTACATCATTACTTCCTGCCACTCCGGAGATTGCTAGTGACTTTTCAACAACTACCGAGATTCTCAATGTCATCAACGCGGGCGTTCTGATTGCTATGGGTTTCTCTTCGTTTATTTGGGGGCCCATTACAGACTTGTTCGGGCGTCGCAATGCATATAATGCCGCGATCATGGTTTTGTGTGCCTGTTCGGTTGGCACAGCAGTAGCGATCAACCTGCACATGTTTATTGCGATGCGAATACTCTGTGGATTCACAGGAACATTCTTCATGGTTGCTGGCCAGACGATTATTGCGGATATATTTGAGCCAGTCAGTCATTCCATCAACAGATTGCTCGCTGAGAGAGTTACTGATGACATTAATCATATTATAGGTCGTACGAGGGACAGCCGTGGGCTTCATGATGGTCGGTTCAGTCAGTGGTCCTGCAATTGGTAATTATACATCACTCTATCTCACTAATATCGCTGCCCATGCTAACTATATCAAGGACCATGTGTTGGCGGTGTCATTGTCACCTTCGCCCAATGGCGCATCATCTACTGGCTCCAATTCGGCATGACAGCGCTCGGACTCGCATTATCCCTTCTGTTTGTGCCAAATATCCAGAAGAAGCAGCGGTCTCTGCCCACAAAAGAGCCGGTCGGCCTTTCGCTAGTCCTGCGGATGTTCAACCCATTACGCATCTTCCGTCCGTTCATTTATCCAAATGTTTTCCTTTGCGTAAGTAATAACAAGCAACTTCCGGTAGTCTCGTTTCTAACACTAGCAGCATTTCACATGCGGCCTTCTGGCAACTTTCCAATATGCTATTCTCACCTCTGCTCGCTCGATCTTCAATCCTCGCTTCCATCTGACAACGCCCCTTGTGAGCGGGCTTTTCTACCTTTCTCCCGGAATAGGTTTCCTTATCGGAAGCGTCATGGGTGGCAAGCTGTCAGATCGTGCGGTGAAGAGGTGGATTAAGAAGCGGAACGGTGTCCGTCTTCCCCAAGATCGGCTTAACAGCGGTCTGATAACTCTATTCGCTGTCCTTCCGGCTTCGACATTAATCTATGCCTGGACATTGCAGGAAGAAGTTGGAGGCATGGCTGTGCCTATCATCAGTGCTTTCACTGCGGGAATTGGACTATTGGGTACATTCAATGGGTTGAATACTTATTCGGCTGGTGAGTAATTTGGATTCGTCGAGTACAGCACAACGACATACTCTAACGGTTTCATTAGAGGTCATGCCGCACATTCGTTCCGAGGTGATCAGCGGTAAATACGTGGTCCAGTATATTTTCGCGGCAGCTGCGACAGCGGCTGTCGAGCCATTGATTAATTCCATTGGTGTCGGTTGGACATTTACCATTTGTAAGTCTGGACTCCAAAAACTGATCATACTCGAGCCAGCTAACACTCGTTCTTAGGTGTTGCATTCGCGATTATTGGCGGGTTCTGCGTTTTGGCTATTACAAAATGGGGCATCGACATGCAGCGATGGGTGGAGGAGAAATTTGGCCTTGACGCGAAACCATCATGATGACTTGCATTTGGATTTGTTTTTTACGTTTTGCTTTTTGTTGCGACATGAATATTGCATATAGAGATGGCATGATACACAATTACATAGAGATGCATGACGATACGAGATTAATGAACATCAGAATTGGGATATTTGAAGCAATACCCACTGTGGCAGTTCTAGAATCAAGAAACATGAAATCCAGTATAGCTATGACCCTATGCAGGGCTAACAAATTGTCGGACTCTCGCGCCGACCAGCCTAAGACTGTGTTAGAATCTTCGCTGACATGCTCCACTGGTAGATAAAAGTGACGCGTGATTGGTGGAAAGTGCATGCAACATCTCGGCCAAAGCTGCCGAGCTCGGCGATGCTCGCCGATTATCCAGAGTGGCACACCAACCTCCTCGCTTCTTCACACGGACCAATCCCGGGAAGAATGGGCCAGAAAGAATGACAAGAGGTACAGGGCTGAAACGGCGCTCACTATTCGCCGATGAGGAAGAAGAAAGTCCTCGACAACAGAGAAGGAAGTTTGTCGCGTGCGTAGACACTCCACTGCGATGTTGCCGTCTGACATGTGAGATGTCGCTGATTGACAGAAACTAACAGATGCCAACGATGCCACGCCCATAAAATCAAATGCTCTGGCGACCAGCCATGCAGTAAATGTCGCGCAGTGGGTTGCGCGGACGAATGCGCCTACGCTTCTAGAGATCGTCAAGTCAAAGTCAGCGAGAAGTATGCCGGACTTGTCCCTTCCCGAACCGAGCCCTCGGCCGCCCGGAGATGTCCTTTAAAATAAGTCTGAAAAAGGCTAATACAACGTCTTCACTCTAGCTACTTAGACCAGCTCCTGGCGGAGAATCGGCGCTTGAAGGAGCAGTCGGTAACCTCGGTCGACGCCACCGAAGCCACTGGCCCGCCACATACTGAACGGTATATCGCCTGTACAACATCATAGAAATCATAGAATGTTCTACTAATACGTTAAACAGGGCTCCTTCTCGGCCTGCAGATGCTACCGATGCGCCTGATGCTACAAGCATCCAAAATCCCATCATTGGTGACCGAGCATGGTTCCATCGCTATGATTCATCCTCCCCTCCCATCTACATCGGCGAAGCGGCTTGCTCTGCTTTTGCGACTCGCTTTCGTCGTTTCCTAACTGGGAACAATGCAACTGCGCATATTACACGCACACAGTGGGAGCGAGAAGAAGTCATTGCCGCGGCAGCCAACGAAGCGAACGCCCAGTGGCCAAGTTTGCATCACGCCCGACTCCTGGTTCGAATTGCAATCAACCAGATCGGACACTTGTATCACTTGATGATGCGCAAGGCCACTCTGGAAAAGCTGGAGGAGATCTACCAAACAGGAAGTTTCGACTGCGTGTCAAATAAGTGCAAGTTCTTTGCGCTATTTGCCTTCGGTCAGGCCTACTCCGTTCGGTCTGATCCTACCACTGGATCACGAGTGCCAGGCACAGCATATTTCGCACGAGCCATGAGCCTGGTTCAGGTCCTACCAGAAAGGACGAGCATCACTCATCTTGAGACTCTGCTTCTACTAGTAGGTTCCCCGAGTCCCGCAATCCACGGTCAGACACTAACATGGCCAGTCCTTATTTTCGTATTACCTTAATCGACGACACTCGGCCTATGTCCTGATTGGAAATGCCATGCGTATGGGCCTTACAATCGGTTTAAATCACAACATCCCCGAATCTCAACTTATCGACCCCGTGGAACGTCAACACCGCATCGAGATCTGGTGGACAATCTACATCTTCGACCGCATGTGGGGATCTAAAATGGGTCTCCCGATGCAAATCCTCGACGAAGATATCCATGTTGACATGCCTACTACTATCTCTCCAAGCTGGCGACATGAAGAAGAACTCTCCGATACGGACTATATGACTGCAAACATCAAACTCGCTCGCATAGTGGGCGAGACGATTGCTCGGTTGTATAGCAGACGCAAGTACCAGGAGACATTCCTCCAGCGAGTGCAGAAACTCCTGAAAGCGCTGAAAAATTGGGTTGATACCCTACCAGAAGGTCTGCGGTTGAATATGGAGGATCTCGAATCAAGCAAGAAACCTGTTGTCTCCTTGCACATGGCATTTAACCAGTGTGTCATCCTCACAACGAGACCGACACTGCTACATCTCCTTATCACTCTTCGCAAAAACAATGGTTCGAGGCCACTAGGAGAGAATATTCGAGATTCAGTCTCTCAGCCAGTCCTCACCCTCAGCGAAGCTTGTATCCACGCTGCACGTCATTCGCACTCGATGATCCTGACCCGCTGGATCAACGGAACATGTCCCTCTTTTGGCTACTTCCACGCACATTACCTCTTCTCCTCCGCACTAATCTTGGCCATGTCTAGCTTCGTGCCTATCGGGAATCCAAATGACATGAGCGGCTTCGACTCTGCACTAGACGTGCTACGTTCAATGTCCGAGAACGGTAACCTCGCCGCCGCAGAGTTCTACCACAATCTGGAGCAAGTGAAAGTTTGTCTCGACACATATCGGGGCGCAAGTCGGCCACAGAAAAGTGACTCCGGCCCGGAACTAAATGTAGAGATGACTGGTTCCCCTACAGCAAGTACGCTGAGACCCATGTCTGGTTTGGCATCAACACTGGCGCCGTCTTCTTCTGCGCATCTCCAGGGGATTTTATCCGGTGCATCGGTTGCGCCCGTGTTACCTCCAGACGGCGATTTGCTGGCGGGCCAGCCGTCTCATGGGTCTGATGCGTATATTCTGCCGTCACGGGACGCTGTCAATGGGTATACGACGGAGATGGCGTTTCTGGAGCCAACGATGCAGGATTTCTTGGCTCAGTCGGATATTGATTTGGGCCTGCTACATCCAGTTGATACGTTTCTTAGCGAGGCGGAGAATTTGTATACCTGTCATGAGCTATAGGAATAATGTTTATTGTTGCATCTTTTACAATACAAAGCTAGGTAATGGTAAATTCGGCGCCGAAAACGGCTCCTTGTGAAGCTATCTCAAGCATCCTTTTTACTATGGCGGGACTAAACTTACTCTTCAACCACGGATAACTCATCCTCCAAAATAAAGTAGTGCTTATCTTCTCAGCCTCTCCATATTTCTCCTCCAGCAGCAAAGCAACAAGATCCTCCCGTTCTTTCTCCATCGCCCCAGTAGGGAGTCTTGTCCAAGCGTGCGTGAATAGCATATCAGCTGATCTATTTAAAGCACGTTTAGATTCGAGGCACTTGTCTTTATCTAGAACATGTTAGCGATGAAAAGAGTATCAAAGGGAAATTTATAGATAATACCAAGGTCGTTCACATTATCCGGAGTAAGGCCATAGAGCATAATGAAATGTTGCCATTCGGTGCTGCGATTCTTGTAGCGCTCATTGACTACCGTAGCATCGATTTGCACATTACCATACAGTCCGTGGACTATCTCCTTCCCGCTTTCTGTGGCTTTGTTGAGCACATATCGCACTCATATGCCAATCGCCCTTTGACGGATATCTAGCTGGCTCTGGCAGAAAGATTTGGCTTCCTTCATGTCATCATTCATCTTTACCATCCAATGTCGATGCGCATCCTCCCGCGCATCCATCTGCGCATCCATCTGCGCATCCATCTGCGCATCCATCTGCGCATCCATCTGCGCATCCATCTGCACATCCATCTGATGTAGAAGCGCATCAACCTACGCCTTCATCTGACTTGCTTCCGCGCCTAAACTGAAACCTCCCTCATTTGCAGCTATTCTCTGCTTAGTATCGCATCGGGGCGACGACACCTCCTCGTCCATGTTTTCCATGTAGGCGTTAAGACAGTTTTCCTTATCCTCGATTGAATTGTCTTAAGGGATTTTGGTTTGGCTCTATAATAAAGCGGATCAGTTCAAGCGTTCATGTGAAGGGAGATGCGAAATGGACCCTTACTATCCCTGGTTCGAGTTCGTCTTAATCATAGGCTTTTAGGGGATGCCACCACCCCACCCTTTCCGAGGGCTGGTCTTTTGTTGCTCTCCGTGGAATCCACATTTCTGGTTGACGTTGTAAGATTGAGGTTGGGAGTAAGAAAATTCACTGTCTGCAGAAAGCTTATAGGAGGTAAAATGAGCAGGTCAGGATTACGTAGTGTTAGAGGAGAATAAGAGGGCAGGTAGCCACTTAACGGGAAGGAGCGACTATAGAACACCTAAACATACGTTACGAGTATAAAATGGTCTAACGATATCTACCAAGGGCATCCGCGAGTAGCGCTTATACAATAGGTAAATACAGTGCAATAGGTTTTATTATAAGTTTCAAACCCCCTGACTAAACTTCTTGGTCATCTTATGTATCGTGTCAATCATGCTGTGAAAGCTAGATTAAGAGATATTACTCGGGTTCTCTGGAAAGATAATTAAAGAAAATATTCAGAGAGATCTTCAGAAATAAAGGATATTAAAGCGGACCTAGCTAGGCCTTTCTTTCTATCTCTTATGATATAAGATTTACTACTATACAGAAGGGCTTAGAAGGGACTATACAGAGGTCGAATACAGCCTTTTATACTCGTCAGGTACATTGCCAATTAGGCTTAGCGTTTAGAGTGTCACAAAGGTTTCTTGTAGTGCCGTAAGTATGATCTAATGATTATTGTCGCAGCTTTACGGATTAACTGCCATGGTCCTTAGGTTTCGCTGTCGGTATGCCAATTTACGTCTAATTCCAAGGCGTTACAAACTTATCGGCAGTTGCCAAGGGGGCTTTTCTAGATGATTCCCACATGCCGAGGGGTACTGATGACTAGAGACTAATGATAATTATGCAATGGTCAAACCTCGTCAGATTAATTAATGTTTATGAAGCAGGTCCTAGACGTTAGTCTGGCTCGGCGATTATGATTAGTTATGATGATACCAGGTTATAAGAGAAGGTTAGCACAGATCCAGGAGAAAAAAGGTCAGCAAGCAATTCTTGTTGTTGCCCAAGGCCATGGGTGGGGTTGAGATATATGATGTAGCAATCTTAAAGACTGCGTAGAACAAAATAACAACCTATCACCAACATGAAAAAGATTCACGATATAGCGGGAGTATCAAGGGGGACGAGAGGGCCAAATGGAAGGAATAAAATCCGCGGGAAGTATCCGCTAGGCTAGGCAAGCCTAGACGGGAACTTCGAGGCAGACATAGCAGAATATGAAAGCCAATCATGAGAAGGGCGACCAGAGCCTAAAGCCTGGGGTCAATTTCAATAGAGAATTTCTCGCCATGCCGAGAGAGGATGTCCATACAGACAAGCCACGCTCGTTGGGAGGAGGGATCCTTGGCGGACATCTCGCGGAGCCAGGCGATAGCTTTCTTGAGCTTGTCGACCAAATTGAGAGCCTCGGAGGTCCCAGGTATTGTGCGTGCGAAGAGCTCGGTAAGGAGAACGGTCGTAGATTGCATGATGTAGTGTAGGACACACCACCAGGGGGAGACTCCGTATAGCCAGATCGCGTCCGGTTTGGTGGGGAGCATATCCAACATTTTGCATGCCATTTGCACACACGTGCCTGCCATTGTACCGCAAAGAGCGCCCCCGGGACTCGTGCTGGGGGCTTGGTAGGCGAGATGACGGAGGCAGGGTTGAGAGATGACGAGTTTGGTATTGTAGAAGCGGAAGCCAAGGTCGGCACGTTGGCGGACGAACGGATCGGTAGCGGTGGCGTCTAGGTTTGTGAAGTGAAACTCTGCTGGGAGGCGGGAGAGCCACTTGTCAGCATTCGTGTTGAGGTTGGAAATAGCAATCTCCATCTCCATCCAGGATCGTTTTGTTGCGCCAGGGGCGTACAAAGTCTGGATAGCTTCTCTCATTACAATGTCCAGGTCCACTCCATATAGGAAACACAGAGAAATATTCGGCGTTATAGTGTCATTCAGGTCCATCATTGTTTGTTCAGCCTCCTTGCCTTTCCTTGAGCCGGCCTTCGCGAAGTAGGTAGGGTCGATCGAGGCTTCGCTAGACGCAGAAGGGGTGCCGGCACCGCCAACAGAGGTCAACAGCGAGGTCATCAAGTTATTCCGGATAGACAGATTGTCGATAATCTGAACTATGCCTTGGATTCCAAAGTCCTCCTCGATGTATGGGATGGGCAAGGGGGTCGTGCAAAAGGCCGGGTCGGTGCTAGGCGGGCGGCCGGTTCTCACGCAGAGCACCGTGTCCAACATGAACAGCGCCCACCACACGCGGTATCGAGTCTCTTTCGAGACTTGTGCAACACTACCGGTCTCGCTACGAAGATTCAGTCCCATAGCCGTCGCTGATCGAATCGCAATTCCAATAATCTGCCATGATCTAGTAAGGAGGAAAACGTTCGATGGATTAGACACTGTGCCTAAAGAGCCAAAAATATCAACGTTGGGGGATGAATGGGATGAGGACTTACCGGTTAACTTGGCCAGTAGAAAGGAGGTAGAAAGCAGTCAGGCCTTCTACTTGCACTTGCTGCAAGTTCGGATGGTCCAACAACGCGACGTTGTCGATGCTCAGGCGCCAGGCCCTTGCAGAATAGGACAGGTGGTCATCACCATCTCCTTCAAGGCCATCCCCGACAAGTAAAGTGTACCTTGCTGCAATTGCAAACACAAGGTTTAGCACGGCAATCCATCGCTTCCCAGGTCTCACGTTCGGATTCGTGTAGAAGGATCGGTATTGACCTAGGAAGACTCCCTTCCCGATGATGGGGAACGCAGGGTGAACGGCTTGGAAATAGACGTCCACGAGATGGTCGGCAATATGCTGGGGAGGTCGTTTTGATAGTTCAACGTGATCGAGGCTCGAAATTTCGGTGTCGTCCAGGAAGTAGTTCAGGGATGAGATGGAAACGGATACTCGATCGGGGGTCTCGACGACGGGTGTTGAGCTTTCGCAATCGAGGTCGCGCTTAAGTTTGTATAGCCAAGCCAGTTCCGAGTGCTCGCCCACGAATCCCATCGCCCGGACCTTTTCGTCTCGGTTGAAGTCCTCTGCGGTGTGATCTGTAATGCTTAAGGGATAGCTCGAGGCCTCCCCATCAGAAAATGATATAGAAGTACTCTGCGGTCAGGCATGGTTAGATTCGGTGCCGGTGTTGATTTTTAATTGATTTTTTGTGAGAGGAATACAGTGGAAAGGGGAAAAGTTGATGGTGAAACGGGTGGAAAGGATAGGATATGGGAGAAGCCGTGTTAGTTAGTTCTCACCCTGACTAATTGGCGGCCGAGGGTCTGATCAACGTGCTGGGCCAACGAAGCCTCGAGTCTCGGGTACAAATCCCGTAACAAACTCTCGTAGGTATTGATCTGAGCAGTAAATTCTTCCAGTTGCCTAAATTTTTCAAATTAGAGGCAACTTTGAAGGGGTTTTTTTTCCCGAGTATCCTACGCACTTAAGCATCTTCTCGCGCTTCCGGTCGCCGTAAGAACATGGTACCCCCGCATCCTGACACCGATGGCAGGATGGACGATGCCCACTACATTTGGCTTTTTGCTCACGGCAGTTCTCGCACGCACGACCGACACGGCCACTGCTGGTATGGTTGATAGGACGCGTAGTTCGAGGGATGGGGACTTTGGGATTCAGTGATCGTTCGCTGGGGATTGGGCTGGCCTCTGGGTGATCTTGGCGACTAGAGAACAGTTCGTTATAGGGTGAGATTCCGAAGGGGATAATGGGCTGCGTGTACCCAGGGATCGGATTGAGTTGCTCGAAAGGAGCCGACTCATTCTCCGGGACGTCCGATGCATATTCAGGATACAACGGGCAAGGGGGGAGGTTCTCACTCATCGTGTTGAGAGGCTTCTTTCGCGTATGCAGCGAGTTTAGTGGGAGAATGGTACACAAGAAGCACGCCTTTTGAGCTTAGCGGCTTTTCGAGGATTAGCCCTAGAGAGGGGCTCTGGTGCGAGGCCTCGCCCTCTCGAGCAGGAATTTGAGATGCTCCGGGATAGCTCGAGTTTGCGAAAAGCAAAGTGGCACGCAAGGTGAGACGAGACCCCGAAAGTGGGTGGGGCCCGCTGTGACGGAGAGCTGTGGTATGCTGGATGTCAGTGCCGTGTGGTTTTGCCACTTGATCCCGGCCCGCCAGTACCCAACAATCTTCAAGTGCGCCCCTTTGGGGTGTTTATAGCCGATGTGAACGGTCAGAAGAGAGAGAAAGGTGTCTAGTGATGCGAGATGCATACTAGAACAATTTTTCGGGTACCTCTGGATCTTCCATCCTATTCCCAGTTCCGACCAATCAACAACCGAGGATGGACTGATATAGCTTGGTCGGGAATTTCAAGTCTGGTAGACGGCGCCCAGCCACGATAGTGGGCGTTGTTGAACAGGCTTTTTACCCCAGAAGCTCAATGACTCTAAATTCATCGTGTGCGATCGGGGAGCCTGAGAATCTGGTGATCTGTAGACAAGATGTTAGTTATGTCGTCCCCTATCAGTTGCAGTTCAAAAAGACACACGAACAGGGAGACAATCATAAGACAAACCATTGCCAAAGTCAATTCCTTTCGCAAGAGGTCCAGGAGCATGCATTTAGTTCTGATAGTCGTGTCACTGTGTACTCGTTTGTTCCTCGCTCAGAGATTGTCCACTGTCTTTCTTTGGTCGAAAGGCGTTGCCGTCCACTTGTAATTTCCAAAGCGTAAAGCAATCCCCATGGTCACAATGCAGATTTGGCATTCGGTTCTGCCGGGGTCGAGGCCCGCTGCTGGTTTCCTCTTTGGATGGGTGTGGCCATTCCGAAAAAGGCGGCTCCCGAGTGGTGGTTTTGTCATCCTGGATCGCAGCGGTTGTAACTTTTGGAACATACCACGCCCCTATCTACCAACCATATTCAAGCTCAACTTTCATTTCTTCTTCCCATCGTTGGATAATGCTCTTCGTCTCATATTTCGCGTTTTGCAATGACCAGTTAGCTCAAGCCGTTCGACATTCGGATCGTGTCAACAATAGGAAAGCCGATTTGATGCACAACACAGCCGAGAACAAGGAGCCATCGAGCCGCCACGGAGCCAGAAAATCGAGAGATCTGCCCGGAAAATCTATCGAACGCATCGAAGTTAATTTAATTCGACCAGCAGGCGAATCTGGAGGTACAATGTGTGGGAGTACAAAATGGTAGCCCTCTAGGCTCATGTCGAGACACGACGTTGGGGCGCACTTCGGTCCTGTGGCAGTCGACGAAGCCCAAACAGTGATGTGAATCATGAACTTGGACATCACTAATCATCATACTCCGGTTTGATGAATCTCTCAGGGATGAATCAGGATTGATGGTAGGAGGAGACATCATTCAGACCCGCGGGTCAAGGCTCCCTGTCGGTCTGCACGAGCTTCTCACGTTGGTAGGCCATCACAACGACATCAACGAGTTTAGCTAACGACGTCTCACAAAGGATAGCAAAATGTTTCCTTCAGATTTCCCTGCAATTCCGATGCGTCTCGCTGCTTGATGCGAATGCCTTGGGCGCGATACAATCGGATCGGACGGAGTCGCAAGCTTCAACGAGTCAATCCACATCCCTAAGAATCACCTTCCCAGTCATCTCAACCAACCCTTGCCACCAGGGCACTCAGTAGGTCTGAAATGTTCAGGAGCATCCCCGATCGAAACTTCGGCCCTATTTGAGGATAGGCAGCACATCCTCAGTCTTAAAAAACACCACACCGGCCGAAAGCCCACACGAGTCGAAGACACGATTTCGAGACCTCCACAAACCAAGACTGCATGCTAGGTATATGACCATTCGACGATATTTTGAACGGACTTTATGAGAACAGTGGCTGTCCTCGGACGCCGTGGGTCGATAAAAGGAGAGGATCCGAGTGCCTGAAGTCGGAGCAGATTCAACAAAACGGTGATGAAGATTATGAAGATTTAAGCTTCCATTATCGAGCTGCAGATATTGTCCTCTTCAGTGAGGAATCTTCGCAATACAGGTGCCAAGATTGTCATTTTCGTTGATGGGGTAGCAGCTTCAATCCTGAAGATCGGGCCAGGTCTACGCGGCCACGGCATTGGCGCAGTGCACAGGAAACTCCTCTAAGAAAAAATGTCGGCAGATTGCATGGCCTGGTTCTATCGGTTGGCTGTGATCGGGTCGTTGCCCGTTTTGGAGGCCAAGAATCATTGGGAATGGTTGTTCTGGCGCGTTTTGGTACCAGCGTCAGTCGTTCTTCTGGATCAGACACCATGGCCTTTTGAAATCTTTTTCGTCGCCGACTCTTCGGTAGTCCCATGAGGGCCACAATCATTTGTTGGTGAGTGGTCACATCCAATGTGCTTGGCGATACAACCTGATGAATGGGGGTTCAATGTCATTTTCGTGCTGAATTCAGGTCTGAAGCGACATTAGTTATCCTATTCAGCTTTATGTACTTGAGAGCGAATCACACCCACGTTGATAGAAACTTGTGAATAATCCAGATCTTTCGTTCTGGCAAGGACTGCTCCGCACGTTGGCCCGGGACAACGGCCGGTCCTAGTTCAGGCCAAGTCCAATAGCTACTTCAACGCCCTCGAATCTCGCTCCTTCCGTGCAGACATCAGCAATATTCTGCGGAATCTCTGCGACGGCTTCGCTGTGGATGGTGGTGGCGGCTTTGCGTCCTCCAAATCACACTGGAACAACGCAAGACTCAGTGCTAATTCGAAAGACAAGGAACAAGGCTCCAGAGATATCCAGGCGGTTATGGTATCTGAGTCCTGAGACAATCGCGGATTGAGCTTGGTTTGACGTTCGTCATGGCACTGCTTGGTGACATAGTCTCTAGCCGGAAGTTGGTGACATAGTCTCTAGCCAGAAGTGACATTCGCTTCGAATACGACCGATTGTCCACTCTCCAACCTTCAAATCACTTTGGAATGGATAATGTGAGAAATACCCCTCCTTCCGGCACGCGTTCTGATCAGACCAATCGCGAACGAGTTGTCTTGTGTGGTGCCGTCTTCATGACGTCGCTAGCCTCGTTCAAGTCCCTGTGTCGTGGAATCGGCCCCTCGGGACATGAGATAGCTGCAATTGTAGCTTTGAAATCTCCACAATCTCGACCCCGTTGGACCGCGCCGCCCAGTACTTTCGTTGCTACAGTCTCGAGGCACACGGCTTACCCCAGGGGCTCCACCCTCGGTGCGACCGGGTGACTCCATGGGTAGCTTAGGAGCTGTTTTGGAACCTCGTTAGAGGATATCTCACCGTCTCGAAGACTGACTAGCAGTCAACAGTTGAAAAGAGACGCTGCATCTGGGAGGAGGACGGGGATGGCGCTTTTACTGGGCAAACCCGGTTTGCACGGTCAAGGATGTAGTGAACTAGAACTACTCCATACCGCCGGAAAAGAAATCCGCAGGGGCGATGTGGCGCGCCTCAAGAGCCCCATAGACTTTCCACATGCCGTGCGCTTAGGCTGCGGCGCCAGGAAATCTGCCGATCGTTTGAGGGGAGGCACCAAAGGAGGATCTTCGCCAGATCGACTTGAGGTGACCCCGGGACGTGTCAAGCGTTTGCTATCGGAACGAGAGGTCGTCGCGACAGCTTGAGACACCACACCACGGCACTTCTTCTTCGTCTCCATGAGTTTGGTGGGGAGGGAGCCTCTTTCAGTTGTGGAATGGCCGGGTAGGTACCACAATCCAAGGTTCCTCGATCGGTTGGAGCAAACGTGTCTCATTCCCTCGGGCATGTCTCGAAAGGTGGGATTGTTCCTGATGGTAGGTTGTGGATTCTGAGATGTGCTGGCCACACCAGAATTCCCATGTCCCCAAACGCAATCACCTGCTGTGCTTTGATGACAACACACCAGGTGACTTCCTCCAGCTGAGCTTGTTTTTCACTGGACGTGACATCATATCGTGTTCTCGTGTGTGCGAAATTCGATTCCTCCTTGACGATTTCATATCGCCAATCTTGATTTCACCAGCTATTCAAGCGTTGCAGCAGCCCTGCCAAGGCAGGCCATCGAGGACTTCTATTTGCACCGCTCATGAAGACTGTCCAGTTTTCCATTTGACCCATTCATGATCTTATTATAATCCCTTTTGCTCGAGGTCCAATAGATGTGAAACCCCTGATTCTTCTCGCTTCCTTCGCTCGGCAGTCCTCTGTGTGACGCTAACCCACATTAACCTTTTGCCGACCGGAGTGGGCTTGAGAACTATCATCGGAGTTTGTTTCCGAGCACCATTTAGTGGTAACAACATTTCTTGTTTATCGCTCTTCATACAACATTGTCATGAAAAGAACTTCTGTCTTCGGCTATTAATCTGCAGACAAATAGCCAATTAGTCTCGGGGGTTTAGCACCCCTTGGCTCGATCCCATTCAAAGCCTGAGATGTGTTCCTTCTTCCATAGTTCGCATCTTTCATTGGACATCCTGCGCATTTAGGAGGACCAATGCACTTAGGGTCGTGCCAGTTCTCTGTCCTGTTACTGACATTACCATTAAACAGCCTTATTCCTACTCGTGTTAGTCCTTGAAGGATATTTCAACAATTCTTTTCAAGATATCTAGTCTTTCGTGCTCTAGAATTACAGATAACCAATGGGACATATTTGGAATGGAAGTTGTTATCGAGGTGAGCCTGAGCACCTGAGCGTTCTACCTAGATAATTCATAGAATGACCAATATAGATGCAGGCATATGAATCCTCGATGGATGTACAGCTTTCAAAATGAATGTCTTTACCCAAAATCTCAACAAAATGGGAATGGATGACCTTCCTTGCTTCGTTTTCGTGAGAAAGCTTTCCGGCATACTGTGAGAGTGGAACCTCGCATGGATATATATCTGAAGTCTGTCGGAGCACATCCAAGCCCCGGTGTGCCTGCTCTGCTTCAAATAGTAAGAATAGGTATTTAACAATTCCGAACAGAACAATAACCCTCCAACAGACAATTCATCCCGTGGCCTACAATGTAATTAATTCTGCCAAGCTCCTGAGTAACTCGGTCGGTCGACACCTTAAGGCAACAAGAAAGTAACGTGACACACACGTGATCAACCGTATCTTATCGGAGGTCCTCAGGATCCACCTGCTGCCCCCAATGTCGAAGCCGAAACAATCCCCAAAGAAGCTCCCAATTCGCCCTCGGCGATGCAGTGAAGCTGAAAGATGTCTCTGCGTGGGCCCATGCGGCGGTCCCACTTGCGGCAGGTGAGCGCCGCAAGCTTGGAGACCCTTTCAACGGCCCACTCAATGGAAGCATCGCATCGCGACCACGGCCCCACGCCGGACGAACGCATTGTCCGGATGTCGACCAGCTTGGCCCGGCGGCAATGCACACTATGGGTTCACGACGAGATGTTCTCTCGAGAGGAGCTCCTGCTCAATCCCTCGGCATTCGGCGAAAGTGGAATTCAAGTTGGCGATATTGTGGAGATCCTGCCTGTTCGCGCGACTGGTGACCCCATCCATTCCAGTTTGAAGCCGGATTCCACTGTCAAGACAGCTCGCGACAGCCATAACGATCTGAACGCGGCATCCAAAAGCGACAGCAGCTCCAAATTCAAGACCCCGCTTCAAAGTCGATGCTTGTTCGTGGTCAAGCCGTTACCACAAGACATCAGAACGCGACATCCCAAACTGGAGATTTCAGTGACGAGCAGCGTCGCCAATATCTTTGGCTTTAAGAATCGCACCCAAGTGCATCTTTCAATCGTCGATCGGAAGAGTTGCGCCGCATCTCATGTGGATATCGCTTTTCGTGATCAGTACATGGTTCGTTCGGACATGTGGCGATTGGTTGAGTCGGAGCTCGTGGATAAGATTGTCTACAAGGGGCAAAAGATCATGTTCATGGGCAGTATCAAAGCGACCGTCAAGAACATCTTCATTCGAGAGAAGAAGGTCCTTTCTGGCCATTTTGCGCCTAATACCATCCCCGTCTTTCGTAGCGAGTCGGCCAAGTATGTCTTGTTCATCCAAATGTCTCGAGAGATGTGGGACTTCGACTCTGAGGGATCCGGGGATATTCTGTTCAGCCGAGTCATCAATGGCTTCTTACCAGAGCTCTTCAAACGATGGGTCAACTCTGACGTCAAGCATTTGGTCACTATTGTGCTGTTCACACGCGTCGAGTACGATGCGTCTGCCCATCCTGGTTTGTCCAAACTCAACAGCGGGAACCTGAGAAATAGTTCCGGTCCGAATCAGGTCCCGACTCGAGACTTTTATCGCGTTGTGGTGAATGATATGGCAAGCGGTCACTGGACGACGATCCTGGATGAGCTGAAAAAGAACTTTCGAACATTTCTCAGAGATGTCTCTATCTTGAAAACAGATGACCTGGAGGTTGCTGCTGGAAGCGGTATCAAGTTCTCGGCCAAGCCGCATACCGCGACCATCGCGGGGCGTCCCAGTTCAGCCCTGCGAGGTAATATTCTAGAGGCTATCCATCTTGCCTCCGCCCACCTGGCTTATGATCATATTGATCGGGACATGGTGCACACAGGTACATCTATCATTGTCATCACGCCCGGTAGTGGTGTATTTGAAGTGTCCTATGATTCCCTTGCTTCCACGACGGAGGCCTTGGCAAATCGCGGCATAGCTATTGATCTAGTCTGTTTGAGCCCCATGCCTCTTCACTCAGTCCCTCTCTTCAAATATCGAGAGCCGGTAGAAAGACATTCCAGCTCCTTGCCCACAACAAGCGAGATCCCCAGAAATAATATGTCGCCGGAAATTCACCATTCCATATCCAGCTTGGTCAGCAGATCGTCCTATCTGTCGCCCGGATCTTATCTCTCCGCCACCCGTATGCGAGAGCGAGGGAATCTTCGATCGAGGGACTGGAGCTATGGAATTCCTCATTGGCTTGATATATCATACTGGAACCCTGAAACCTACCGAGAAGCTCGACGGATACTGAAGAATGACCCCAATGCACCCATTCCATTCACAGTCACTCGGCCATCCAAAGCGTTCACACCGCGTGTGCGCATGTATGAGATTCAAATGATGGGAGTCATGGAAAGCGAACAATCAAACATTTCCATTCCATATCTCCTTGAAGGACGTGACATGCACAGACGTCGTGGATCCTGGGTCGGCACCACCAATCCTGCTCGTGCTGCTCCAAGAGCGCGTTTCGCGAATTCTTCGTCTCTGAAAATCCAGTACAGTGACAGCCTGCGACCAGAACCATCCTCATTCCTGGAAAACATTACTGATCCAAGTGAGTTGCAGATTAAAGGTCCGCAAAAATCACGCAAATCTGTTATGGCTTGGATGGATCAGTATGATGACAATGTTTTCTCGGCGACGCCAAAACGACGACAACCACCGAGGCCTAAAAGTAAGCGCCTCAGTGAGCCTGAGGTCCAAGTTGCCGGAGTACATGAACGGATCTCAGCGCGATCTATCTCGCGTCTACGCGAGCATGAGTCGAATGCGAATGAGAACAATCAAATCACGCGAGCGAGTGGACCTCGAAGAATTGATGCATCGTCTGTCACTACGCCCAAAAGTCCCGTCTCTACAAAAAGTCCATCGCCCACCAAACCAGCATTGAAGCCTCCGACAGCCATAAGACCTCCGTCGAGAATCTCACGAACAATCAGCTTTGCTCTTCGTGGTCTCAGTGCCACCCCGCCAAGAGCCCAAGCCAGTACAGGCGTCCATGTCGAGCATGCTAGCGCGGGGCCCATGTCCAACCAAAGAGGCCCTTCCAGCACCTTTTCTGATACTAGAAGCATTACGTCCCTGAGTCCTTCGGAGACTGCGTCGATCCCAACCATCGTCGATGTATCCTCACGACCATCTACGCCTCCAAAGCTCCATCAGGAGCCTCGTCCAACTCCCTCCAAGCCGATTTCCATCAAGCCACCGGTTAAGAAGCCTTCTGAAGTAACGGAACAGTCAGATCGTGGAGCACCACAGGGCTCATTGTCCACATCGGCTGCCGAGGTTCATTTCAACGATGAAGTCCGCGAGGAAGGCCCAATCCGGTCTCAGGATCATAGAATTGAGATCACTGTCAATCACAGCTCTCATGATGGGTCGATACGAGCCTCACCCAGCAAAGCCTTGTCTCCCTGGGTTCGATCTGTCAATCCATGCAACACACCCAAGGACGTCCTTCGTGACACAAGCTGGTTTGGTCGTTGGCAACATGCCTATCCACGACCTCCGCACGTGGCTGTGGTTAAATGGAAGAGCTTGAAGTCTCCAGCAGTGTTGCCGTTGACTACCGAGGAGTTTCCCACAGCGGCTGAACTTGCTTCCGACTACTTACAAACCCCTTATCGTGTCTTCCCCAACGACGACACGGACGTTTTCGAGTCTCCAAAGACTCGCGGTGTTCTATTGCGGGAGATGATTTCTCTTCGGCTTTCTCATGGCTTCCAGATTATTGTTGGCAAGACCGTGGCTGAGGTATCCGCGCGACCTGCTCTCGAGTCCTTGAATGTGTTTGATACACGAGGTCTTGAACGAGATGGCGAGACAGTGTTCCTGTCCAAAGGAAATGCAATCCATCGTCTTATCTGCATTGATGGTGGGGAGATTGAGGTGACACGCTTTACACATCAAGCAGCCGCAACACTCGCTTTCCCGAAGCGATCGAACTTCACGCTTTATCAACCTGCCATGAGAACTATCTTGAGTCCAGAGTACGAGATCAAAGACATAAAGCTGGACCCGACCGCAGAGGAATACAACTGGAACTATGCGGACAATTACGTGGCAGGTCACCGTGACTACCTCCACAATCCGGCACAGCAGCTCCACTTTTGGCGGGTTCGCTACGTTTTGATCCCAATGCATCTGCATACCAATTCCCGGCGTCACCTGCACTCTTTCAACGAAGACAACGAGGAAGAAATTCACCTAATTGGAATCAGCCAGCTCACCCATATCTGGCAGCGGCACAAGTATGTGTCACCCGAGGAGAAGCGATTCGAAACTTCGACCAAGAAGACGGACGCGAATCCACTCAATATCATGTATCAAACACGAAACCCGTCAGAGGTGGTCGCTGCAGAGCTTGATCGACTGTTGCTTACGGATCCTGGACTTGATAACCCGCCCGCTCAGCTTCTACCTGAATCGGAACTGCTAGAGCGGTCTAGCATCAACTTGTCCAGCTTTGCACAAATAATCCAGGGCGACAAGGGCGTGCGAATGATGGACAGAAGGTGGCATTGGCGGCTGCATTATAATTGCTTCATCGGCTTTGAATTCACAACTTGGTTGCTACAGACCTTCCGCGATATCGACACCCGCGAAGAAGCAGTTGGTTTTGGCAAGGAGTTGATGAAGCACGGTCTGTTCCAGCATGTAGAGAAACGCCACAATTTCCGCGATGGAAACTATTTCTACCAGATTTCTGCCGAATATCGAGTGACCCGCCCGGAATCTCGCGGTGGCTGGTTCCCTCAACTCCGAGCCGACAAGTCGATGCCGTCGACACCTGCGATTGGAAATGTGAAGGACTCTCCGTCTAGTTTCCACACTCGTTCAGACAGCACCGAGGATCGGGTACCGCAAACGCCAAATACCCCGTCCAAGGTCAAGAACAAAGTTGCCATCATGCTGTCTAAATCCCTCAAATACGATGTGGACAATCGGAAACGATCGAATCGCCCAGAAGTCATTGATCTCCATTATGATCGACTGCACAATCCCGAGAATTGCTTCCACATTGAGCTCAGCTGGATGAATACGACCCCGAAGCTGATCGAAGATACTGTCCACTCTTGGGCTTCGACTGCTGAGAAATTCGGTCTCAAGTTGGTTCAAGTGCCAATCGCGGAAGGATGCGCCATTGACAGGACCCAACCCTTCCGCAAGCCATTCGAGATCAAGCTGAAAGTGCCTCCTCCCAAGGGCCCCGTTCACACCGTCTTCAATAATGCATCATTCGCGCAACCGGGGCCACCAGACAATCTGTACTACCAGAAAGCCCTTCTGCGGAAATTTGACTTTGTATTGGATTTTGAAGCAGGCACCGCGTTCCCTGCGGACGTGGAGGTCTCATACTCCTGGGGCAAACCAGACTACAAATACCCGCAGTTCATCCATCGGACGGGCAGTCTCATCGCCCAGATCACCAACGAGGGCCATTACTTGCTGCTTGCGAATCGACTCGTAAGCACGCGTAGCGTGGCTAGCCGAGATGCAGGCCGTTACGAGAATCACAATCGGCAGGACTACCGCGGGCGCACCACGACGCACGACGTCCTAGATCGCATCTCACCACGCCTGTCGCCACTTACCCGACCTGTCCACGATGTCGGTAGTCCTCTTCCACAGCCCGGATCAAAGGAAATTGACTCGGCAAATCTCTACCGGGCCCCCGAGCACATTCTCAACAGCATGGTGGAGTTCTGCAACGACGCTGCGCAGTTAGAGCAATTCTACAGCGAATCCCATGTCCGCCCGGTCTCAACCAAGGTCGAACCCACTACGGCACACCTCATGGACGCATCAATTCCTTCCTTAGAGCTCCCCGCCAGCGTGGTCAGTCACCACATCTCGCCTCCTCCCGGCTTGCCGTCTCGAGTGACCCGAGAGTCGCGGGATACTCGGGACGGGCTGATGTCGCCGGAGATTGCGCGGGCCCGCGCTCGGGGCGAGAGTCTTAGCTACAAGAGTAGCCCGCGGAGTGGGAGTTTGCGTCCTTTGATTTGAAGAGCTTGACGCGCCTCCCCGCAAACCGGGGAAACCCCGGATCAAGAGATACTATGGTCATTGAGGGGTTGAATGGTATTTTACCTGGCTCTTACATAGCTTCGACGGCTGTGCCGGACAATTCAATTATTTTAGATGAACCTAACTAGTTACATTCAAACAAGACTACATATGTGATGAAGCTTAGAGAGGGGGGCAAGCCATTTTTTACGAGAAAGGACCTAGGCGGTAGGATATATAAACCGACGGTCATTGGAAGTAGGTTTGTCCAGGATGGTAATGGTAATTTCCGTGGAGAAAAGTATTGGTATGGTAGGTCAGGAAGACATTGACGATAGTGATTGTTGATGAAGCTAAGATCTCACGAGAGATTGGAGGGTCTAAATAGGCAGGATCATGTGACTGCAACTAAACAAAAAGCAGACTTCCAACCTTAGGAGATGACCATTACCTGATCATTCCTTATTTAACTATAGGTACCTCTGCTCTATAGTAGTCATTAATTGATAAAAAGTCACGCTAAGACTAACCTGGCTAACAGCGTGGCACGGCATCCGAAGCGCCAAGTAGCAATTTAGCCGAATCTCCCGTAAATCAGCCGGGATTGACATCTCCACGCTGGTTGGTGGACTCTCCACAGTCAAGCTGCACTCCTCCAACTCTTTACTCCGTACAGTCCCCGAGAAATTGTGGACTGCCCCGCTGCGACCAGCAAAACAGCACAGCGGAGTCAGGCCAGTTACACACGCCATCTGGCCATGTCGGACGGGATTCCGTGTCGAATATGGGAATCCGAAATGGCCGACAAAGGTTGAAAATGGAGCTATACCCCTCATCTTGCTTCTCTTTTCATTATTGTTCTTTTTCTCTTGTCTTGCTTGCAAGAGTTGTTGAGGGAAATCAATACCCTTGGAGCTACTCGTGCGGGGATATACCTGCGGCACTATACTTGTTAGGCAATTACGAGCTGCTGTAACGGCCATTGAGAAAAGATGAAGTTCACAGAGGGAATGTGGTGCCTTCGGGTATGTAAAAATCAATTGCAGAGCCATGATCCAAATTCGGGGGGAAAATGCTGACTGCTGAACTTGTAGGAAGGCGTTCGCATTGAGTGGATGAGCAACATCGAACGACTGCGTACCGAGAACGAGACAGTTCACCTACTTCTGAACAAGCTCCAGAAACACCGTGGTGACACTTTGAATTCGCGTAAGTAATATGGACTACCATGAGTTTTTGTTCAAACTTCCAAAAATGCTGACCAGTACATAGCTACCGTCTCGGCGCAAGTGACCTCGCCCCAGGAAGGAATCATCGGCGTCAAGCTCGTCCACTGGTGAGACCTCGTACAATTTGTTCGTCTGTTCAAACGGGACTAACTCCCAGCAGGGCAGGACAAGTTGACAATGGGCCACACTACAAGCTCAACACTACCTCCGGCCACACCAGCATCACCCACGACAAGACTGCCAACAAGCTCAACTACACCAGCGGACCCCTAGCCCTGGACGTCAACACCGCGGCCAACGAGCTCGACTTCGTCTTCCGCTCCCCAACCGGTAAGAAACTCACCGGCCACTCATGGCGCTCAATCGGCTACGTCGCAGACCAGCGCACCGAGAAGCACCGCTACGAGGACGGTATCTACGCCGAGAAGCAGGGATACATGCTCGCAGAGCTCGATCTCGGTGTTGGCGAGAAGGTGTATGGTCTGGGTGAGCGGTTCGGTCCGTTCGTTAAGAATGGGCAGACGGTCGATATGTGGAATGAGGATGGCGGCACTAGCTCTGAGCTGGCATACAAGAATATCCCGTTCTACATGTCTTCCAAGGGATACGGTGTGTTTGTCAATCACCCCGGCAAGATTAGTTTGGAGGTGCAGTCTGAGCGGACTACGCGAGTCAATATCTCCGTTCCAGGCGAAGAGATCGAATACTTCATCGTCTATGGTGACTCGCCCAAGGATGTCTTGCGGAGATACACTACTCTCACGGGCCGACCTGGTCTGGTCCCATCTTGGAGCTACAATCTCTGGCTGACGACTAGCTTTACGACCAACTACGACGAGCAGACAGTGACAGGCTTCCTGGATGGATTCCGGGACCGTGACATCCCTCTGGGTGTCTTCCACTTCGACTGCTTCTGGATGAAGTCCTACCAGTGGTGCGATTTCCAATTCGACGAGGAGATGTTCCCCGACGCAATCGGATACCTCAAGCGCCTGAAGGAACGTGGTCTACGCATTAGCGTGTGGATAAACCCCTACGTCGGCCAAGCCTCACCTCTCTTCGAAGAAGGCAAGAAGAACGGATACTTCATCAAGGTCAGCTACAACCCTAGCCCTTCCTCGCACCCAAATCTCCAAAATCCACAGTTCTAACCCTTCTTCCAGCGCACCGATGGCTCCGTCTGGCAATGGGACTTCTGGCAAGCCGGCATGGCCGTCGTCGACTTCACCAACCCAGCCGCCTGCACCTGGTACAGCAGCCACCTAGAACGCCTAATGGAAATGGGCGTTGACAGCTTCAAAACCGACTTCGCCGAACGCATTCCCGTAAAGGGCATTAAATACCACGACAACGCCGACCCAGAACGCATGCACAACTACTACGCCCTCCTATACAACCGCATCGTCTACGAAACCCTCAACAACCGCGTTGGCCCCAACCAAGGCCTCCTCTTCGCCCGCAGCACCGCACCAGGCGGACAAGCCTACCCCGTGCACTGGGGCGGCGACTGCGAAAGCACCTTCGAAGCAATGGCCGAGTCCCTCCGCGGCGGACTCAGTCTCATGCTCTGCGGGTATATCTTCTGGGCCTCTGATATCGGCGGATTCGAAGGAACCCCGCCACCGGCGCTGTACAAGCGCTGGGTGCAATTCGGACTGTTATCCTCGCACTCGCGTCTCCACGGATCCTCTTCGTTCCGCGTCCCCTGGATCTACGGTGAAGACTGCTCGGCTGTGCTGCGTGACTGCGTGAAGCGCAAGATCCTTCTTACGCCGTATATCCTGGCTGAAGCGCTGCGTGGCCATCGCGACGGGACGCCGCTCATGAGGGCGCTTTTCCTGGAGTTCCCTGCGGATTTGAACACGTATGCTATTGATACGCAGTATATGTTTGGACCGAATTTGTTGGTTGCGCCGGTCTTCTCTGAGGACGGGGAGATTACGTTCTACGTGCCTAAGACTGAGGAGGAGGGGGCTGGGAAGTGGGTTTCTTGGTTTGATCATTCCAAGTCGTATGAGGGTGGACAGTGGTATACTGAGACTCATGACTTTGATACGATGCCTATCCTGGTTCGTCCCGGGTCGGTGACTGTGACGAATCCTAAGCTCAAGGCGCCAGAGGATGATGCGTTGGAGGGAATTCAATTGTTGGTCAATGGTACTCTGCCTACTGGGACTACTGTTGAGGTTGTGAATCCGGGTCAAACAGGCGAGGTTCTGAAGACTCTTCGATTGACTAGTGGTTCGGACGGTAAGACCGTTGAAGTGGAAGGCCATGATGTCGAGGTCGTCTATATTGGACAGTAAATGAGGAACTACGTTTATATGGATGAACTAGGATTTTAACATAGAGGATTAGACTGCTTATGAGATACAAATTGCAAATGGAATTATTAAAACATCAAAGACGAATCTCTGAAAATAATGAGTGAGGCATAGCTAGGCCTCAAATTGAACCATGGGTATCATAATCAAACAAAAAACGCAAATGCAAAATGAAAGAAATATGAGTGAAACACATATGGAGACATGTGAATCTACTCTAAACGGACCGACTCTCACAAGAAAGGAGAGAGTGAACACAGCACTGCCACAAATGAGATCTCGGTGCGAGATCACCAGCAGTCCTCCAGCTCCAACAGCCATCGCCGAATCCCCTGGCGCAGGGTGTTGTCAGCCCCTGCCAAAGCCCTTCGCCGCTCTCGGTCGGCAATCCCCAGGCCACCGTCTACGTCCTCGCGACAGTGCTCGGCGGTGACAGACCGGACAACTTCCTCGAGGGCCCCAAGCACCATCTTTCGGCACTCTGAACGAGGTACCTCGACTGGTGGGGCCTCTTCCCCCCGAGGAGTTGTCTGGCCTTTGTCTTCGCCACGCCGAGCGCGCGAGGGAGACGGGGCGCGGGAATGCGCGAGCGAGGAGTGGCCGCTGTGCCCGAGCACCCTCTCCACGGCATCCACCAGGATCCCATCGAGGTCCATGACAGGCTCCTCGATGAACTTCTCCTCGACATCCTGTGTCTCGGAGAAGTTGACATCGGGAGACCTGCCTTGACCAGTGAAGAGACTGGTGAAGTGAGAGGCGGAGCTTGCGCCTCCTCCAGAAGTGCGAGAGCTGCTCGGGTACACAGCGTTGACGGGCGATGGCGGGGTATGACTCTGCCCATAGGGATCCCCCACTATGACCTTCCGCCTCAAGCGGAGACGCTTGACCGTCGAGGTTCGGGTATCGGCGATCAAGGTGGTCGCCACGTCCACCCACCTCTCCGTGCCTTCGGCATCAGGAGTCATCGGGATATACGGAGTAGGCTCCGCCCGCATGGCTCGCTTGATGTCGGCCTCGACGGCGGCGTACGGTCTGACCGCTTGAAGCGAGAAGTCTTCATGGAAAAGCTTGAGCCAACCAGCAACATGAGTGCTGGGGCCGTCCGCTTCTTTCGTGGTACTGTGGAACCCAGAACCACTGCTATGGGTAGAAGCCATAGCATCCATGCTCGTGACCGACGCTCGAGTCTTCCTGGGGGAGGCGATGGTGGAGTCTCCAGATGATGAAAGAGAGAGGAAGCCAGGGAGGGGGAGGTCAACGTCAACAACACCCTCATCTGCACGAACGGAAAGCTTCAGGGGAGACTCGCGGACCTGACTCGTAAACGAGGATGGTTCGGGAGAATCGTCCTCGGCGCTATCGGTAGTGGCTGGAATAGAGATATTCCCACTTTGCGAAGCTTCGGGGCGGTGTTTTGCTTCCGTCTCGGCGACTTCTTTCACCATCTGGGACAGAGTTGGCGGGGCTCGTGGGGGTGGACCGGCGATGGTAGACACAGATCTTTTGCGGGCGTCGGCTGGGGAATAGTAATCAGTCCCATCGGTGGACAACTCCTGCCGGGAGCTCCAGAGTCCAGAGAAGATACCACCCCATCGTCCTCCACCAGAAGGAAGGCTGCCATTTCCGCTCAAGACTGAGCTGTCACTTCGTTGCAGGCTCTTCAGCAAGGTCTCCGACGCCAGGCTCTCATTGGTATCTACCGCACTGAGGTCAGATCCTCCCTGGCTGGAACGGGTTTGCTGAGAGGCAAAGTGAGGTACGGGAACCGTGCTACTCTGTGTGGTCATCGAGGTCGTGGCACCACTGGTGTTCTGTGCCCGAATGTCCTTCGGTTGGATAGTGGTACTCAAGGTCTTGATCGAACGAGCATCTGATCCTCGTCGAGCCGCGGCGGTAGATGGTACAGGAGTAGCTTGGTCAGCCACATCTGAGAGACGCTGTGCGGTGTCTTGGGACGACATGCTAACAGTGCGTCTGTGGTGATCGCTCTCACCCGACATCAATCGTTGAGCACGGGCACGTCGTTCAATCGCTCTGCGAAGTGACTCTTGACGAAGGACCGGCACGGCCGGTGGGCTCTGGGAGATGGCACGCATTGATGCCGAGGTACCGGGTCGCATGGGCGATGGCAGAGGCTCTAGGCGCTGCTTGGATGGAAGGAATGCGGAGAGTAGGAAAATCAGGCGACGGGCAGTCATCTTATCTGGACAGACGATGACAGTGCGGCGGGTCAAGACGGGTTCACTATCTTGTTGAGCCTTTTGCTGCTGACTATGACGGCGACGGTACCATTCTGGCCCAAGGACATTGAGCCACTCTGTGTGGTTACCCAGGAACGCAGTTAGCAGTACAAGGAAAAAGAAATTTGAATCCTTGTCGCCTAGGCCACGGACAATAGAACGTCCTTCCTCTCGCCACACTCCCCACCGGCTTTGACCAGTTAGGACGTAGGGGGTTTGAAGAGCCAGACTGATTCGACGAGAACTGCGGATTGCCTCCTCCTTGAGCTTGGAGTTCACGGACAGTATGTTAGCGGGCAGATGAACAATGGTTTGGTTCGTCCTCTGCATATTCGGGGGCTTGACGGGTTTTGGGTGGGCCCCAGATAGAGAATCCACCTTCTTAAGGAGGAAAAGAATCTCATTCCGAGCAAGCCTCTCCAGATGGGATAATGTACGGGTGATGACATCCCAGTGATCGACCAGAAGGTCTAGCCGCTCGTCCAAGCTGGCTGGGGGGAAGCCGCGGACAAGCTGTCGTCAAGAAAGGCGCCAGGCCAGCGATAATCCGAGTCCAGGGAGCTCGACAGACCGACTCTAGGTGAATCGGGACCAAGGGTGCTGAAGCGGGATACTGGTCGTCCGGAATTTCGGGCCAGCAGAGGGATTTGGATCGTGATGGCAACCGCATACATGGGTGTCTTCTTCTCCTTGATCTTTTTTCGCTTCGATACGTCTGGGAAAGGGAAGCCCATCTCAGGAAGAGACTCCTGGTAGATGGCGTTGGCGTAATCGTTCCGTTCGGCGGATGCTTCGGCTCCTTCTGGGAGATTGACACTAAACATGCGAGTCACAAGAACCGTGACCTTTGCAGGTGGCTTCCCCTCCTGCACTCGGGGAGGGCCCATCAGCCCCGAAGGGCTCCCGGTAGTGTATGCACGTGCCAATGGACTTCGAACGGCTGGAGAGGAGCTTGTTATCATTCCTGGTTCATCATCTGCTGATATGATGTGCATTTTAGTTGAGGATCCACGGTAGCTGAAAGCACTACTGCCGAAAATGCAGTTGAGCAGGCCAGTGTCGTTGGAATCAGAACCATGACGTGTGACTCCAGGTTCGTGCCACGTTCCTGCTGGTGCCAGTGTGGAGCTGCGGCCTCGGGCTCGCGAGAAAGCGCCGGGGCTTGCCGGTGTTGAGCGTCGTGCGTCGGCAGCTGTGGAGAGCGGGCTTGATTCGACGACGGAGGATTGGGCGAGGAATGTTCGGCGGGAACCGCGAGTGAGACTGGATACAGTTCGTGAATGGCGCGCACCGGGCTGGTCAAGACCTTGTGCGTCGATTCCAAGGCCGGTGGGGGGTTGGTCGGCAGAGGCACGTGTGTCTAGCAGGACGCACGCATCACGGTCACCGAGAGCGTTCTGAGCCACGATTACCCGGAAATCTTTGATGGCGTCCAGCTCTAAACCTCCACGGTCATCATAAGCCCCGGCTGTAGAGGCATTGGGGGAATGGAAGGTAGTCTGCAATGGATACGTGTGGGTGTTGGAACGGCGGAGGAGACTAGCGTCGGGGAAGAGGAGACCGGAGGTGTGTTCCTCCTCGGTCACCGATTCGAGAGGAGTTCCATGATTTCGTGAGGAGTATGCCGCCGGATTGAGGCTCGAGGCAGCGGTGCTGAGTAGTCGGCCCAACATGGTGAAACCACCCGGGGGGTGCAAGGACGCCGTTAGAGAGGTACTCGGAAGTGCAGGGAAGATGAGAACGGTCTAGACAGGAAACGCAGTGTAACGATGGGTAGGAGACAGCTAGATGGATCTAGACTGCATCTACCCATGACCTAATTCCACCGGACAGGGACCATCCTCAAGAGATGGCGGGGGAGATCTGAAGTGTGATCGAGTTTCGATGGAGGGGGAGAGTTGGAGAAGAGAAAGTGGGATGGGCTGCAGGCAGTGGGGCGTCTGGGGAGATATCAATGGGGTAGGAATTGGTAGGCGAGGACCCCACAGGCAACGGAGAGGTCAGGCAAAAGAAAAACAACTCAGAGACGGGACGTCTTGAGGAGATCTTGAAGAGGGAGGAGGAGTGGGGAGTGGTGGGATCAAGAAAGGGTGGAGAGTCGAAAGATGGGAAAGGGCGGTGAAGAGCGGACAGCGGGCCTGCCACATGATCTCAGCCTCAAGCTTAGAGAGAAAGGTAACACTGCAGTCGCCTGCGATGCTGAACGACTCGGTGAGCAGCTCTCACTAGCTGTGAATCTATTTATCGATACATGCAACTCCCCTGTCCGAGATGTCGGTGTCGAGCTCATATGACATGTGGAAGGTATGATTCAAAATATAGATGAGATACGAATGATATGAAGATCTATGGTGGGTTCATCATGCCGCTAGAGACTAAACTATTAAAACAACAGGAGCTTTTTATTCTTCATGCCTTGGACCGCCGCTTGACCTTGTCAGCCAATTGCTTCAAGTCATCCACTTCAGATTCCTTAGAGGACTTCTTGGGCTTCTTCGATCGATCCCGGTTGTCCGTTGGTGCCTCTGGCTCGTCCTCTCCGGTGCGTCGGCGCTTACGACCCTCGTCCAGGAGGGCCTTCATGCCGGAGGTGGCCTTGAACCGGGGGTTGGTCGGGTCAATGGCAAACTCGTGACTATCAAACAGGCTGGAGAATCGGGGATCGTTGACATTGACATTGAAATCGTCCACGACTGCAACCTCCTTGTTCTTGTTCTTGCCCTTGCCCTTGCCCTTCCGTCGGGCCTGTTTCTCTGCCTTTGTGATCTCGTTCATGTCAAAGTGCTGGATCTTGGCCTTTTCATCGTCCACAAGCAGTAGCTCCAGCTCGGCACGTTGGGCAGCGGAGGCGGCTTCCTCCGCAGCACGTTCCTCGCGCTTCTTGCGCTTCTCCTCCTTACGACGAGCTGCAGCCGTAGCCTTGCCACTAGGGTCGTCGAAGAATGGATCGTTGAAGCCCAAGTCTTCTTCCGCGTTCTCGGCTGGGTTGGGTTCGTTCTCAGCACCAGAATCACCTTCCGCCTCCTTGGCTTCAGGATCCTCGCCCCGTTTCTCAGCCTGGCGCTTTTCCTTGCGGCGCTTCTTGCGTTCGCGCTCCTTCCGAACATAACGCTCGAGGGCTGTCTCCTCAATTTGAGGCTCATTCTCGAAGATACCGCTATCCTTGCCACGGCCACCGGCGAGACCAGACGTGAAGGTAACCTCCATCTCACCGACGGGACCAGCCGACTTGGAAGAAGGAGTAGGCTCGGTGCTCAGACCTAGCAATGCACGCATGCGTTGTCTCTCGGCCTCCTTCTTGGAAAGCTTGACAGTTGTGCCTTCGTTTGCAGTGTTATCGACCACTTCCACACCGCCATCTTCCTCATCCTCGCTGTCGGAGCTGTCGCTGCCCAGATAGGCCTTCAGGTCGTTCTCGTCGATTTCTTTCCGAGAACCGCGGAATGCCCGAGCCTGGGCCTCCTTTCGTGACTTGTCGTCCGCATCCCAGGTCAACTTGACCTTACTGTGTTGCAAAGCGTCCGTCACGAATTCATTCGGCTTGTAACCATCGGGGATTCGAGAGCATGAATCGCGAGGCTTGTCATCGGAGAAATCGGTATCGTCAGGAACGAAGCGGAGGTCGAAGAAGTTGGCGCTAGAAAGGTACTCGGCGCCATCCACGAGGTCGTAAACGTGCTTGGCACACTCCTTATTTGAGAATGTAAGGATAGCGTAGAAGTAGCGCAATCGCTCCAGCTGGTATTGCCGCAGTTTAGTAGAGTTGAATTCTTCGCCGGTGTCGGCCTTGAGCAGAGACTTCTTGATCTCCTCCTCTTCTTCTTCGGAATCAAGTTCCTCGTCCTCGTCCTCACCCGTTGCACCTCCGTTGGCAGAGGCAAAAATCTCTCTTGGGGGACCTTCAATCTCTTCCTTCTCCATGCGCTCCTTTCCGAATTCACTGGGGTAAACAGTAACATTCTGGACACGGCCACCGGCTGGTAGGAAACTGGAGAAACAAGCCATCAAGTCCTCGGCTCGAATGTTGTCCCAATCCAAGTTGACGACTGCAATGCGGTTCGTGACCTCTCCGAGCGGCACATTGGCTTGCTGTTTGTCTGGGAACTCGACCTCGTCGTCCTCATTCTCGACTTCGTCGTCTTCCTCCTCGTCACTGGAGCTCTCTTCGGATGATGAGTCTGTGAAACCGCCATCTCTAGCAGGGTCGTATGAACGTTCTTCCACACGCTTCAACTCTTTTTGCACCTCGTCGTCGTCATCAGCGCTCACGTCCTCCTCGTCCTCCTCGTCTTCGTCGTCGTCTTCCAAGCGGTAGAACTTCTTGAGCTGTTTCTTGGTATCGTCCTTTGCGAGTTTGCGACCATATCGATCAACGGCAGCATTGCGGGAGAAGTCCTTATCATCAAGCATGTGCGCAAAGCGCTTGTCGAGTTTGACATGAGTCTGACGCTTGCTCGGCAGGCGATAACGAGGATCGGTTTGGATATTGGCGAAACGGGGATCAGCTATTTATTTTATTCAGTCAGTGATCATTGCGCCTGTGTGGTTTCTCTTGTTCATTTAGAGCAGCACGTACTGATCACCGGGCCAGATTCGCCTCTGGCTCCGGCCTTCTTAGACTTCTTCTTGTCCTGGCCAGCCATTTTGAATGATAGCTGTGTACAACAATGCAACCAGAATTTTGATTGACAAAATGCAACCAGCTGATAGAACTCTAGAGGGCGATCGTTACACAGAAGAAATGATCTGTCCGGCGCGAAATGCGGACAAATTTCTTTTTTCTGCCCGTATTTTGAGGGGCGGTGTGCTGGCACGTGAGTTTTGTCCCAAAATCACTCGAGCCTCATTTGATTAGCTAATGCTTTACCAGGCGGGCAGGACACTCTGCTCGCTATTGACTTACTCCGTCATATCTGGCTTGTTATTGCTCAAGACAGTGGACTAGACTGCTCAATTAGAGTGTAGGCTCTACGATTAGGCTTTTGCCTACTGCCAGTAAATAATTCCCGGCCCCTCATCGAGAAATTCCAGAAGGTCATAAAATGTATGTACTTCATTGACTATAGCAAAGTCGGTATTTACCACGAAGAAGGAAATATGAGATAAAAGGCGCCAAGATGACAGTCTAGCATCCGAAATAACGCTTCTCCATCCAGCGTGGCTCCCCATCCGACTCGATACGACCAACAATGACGCTGATCTTAGGGAAGACTGCAACCAGACGCTTGATTCCAGTTTCACCTGCAGCACATGTGACGAAGACAATCTTATCTTCCTGCACGCCGTGGTCAATCAAGACACGGACGGCCATCAAGGCTGCTCCTCCACTGGCCATCTGCGGATCCAAGAGCATGACCATGGAATGCTCCTCGAGTTGGGGAGGAAGCTTGAGGTAGTGCAGCTCTGGCTCGCAGCTATTTTCATCAGTCTGGATCAGGAGACGACCAGTGATGCAATCTGGGATGGTCCGCTTCAGGGCGGTTTCCAAGCATGAACCTCCACGTAAGATGGCAACTGCAGATACAGCGCCCTTCGGGTTGAGGCCCATGTACTTATTGCCTTGTGGTGTTTCCACGGTGGTCTGGACATATGTTGTCATATCCAGGGCTCTGTAGGATCATTCAAAGTCAGCAGTTAGGATTGGTGCCAAGTGGGAGGGGATGGGGACGAACTTCTCAATGAGAATCGAGGCAAGTCGATCAAAGTAGAAGACAAAGTCAACATGTTCCGTCGCTGGATCTTGGAGAACGGTGTTCATTCCCACAAACTGCGGTGTCGAGGGCATAACATGCACGTTGGCCGGCAGTTCGACCTTGGCGGCCAAGAGACCAAGCTTCCGGAGAGCCTCCGTATGCTTCTCTGACTTATCCTGCAGCTTGCGCTGGATGTGCTTCACGACCATGTCTGTAAAAGATTAGTATCTGCGGGGCTGGCTGGAGGACTTCAAAATAAACAGCTTACCAATAGCGGTGATATTTTCAATACCACGAGGAATGATGATGTCTGGGATTAACGTCAGGTCATATGCAGCTAAAAAGAGCCGAGAGTTGAAAGGATACCGGAAATCTGTCGCTGAGGTTCGACAAATCTGGTGTAAGAGGGCTTGACAAAGGTGAACCATTGCTTGATAATGCCCTCGATGTCTCGACCACGTTCGCGGACGTCGCGGAGGACTGAAATATGGCCAGGCGTCAGTAACAAACTCTTGTACAAATGGAAAGAATGATCTCCAACCTCTGCGTCCCAAGCAGACATCCATGTCAGCTTCAACAAAGATCTAGAAAGACTATCAGCTATAATGGCCAGGCCTCGCAGTAAGTGGTTCTACTATACCTTGACATCGAGTAGATTCAAAATTCTAGGATCGTGGAGAGCCAGAATTCCCTCGAGAATAAGTACTCGAGGAGAATAAAGGGTGGTCGTCTGGGTTTGCCGCTGGTGATCGGCAAACGAGTAGACCGGAATATGCGCCTTCTTGCTTTAAGCACATTCCCGGTCAGAGACGGTCAAAAATGAAACATAAACTGATAAAGAAGATTACCCTTGTTTGAGATCTTTAAGAGTATCGACCAGAAGGTCAAAATCAATTGACTCTGGGCAGTCAAAGTCGTATTCATTTGCATGAGCCTTGCTATGTTCCTCGGGAGTCAAGGTCTTGTAGAACGAATCCTGTTGGGCGCTTGGATGTTAGAAGCTACTAGCATGATCAAATATCTCTGGTATACATACCATGACGAGAATCACCACCCAAGGCAGATTCAGCGACTTGACAATCTCCATAGCCACTGACGTTTTGCCGGAGCCGGAGCTCCCAGCAATGCCAATGATGCTCAAGTCCTGCCATGGCGGAGAGTACTTGACCTCCGGGACGAGGGAATAGAACGGCGATGTCGACTCCATTTTCACCGTCAGAGGAGCCTCACACCATGGCACCCGGACACAGATACTCGGGAAAATATGGACCTTTGGACTTGAGCGGGTATGGTGGTCGTTATCTCTTGCTGGGGCTCGTCTCAGTTGCGATCAATTGGGCTTAGCGCGTGACCCGGGTTTCGCTTGTGGCTGACATAATCACTGAAGTCATTTTCTTTCTTCCGCGTTTCCCAACTTCCTCTTCTCTTCTCACTTCTCCTCTCCAGGGCTTCTTCTCCCACCAAGCGTTCTGCCTTTCCTCCATGGCTGTCGTCTCTCGGGCCGCCCTTCAGCTTGTCACATAGCTGATTTCTTTACAATTCCTGCCACACGGTGGTAGTGTACCACACCATGTCCTCCGCTAATCTTGTATGCTGCTCGGCGTGTTGACACCCGTGAGATGCTGAGGGTTTTTTAACACAACACTGCACAGATGTCTCGTACTCCCTCAACTGCTACGCCAACATGGCACCAGTTCGAGCGGAAGGTCGACGAGGTCAAGCCGTCCAAAACGTGAGTCGCCCGCCCGTCTACCCGCCTTTTCCCATTCCTCCCCCCTCGGCTTTGCCGTCACAATGATGATCTTAAACTCAAGTTGGGAATCTCTCTGAAATATTATGAGGAGAAACACATTAACTTGTCTACCTGACCCCTTCGTCACATCTACTGCCTATTATCAACTTGACTTGGTCATCTGCAACAGCTGCTAATACCAAGCTCTAGTGACATCAATTATCTGGTCATGGACTACCTCATCACCAATGGCTACCCTGCTGCTGCGAGTAAATTCGCTGTCGAGGCCAATATCCAACTGCGGACCGATCTGGAGTCGATTCAGGAACGTGTTGAGATTCGGACCTTCATCCACTCGGGCAACATCCAGGCAGCCATTGAGAAGATCAACGAGCTGAACCCTCAGGTAAGAATCTGCTCCACCATCGCACAATTCTCACCACCTCCACCCCTCCGTTGTTATGATTATTCAAAGTTTCATGCACCACTCCTATTACACCCTTCGGGGAGTTGCGGATAGTCAAACATCTTCAGTCCTCAGTATGAACAACAACCATTGCCTTCAATCTGCTTTGCACACATCATACGCATTTCAAGCGCATCAGCTAACCAGATTGACCAGATCCTCGATGAAAACCCGGCATTGCATTTCGCTCTCCTGCGCCTGCAACTGGTAGAACTAATCCGCACCTGCACGTCCACTCCAGATGGCGACATCAGTCCCGCCCTAGAGTTTGCAACCACGCAGCTAGCACCTCGGGCCCCGACCAACCCACAGTTCCTTGAGGACTTGGAGCGGACGCTTGCTCTACTGATCTTCCCCAGCGACAACCTATCCCCATCCCTGGCCTCCCTCCTAGATCCCAGCCTCCGTAAAGACATCGCACAGCGAGTCAACGAGGCCATCCTCCAAAACCAGGGCGCTCGTAAAGAAGCGCGCCTGCGCAATCTCGTCAAGCTTCGTGCCTTTGCCGAACACAAGGCCCGCGATGCTAAGAAGGATATCCCAGATAAGCTGGACATCGGCCTGCTCGGCGACAACGATAATAACCAGTCCAGTAACACCAGTAATGACGCGGCCAACAATGGAAACAGCCAGAATGGTTCCGGCGACACTGTGATGGCCAATAACGGCGACGTCGATACCATGGTTGCTTGAGAGGCCTGCACGTCGCAGTGGGGTTCCTCCTGCAGACTTTTCTCCTAGCGTTCCTGCTGGGTACTGTGTCTTTTATTCTGCTTTCTTTGGGTCCTTTTTTAGCGAGGCGCTCCTGGGGCTTGTCGGGTCTGGTTGGCGTTCTGGCTACCCATTCAGGGTAGGGTACCTCGGGATCGAGGTCATCAATACAAATACATTTCTTCACACATACAAATTCCTTCGCGCGTATCTCCAATCTGTTCTTTTCTAAGAATTTCAAGTACTGTAGCCGCTATGGTTCGATAACCTCGCATCTAACCTAATTATTTCCAGATGCGCGTATGCAACTACGACTGTTGTCAAATGAGCCCTGGTGGAAGTTATATCAGGCTCCACCCGAGTCAAAATATATATATCATCACAACCTTAGCTTTAAGGTGGACATCTGAGAGCCATACCTAGGACACTATACGTAACATTTTTCCTATGCCAGGTGGGGCTTTCCTATCTTAGCTGCCGCCGCTTTAATGAGGGCGCTCAGAGTCAGGATCACTGAGTAAATTTCAGTCCAGGCTCAGACTCACTGAGCTGCTCAGTGCCATCACGTGATGATCAGTGAGGTCCAATGAGCGCTCACTGAGCGCTCAGTGAGTCTGATTGGCTGCTCACTGAGTCATCAGCGATTGTTCTATTGAGCACCCAGTCCATTGTTAGCCCATACCCAAATACCTACTTTTTGATAGACCTCATTTTTCACCATGCCCCTCATTTTTCACCATGCCCCTCATTTTTCACCATGCCCCTTTTTTTGAGGTACTCGACCCTCCAATACCTGTCCTTTCTCAAATTACGGTACGATAACTCAGATGATAGAGGGTTGAGGCTTTCTGCCATGCAATGGGGCAGAAAAAAAGCGTTCCGCGCTCATCAGACACTACGATCTGTGCTCAAGTCCTGAAGTACAAATTGTGGCTACGTTCCTCATTTCAAGCTACCGCACATATTCTCTTTGTTCCTCACTTCGACCTCTACTTCTATTTATTCGTCCTAGCGTTTGTTGGGATAATTTCTATCATGGGTCAGAAGGCTTTCTTTGCTCAACAAGATGAGGCCGCCAAACAACTGGCAAAGAGCGGCTATGTTTTTGGCGCTCATGCGGAGGAGGATGCTAAGCGAGAAAAAGATAAAAGAATACCCAAGACCAAGAAGATGTATTCCCACGCTGTCGATCGTTGGATGCAGTGAGTTTTGACGCAATTTCCCCGGCGGATTGCACGCCGTATGCGTTGCTGACTTTCTCTTAGATTTGTTGAACAGGTTGGAATCGAGGGCTATAAATTTGGGCCAGGTTGTGCGACTCCAGACTATATGCTCCTCAAAGAATTTTTCCGCTGGTATGGTCACATAGCGCGAGGCAAGAAAAGTAAGAATGGCAGGCCGGTGATGACTTCATTTCTCAATTGCGCCGAGCGGCTGTTTGGTGGGTTTGAAGAAGAATGCCAAATCAAAATTGTGATGGAAGACCGGAACGAAATATATAACGTAAGCTGTTGCTAAATTCCATGGCACAAGCAAGACTAACCGCAACACAGTGGATAAGGAGAACATTGGCAGGAAAAGACAAGTGGATTGAGAATGTTGAAGATCCAGACCACAGCTTCACCAAGAAGGATTTCCTTCGAGTGATATCATCTATATGGCAATCAGATCATCGCCGATTCATACCCGGATTACTGAAGGCTATCATGACACTGGCTCTTCAATTATATCTTTTTACCGGAGCCAGGATTGGAGCCTTTATACCGGCCCATGAGGATAGAGACGAAAGGGGCCTTAGATATAAGGTGAGTAGATTTTGGTGTTGCTTTTGTACTAAACTAATTCTTGTGTAGGACATCGAGCTGGTTTTATTTCCATCCTCTACGGCCCCATGGAAGGTCGAGTGGAAAGTCAATCAAGTGTGGCTAAAGAATAATCGAAACCCAGACTACACTGTGTGAGTAAGCAAAAAATACATTCTTTAATATTTTGCCTATAAATAAGAGTTTACACGCTGATATAATTTTAAGGTTTGGAATTGGAATCCGTGACAGTAGGAAACCACAGTTCGCATCTGGCTATGTCCTTCTGGCTATTGCCCTTCAACATGGTGCTCTATTCGGTATCGAAACCGCAGAAGACCTAGCGGAGTACGATCTTTCAGATGGACGGCCAATTCCATTACGCTGGAAGGATGAATATCTGAATAAGCCTGTGCTCAGAAATGTTACGGCCAACGGTCCACAAGATGTCCCACTCACTAAGGAGCGGTTTTGTGAAATACTGCGTGGAAGAGTCACTGCCGCTGGATATAGTGAGAGTTTGACTATTCATAAAGTTCGGAAGTTTCTGGGAAGTGTAATTGAAGGTGGGTATACAAGTTCGATGTCGGGTCGGTCAGAGTTTTGCTAATTGCGGGGACAGGAAAGCATGGTTCTGCCTTGGTATCGCAAATATACGGACACAAAGATGCTGGAACATATCCTAAAGACTATGTGTTACACTGCTCTTCGATCGATACCGTCTCAGCCGTTCTAGGTGAGGAAGAGCAGTCAAGTCACATTGACTATTTTCAAGGATGTGAAAAATTCTATGAGCGCGGACTTCCAGGGGAGCTGCCAGCAGAGGTAGAGGAAAAAATCCTGCTAAAGCCAGAGATGGTTGAGATCAAAAGTCGGATCGAGGAGCTTGAAGCTCGAGGCGACAAAATATCCATAAATGCGGAGAGACTGAAGTACAGAAAGACCTTGGTTCGATTCCGCCTTTCTGAGCTGAAGAAATACCAAAGCAGCTGGATACGTGAAAGAAGAGACCAAAGAATTCTCAACAAAGGGAAAGACGAGCGGGCGCTTGATGATGATGACGTTTGCACACGGGTTCAAGCCTTGATTATGCCTGATTTTGCGCGAATTTCAACCTTGATGAATTTCCACGGCGAGCTTTCCTTCGATGAAATGCTCCTTTTTGTGGAAGACCTAAAAACTCACTGTGAACGTGACTTTGATGTGATCTATCTTCCACAAGAAAGCCCCGTTAAGGGTCGCTGCCCCGCTAAAGATTGCAATGAAGAGATTACACGGTGAGCCGTCTAGCCGCAGAAGAATGAAACTATACTAACGTTCTCAGCCTGAAAAAAACCGATAGGAGTACCCACATTCACAAATGTGTTCGACGCGAGATTGCTTTGAACCATCAAGTCTTGGAATCAGAGTTGAAATTTTGCTACGAGTGCATGAAGTGGTTTCAGCTAAGTCACTGGCGAGACCACTGCTCTTTCCACATCCAATCATGGGTAACTCAGCAATGTGAGGTGATCGTATATCGTCACACTGTGATCCGCCCAGGCTACTGCCCTTTCTGTTTGTGGAACAAAGATCTTGCCGCCGAAGACCGCTTACACTACTGGCTGACCAGTGGTAATTTGAGACAACACATTGAAGAGCAACATATGAATGGAAATCAGAGTCGTGGAGAGAAGTCAATATGCGGATGTGGCAAAATTTTTGACGAAGAACGTGGCCTCCGACACCATTTGCATGACATTCACAAGCTAAACAAAGCCATATGGCTAAGTCTGAAACGCCAGAGGAAGAGAAAGAATACCTACAAAGCGGAATCGCGAAAATCATCAGAAGAGCCAGAGGAGCGATGCTCCAAAAGAGTTCGCTTCTACCGCTATCCGCCTCCACGTCACGAACATGAGTATCAACTTTCAAACACCATTTTCATTCCCGTTCCCACATTGCATGCCTTTATTGAAGAACATCCCGAGCAATATTATTGTTCCAGTTTGAGCAATAAGGCAACTCGAAGCAGCGGAAGTAGTCCCTGCTCTTCTGAAGCAATTTCCCCGCTCAGCTCGCGACCAACAACGCCTGGTTTGGATGTGATTGATCCAAGGATCCTCACCCCATTGGAGTTCTACCAAGCCCAGAGACCTCAGCTTTATGGCCAAGATTACTCGGAGACGGATGTGCTTGAAATCCCCCCGGATGGGCAAGATATCAAATCACAATCCCTCAGCGTCGGAGCCCATACAGGGGCTCCTATTCGAATTACTGCTGATCAATCCACTACCGGTTTTGAGACCATTGGTTCTTCCTCTCTCAAGACAGTCGAGAAGAACACAAATGATGGATACAAAGATCGTGGTGGTGTTACCAACAAGCTACAGTTATCTAGCCAATCATCAATCGAGACCAACGCCATAGAGAAGGCCACAGAAGTAAATTCTATGGATTTGCACATTCTGGGTGTGCATACTACTGGCTTTACCGCAAGTGAAGCAAACGAAGAGAAGAAACACTCACGAGATGCGCAGCCTGATTCCAAGTCAGGCAACCGCATATGCTCTGATGTGGAAATTGAGTCAGAAAGCCATTATCCCGCCCATCAGGGACTCATTGATCAGGTCACATCTCTTGGTACGGACTCGATCACTAATCTCAAGAAACCTCTTACCCGAGCCCAGGCCAGAAGACAACAACTTATGCAACAGTCTTCAAACCATTCGACGGAGAAAACGCTTCGACAGAAGCTTAATGCAACGGAGAAACGGAAGCTTCGTGAGCTCAAGAGCAAAAATTGGTCTCTGAGGCAAATTGGGCCTCATTTTGCCGATATAGATATGACCTGGTTAAGGCAAGCTTGGATGGATATCAAACCTCCTCAGCGATGCACTCGGTCACGGGCAACTCAGATAGCTTAGTTAAGCAATTGGTTATTAGATCAGAAGACAACCACACTTTGATGATAAAGCACTGTTTAATTGTGGATTATGATTTCCAATCATAGTTCCCCCCTTCCCCCGAGAGGATTCAAATCTCCTTAAAGGTTATCCTCTGTACATATTCGCCGTTTCGCCGGCAAATAAGTTGATGAGGTTTCGTTATTCTTAGTAGACAAATTCAATTAAGTATGAGCTAGTGATTATGCCAGAACTGGAATTAGAGCATCACAATCCTTTGTAATACTGTGAATTCAACCCTCGATTGAAACGAGTCAAGATCATAGAAGGCTTTCCTTCCTGCAACGATATATTACAATAAATTTACAATTACAGTCCTGTTACGTCAGTGCACCGCCACACTCTGGAGAGTAATCATGCTTGAGGTTTTTTTGAGTGGTACTGTACTGTATGAATTACGTTTCGGCGTGACCTGTACAATACCAATCAAGGGCCTCTTGGCAGCCAATCGAACCTCAAAGTCACCCTGCGACTACTGTCAGGCTCCGAAATCGATACATGATGCCTCTCGCTGCCGGTATAAGAACCTGGAGAAGGCACAATACAATGGTTAAAAGATAATGCTGATTTAGTTTGCCAAATACGTGGGGATAATGGGGATCCTATTCCCGATATTCGTGGCCTTGTAGTTAAGCCGCAGGCACAGGCTAAGGCTGCAATTTCCATTAGTAACAGTACCGGTCGCCAGTCTACTGATTAGTATCTCAGCCGCGCGTACATAAGTCGTCATGTAGTATCAGACCGAGAACTTTTACCTCCTATACTCCACTCAAAAGGAGTGTGATCGTCGATCTAGGGGGCTAAGAAACGTGCCATCGGTGTTACAATAGTCACTACGAAGTTAAATAGCCTAACTATCCCTCCGAAAGATGTCCGCCATATTTCTGGAGCTGATTCCAACCTTGTATCTGAGGTTCCTCTGCACAACCAGGGATTTATTATTTACGAGAATTTATCCCCAACACATGGCTCCTAGGGATTTTTAGGAATCAAGCCCAGAATCAAGCCCACCCTTCAAGATCAGCGAATTCCACCGGAACATGATTGTCATCGATATTTTTGCATATTGATTCATTTATACGATATACCGCTGAACACAAGGATAAACGTGACAGGGAAAATTCAAAACCTTAAGATTGTGGCTATTTTGCAAAATCACTGGCTAACAGGAGTCCACCAGTCTCTCCATGAAATCTACAGCGATATGAGTGTCGAGGTTTCGGGAAAGGGAACAATAGAGTAAATTTGGTTTTTGTTTCATTACAGCACACACTAAATATACAACCAGTATGTCCGCTGTGCCCGGGCTTGACTTATTCGACGCAAGCGGCAATTGCTGGGATTCTTCTTGGCATGGCCCCCGAGCAACCGAGAAAATGGAGGATGGTTGGAGGCTCCTGCTCGAGAGATTTCTACAAAATCCAACCTCCTCAAAGTATGGCTGTTTCTTTACAAATTTGACTGAATCTGGACTTTCTGTACAACCGCCGACGGTATTTCAAGATAAGCATAAGCCTCCTAAGGTGCGTGCCCTTTGACCAGCAATCTACGAGCGAGGACTCATGGCAACAGGGTGAAGAAAACCCAGTTGTTCGTCTAGGTTAGGGCTTTTGGTTGGGGTGAGGTGGGTGGGGGGGCGTGGGGCGCGGGTGCTCATCAAACAGGTAAGTGAGGGATAGCCTGCATCGTGTCGGTCTCGCAACTGATCCAATTGATAGGCTTTAGTGAACGCTTGTTTAATCAGAGTTTATACAGGAGCAAAGGATGCGACATAAGTGGATTTTTACTGTGTGAATAATTTTACTGCTGACTAGACAGGACGGGGATTACTTTTTTCGGTCCCCCCACTCTGTGGAGAATGCAACACAAAGCGGTTGCTTCAAAATACTGGTGGAGAGTCAACAAGTTCTTCCGGGACAGGCGGTCTTATTCGTGAATAACTCGAGGACTTCAACTTCTTCTCGTTCTACGGTGATATGGATGAGGTTGGATATCCGATTTTCATTACTACACGAATTGTTTGGATTTGTTGATTTAAAGTTTGAGAGGTTTACTTAATCATGCCGTTTCGTTCAGCGGTACTCAATCTACCACGTGAACGAGAAGCCCAGGTTCGACTGGCCGGAAACCACGAGGAGCTATGTCAGTTCCCCGTTGGCTCGGACAATTATAGGAAGGCCACACGAAGGTTATGGATGCTTTGTGAAGAGGTCTTCTGGAAATGGTGTGCAAGAGCATGAATGCGTTTTGGCCGAGCACAATATCACATCGCCTATTTCCTAATCTGATTTTGAGAACTTGTCTTTTCTTTTTGCAATTGACGATCATAGAATTTTTTTTCGGAATATTAATGGGAAAGAATGAAAATCACTTTATCTAAAAAGCAAAGACATGTACGTAGTCTTGGTACTCTGCGACTCCCGGAGTACTGATTCAGGGGCATTGATTGGACCATGACCTGAAAAAAACGCTTTTTACATGAATTAATTGACTCTGCTTTTCGAACACACATGCTGCACACTTTACCCTGTACTAACAGCTAGGAAGTACCTTACCGGTCTTTACTGTAGTCCAGCCCCCACATGAAGGAAAACTTAATGCTCTAAATGCTGACTTTGCATATCTTCTCCAGGCCCATCGTATGGGCGAGGTTGAAGGATATTAATTGTTATTTTGAATTCACTTTAATCCGATCCAAATTCATAGTTAATCGACAGAGATTTCAGTCTGAAGCTCTGAAAAGTGAAGCCGAAGTAGCGTTCAATAATTTGTTAAGCTGTTACTGTCAAATACTTGTGCGCAATTGATGTGTGAGCCGGCAGAGTGCTATAATTTGATCAATCTTCAGTGGCTGTGATGGTGGGCAGAGATAGGTGATTAATTAAGAGTGATTAATTGAGAGTGATTAATTGAGAGTGATTAATTGAGAGTGATTAATTGAGAGTGATTAATTGAGAGTGATTAATTGAGAGTGATTAATTGAGAGTGATTAATTGAGAGTGATTAATTGAGAGTGATTAATTGAGAGTGATTAATTGAGAGTGATTAATTGAGAGTGATTAATTGAGAGTGATTAATTGAGAGTGATTAATTGAGAGTGATTAATTGAGAGTGATTAATTGAGAGTGATTGATTGAGAGTGATTGATTGAGAGTGATTGATTGAGAGTGATTGACTACGAGTATTTACCTATTGATGTGAGGCAAAAGAACTCCCCACCAAGGATCAAGGATTTTACTCCACCCTAATAATGGAATTAAATTATTGAATTACCAAGAATCATCACCTTCACGGGATTTATTTGAATTTAACGTGCTATTTTCAGGGAATAAGATTTATTAAACAAGCACGATGAAGGCTAGGTTGACCGGATGGGACTAGCTGGGGTTGTACTTCGGCCTATTCTACCCGAGTACGGAAGCCACTATGCATGACGTCAAGATGATATAGCATTGCTCTTTGGCTCTTCTCTCAGCTTTTGACTGAATGGCTTCGAGCTAACCTTGTAGTCGTCCTGTTATTACGCAGTCTATCAAACATTTATTTCATAATGGTTCAAAGATTATTTTAAGCCGTGCAGTACAGTAATTCATGGAACAATTTGAAAGCCCTTCCCAAAATTCACATGTCGCCCAAACCAGGCAGATAACTTTGTAGGTGGGGGAGCGCCGATTCAATACTACCCGTGAATCACTCATACCTGAGCCCAGCTTCTTCACATCTCTGCTGTCCGGGCGGTGGAACGATGCACTTCCTGACGGCTCTTACTTCATTGATGCCGATCCAACTCTATTTGAACATATTCTACGTTATCTTCGGCGTAGGGTGTTCTCGATCTTTTATGACGTCGGCAAAGGACACGACCACATTGTACCTTGCCCTTCTTGAAGAGGCAAGATATTCCCAAATTTCTCGACTCCAGGAGTGGCTTGAGAACAAACGGACGGTCTTTAACATGCAGGCCTGTGTGACTGGTCGGTAAGTCCTACCCACGATTACCACTCAGAGGCTTCTTTGCCTAAGTCTTATTTTCAGGGTCGAGGAAGACAACGCTATACATCTTGAGCTGTTGCTGATGGGTAAATATTTGTCCACAATCAGCTGACTGGTCTCATAGAAAGCGAACTTCTTTCTGAAAATGAAACTGAAATCGAGACTCACAGCTATCCAAAAGAAGAAGTATGACATTGGTGCCCGGCGCTGGATGCATGGTATGACACTGATGAAGAGGCTGAACAAAATAATATCAACGACAGCATAATCAGCCTCATTGAGGACAATTGGTGATATTACTATCGTTATGTTTGGTTTTTGCCATGATTTTTGGTGTTTGGCTTCCATCAATCACAAACGTCGCATGAGGATGCCTGCGGTCTTTATTCTATATTCTATAACCTTTGCGTACAGTATAGATAGGCAGTGTGCAAAATTGCCAAAATTGTGGGCATTCAAGGCAAGGGTTTCTCTTTACTTGGCTTTCAACTTCTAGCAGAACAGCCAAACCTTTGCCAGAGGTCACCTCTTGACCTCAATTATCTGGTAATTCAACTATGCCTTCCGCACTAATCACTCAGTCCATTAGTTATGTTGATGGTGTCGATAGGGGACAAACGATGGTGAAACTTAAATTAAACCCAATAAATTTAATCGAATAAATTGAATCTGGAAGACATACGCGCCAACGACTCTCCATATCAATCCCCGGACGGCTCAAGCGGAGGTTGCCCGAATCAAGCTTGCCGGTAATTGTCTCCACAAAGAGAGCAGATGACCATTCGTGAACCTGTTTATAACTTACAGTACTCTGCTCCCTTAATATCCACTCTCTTCATCGAAGCTAGTACGGGTATCATAAGGTGGGACACAGTAATTGCACGACTTCGTGTTCCAAGGAGCTTCTTTTGCTGGGCTCAGTGATTCCATCATGCGCGAACTAAGGGCCAGCACCCTCCGCAGCAGACCATGAAATTTGCCTTGAAGACGTAAAGTATCCAAGCACCAAGCAGCATATTGAGCTAGCCACCCTCGAAGCCCATCATAGCGATCCACTTTCGAAAATACAACCTCAAGACAATCAATGACCGCAAGCTGCTCATCGATTTTTGTTGGCTTTCCCATATCCTTCAGGACCGTCGTAAATTTATCAAACGCCAGCTCTTTGAGCTTTGAGACTTGATAAACATGGCTGAATACGTAGACATGTAGATGAGATAGCAGTGTGTGCGCGGGTAAGACCTTGCTCTCCTCCGAAAGTTCATCCAGCGGCCCTGGAGTTGTTGGCTCTGGAGGATTTCCGGGTTGTTTCTCCCAAGGCTTGTGGATAGGCATAGGATTCACGTCAGTATAGTCCCCACTATATGCCCATTCGATAAACTGGGACACTGTGACATGAGCGGTCTCGGTGAACGTGTAACACCTAGAATGGCATTCTGGAAAATCGCGCTGGAATGCGGCAGCCACGACTTCGCTTTTAGACTCGAGTAACCTCTGGTGTATCTTCAAGGAATCGCAGCTGGTTGAAGAGCAAAGTTCGACCATTTGTGACTCCAAAAATCTGCTTTACATTAGGTACTTGCATCTTGCCATATAGGGCAGTACACACTCGTGGAAAGGGGGACTTTTTTGGATTCCATGGTGAGAATGAATGCTCTGAAACTGAAAATTCACAAACCGGAGGTTTTCACGCTTAAAACCTCTCTCAGACCCGCTGATATCATAACATGCATAGAATGACCTCATGTGCGACAGCTATGCAGATCAGTACTCTTGTAAAGATCAGTCAAGAAAGTCATCAAATCCATGGTCAAGGTTATCCACAACACTGCCAATAGCGCCAAATGAAGATTTCATATCTGCATGAGAGATTCCATTGGGGTCAAGTCGTGAAAGGTACATAGTCAACTGTCCTTCTTCTTACATTATTGGAATGATGCTGTGGTTTTGACGGGCTGACGATCGTTCCAAGACGTGACTGGTCCCGATAAACCACTTGGTCTCATATTTGGCCGAGGTAATGGAGACAAAGTACTTATTGGGAATTTAATAAATTCTGCCTAAGAATTATACAATTGGGGAAATATACGTAGCCAGAGAACCTTCAAACAGCCCAGATACAATTTTGGACAAGATTGGTGGTTGATGCCACAGCAAGTTGAACAACCCAGACGGCTGCGGCTAGCCGAAACTACGCAGCATCAGATGGTTTAGGGTGCGGAGCCCAAATTGCGCGCAAACAACGAGCGACGCGATTGTAAACTCGATTTTGTTCTCCAGTTCCTGGAGAGGAGCGTGGAGGAGGGACCAGAGTGGGTCCTGTCGGGGTAATGCCTTCCTGCTGAGCTTGTTCATGCCAGCCTGGCGGATAGTCTGGCATTGGATGGGGTGGTGCAGGAATACGATCCATTGAATCTCTTGATAATGTTTTGGAAGAATTTGTATTTTTGGTTCGGCTAGAAGATATTAGTCTCAACCAACAGACAGATACAGTCTCCAGAACTTACAAAGGATACTTTTGAATATTCCTCCATGCACATAGGACGGACTCTTTCTGCGCCATCTCTTGGTACGGTAGAGGATTCATCGATTTCAAGAGAAGGGAATTAAACTCGCCGTCCTTTCCTTCAATAATCCACTGTGCGCAAAACTCGAACAATCTTGGATAATACCCAGCAGATGCCCAGTCAATGAGGCAGAGAGAGCCATCTTCCTGCCATAGGATATTTCGAGGCGCTATATCTAAATGGCAAAGTACTAGCTCACAGCCCATTCCGTGCGAAAAGCCGGCTATTGAACTACTTCTCCATCTCGTCAAGACTGTCGAAAAACAAGAATCTCAGTCTTGAGGAAGAGAAGCCCGCGATAGGTCCCGCCAGAGGGAGGCCCGGGGATGTTATGTCGAAATGTTGCGAAATAATCAAGCACACCCACAACCTTTTCTATGGCGTTGATGTCTTCCAACGGATCAATACAACACACAGCTAGGAACTACCTTACCGGTCTTTACTGTACCTCTAGCCCTCACATAAAGGAAAACTTAATGCTCTAAATGCTAGCTTTGCATATCTTCTTCAGGCCTATCATGTAGCGAGGTTGAAGGATATTGACTGTTATTTTGAATTCACTTTAATCCGACCCAAATTCATAGTTGCCTACATGAATATAGTAGTAAAACTGATTCCAAACCATTCGGTACTGTATCACGGCAGAGAGGATATTGTCGGATATTAGGTTGATAAATGATGTTACCATTGTGAGTAGACTCTGTCAGCCATTTAGTAAGGTCAATATTGTTTCACAAAACATGAGTACACAAATATTCAATGCTTCCTAACCCTGAGATCACCATCTCAAATAAACTATGTTCACAACATTAGCCACGCTGTATACATCTAACAGCTCTTCAAATAAAAGTCTTACTCAATTCAACATTCATATTCACCGTTTGCCAACATCAAACTTCTTTTCACCAATCTTAGCAACGCCATCCTGCAGGTTGAATGTAATCGCTTCATGGTTTTCCACCATGGAGATACCCCCGGACGAGGATCTCTGAACAGAAGATTCCACCGTGCGCGCGCTACCGCTTCCAAACACAAACGTGTTCACCGTAGCATGAGTCGCAGTCCCCTGCTCACCACCACGGCCACCTGACACTTCAGGCGCTGCCGAATTGGAAAAACCAAGACCAAGAACCGTGTTCGATGGAACACTCCCATGGTTAACGCCAGCCATAATCTGTCCAGGGCGCGCCCCGGGCATTGAAATTGAATAACCAGCCGAATAAGAGTTCGACGTGGGCGTAACCTGTCCTGACGTTCCACGATCAGACATTCTAATCTTATTGCAACAACAAAAGAAATCACAACTGTAATTTCCAAATGAAAAATCTTTAAACAATTTTATAGAAACCAAAAGGCAATATATAATCTTACCTGGGGGTACCTCATACTTATATTCAAGCAGCTGAAATTTCCAATTGGGCGACTGGGACAGTCTATGAATTAATCTCTTAAAAAGATGCTCCTGGGAATCCGCTAAATACTTGATTAGTTGATCGATATCATGCGTTGTTCCAGCCGAGGAACCAGTCGGATATTCCTCGAAACCTATCCAGGTATCACCGAACGCGCTATTCTTTCTTTCTCAGTGCGCCCGCAGCACATAGAAACATTATCAGCCACCACTTTTTTTTCACTGTGGTGTCTAAATCTACAGGTCTATCTCGTCATCGGCGTCTGCCTGAAATTAACTACCTAATCATAGACTATCAGTACTACAGTACTTATAGGTTTTAGCAAATGGACGTAGTAAGTCCAGTCGGTGAAGGCACCTAGCCCAGTTGGTGCTCATTGACCCTATGCCTAGTAAGGAATTCAGACACGAAAGGTATGTCTCCACAAGGCTTATAAGCGGCAACTGCACGGCGTCTAATCTCTAAATCCTAGGCCCTACGGAATTGCTTTTACACAAGGGACGGAAAACCAAAGAGGTGAGTGCATGCTGTACTATTGATTTAGCTAACGTAATTCACAAGCGAGCCGGCCGCCATAAAACACTATACTAAATGCGATTAATTAAAACGTCATATCTGAGCAACTGAACTTATTTAGGATAACGAATTGGGCAAGTGTAATCTATCTACTATTTTCAATCTTCTATTGAAGTATAAGAGGAAAGGTGTAAGTACAAACAGAGATAAAGTATATCTTTATGTCTTGCAGCTTATTTTCATGGTAAAGTGCCGAAATAATACTGAGAGGCTTCATATGTATACATCCTATTACTTTGTCTGAAAATGCACAACATGCAGCTTTAATGGAAGGGATGTTTTGGTGTTGAGATATCCTGGAATTGGAATATAGCATTAAGTATGGTGCTTTGGGATGGCCAGCTCTCTTGTGTGGCTGATTCGCCTGTGAATTACGTTAACTCAGTTAACTGGCATAACGGGCCGCAAGAATACGTGGGACCAAGCTTGAATTTTACCTAGATATAAGGGCCACAAGCTGCCTAGACTTTATCACAATGATATACGATTCCATTACGTGTTCCAGTTTTGTTCGAACCCTGTTCTATATTTTAAAATTAAACATGATCGGTCGTTTGGGTGGGCTTTTACCAGTGATTTTCTCCTCTGGGACTCTGATCTGCTTAGCGGTTGTTTTCAGTGGATGCACCTCGACCTCTGCACCTCCTAATCTGTACTTCATGAAGGTAAATGACCAAACTTTATTTTTTGGAAGTAATCTTACACTTAACAGGTCAACCTAACCGGATTTTCGAGCATTGATCACCTTAATCTACGTCGTGGTATCAATATAGGCGGAGTAGATCCATCCACGGTGGCTTCAGACGCAGGCGATATCGCAGGGAACGCAGCTAGTGCCGTGCAGACGGCCATATCTCAGGCGACAAATGCCGCAAAAACAGCAGCTACTGAAGCAGATGGAAAACTTCAAAGTTTGGCCAATGAAATTAAAACACAACTTCCAAGCTCCTATACTATAGGGATTTGGGGTGACTGCCAAGAGAATACACGTGGGGGAACTAATTGCACGACACCAAGTACTTCCTTCTCATTTGACCTTGAAAGCATCCTTGGCTCAGTATCTAAGGATGTCGCGTCAATAATTCCAGGCGTTGACAAGCTCCATGCAGCAAGCCGGGCCCTATCACGATGGTCAATTTCAGCCTATATAATCGGATTTTTATTAACCGCGGCTACCTTTGCTCTAGGGGTTGTGAATCTGATCTCTCCCTGGGGAAATTTCGTTACTGCAATATCTTCATTCGTAAGTTAATTTTATTTCAGAACTGAATTGGGCTGATCTAGCAAATTAGATCGCAAGTGCGTTCGTTTTGGGCGCTGCAGTTGGTAGTACAGTGATTTACGTCACTATGAAGGCAGCAATTCAAGCCGTTCTCAAAGATTTCGGTGTTGAAGCAAGTCTTGGGCCACATATGTTTGCTACCTTGTGGCTTGCGGTGTCATTTTCAATAATGGCGACAACTTCTTGGCTCATTCGTCTCGTTTGCTGTTGCGGTATCTTACTTGAATAGGTATATGGCAAGACACTTCCATACTTCCTTCAAGGTAGAGGCCAGTGTCCGGACTGAGTGCGGCCACAAATAGAGAAGATTGGTTGATAAATGCTGAAGATTATAGCAAGTATTCAGGTAGAGACGTGTCGTATTTGAAATGGAATAACTTTCTCCCATTTGTCACAGAATTACGTCCTCGCTTGAAGCCAGCTCGAAAGACATCAACTCAAAAATTCTTTCATGTCCTTGCATAGTTAGTTACTGCGAAATATTGAATTTACCAATTTTGGGGATCATAATGGAATTGCTGCCATGAGATTTTACTCTGATGTCATCTGAGATGTCCTGAGACGCCAGGATCACCCCTAGGGTGCTGAATACGAATTCTGATGACTTGTTGGGTTAGAAAAGTCATTAGTCCTAGCTACAGTGTATATATCTGGGCTAAAGCTAGTCAAATAACACGGAGAACAAATAGAGGCGGCTTGTAATACTGTATACGATCCACATTTACTCTCAAGGGCTGCTACGATTACTGCTCAGCTTTGAACTTAGAACTACTATAAATGAGAGTGGAAAGCCTAAAATACTTGTGCCATTAATAGCTACATGAGGCTCATGGCCCAGTAATATACATGGGACTAATCTTAAGGTAAGGGTAGAGCTTGCCAAGCGAGCACAACAGTACCACTAATATGGTGCTTTTGACAATGAAAAGGTGAAAATGAACATCCCTTATACTTAATTGGCCCACTCTCGCAATTGAGCGCTGGAAATGCTACGATCTTTGGCGTTAATCTGTTCCCCTGCTCTTAATCTCGTCCATAAATGCTTCCTTCAGCAGACAAACCCTACAGTGATAGATAATGAAACAAACCCCGGATAACACCGTGAAAGCCCCGGTAACTGATGCTGTGACTATTTGGACCACTGACCACGAGTGAAGCCCACTCGTGTAAACGTTTATGAATGTATTTATGAATCCCGTGGCAGAATTTATGAGCACTGGTCTTGTTAATTATTAGTACTTGGAGAAAGATAATAAAACCCATAAGTTGGTCCTGGCTTACAAAAAGATTTTTGATTGAAGCCAGATAAAGTTGGGGTTCTCTCTCCAAAGAATTACTTGGCCAACACTGCCAATTAAACAACAAATCGCTGCAAAAGCTAGAAGGGGAATATTGAGAACAAGATCATAAGTGAATTCACCGATTTCACTTTGAGCTACAGAGGATCGCAGGGTAGTTGAAGTACGCATTGAATTGAATGTGGTGGGGAAAACCAGGTACCCTGCAAGCAGAATCCAGGAAAAGGTGGCAGCGAGTATATTAATTTTTACCTTCGCGTCCTGGTTTTCAAGAACCATTCGTGGATACTCTGCGGGACAAGGGGAAACTCTCCCCTCCGGGAAAACAACCCTTAGATCTTGCCGCAACTTGCGGAGTACGGCTTTGGATTCGCAGGGAGATTCTCGTTTATTGGAGCTGAGATCCATTTTGTCTTGATGGTTACAATGAAGTCGTGGCTGGCTTCCCTTCTCGAAGGAATCAACTAGAGTCTGCTCAACAATTTTAGGACGCCGCAGGCTGAATGGCTATATACCTATAATTGTTTAAGTATCACCATGATCTTGCAATTAGAAAAAGAGATTGGCCCTCAAAATGGGTGGCTAAGGGGCCAATCATTATATTACCAAAACGCTCCAACGGAACTCTTTGACGAGAGATTACAGTAGCCAGTTCGTCACGTTGTTTCGGGCAGGCTATCGGCAGCGGTAAATATTGGTGCTTTAACATTGCTCAATACAGTAGTATCCTAAGAATGTTGCGGCGCGTAGCTCCTTGAGTTCTGTTCGAGAAGTATTCCGTGTTGCGTGATTTGACAGCCTTTGATAAGCTGCTTTAAAGCTCCATTTGATGCCGTCCACGGCTATATAAGCACTGTTTGAGGGAAAGATTGATCGAAAATGCTTGCTCAAAAGCCCGTTGATGTTTCCTATTGAATGCGGATTTCATGGTTACGACGGATTTAGGACTGTGAGGCATGTGACTTGAGCGATGCGTTGGAGAGATGGTCATTTGGCGATAAGGGGGCACGTGCCACAGCACACCCCAGAGATGGTTTCTTTCTTCCCTTCTCATGCTTAGTTGATTCAGCAACCCGACAGGGACTATGATCAACTTCCATTGCCTCCAGTTGAACGGTAAATAGGTCATTTGCCACTAATGTGAGATTTCGGCCGAGCAGTTCCAGTTATGCCACCTTCCAGTGAGCCTCTTTACAGGCCACTATGTTGGTTGACCACTTGAGAGGTTCCCGTTAATTTCGAACCAAAACAAAGGGAAAATGCAGCATGCCAGTATGCTGTTCTCAAATCACAGTAAATTAATATCCAGCACGTCTAGCAACCGCGTTGAATACCCGTTATGTTGTGTAATGAGTAGAGGCTAACGCCCGGATGGCAGACGGTGGGCATTTGTTAGCCCCTTATCAGGAACAGGCGCAGGTAGTGGCGATCGAAGCGTCAGAAACCCTCGGACCAAGGTTTGCACCCCGGTCCGCCAAGCCGATGGCAGCTGGCAAGACACGGACTCGGTCGACACGTCGACACCGGAGCGAACAGTAGACACACGTAGCAACCAAAAAAAAGGAATATTTCTGAGAGAGGTGAAGCGTGATTAAAACGAGCGTCAGACCCATAATGAAAGCTACAGGAGGAGATCTGAGTGCTGCCAGTGCAGATCGACGGGTTGAACGCGACAACCCCGCCGCGATCTTGGGCCGTGGTGGCAGCCGACTCAAAGAAACCCGACCACCAGGAAAACTGCGGGCGCACTGAGAAAGAAGGAATGGCGGTCAAATAAGCACCCAAAACTCTCTTATCGGGTTCGGGGGACTGAGACGATGCGAACAAACTTCGCCGATACCTGTTGACGAGAGACTGACGCTTCCCACTACACTCAATGGTGGCCTAGCACAGTTCTTGCAAATTATTCCAACGTTCAAGGATACTTGGCTGAAATTCAGCGTATCAAAGTTCGCCAGCCTAGCTGAATGAAGTCTAGTACTGTTCCGTGATGCCTCGGCCCAGGTCCTCTGTTATTTACGCGTGTCATTTGTTCATCACGCCTGTCGTTTGGATGTTTACCGCATTTAATGAACATTCGTCCGACGATTTGACCTTCGTGCAAGATGTAGATACGATCTATGGTTTAAATAGCACTCGGGTATCATTACTTTAGTTTTACTGTAATACTTCTTTAGTTTCAATACCGATGAATATCTTTCTTGTCATGATGCTAAAGCCGCGCTAGTATCGGACTGCGTTCTTCTGCGTGCTGTGCGTACGGCTTCTGACAAAACCTTTCCATCAGGCGATCTGAAGACCTATACTTGATAAAGGCAGCACAATTCACCAGAATATTGCTCAATGAGCTCCTGCGGGCTTTGGGATTCATAGCAGGCGCAATAGACAACATTTTCTCCTGGCTGTCGTAAATAACGTTGTATTTCCTCTGAATCTCAGTTCGCCTTCGTGCTCAGCTCCACATTATATCCCCGCGATCCGGTCACAAAGCCGCCACAAGCTCCGCGTGACTGTCGTATAGTTATCTGACTTGACAGAAAAGTGGCATAGGTCCTCATGGCTCCCCATCAGCCGAACGCGTGTCTCCCGGTTGCCTGGCAGATTCAGTGTCTCAGACCCGAAAGGCACGATCTTAAAATGAAGCAGTCAGTCGCTCGGGCTGAAAAAAATATACCGCATTCGGGACACTGATGTGGTATTTATGCTAGAATCTCTTACCTCGTCATTGTTACCGTAGAAAGAAATGTAGAGAAAGTCTTCGAGCTGGTGGCGGAAATCATTAGAGAGTGTCGGAGGAATTTGTAGTCCGGGAGCAGTGCTGCAGAAGAGACTCTCAAAGAATCCCTTGTGCGATCCACTTCGCAATTCCGATTCCCGTGAGTGAGGTGTTCCAAAAAAGGCCAGCCCCTTCCTGATAAGGTCAGCGTATGCATGGAATCTCTTGTTGATTCCACAACTTACGTCCATCGCTTCACTTGGCAGAAATCAGAGCTCAAAAAAGCGTTAAGCAAAGCCTGTCATTCGGATCAGTTGTAGGACTGAGAGGCGATCTTTTCTCATGCCACCCACCTGTTTAACCAGCAGCCCTCCCAAACCCTGACCCAAAAATACTATCGGGTTGTTAGTAGCCTGTTTAATTAGCTCGCAATCCCCTCCATCTTATTCAAAAGTCACACACCTCTTGGGACCTGTTCATGCAAATTTGCTCCAACAAGGAATATGCCTCGTTAGACAGCCCGTCGGCACTAGCGCAGAAAGTATTCGTGGAGTCGAAAGTGTAAAAAAAAAGCCGTATCGTGAATTTGGCCGACTTTCCACAAATTTCACGAACAGATGCCCCTAACCAGCCACCATCGAGCTCCTTATCAAGAGGATCTTCCCAAGAAGAGTCCGAACATTTGCCTCGTGCATCAAATTCATCAAGCCCATGCACGGCTATGATACTGATAATTATATCAGTATATCGTTCTCTGAAACAAACAACAGCTAGAAAATAGAGGAGAAAAAAAGACAGATTTCCAACTTACTCGATTGTCCTCGCTTCCGACATATTGGCATTTGCCTCATGCGTTGATTTGATGTCCATCTTGCGCAGATCCTTACGGAAATGAGTTAGCTGGAAATATCGCAATGTAGTCACAAGGTTGAGATTTGGGAGTTTGTGCTTGCCATGACTTTTAGTGAAAGGAAAGATCCTTGATTCAGTGATGCAAGAAGCGATGAAGATGATGGAGATGAAAGTTTTCCCTGTAGGAATTTGTTTCTTATAAAGCTCAGCGGGATGGATGCAAGAAGCTCTGAAGGATCATGGGAGCTAGGTATCTAGCCGCGCATATCCTGGTTCAGCTCCTGGGAGAGGGAAAAACTAGGAGGCCACTGCGGTAGTTAGTCATTGTCGATCGTGACCCGGTTCCGCAGGCAGTAAGCCCAATCGGCCAATGGGGTCTCCCCTACTGGGGGTAATTACCGGTAGTACCAAACTCGCGGTCGGTAGGCAACTCCGTAATTAGTCACTCCTCGCCTAAAGCCGGCTCGTGAATTCTTCAAGATGCGTGGGCAGCCATCGAACGAGTAAGCTAACGAGATTAAAACGAGCGTCAGACCCAGAATGAAAGCTACAGGAGGAGATCTGAGTGCTGCCAGTGCAGATCGACGGGTTGAACGCGACAACCCCGCCGCGATCTTGGGCCGTGGTGGCAGCCGACTCAAAGAAACCCGACCACCAGGAAAACTGCGGGCGCACTGAGAAAGAAGGAATGGCGGCCAAATAAGCACCCAAAAGTCTCTTATCGAGCTTCGAGGGATTGAAGACGATGTGAACAAACTTAGCCGATACCTGCCTATCCTCGCAGTGAACACCCACATCATCTTCTCCCCAAGACATGCACGCATATGTACCACCAGGTCAGATCCGTGATTAAATCCAGGACTCTGCACCCACCAAGAGGGCCATCCCCTGACCTGAAGCGAAGGCCTACCAAAAACTTAGTACCAATTTCTAAGAAGGTAACACTACTCCGGTGATGACTTAACGTAATTCCCGGCCGATCAAGGCACCCCAAAACACGTAGTGAAATTACTACTTCATATCTCAAGAACCATAGGTTATTCTCACTTGAATATCAAAAAGTAAGCTCCTACTAGCATATCAAATAACTTAGCTTAGATTTAAGCAATGTAAATGATTATTTCGATGCTTTACCATAAAATATGGTGTAATTTAGGTGAGATGAATACATATATCTCCACCAACCCTTCTAGTAACCTTCCTATATTTCTCTGGTAGGCTATACATACCATGTATATGGATTACGCACTATTCGATATCTTACCATAAAGTGGTATGCTGGTTGAGATATGAAGAAGTAATTTGTCGCATTTACTACTGTATGTGTTTGGGGTGTCTCGATCGGCCGGGAATTACGTTAGATGTGGTAGGTTAGAAGGTAAAACTAGGGATGCAAAACACATGTATTACTGTAAATTGAACCAAGGCGCACGTGAATGACTAGATAGTTAATCAATTACGCAACTAGGTCGGGTTAAATGATTTGGGTGAGCTGATTGAACAAGGGGGATTGCCAATTAAGACTGTAGTCTGCGTGGGTAAAGGCGAGTCGTTATTGAAAGCAACCATTTCCGTCCGATAACGTTCCGTCATGAAGCCGTGGTCTCCGAAAGCTTCAGTGTCGTGGCATATACAGTGCATGACGGCAATAACTAGAGATGTAGCCCATATGCAATTTGGGTCTAGCGATCTTTCTTATTGCCGCCACTGGTCTCGCTATGTTGTAATTCGGCCCTTTCGGCAGGACACATAATAACGGTCTGTGAGTCGATTATCTTCGTTCTTGGATCTACACCGTTCGCTATTCACTAGTGCCAGGGTCTGCGATAGTTTTGTCCGAATCGGTCAAGTCGTCTTTCTTAACAAAACCACACTGCTAAATCTAGCCGGACAGTTGATTTTGACGAGGTGCTGAATCCCTACTACGTCCAACTTGGGGCAGCGTTAGACTTGGAGGATGCTTGCCCAATTTCTGAGATTGGACCGATGTTCCATTTGACACCGGAATCTATTTTACCTAGCTTTGTGAAACGACATCGCATCGGAATAAAAGATTCTGGAGCTTCTTTCTATTTTCTCATGCAATAGTAGTAATTATGGCTATCGTATTTATAGGGAGCTTGTTACAGTATACATGCATGCGGTCGCTTTTGTAGTTCTTGTGAGGCTTGTCTTGTTGGATTTCGGATACAGTTACGGTGTGCGCGGGGGCGTGGAACGTCCGATCACGGTCGACATACCCAAGAGGGCCAAGACGGCAATAATGTCGTGCACATACCCCTCTTTCTGGTCCCTTCAGGTATTCCTGTGCTTCTCCTCCCTCTTGGTCTATCAGCACTCAAACAAAAGGGACTCACACTCTTGCTATCTTATAATCAACAGCTGCTTGACTACCTGCCGAATAACCAATCCAGAATATTTTATTCGCTTTGTCCGTGTGTATTTTATTTCCCTCTGTTTCCACCTTCATCTCGAGCAATGGAAAGACAAGCAACCTCGGCAAAGGGACCGTCAGCTTCGACGCAAATTTCAGATGCCAGCGGGTCTGGTAGCCTCGTAGGTTATCCCCGGCTGGCTCGGGGGCACCTGGGCCGCCAAACGTGCGTAATACATGCCTCAGTGACCAAATGCAGGTGGTATTTTAAAACTGACCTTGGTTCTATAGCTATTGGGGTTCCTTTATCTTCAACATAGGTGCCTTTGTTCTGCCAGCCCTATATAGTACTCTCAGCAAACTATGGGTTGCGGAGATTGACTCTAGTCAAGTTGTGACGACTGACGTGTATACCTACATTGGAGTGATCGTCGAGGTTTTAAATGAGGGTTTCCCTCGCTCGGCGTGGTTATTGATCGGGGATAATGCCACCCGGTCTATGCGCTCGCGTCTGGATCTGACGTGCACCATGATTGCAGCCACAGCCGCGCAGGGCTTTGTGGTCATGGTCATATTTCTGATTCGTCCGCAAAGTCTTGCATCGGCATTTGTTCCGGCTAAGGTTCGACAATCCTCAGTGACGTACATTAGACTGTCGTCTGTCCAATTTTTTACCTCGGCGGTGGAAGCAGCCTTGTCCTCATCGACACGGGCATTGGACAAACCCGATGTGCCGTTGGTGATAAGCTCGAGCAAGTTCATGATCAATATACTATTAGACCTGCTCATAATCTCAAGGTTCCGTGTCGGCCACTCAACGCCAACTGTCATCCACCAGGCCATCATTCGGCTAGCTTGTGACTGTCTTTCCGCTCTTGCGGGCTTATCATACTTCGTATTGATTATCGCACGTCGCAGAATAGATGCGAGCGATCGATGCCATTTTAGTGTGAGCATCTCGGCGCTCAAGACTTTGCTTCGACCAAGCATTTACACCTTCATGGAATCTGTAATCAGAAATGCCATTTACCTCTGGATTGTGCATGAGATTGTGCAACTTGGTGAAACTTACGCAACTGCCTGGGGTGTCTTTAACACTATTCGCTGGGGCCTCATTATGGTCCCTGTCCAGGCGCTTGAAACATCTACACTCGCCTTTGTTGGCCATAACTGGGCATTTTTCCGAGAGTCAAAGGAGTCACAGTATCCAAAGGCATCCCGCAAAGAGGTTTTAGGTAAGATGTAGTATGCGAAGGGATTTTTTGTCGGTATTGATAATCATATAGGGATCTTGCGGCCTGCCCTTATGTCCTGTTTGGTCGGTCTTGTCTACGAAGTTGTTCTTTTCGCATCTCTTTCCGTACAGGGAGTTCAGTTGTTTGCATACTACCTGTCTGGCTCGAGAACCGTAGCAAAAGCCACTCAAGAAATGTGGAAGGTAAGTCCAATACTACGAGAAACTTTGAAATGGTACTAGTCACTGACGCACTCAGGTTGTTGACTGGACCTACATATTCTACGGTCTGAGCTACCAACTTGCAGCTGTACTCCTCGCCACATCACCTCGGTGGTATCTTTACCAAGCACTTTGTTCCAACATCTTTTGGATGCTTCCCTGGGCAATTTTTGTTACTAAAATAACACTTCCACAATCTTCAACGTGGACCTATTACGCCATCATTTTCGGTGGGGCAAACGTTTTCGACTTCTTTGATGTCAGCCTGATAACCATGGCATGGCTTTATAGATTAGTGAAGGGAAAGGTTAAGATTAACCCGGCGGCGTCATCAGGAGATCCAGAAGTTGGACAAGGAAATTAATAATCTACGCGCCTCCACTGAAGAATATTTCGCATACGTTAATCTTTTCCACAATGTGTTCGGTACCGGACTTATATTTTCGCGCTATCTTCGCGATAAAATCATTCATAACACTGCGTTTTACAGTACGTCTCGAAACCGGCGCAACAGGAACACTCTCAGACACTCTTTTAGGGCCCCACTGCCAAGAGATACTAGAGCACATAAGGAATAGCCGCGGAATATCAATATTCCTGTACCAGTTTCGATACTGCCAGTTACTTTCATGAAATACGGTACCTTGTTTCGTAACAGTATTGGTGACTCTGCGGAATTAGAATTTTCCATGTAAATACAATTATGGCAAACATTGGACCTAGGGATTGCCTCGAGAACCTAGCAACCTGACACTTCCCTCAGCTACTGCTATTGTCCAACTGATAGACTGGAGGCCTTTCTCGGCAACAGACCTTGCAAAAGAGTGGTCTACATTACTGACTTGCTGCAGACTACTCGTAAACCAGCTATCATAAACCTCAGCGTGGCAGCCACTGTCCTCAGTTCTTGACGCCCTGTGACACGCTCGGTTAAAGCCAAAATACGACTATGTTGATAGATTCCTCAGTGGCATCTTTTGTCTCGAGGGGACGACTTACACTCCCCTCAACGACGAGAATGATGATATCGATCTGAACTGAATGGGAACGGATCCCCCCGTATTCCCCCACCCCTGGTTACCCGGGCCGCGAATGGACGCCATCAGTAATCTGCCCTTCACCTGCTCCTGAGGACATAGTTTGTCAATGTTCACCTTCCTTGCATCAACGTCCGTCCGACCGGCGGGGTTTTGATCCTGTGGATGGAAGTGCATGGGATGAACAATCTCCGGACTGTATCCACTACCAGATCGAGTGGAGGGTTAAATCGAACAATGGGGTTGTGGCCAAGGATACAAAACTGGGTATAAGAAGACCCTTGTTGTATTCTACGACGGAAGGGGTGAGACTGATTGATATTGACACGGTCTTATCGGTGGACTCCCAACGGGATATTGATAAACACTTTGAAGGTACTAGTGTTGATTGGACAGTGGTGGAGAATCAGCTACTAGCGTGGGCCTATTTACACCGTCGTGGCAAGAAGATCTGGCTCCAGATACCGATCAACTACAAAGAGGAAAGCAGGCCTCTTCCCTGGTTGTTATATTACCATTTAAAAAAGCAGAGGTCAGCGGCGATGCCTCCATGGAAACGCAACCTGACAGCAGTTGGAGACATATGCTAAATTCCTATAGGGCGGGGCGGCGAAGGTTGAGGAGTCTCAAAGGTTCTTCAATCTGTTGATTCTATGAGAAAACGGTTAGGAAAAGGCCAAAAGGCTAAATGAGCTTGAAAGGACAGCTTACAGTTGCCATGTCCTCGGCATCCGCGAGTGAAAATAGAACCAACTTATTCACTGAATCATGATTTCCGAGTAAGTCGTCGATCCAGTGGTCAACAACATCCCAGTTCCAATCTCCGCGACTCTTCAGCTGTGGATGTTGTTGGTTTATTGAGAAAATTTTGTGCTCAATAGCGCAAGTAGACCGGTCATAACCTCGACGCAAGAGCAGGTACCGGAGTGCCTTGGGATGAATCTGTCGAGAAGTAAAGTAAACCATAATTGCCACTTCCTCAGGCGACCACAGACTTCTAGCCAGGGTAGCAGGGTCTCCCCCATCTGCATCGAATTTGGATGGCCTCATCATGTCGCAGGGAAACTGTGTGTAAGATAGAGTATTGTAGATCAAGGCGCTATAAAATTCAAATATTGTGGCCTGGAAAGGCTGCGTCCATTCAAATATTGTACAGCGTCCCAACCTTGATGAATGGCAGTATTAAATTCTATGCAAAATCTCGTTATTGATTCAGACGGTTCATAAAAAGTCAGGCATATAACATTACCAGCAGGAGATATCTGTCGTGGAGAGTACGTGAGAGTGATAGGATGTTGAAACCCAGCTAAACCAGCGGTAATCTCGATAGACATCATAAGCGAACGATTCTGCCAATGACACAGGAAATCTTACCTGATAACGGATTAGGTCATCACGGACGACTGCTCCTTTATCCATTATGTTATCGACAGCGCTTTGAAGTTGTGATAAACAACGCGGCCAATAAATAAATGGAAGGCGGTTCCTCTGCTGTAGCTTCTTACAACTATACCATTTAACAGAAGCGGCAGTTATGGTATAGTTTTTTACAGCAAGCCATGATATTAGCTTCACGTGGGCTTCAAGTAAACGTATTGCATGATCAACTGAACGACGGTCACAGCGTGCAGCGTCAATGAGTCGACCGTCTGAGAAAGCAAGCTTGCTATATTGAAACAGGACTAGTTCAATTCGCCTCTGATCAAGTCGATTCTTCCGAAGGCAACCTGCTATTGTTAGCGTTCGATGTCCAACACTATTCAAGAACTCGCTCGCTTGAAAGTCGGGTATGGAGGTCATCAGAAAGAAAATGTCTGACGCTTAGAAGATACGAGAGAGTATCCTTTTTCAATCGAGCCCAACACTCCCGCCACCGCCACCTTCGGGATATGCTGAGGAAGATGACATCGAGGGATAAGATGATAGGCGAATCTTTACGAGTCTAGATCGTCGTCAAGAATGGCTCTGTGAACTGTAGCGGAAAGGACGAATGGTAAATGGTTCACGGAAAGTTATGTCGTCAGGAGACTGCCCTCGAAAACGTGACGGGCCATGCCACTGCGGACTATAGTATCCCCGCTCTCCGCTCTGCCTCAGGCTGAGAAAAACTAACGGAAAGGGGGAAAACGATGGTATTTGGACTAGTGTTGACATGTTTGCACCTCTGTAGAATATTCTGGCCACGCGATGGCATCACCCCCACTCTAGAACGCGGTCTAATTCAACTTTCAACCTTTTTGCCACCATTAGCGCCAATGCAGGTTCTCCAGCTCAAGGGTACGTTCATCGTAGTCGCATCCCATACATCAGTTTTCCGTGGACCCATCGTGTGATGATTGTTGAATATCTCACGTCTTTGCATGACCCTTCGTTCCGTGGTACTATAAACAGCGGAATGTTGTGGTCTGCAAAGATGTGCTGCGGTTAATCATCCTATACGCGTACAGAGACCAGAAGCTGAGAGAGTCCTAACTCAACGTACTCCTGATAGCAACATCAACATTTGCATGAATTTCGATTTCAACCCTGCGTCAGGTTACTTTCATGACTCTTTTGGAAAGTTGCCTCCGCTTCATTTAGTGGTGGGGCATGGAGCCACCCACGGTAGAAGGAAAGAAAGAAAGAAGACCACATTCTTCACAACTGGGTACAATGCATGACACAAGGCGAGGGAATTGCATTTTGATTCGTTACTGGCACACCAGCGGTGAATTATTACATACCAACTCAATCTAGACCTCGATCTCAATAAATTATATTGTGTACTAATATCTCAGGAGGCCGCGATCCAGGAGACCACCAAAATTTGGACACTTGTGCAATGTCGGAAGGCTTTTGGGGGTTCGACGGCGGCCAGTCAGTGTCGCCAGGCCTGATGAACGACTGCCTGGTTATCTCGGAGTCAAATAGTTAGTGTCTTGATGTCATTACCCTCCCCTGATTACTTCGACCTAGCTAAGCAGTTATCTACAGGAGATCTGAAGACCCGCGGTGTGAATTCCAAACGAGGGCCCTTCAGCACTCTCTGGACCAACAAAAATAATAGTTTGCCGCTTGAGACTGTACCAGCAAACGTGGGAGATGACTTCTGGGGGTTCGATTCACCATTATCGTTTACATTTGATTCAACCGGGCAAGATATGGTTGTCACGCGGCTTCCTGACGTATATTTGCGTATGCAAATGAACATGCAGCCACGCCACACTACAGAGAAAAAGGTTAGGACTGAAGGTGCCTTGCATTTTGATCACCGTTGGACAGCCAGAGATGTGTTGATTAGTGACATGAAGAATCTGAAGCTGTAAGGATAGTTTAGGAAGAGCAAATGATAGACCCAACTCCTATTTCCTGTTCTAACTGGCGTTCTTTCAGGAGGCCCAAAAAACCATATTGAAGCAAATTGATTGAAGGTATACATACTTCACCATCATAAGGAATATTACAAAGTAATAGCCGGGCGGCTTCAACAACAACCTCAAGCGGGTGTAGTTAACAGACATACCAAATCCGGGATGTGACATGCAGCTACTTCATGGAAAACATTGCAAGCACGTCTGGAAAATTCATCCGTCTTAGACATCTCCTGTAACCAGCGACAAGCCTTCTTGATATAGCGCAACGTTTCGTCAAGCTCTAGGGAGCCAAGTTCAACTCCACCTGCAAAGCCGACCACGAGGATGGTGGAAGATTGCATGATGTAATGGAGAATGGACCACCACGGGCAATACTCATATAGCCAGGGGATGTCTGGTTCATCCGGTATCAGATCGAGGATATTGCGTGCTACCTGCATACATAGAGCAGCCATAGTCTGGCAGAGGGCACTACACGGCCCTTCAGTAGGCACCCCTATCACACGACGCAAGCACGGTTCGAGGATGACGAGCTTCATAGAGTAAAATCGGAATGCGAGGCTGGTGCGCTGACGAACAAATGGGAAACTGGGTGACGACTTATCAAATCTGTAGTATAGTGGCAGTCGAGCCAGCCAGTCATCAGTAGCTGCATTGATCCTTGCGATTGAAGTCTCTAACCCATCCCACGTAAGCGACGCAGTTTTAGGAGAGTGGATTTCCTCTATGGCGTTCCTGCCAATGCAAGCCAGGTCAACACGGCATATGAAATATATCGATGAATTAGGTTCAATAAATTCCGGCGCAGCGGTGGCATCCTGTTCGTCCTCACGCATTTTCCTCCTAATAGAGTGAAAAAAAGGCGGCGGAATTTGGTGATCCTCGCCGTCTTGGCTGATCGCACGGGGGGCAAAGGATGCTACTATAGCTTTCCTGGCATTTTCATCTGCGATAACTCGTGCGATAGAGTCATCTAGAAAGCTTTCCTCCGGATAGGGCACAGGGAGAGGCGTTGTACAATAATACAAATTCATATTGAGTGGCCGTCCAGTCATCAAGCAAAGCTGAACATCCAACGAGTACAAGGCCCACCAGAGGCGATACCTAGTCTCCTTAGATATACTAGAAACGTCCTGGTTTTCAGTGCGAAGGTGTATGCCCATTGCCACGGCAGATCGCAATGCGATGCCACACATTCGCCAGGCTCTGCTCAATATCAGTCTCTAATCGATTGAAAATGATGGGTAATGAACTCACCTATTGATTTGACCTACTAAAAGTAGGTATAGCGATATAAGGGACTCAATTTGCACTTGTTGTAGGCTCGGGTGACCTAGTGTAGCAAAGTCGCTTGTGTAAAGCTTCCATGCTCGTGTAAAGTAAGACGATCCGGCTCCAAATTGCTTTTGAACGAGACAGTTATGTCGCGAAGCAACAGCGAATACTAAATTCAGGAGTGCGATCCATTTTGCGCCAGGTCGGGCATCGGAATTTGCATAGAACCAGCGGAATTGTTCCCAAAAGATTATTTTCCCAATAAAGGGAAACGAAGCGTGCAGATTCTGAAAGTAGCTCTCCACAAGTTGTGTAGCAGCCTCTTTTGAAGGCCAGTACAGCTCATCGGTCTGGCCAGCAACGAGAATTTCCAGGTCATCGAGAAAGTAATTAGCCGACAACGGCGAGGAACATCCTGACTGGCGCAGAGAACCGCGCGACCTCATTCCTGGTTCTGTTCGCAAATCATGCAGCCAAGCCACCTCTGATGGCCTACCAACAAATCCTGTCGCCTGAGTATCTCGGTCCCGGTTATAGTCCTCGACAGTGTGATCTGTCGGCTGTACAGGGTTATTTGTTGCATTTTGGAGACCTTCTACCGGGCTCGGGCTAAGTGACAACGGAGATGTGACAGGAAGCTTATAAATCGTCAGATGCTTTTCGCTAAGAAAGAACATGTCTCAGGCTTCTTACTCCATCGAGAGCGTTCTCAACTTGAATGGCTAATTGAGGATCAAGTTGGGGATGCAGATTCAGTAGAAGATCCTCGTACATCTGTATTCGAGATTTGAGATCGGCCGATTGCCTGGGGAAAACATCAGCAAGTCATGCATTAAGCAAGTCCCGGGCTATGCAACTGAACTTGACTTCTCGCTCTCGTTTCTTATCTGAGTAGATACACGTAATATCGCATTGACGGCAACGTTGACACGAGGGGCGCTCACCCGTACACTTTGTCTTCTGATCATGGCAAGGGTCACATGCGCGGCTGACTCTCCTCCTAGAAGGCAAAATGTTGGTATTTGAACCCCGTGGTATAGCAATTTTATCCAATTTTTGAGGATGCGAACCATAGCTATTCATGACTGGCTGAGATGAGTCTCTAAATAATGATAATGATGACGGGATACTCGGGAAGCTGCTTCAGAGGAGGGGCAACAAGGTGTCAGAGGAAAACGAATTTACAAGTGAATACATTCCTGAAATTATTACGTACACCGCCTTACGTATGGCTACATACGCCACTGTCGGAAAAACTCCAATTCGGGACTAGCGTATCTTGGCTCAAGACAAAAGAAAGTCATTGAGAGAGTGGAGTTGTTGCACCGGTTTTGCAACGTACTGTAACAACAAAGTAACTCCGTCACGACTTTAAGTACAGCAACAGCGCGCCAACCGTGCTCTGGATGGCCTAATGGCTAGACTTTGAGTTTTGATGCTCCACTTTCTATGTCCCATTAGCGTGCGTTCGGAAAAGCGAGCTTGGGAAATTAAGAGGGATAGCATAGAGTTTTGCTTACCAGGACACGGTAACAGCGTTTTCAGAGGGGGCTTGTGGCTTTCACTATTTGTATGCAGTCGCGTCTTTTGTGTTCGTTTATATTCAAAGGCTGCTCCCAGACTAATAGGGTCTGAAATTTGGTTCGATATACCCGTTGTTAGGGTTGGTGAGCAGGAATCCAGAGCATACTGAAGATTTTGGGTAAGCGTCTCGGCGGACGAAGACGTTCGGAATCGCATTATGTAGAGGAGAGAATGAGCTGCTTTCTAAATAAAACCCTACGAAGCTGTGAATGGGAGTGCTAGGGATTTATATGTCAAGAAAGCGACCTGAGAGGGGTTTCCAGAATTACAGAATACTCAGGCAGATTCTGGTTCCCAGGAGCAACCGAAACAGATGGGTGTCTGGCTCACTAGCGCAACCATTTTCCTCTTCGTACATATCAAACTACTACATTTACATTTGAAGATTGGCAGCATTTCTTCTTCCAGGGAGTTGGATTTAAATGATACTTGAGAGATGTGGCTATCACAGCCTATCAGATTGTGATCTCGGTTTGCTTTGAACAAGGTACAAAAGAACGCGCACATTCCCTAGAAGTGATCGGCCGTCAGCGCACGGACATCCAGAACCATGCCGACATGGGTCTGGGAAATCCCATGCCCTTTACTTCTGAGATTGAGTAGTGTGCGTAGGAATGGCAAGGGATTGCGTTCAAATGGCGAAAGCGTGGGCCACCCAATCAGCCGTCGCGTTTCCTCATCAACAAACCCCTCGTTAGAGACTCGCCCTTCCGGAATATCACGACAAACGCCTGTTACCAGACCTAGGAAGTTCCGGAAGTATTCATAAGCCGAGAAATCTTCGAAATAAAGGCTTCCGGAAAATAGCGATAAGCCTTGGATTATCTCGCGAGACCAAGACCGAACGGTGCGAGCTTCGCCGGCGGTGAGAAAAGCTAGGTTGTCGAAAGAACACATGGTTTTGGTTGTCTTTGGGGAGTACACGTGCAATTTTGTCGTTGGTGAGACTCGAATGTCAGGAAGGAGCTCATTGGCCTCATGTTGGCTCAATATTAGCAAGTCATCATTGTGAGAATTAGATAAGACCCAGTGAACAGGCTTCAAGAATTGGTCATCCACTGTGGCCTTGGCTCGCTTAACAGTTTTCACAAAATCTTCTGAAGCATAAAGCCGAGCACCTAGGGATGGTGGAATATCAAACTGTCCGACAGAGGTCTTGCGAAGACCGTCGAATGCCAGACTGGCTGCACATATCCCGTTGTCTGGAAATTGGCCATACTTCACAAAGTATCGAATATCTTCATGCACATGATGAGAGAGGGGCTTTTGTTTGGGGGGTCGATAAATTTGCGTTTCTCTCTCTACTTCATGAGTGATCTGGCGTTCCTGTTCTTCGTGCAGTGACGGGCCGCCTGCGATCCCGACGCTAGCAAACGACTCCACGAGAAGCTCGCGTACTTTGGGATCGCTTGGATCTATGTACTCATCCAAAGTAGACGTTCCGGGCATCTGAGAAGGATCGTAAAGCTCAGACAATGTTTGCGCCTCAGCCTCCTCGATTCGTGCCACGACATCTTGAGCAGATGTACTGCCTTCGGTAAGCATGTTCCATAACCTGTCCCTCTTGTAATGTTGCAAGCCTTGCGAGGCCCAAAGAGGCCCCAGACTTCCCAAAGTATCGCATGTTTGCGTGAGTGTCCATTGGATGACGGAGAAGGAGTCCAATAATCCAAAGTTTACTCTCATGCCATGTCTGACTTCGGGGGGAATGAAAAATAGTACAGATTGGCCAACTCCAAGGCCGCGCATTCTGCTACACGCTTAACAAAATGTGAGAAAGATATCACCCCGTATTCATATAGGCTGGAGATACTTACCTTGTACAAGTCTATCTTTTGTCAAACGAGGGCCCGTCGTCACGGCGGCTCGATATGTTGATGGAAGTTTCAGATCAACACCACGCGCGTGTTGCTGGTCCAGAAAGACCAGGCACCTATGCATTCTTTGGCGAAATGATGAGCACAAAAGTCTCTCAACGTGACCTTCTCGATCAATTACTGCGGCTTCATCATCTTCATCGAAGAAGATGGCAGCTTCAGCATCGTCGGCCGTGGACCGCGAGAGCCAGTGGTTGGCAACCCATTGATTACTTGACTCCAGGATTTGAGCTCCAACATCTATGATGACGTTTACTGGAGGATCCTGACTCCTGATCAAATCAATCAAGTGGGTGGTAGAAAGTTGACAGCCGTTCTCGTCCTGTGCTAAAACACACGCGCGGTTTTCTTTTTGTAATAGGCAACGTAGCACCATCGCATTTGTGAGCTGAAGATGAGGGAGGTCACGTTGAGGTATAGAGCTAGGGAGAAGCAGGCGGTTGTCATTCGTCCCACTGAACCCAGTCGTAAGTGGTTGATTTTCGCGGGAAGGGATGTCCCAGGCGGATGCGCAAAGCTTCCGCGGAAATTCCTTGGCCTCTTTCGGGAACACGACATGGGAAAGATAATAGTCGATTATGCCTTTTTGGTATTGCACGTGAGGGTAGAGGACACCGCAGAAAATTTGTGCGTCTTCCAGGTTCACTCCGCTAATAACTCTCAGCGCTGGGGGGAGACAGCTCATGTCTTTGGAGATCCAGGACTGATACAGTACTGAAGGGTCATTCTCCTTTCCCAACAAGGCGAAGCAATGTCGTACTTGCTCAGTAGTGAGACCCTGGTAATAGTAGCTCAGGCAAGTCAATGTGATGGCGACATCGGGGTGGCCGAACTCAGCGTTCTCGGAAGGAATGCCTTTAGCCCGGAATGGGACAGCCATTAGACAACGGGAGGAATGTAGGCCATAATCGACCAGCCAGCGCTTACTAGCCAGCGAAAACTTCAAGATATTATGAGCGAACAGACCACGCAAGACTAGTAGTTTGCGGAGCAAAACGCCTCCCTGGAAGTTCTCCTGGATGACATTTCTACACCCCCTTGTAGTATCAATGAAGCGGATGAAGTCAAGCGCACTTTTTCGAACTCGTCGAGCCCACTGTTGAATTGGAAGGCCCGGGAGACCTTCTTCACTGATTATATCCAGCACATTCGCAATTATTTTGTCAGGCGCTTCTGGTTGCAGAAAATGGAAGATTGGATAACGAGTTCCGTTGCGTTCAACATTCAAGCAATCTGGATGCTGCAAGCTTAATTTCTCGGCTTCACTAGCAACCAACGCAAGCAAAGCCTGTGTGATCTCCCATCGATCACTCTGTCCGTCGACTGTCTGCTGGCTGCCAACTGTATAGACGAGTTGAAATTTGGGGTCAAGAACTTCATCGCTCTCATCGATAACGTTCCGGGAGTTGGTTTGCAGCCACCTTTCCAAATTTATCGCTTGATGGGCTAGTCTCGGATTTCCTTCCATCAAGTCCAAACCCACCAGGCGAAATGACAGGACTTGCTCCGGCAAAACTACTAGAACACCTCTTGTTCTTTGACATTCCAGATATATCTGGCGCAACTGGTCAATCATTGGTTCATCCAAAGGCGTGTCTCTTGCAAAGGGAATGTGATAGATATGCCGATCTAGCATCCCGCCAAGGCGTTGAGCTAGAAGATTCACGCTTTGTTTCAGAAGAGGCTTCAAGACGAACAACCGAAGCAAACAACTGGTATCCGCGAGCGTCAATGCAGTCATCGGAGTTATCACAGAAGTTTTTCCTTCACCCATGTTTAATTGCATAACCGCATTTGCTGAGCTTTCTGGTCTGATAATGTTCAGAGCCACTTGTGTCTGTGATTCGCGGATGGTGAGGTTGCTTTCAATCTCGAAAAGTAGCCAATCAGGGTAATCATGAGCATTCCATCCTTCTTGACTGACATTTTCTGATTCTTTGAAAAATCCATCAATATCGTCTCGATCGTAGCAATTTAATAGTCGTTCGGCACGACGTAGGGAGGCGATGCTGCTTGCAAATGTCAAGATAGTGGTTTTCCAAGACCCTGGTACTGATTTCCAACGATTCGCAGACAGAAGTGACAGGATTGAGAAACTGGTGATATGCGGCGAAAGAATCGATTCTGAAACGTCCTCCCAGAAATTTCCTGTCGACTTCAATGATTCTTTAATCATGGCCCAGAGCATTTCTCTTCGACTTTGTTGAAAAGCGTAGTATTCAGCAATGACGCTCCGCTCCACTGGGAGCGCTTTTGGAGGGCAAGGCATGTCTGCTTCCTGGAGAGCCTCCAAACTCTCTTCAAGGCTTTCGCCAAGCTCGCGCCGACATGCATTTAAACTTTCTCGGAAACCTAAAATCAACGACCGAAGTTCTGTATTTAACACGGCACTGTAGCATTGTGGCGTGCGGTACCGAGAGAATTTGAGAGGTGGACTTTGTTTCGGCAGGCTAGGCGGATTGGAGGATGACAGAATATTCAAGAGCCCGGGTGGAGAAAACGGTGGACGAGGACAGAACGATTTTCCAGGCGGTGAGGAGGGAATTCCGATTTCGGTCACAAGCTCATTGTCGACTGTGGTATCCAAGTTTTCTTGAACCAAGCGAAGAAAGGCCAGAAATTGGCGATTCTGGTACCATTTCGTACAGAGCAACGAGCATGCTTCCGAAGCTCCTGATTTATCCATCCGTTCAATCTCAGGCAGCTGAGGTACTTTGCAAGGCCATTGTCTTCTGATGGCCTCTAGGCATGACCCCATGTCGGCCTCCTTCTGCAGATCGTATTCCTCCTGGCGCTGCTTGCTCACTCTCTTTTGTGCTTTGGTGATTCTGATGATCGTGGGACAGAAGAAATGGCTGTAATTTCTTTTGATTGCTGCATTGACTTCTTGAGGATCGATTTCTTCGCCCGCTTCCAGGTCAAGGGCTTCTCGTTGACTGAACGGAATTGGAAGGTCCCGAAATATGCCAGAAAATGCGACAGTTAAAAGTGGATAAATTTGGAGTTCCTCCCTTCCAGAAAATGCAATCGTGCAAAAGAGAGACATGAGGCTGTATGAGTCTCTGCCTTGATCACTGGATCGGCAAAGCTCATACAGAGAACCCCATGCGTCTCTGAAGGACAATCTCAGTAGCTCTGAGCAGGTAAGGTCCTGTACAGAGGTCCATGAGAGCCGGACACTTTTCCAAGACCCCACGCTTCCAAGAAGATCAGAGCATTGTGAGAGGCAAGGCCGCCAGTCTCTCACCAGGGTCGCGATTTTATAAACACGGTGACTGCGGTCACTCTGATAATCACGGTCACGAGACCTATATAATGTTGGCTGAGGTAGTTGACGTGCTGCACTACCGCCATATTCAGAACAGTGGAACTGTGAATTGCGAGAACGGGCTCTTTCGAGGAGATTTTGATCTCCACGATCTTTATAACAGTCCATCATTTCATCACGATCGGCGTCACTTACACCATGGAGTGTACAAAACCTGCTTGCATTCTCCACGATTTCCTGTGCAAGGACTCGGAAATCATCGTGCTGGGCTAGTTCGCCAAGCTCACTGTTCCACGACACGGTTTGCATGGACTTCAAATGACGTGGGTAGTAGCGACGACGAGGGGTCAGGGTTGCAATGACTTTTAAGAGCGCAATTGTTTCGGAGCTAAGTGGAAACGAGGTTCTCAGGCATGCCTGCCCTAAAATTCGTATGGCTTCCGCAGTCCCTGAACGCTCTGTTGCAGGATCAGGGAGAATATGGCTCGTAACAGCGTGCATATATGCCAGATAAAGTATCTCTAACATGTCGAATGACCCCTGTAAAACCTTCAAATAACGATCGAGCGAGTAGTGAAAATACTTCCGATAAGATCCTTTGGGTGCATTGACAGTCACAGAAGTTTGGTGCTTGGTCTTGATTAATTGAACGCTTCCATAGGGTATCAGCACGGAGCGGCAACGTTTCTTGGTGTCCAGTAGCACAAGCTTGTTCCGTAGACCATATAAACATCCGATATCTTGGTCGTGGTCAACTATTGCGTTAAGTTCCTGGCAATCGAGCCCGCCAGCTTTGTTGATGATGAATTTTAGACGAAGTCGGACCATGTCAACCTCCACAGACTTGCGATTGTCTCTCCCAGTCTGGATGACATGTATATATCCAGGATCATCCAATACCTCCAAAACAGCCCTTAATTGTTGGAAAAGATGGCTCCTTATGTCGATCAATGCATTATGACATCTGCTCATGGTTGAGATCCCTCCTGGCGCAGCGTTCATTAAGAGGTTCCAGTTACTCGACCGCGGGATCCATAGATGTTCAAGGGGGCGAAACTCGAGTGTCCCGGTCTCCAAATTGAGCCAATGCCCATAGTTCGAAACTAAATCCTCCGGAAAATCTCCAGCCAAAATTTCGTGGGGGATAAGCTGTAGCAGCTGATGTTCGGCTCGTGCCTTTATTATAAGACCTTTTGCGTTCAATGAAAAGTGGATCTGCGACACAGACTTAATTTCTTAGTCGTTCGAGAAAATGGCCAGGAAAACTAACTGAATATCCTTCATAAAGGATCGTCGACATAAATACTGACCCTTTTAGATTTGAGGGCAGTACCGTAAGTGTTCGCTATATAGTTAGCATGGAAGCTGGCAACCGAGGGATTATGGTGGGCCACATTCTCACATTGCCAAATATGCGCTGAAATGAAGACAGGCTAGTGTACTCCTCAGGAAGTCGTCCTGGGGGACAGTTCGCTAGAAGAAGCTCTCCACTGAGCAGATTGTAATGGATATCTTGTGGACATTCACGGGGCCCAGCAATCGATTGGTTGGCAACCCAGCGCGAAAGTGTTCCCGGACATGTAGTCCACGAAGACGTAATCTGTAGATCAGGTATGCTCATCTTTATTGCTTCATTAAATCCTGATGAATCATCCGCAATCATTTGACGGGCATGTTCTTCAAGGTAATGAAGAATTTTGGTTGTCCATATAAGACTATTTCCAATGTCGAATGGGAGATGGTCACGGGATCGCGGCGTGTTCTCAAAAACCAAGATTGAGCACCTTGTCAAATGGAAGAGGTCGGTACGGTTATCTAGAACAAGCGGAAGATGCTGTGGCTCTACCGCATATGTGAGTTGACAGATACCGCCAATCTTAACGATAAGCAACTGCTGGGCTTCACTTTGCGCATCTGTTTGACTCTCCAGTCTTCCTGCTAAAGCCTCACACCACTTCAAGCACGTTCTTCTGCTTCGACGCAGGAAAGAAGCCGCTCTGTCAACATCTCCGAACCCATTGGACAAGCTTAGAGCTCGAATTCCAAGTGTAACAAGAGTATGAAGCGTGTAATGCTCGTTCCAGTTGGCTTCAATGGAACTGAGCTTTTGTTCCAAGCACTCCAGCAGTTGGATCCCTAAGCTATCTTTGTTAAATGATACGTGAGCTTCTCTTAGCTCTGAGTCAGGGTTTGGGCCCGTGAGCTCCCAGGCCGCTTGACGAAATAGCAAGCCTACCGCCTGTTCATTCATTGAAAGTGAAGATGAAGCCAGCTCGCGGACTATGTTATGCCACTGCACTCTTGTTCCTGCACGGAGGCAGCCGAACGCGACGAATTCATGCAGACTAATCTCGGAAGGACAGTGCTGCTGGTCCGCTATGACCTGGTTCTCCGAGTGTGCAGAGGAGTCGACTGTGTATTGAAGGCAAGAGTATGGCCCTGGTGGGAGATGAAATGTACACCACTGCTTTACCGAAGGGTAATCTTTCTGATCTCCCACCCAGTTGTTATCCTTGCTATCAAGAATTCGAAGCCGGAACCCATTAGGTGGAGTGATGTCGTTGAAAGCAATAGGGAAGTGTCGATTACTGTAGTGAGTTCTCTTCCAGGACTTCGCTGTTGATCCTAGAGTGAGGCGTTGACCATGATTCACGCAGAACTGCTGCGTATCTTTATATGAAAGGAGATTCTGCTGGACATCGGGACCTCGCTCGCTTCGCCGTCGGCCAAGATCCTGAATTAATTTCCAAGTAATATCGCGCCACCATGCAAACCAATGTGGGCATTGTAGCTCGAAAACAACTGATTTGAGAATATTCTCATTCTCCGGGAGTGGCCATTCGTATACATCTATGCTCAGGTTTGGCATCACTCTCGATAGAGCAGCACGGGCACACCGCAGAGTGGCAATTTCTCCCGCGCGAATCAATGTCCCACTGGTGCGGGGTTCGAGAAGCCCGGTTCATAAGTTCTTCGTAAAGTTGAGTCTTTCTTTGCCACTCCACTCTTTTCGCATCGACGCTACTTCGAGCATGCCTCTCTACTTGCTCCCGGAGCCGTTGGTGTATCTCTGAATTATCAAAGAAAGCAACAGAGAATCCTGGCCGACCGGGGTCGGAAAAGATGCTTGGAACACCACTTGTTTGCTCTCGTTTCCTGTAACGAATATATGTTTCAACCCTACTAGCTCTTTGCATTTCGCAAAATTGTGGTAAGAGCAGGGGCTCGAGAAAGTTATCCGGTATTTCAGGGGAGTAGGACCCCAAAAGCGGGCAGACAACGATGCACATTTTGTCTAAAATGACCCAAAGCTCCATGATACATACCATAGCCATGGACATGGCGTCCGGGCTATCGCTGTAAGCTTCGATAGCAAGATCGCAATAACTTTTCAGCAGCTCTCCAAGTAAACAGCACATATGGTCTGAAGGCTCCGTTGCGCTGTACCAAGAGCCCAGTGTGTGTTTGACCCAGCTCTCAAAGTCCGCTAGACATATAAGATCGCCACTTCTCAAAATCGGCAATCCAAATCTGTTGAATTGGTTGCGTTGCTCGTGTCGCCGATCAAAAGATGATTGTTCGACTTCCGCGGGGTCAGCAGACATGGCAGACTCCAGGTAGTGTCGAGAATTTTTAAGCGATATATGGAAATCCTCAGGCACACAGGTAAACGATTTTGGTATGTGCATCAGTGTCGATCTGGCAATCTTCTGCTGGGTACCTTGCAAAATGTCCCATATGGCTGTTTCCGCTTTTCTGGCATGTCCCAGGACGAACTCGTAGGCTTCCCCCTCTAATTTGAGAAGGCGTCGACACGTCTTGACTCGGATGATCTCCAAGTGATCTGCAGGCACACTTGGTCGAATACGCGTGGATAAAATTCCAAGCTCAGCCACAAGATATAGCATGAAATTCTTGTATCGCTTTTGTCCTTCTCCGTTAGGCAGAGCACGTTGAAGCACTGTATGAAGTGCAACCCGTAACACAAACCAATGAGGGGACCTTCTCCAAGGCAGCCTGCTACTTCTCCAATTGACGTCATCCCGCGTGTTTTTGTAAAACAGTGGTGCTGTGCTGCTTTCCCCAAATGCCAAAAGTTGGCTCATCAGGCCTTCGGTGACAAGACCAGGGTGAGTGGTATCCCGCTCTTCCGGAACTGGTATTCCAGCTTTGTGGGACTTGAACATCATTTCTCCCACTTCTTCAGTGGCCAGGCGTGTTAGGCTTTTAGAGAGCTCTTTACAGAACCTAGCATCCTCAAGCAAACCACCCGGAAGGGCAACGCTCACACCAGGTAACTGGCGCGTAAGGCTCCCAGGAGCGGATATTACGTCCGTTGCGCTAGGCGACGCTTCAAACGCATCAATAATCACTTTGTCATTGCATTTATCGTAGTATGCCACCCAGCCGCAATTTTGTGATCGGATGTATAAAGCGGCCGCCCCTATCATTATCAGTCAGGCTAATTCTTCAAAACCGGGAGAGGACTAACACACCTTTGGATTTGAGGTCTGATATAATCTGGGTCAAGGTATCTTGACAAACCGCACCCCGCTTGTCCACTTCTTTCCAATCTTGAAGCATGCCCACCACAATATGCCAAATCTCTTTTTCTTCTGGCGATGTCTCTGTTATGAAAGACTCCAGAGCTTCTTGACCGAATAGGTGGAGGCTGCGCTCCGGGGGACAGCCATCCTCTAGTTCATCCTCATCATAGTGTTGTGGCAGCCGGGGGGAAGAATGACATGATGAAACAAGTATTTGAAGATGTTTTTCGAAATGGGCATTTTGGGTCACTTTGATGCAGCAGCTTGTTAGGGCGAATATAGATCGTATGGAAAAAGAATGAAGAAGTGTTTTTTTTCGAATTGTCGTTTCAATTTTTTTGGATAATTGTTGCTCCGTTTTCTACTTTCAGTTTTTTTTTTGCCTGAGTAGTGGGTTGGTTCTCTCTGGTCTGTTCAATTATCGTAAACAAATTTTAAGGTTAACATTCATGTTCAGTTCAGTTATATTTATAGACGGCTGGAAGGATAGTGGCGAAAGTAACTTAGAATATGTATTGCAACCTAATCTTACATTTTAGATCGTTTCTATGATGCATGTACTGTATCTCGCATACTATAGTTTCTTGTATATGACAATGATGAACGTCACATGTTTGGAGGACATTATTAACAGACTCCAGAGCGTCGTATTCAACCATGCCACGGTTTCACTGCTTCCACGAAAGCTCCATGTAATGGTAACCAAGAGCGTATGCGAGTTTCCTAAGGAGACGTATATTTTACAGATTTCTTTACGTGGAGTGCCATTTGGGTATCGTTTCCACGTTCCGTACTGTATCATTTCTATGTTCCTTCATTCCAAAAAATGGTTCAAGATGCTTTAGTCAATCAAATGATCCACGTATGGCTGGTAAACTGATAACAAAATCCTCTCCAGGGTTGTAGCAAGCGTATTCCGCTTCACGGCATCTGGTTCATAGTTTATGACGCTTGGATGGAATCCCGGTACAACCCAAAACTCATGGTCTTTGTATCTTATGGTTTCACACTCTCCTCCAAGTGCCTTGTCAATGGATGAACAAAGAGCACGAGCCAAAGAGTGATTGACGCTCCGCAGAAATGGGTATCTCGTGCATTGGCGCGAGTGTGTAGCACATTGCAAGACAACGATACCTGGAGGCCTAAACCTCTCCAAGTAGTGTCCTATTACGGCGGCCGATAGACGCCATTTTTCATAACCCCTTGCCATTTTTCAAAACCTATAGATAGAACTGGCAGAAAAACGGCAGAATTACATCTAAACTTCTAAGTCCATCACCATCGAATACTCCTCCATCACCATCGAATACTCCTCCATCACCATCGAATACTCCTCCATCACCATCGAATACTCCTCTATCACCATTGAATGCTCTTCTATCGTTATTAAGGACTAATATTATAAAGCGATGATTTAAACTATATGATTATTAAGTACATGAATTGCCGACAGTAGTAATTCCCTCCTCTAGTTTAAATATATAGTCTCCGTCATCCTTGTAGTCGCCGACGTAAGTTCCGCCGTGTCACTGGTGGTGTAGCACGTCTTCGCTTGCTTCGTGGTAGGTCCTCTATAATAGGGACCGGGTCTTCCATAATGCTCACCGGGTCTTCCATGATGCTCGCTGAGTCTTCCATAGCTGCTAGCTGTCTTTCAATTGATATCGTAGACCGAGATGGTAGTCCATGTGTCATCCTTTCCACGGTGTCTTTTGATCGTTTTATAATAACATGGAAGATCCTTGCCCCCTTCTCCTGGTTGACCAATCGGCATAACTGACCAGAAGTCCACCTAGTAGACCCAGATGGACTAGTTGGTAGGAGATACTGCGCTTCTAATGGTCCTTTCTTTGTATACTGTGTAACCGTCCTAGCTAGGAATGCCTCATCGTCGTGGTTGAATTCGAATTCAATAGGTAGGTAACCTAGTTTTTGTACCAGAGAGTATGCAAAACTACCCATAGTAAGCCATTCCACCGAAGGAATTATATTGGTAGAGATATGTGCACCTAAAGAAGTATATAGTAAGAATATAGAAGTATATGATAGAGAGAAGATAGTATATTACCTTTGATTGGTGTAATATCCTCACCATCTATTAACAAATAGAAGGATGCATTGATTGTTACCTCTTCTAGTGGTAGTAGTGGTGGTATAGTTGCCTGTGGGCGTCCAATATAAGCACTGCGAACCTGGCTAGCAGTACCAGAAAGCAATTCAAAACGAGAATTAAGCTGTGATGGTACACGCGAAGCCGATGCTGGAATATGCGAAGCCGATACTGGAATACGCGAAGCCGATGCCGGAATATACGAAGCTGATGTCGAAATATCTGATATCGATGATGATAATGGTGTTGGTGTAGCTGTTGGTGTTCTTGTTGATGATGATGTAGATGAAGAAGGATCTGTAGTTGCTAATATAGTCTCTAATAGCTGTTTAAGAGTAGCCTGTAGAGCAGCGAGGGGGATAGATGGTTCAGATGCCATCCTAGTAGATAGAGGAAGATAGTGAATAGAAGACACAATATGTTCGATGGAAGAGAGAATATGTTCGATGGAAGAGAGAATATGTACGATGGAAGAGAGAATATGCCCGAGAGAAGATAGAATATGCTCTGCCGTCTTCTAATCCTAAAAGAGTTCGGAGGCTTATGCGCCCTGATGCCATTGACCGCTCGGACCCCATGAGAATGCACCGGTAGGTTTCATACTTAGTGCTAATATAGGCAAAGTACCTGATTGGTAGTGTAGAAGGGCCCTCGCACGCATAGTCTCATATACCTTCCGATATGGCTGCTTTCTATCACCTAGAAGCTGAATGAGAGGGTCTTCAGGGTCAAACGGCTCGCCCACTTCTTGCTGGCCAATTTCTACCATTTGTAGACGGCACCAATCTAGTGTAGAAGGCGGAAGGTATTCAGTAGGATCCCATTCTGCCACATCCTCCTGGAGCCTAATAGTATAAGATAAATTAATCATAGTATACGATGAATTGACCATAGAATAGAAGGAATTAACCATAGAATAGAAGGAATTAACCATAGAATAGAAGGAATTGACCATAGAATAGAAGGAATTGACCATAGAATAGAAACATACCTCTGGAGAAGAGAAGGGTCAAAAGATTCCTTGCAATCAGGAGTATCTTCGGTAGGATAGTAGTAATTCATTATTGGTTTACCAGAAACGATATGTGGCCGCTTAGGCTGTTTACGAATCGGGTGTACATTCCATATACTGCTCACGTATGATTGAACGCGAGATCGTAGAATAGGCATGTAGATGGCAAGAAGTACTATCTAGACATTTTTTAGTAGGGATTACTAGGTAAAATTGTCGATAGTATACCTCTACTTACCTGCTCAGGAATGCATTGCTTTGAATAGATTCCATCGCCTAAGAGTATATTAAAATACTCATGATAGACGAAGATACTTGACTGTGCAAGCTGCCCCCACCAGGATTCAATACGCTGATTGTCAATACTGCGCCCGTAGATAAAGTAGTTTCGAAATCGAGAAACTAATGATGATAGAGGAGTATCCGATGGAAGTGGAGGAGTATTCGATGGTGATGGAGGAGCATTCGATGGTGATGGAGGAGCATTCAATGGTGATGGAGGAGCATTCAATGGTGATGGAGGAGCATTCAATGGTGATGGAGGAGTATTCGATAGTGATGGGGGAGCATTCAATGATTCTCGTAGAGCAACATGGGCATCGCCAATTAATACCGTCTCACTACCAAGATCAACCCGAAGCTTTCGTGGTATATACCCATTCGATTTCACACAATTAAGATACTGCCGAAGGACACTTACTGCAGTACGTGCAGATATCCCAATATATATCCATATAACATATCGAGAGTGGCCATCAATTGCTGCGTAGATTTCAATACCAAAAGGTTCTAATTTCATATAGCCATCAAGATGCCAGATTGCATTAGGCCCATCGCATATATAGGCACCTCGTCGGCGTTGAAAGCCAGACCGGCGGTCATCAATTCCATCTGGGTTGATAGTTCGGTAGATTTCGTAGGCACGATCTCTATTAGAATCATTAGTAACGAATATAAACATATGACCAATTGATATGACCATATGACCGATTGACATGACCATATGACCGATTGATATAACCATATGACCGATTGACATGACCATATGACCGATTGACACGACCATATAATACTTACTTACCTTGCGATGAAAACTCCCTGGCTACGCAGGTGAATTTGCTGGTAACGTCGGCCATATCCTTCAATATCTCCAATCTGATCCTCTGCAGTAAGAATCCTCTCAATAAGTCTTTCCTGAGAGGCTCGCTCAGCAGCATTGTCAACACGTAGCTTAACACCAAGCTTCTGCCGTATACGACAAAGAGAACGTTCAGATGATGGTATCCCCATCTTTTGTAAGAGACGAAGGATTTCCTTCGTATCTAACGATAGCTGAAGAAGGTTATATACTATCTGATTGCGACTGATCTCATTAGGACTATCCTTTTGGTAGTAAGCCCGTGGAGTATGAAGACCCCATGCATTTCGCCGCCGATGTATAGTAACAGGAGAGATCCTAATACCATATGTATTTAGCAAGAAAGCACAGATATCCTCATTAGTAGAATTCGTATGAACAAGCCTAGTAATTTCCTCCTGGTAAGGATCAAGATTGACAGGAGGCCGAGGCATAGTATATAGTAGTAATAATAGAAGAGATCAATGGAGGATTATTTACTGATGATGGAGGAGCATTCGATGGCGATGGAGGAGCATTCGATGGTGATGGAGGAGCATTCGATGGTGATGGAGAAGCATTGGGTGATTGTTTAGTTATATAGGATAGTTGATGGCGGTGACAAGGGCCTGCTAGGCTAGTCTACTTATGGGGGCGGTAGTAGGGGCGGAAGGGGTTATGAAAAATGGCGCGTATCGTCCGCCGTAGTCCTATTAGTTCAAATCCTTGCATGATTAACTCTTCAAGCTCTGTCCCTCGTCCATTTTCAATCATGCTTTCGAACCACTCGTCGCTCATCATCGGTAAGATGTCCCATATGGAAACATCAAATTCGATATCCAGACCGATCCTGTCAAAGATCTGTTCAAGCCTCCCCAAGGCGGACTCCTTCCCAAACATTGCGCGAAAGTCCTCTGAGTGGCATCTGCACGGGTTCAACATTAGGGTCACAGGTAAGTGACGGTAACCCATCGTCAGCCGAACATGATTTTGTAGACATTTTTCGGCTATCTGCAGTAATCCCCAGAGGTCCTTTGCTGATCTAAAGGCAGGATCATTGGGGAGAATTCGGGTCTGACGATTGGCATCCGCAACCGGGGGAGACTCAGTTACAAGGTCTTTAACAGGGCGTTTGGTGCCTTTCAAGACTTCATAGCCTTCCAAAAATCCTGATGGTTGCATAGCGAGTTTTGTTTGCTATGTTGTTCGTTGAGAGATATGACAATTGAAATGGGTTCAGGTTTCCACTGCAGTAACTCGTTTTTAAACTTGCAAACCCTCTTCCATAAGATGTGACCGAAAATGTACGCATCACCCGCGAGTTCTTTGCTCAGGAACTTCAGCTGAAGAATGTGGAGTGCTATCTCTCGCAATGTAACCGTCCTTGGCTTTATTACCCGGATTTATTGGCTACTTCTACTGTAACTCTCATCTATACGTTGCTCTAGTTACAACCACTGTTGGTGCGTAGCGTTTTTGACGAAAAGGTGTGTTGATGATATCATACAAGGAGCCATAAAGGTAAACCGCGCTTGTTCTACATACCTTTTATGGCCAAATGTACGTTTATTGTCAGATATGGGCACAATTGCGAACCATATTTCCTGTCATCTTGAAATTGGATGCTGCCAAGTGCATTGTCGCCAGCATCATGGTAGCCCTCTCATCCGGAGCCATCTAAAAGGACTGCAGAAACAAATTAAGGAGCAGGGTCTAAATTCATACCATGGTGGTTTTGAAGTTTCCGTGAACGATTTGGTCTGCCAGAGTGATAGAGGTCTTAGGGCAATTGCCTCCAGGTCTGCCTACTTGACCTTCGCTGCTTACCCTTGTAGGAATCAGCCTACAGTCCGACGTTATTCCACCGGCTTTAGGGCCATGATAAGGTATTCGATATTGCATGATGATGTAGAGACGTAGAGAGGTAGCGTTTTGCATCGATGCTTCAGCCGTAGTGGCAGAGAGCCGAGTATCTCTCATTTTTCAGGCGAGACGGACGAGCTCAGTGTTTCTGAACTTCGGAACAAGACCTAATTGTTACGTTCAGGCTCCCATCTGGTGGCGATGGTCGAGATATATTCTGGCCCCCCATTAGAGCGAATCAGTTATGTGAGAGGGGGTAGTCTTAAGACTCAGTTGACACTATGAATGGTGGCAGGTGAGTGGATTAGGTTGCATTTGAAGAATGCGAGGAAAGAATACAAAAACTAGCCGCTCGTCCGCCAAAAGCCCTGCTGGTGTAACATGGACACGGAAGTTCTCAAATCCTACGTTGCTGTCTATCCTCGTTTACGACCCTACGAGATCAGAGGATTTCCAGCTCTGATCTGATCCTTAAGGTTCATCTCAGCTCAAATACAGGTAATGTTACATTAAATACCTCCCGCCGGAAAGTCGGTTCGCTAAACTTGATCAAAAGAACCTTCTTCTCATGGTTTCCCGAATCTTCGATCCCAGGAAGCATTCATTGTATGCTGTAACACGGCAACTCGTCCACTCAAGTGGCAAACCGGTGCTTCCTCAGAACTACATGAGCGATCAATGACCTACAAGATCTTCCCTGGCAATACGAAGACTGCAGGAATTACCCAGCCGGCCATTTTCTTTGGACTTGTATGATCAGCGTAGAAGGAAAAATTGACAGAAAGAATATTACGGTGACATGTACCTGGAACAATAACCTGACGGTATAGACGAAGAATGTCGCCCATGCGGCATTTTTAACCTAGCGGTGAGCGCGAAAGCAGAAGGGGAGAGCCAAGGTTTGGCAGACGTTAGCACGGCAGTGGTGTTCCCAAGCCGAATGTAAGGGGTATCTGTAAGGGGTAGCAAAGAGACGGCGGAAATAAAGCAAGTTGAAAAGAGAAGAGCGAAACTCCTAAATACTCACCCGCCCATATTCATTTCTACTCCACCATTAGACGATTTTCCATCACGAACTCGAGCTGTTCAGCTTTGAAGTTACCATGGCCTTTGATCTGGCACGAATCGAAACCGTCGTCGTGGACTCGGTGGCTCTCCTTCGGTCTGTTATAGGCGAGGTGATGACTCTCCGAACTGATACCCCATCACTATTCATCGACCTGGAAGGCTATCAGCTTGGTCGTCATGGTTCAATATCCGTCATGACCATTTACGCGCCCCCAAAGGAAAAAGTATATCTCATTGATATACACCGACTGGGAGCTGACGCATTTTCTACTGTCAATGTTGATGGTAAATCTCTTAAATCCATACTAGAATCGTCGGTCATCTTGAAAGTTTTCTTCGATGTTCGACATGACTCGGATGCATTATTCAGCCATTATAGTATCGCCATTGACGGTGCTCGAGACGTACAGTTGATGGAATTGGGAACAAGAACGGGCCCGAAAGAGTTTCTCGCCAGCTTAGCAGCATGTGTCGAGAAAGACAGCACGATTTCTGCAAAGGAGAAAAAGACGTGGGAGATGACAAAACTCAATACTCGACGACTGTATGACCCCGCACTTGGAGGACGATACGAGATATTCAATGATCGTCCTATTAAACCAGAAATTGTGAAATACTGCGTGGGAGATGTTGCGTTGTTACCGGGTCTCTTCGTTGCCTACAACACCAAGCTATGTCGACCTGGAGAGAAATTTTGGGAGGTTCAGATACTGGAAGCAACCAAGGAGAGGATTCAGCTTTCGCAAAGCCCAAATTTTGATGGAACATCTCAAGCCAACGCCCGCGGCCCTTGGACTAGGGAGGGTATTGAAGAAGCAATTAACCAGTGGAATGACGACATCATGGATAATGCAATGAATGAGGAGGGTAATGATTTTGATTTTGACTTCGAGCCTATCTTTCATGACTTTGATGACGACGACGACGATTGGCATGACGACGGTCCGACCAGCTGCAGAGACATTATCCCCGACTGGGACTACGATTACTACTACTCTGATTAGGATTCTGAGCTATGTGATTCAAGACCGCATCGTTCCTACATTTCCTCACTACAGCTAAGCGCTGCACAATGAAATCGCAAACTCTTCATGAGGTCCTTCAAATACCGTCTGTCAATTACCAATACCTTCCAGTTTTCCCGTCTTGGCAGTGCGCATGTCGTCTTAGAGAGCAGCCTTTCTAGACGATGCCCATGGCATAGCATTCACGACCTCATCAGCGACCACTTTAGCCAACACGAATTTAAATGGCCGAATGGATCTTTTAAAGTTCAATAGTCCTTTCAACACGCAAAAACGTTCGTACCTTGAGATGTATTAGTTTAGTCAACGTTTTGAATCAATACAAAAAAAGAGGAGCAAAAAGACCTTAGAATCATAACAAGTGTGCTCGGACCTGATTGAAGGCTTTGCATGATATTGGCATAGGCGACTACACACCATTTTGTGGACGTTTGTAAGCCATCTTCGTTACTGTAATTAGCTCCAAATATACTTCATTAGGTTCCTAGGAGCCATCTGAGTTGATCAAAATTGACGACTTGGATTCATCATAATAAACAAGCCGGAATAACCGCAATTGGCGAGCGAAGATTACTGGTGGAATTGACCTAAATTCTAAACCCTAAGCCCTGCACTAGTAACTGTAATGAGTAGTAGGAGCGTGTTCAACCCGGGCGCGAATATCCGACATTTGATGTCTGAGATGAAGAGAGACGGGATTTTTCGGGGTAGAAAATGTCTCCACTGTAAGTATAGGAGGGCGCTATAAAAGTTGCATTTCCTCAGTTTGCCTTCTTCGTGCCACTCAATTTCGAATTTCCTGTTCTAAATATCCGAGACTAGTCGTCCTCGGCCTCTCCATTTCGCTCAGCTCCATTCAAACTACAATGGCTTCCCCTTCGGCTATTCTGCCAATTTAATTGGATGGGCCTGATCTGCTACGTGGTTTTTTGGTGACTCGGATCATGCCTTAACTGTGATGAAGAACACATGTGCTACATTGGCTGTTGAACCCATAATGCAGCCATGGGCTACCATATAAATACCGTCGGACGTGCTAGCATTCCTCTGGAACGGCTTTTTGACCACCGACGCCTCTTATCAATCCGATGACATATGTTTTCCCTGATCTTGAAATGTAACTTTGATTGATGTGACAGGTTTAGGGGTCTTTTGGGTCATCGTATCTCAGGCCCCTCGATAGAAAGACTGTCAGGGTGAATTGCCTCGAATCAGCCAAAGTTTCTTTCTTTGCGACCCATGAGATATGTCTAACCACCCTTAACGCTCTTTACAGAGAACTGCAAAACCAGCTTCACCAATTTCCACACTTTTCTTAATTCCTCAGCCCCACTGATAAGACTCTAGCCTGGAATTTGAGTGCTGTTTAGTGGGGTATGGTATGTACTCTTCATTTCCCCCTGGCGTAGAACCTTCCAGAACTTGTCACTGACTCAGCCATCTAATTGTGGCAAACAGATCTGGAGCCTCGTGGAACTTAATGGTACATTCCATTAGCACGAAAGGGCCATATAAATTCTACCTTTCTCCCAGGCCCTTCTTTTACAAAGAGATTAGAAAATAGAGGAAGGAATGAAAATGAAATTTATGGACGACTGCTATAGATGAAATCGTAGGAAAGAAACCCGCCCTGATGCGTGTCCCAACGCAAGTAAATCCCCATTAATCGCGGAACAGCTAGGCCGAAAGTCAGGAGGAAGCCATAGTACACTTTTGCCATTCATGTTTATCCACCGTCCTTGCTCAATGAAGATCGCCGGATTCTTATGGGTTGAAGTAGAAGCAAAATTTTCGTGCCCAGATTGAATGTCGAGGGTGCCCAAGTTAGTGATTAGATATGAACCCTCTTGAGAAAAGTCGAGTTTGTTGACGATTCCATTGGTCTTCAAGGTCTCTTGCAGGCCGCCCGTCGCCGTGTCCCAGAGCCGCACGGTCTTATCGCTAGAGCCGGACGCCAGCAGCCGGCCGTCGCGCGAGAAGGCCACCGACCGAACCGAGCCCGAATGGCCTTCGAGAGTCTGCTGCAGGCCGCCCGTCGCCGTGTCCCAGAGCCGCACGGTGTTATCGTAAGAGCCGGACGCCAGCAGCCGACCGTCGGGCGAGAAGGCCACCGACCGAACCGAGCCCGAATGGCCTTCGAGAGTCTGCTGCAGGCCGCCCGTCGCCGTGTCCCAGAGCCGCACGGTCTTATCGTCAGAGCCGGACGCCAGCAGCCGGCCGTCGCGCGAGAAGGCCACCGACCGAACCCAGTCCGAATGGCCCTCGAGAGTCTGCTGCAGGCCGCCCGTCGCCGTGTCCCAGAGCCGCACGGTGTTATCGTCAGAGCCGGACGCTAGCAGCCGGCCGTCGCGCGAGAAGGCCACCGACCGAACCCAGTCCGAATGGCCCTCGAGAGTCTGCTGCAGGCCGCCCGTCGCCGTGTCCCAGAGCCGCACGGTCTTATCGTCAGAGCCGGACGCCAGCAGCCGGCCGTCGCGCGAGAAGGCCACCGACCGAACCGAGCCCGAATGGCCCTCGAGAGTCTGCTGCAGGCCGCCCGTCGCCGTGTCCCAGAGCCGCGCGGTGTTATCGCTAGAGCCGGACGCTAGCAGCCGGCCGTCGCGCGAGAAGGCTACCGACTGAACCGAGCCCGAATGGCCTTCGAGAGTCTGCTGCAGGCCGCCCGTCGCCGTGTCCCAGAGCCGCACGGTGTTATCGCTAGAGCCGGACGCCAGCAGCCGGCCGTCGCGCGAGAAGGCCACCGAATTAACCGAGCCCGAATGGCCCTCACCAGAGTCTGCTGCAGGCCGCCCGTCGCCGTGTCCCAGAGCCGCACGATGTTATCGTAAGAGCCGGATGCTAGCAGCCGGCCGTCGCGCGAGAAGGCTACCGACTGAACCGAGCCCGAATGGCCTTCGAGAGTCTGCTGCAGGCCGCCCGTCGCCGTGTCCCAGAGCCGCACGGTCCTATCGCTAGAGCCGGACGCCAGCAGCCGGCCGTCGCGCGAGAAGGCCACCGACCGAACCGAGCCCGAATGGCCTTCGAGAGTCTGCTGCAGGCCGCCCGTCGCCGTGTCCCAGAGCCGCACGGTGTTATCGTAAGAGCCGGACGCTAGCAGCCGGCCGTCGGGCGAGAAGGCCACCGACCAAACCGAGCCCGAATGGCCCTCGAGAGTCTGCTGCAGGCCGCCCGTCGCCGTGTCCCAGAGCCGCACGATGTTATCGTCAGAGCCGGACGCTAGCAGCCGGCCGTCGCGCGAGAAGGCCACCGACCGAACCCAGCCCGAATGGCCCTCGAGAGTCTGCTGCAGGCCGCCCGTCGCCGTGTCCCAGAGCCGCGCGGTGTTATCGCTAGAGCCGGACGCCAGCAGCCGGCCGTCGCGCGAGAAGGCCACCGACTGAACCGAGCCCGAATGGCCTTCGAGAGTCTGCTGCAGGCCGCCCGTCGCCGTGTCCCAGAGCCGCACTGTCTTATCGTCGGAGCCGGACGCCAGCAGCCGGCCGTCGGGCGAGAAGGCTACCGACTGAACCGAGTCCGAATGGCCCTCGATAGCCTGTAATTCTGCGCTCCATTTTTCCTCAACTTGTGGGAACTGGCATATCCAAGTTGGAAGCTCCGACTTGAACTCTCTACGAATTACTGACGTTCGAGGTGCAAACACTAGCCCTGCGTAATAAACCTGAAGTGGTGCTTCGTCGGCTATCTGGCGATTTTTCAGAACAAAGCGCGTTCCATCATGCAGAAATTCCGATATTACAGAATTGTTGTCGCCCTATCTCTATTAGTGTAAGTCGTAAATGGCTGTTTTCTATGTTACTTACTAGTACAACCGTGCGGAGGAGATCAAGCATACCCACCACCTCCGATATAAGACCCAGTAGACTCATCGCCTCTAACCAGTGCAGAAAATGCTTCTGGAGGAAAAGTAGCACATCTTCTATCCCGGAAGATAGATCCTGACTTTGCTCGAGATGGTGTATCCAGTAGCGACAAGAGTACTGTAGTTCCAGCGGTAGATATTGGCGGATATATTGAGGGCCGACGTCTGTCCTATACGTTCCAGAGCTTTCTAGATCGCAGATATCTTTCCGTAGATGATTTTGCATCGTTTTGAGACATAAGTGAGCAATTTTCTTGTGCTTTTTTGGCTCATCCACGTGAAATTTGGTTCCAGACTGGACCAAAAAATCCCGAAACGATAGATGTAGAATCCTTACAGGCTGATCTCGGTTACCGGGAATGCTCAAAACAGAGCGGAACGAATTTAATCGATTGCCGATCTGGTCCGCTCCTATTCCAAGAAACAGTGACAGGGCATTTATAGAAAGCGGATCAGCGAGAAGGATGATGACACCAACTATGTCCTGGAACTCTTGCAGGAGCTGCTGCTGCTCCGATTCATCACTCTCTCGATCGTCCAGTAGTCGCATCAGAATTGGCAGGTATGTCTTATCCATTTTCGATACATATTTGGCTTGGTCCGTTAGAAGCTCTGCGAGGCGGAATTGAGGTTCCCATTTTGCATTTTCGATATAACGGCACACGGTGGCAGCCGAAATAAATAGGGGAACGGACACCGTGACCAATTTCTGGATAACATTATCGCCGGGCCAGTCTTGGGAAATATTTCTGTCCTGTTTGATTTTCGCAAATCGGTCCTGCAGGAATAAATGTATGTCACGTTCTGTCACCTTTTCGGGTATCTCATGAAGAGCTAGGTCCTGATACCCATGATTCGCGATCTCTGAAAAGCCGATACTGATTGGGAGTTCGGGTCTGCTAGTCAAGAAGATCCGAAGACGAACCGATTTTGCTTTCTGTAGAAGAGGCAGTAATCGAATGATGTTTCGGACATCTTGGTCATGTTCGCATTCGTCTAAAGCGTCGATCACTATCACAGCGGCTTGAGGTTGTCGGCCGAGTTGGTCAAGATCGAGCAGCGGGTGAAGGAGTAGTTTCTCAAACTGCTCCCGAAGCGATTTTGACACAATGTCAGGGTCATCGTGGAGTGCCTTGTGCACGCCAGACCTCAACACAGGAATCATGAGCATCAGTTGCCTTGTTAATGTCGGGAAAAACTTCTTCGCGTTCCCTCGGTCCCCTTCGCCCCTCTTAAAGAAGAAGCTAGCACTCAAATGGTTGGTGTCCTTGAGCGACCTTGCCACAGTCCGAGATATTGTGGATTTTCCTGTCCCAGCCATTCCCTTTAACCAGAAAATGCATTTTTGGGACGGCGACATAGCCCATTCCATTATCTGCTGGAGGAGCTCGGTCCGAGTGCCTTGGAGACATTCCACTGCGTCTCGATCGTCGAACGCGTCAAACCTGGCGTTAGTCGCATCGGGCAGCTTATCCAGTATGGAAGCATGGTCTATGCGATCTATGGTTCGAGCCATATGCTCAATAGCTGGCTTGATAATACCCAGAATCCGCTCTTCTCTTTCCACTTGCCCAGGAACGATTCGGCATAGTAGGTCTTTGGCATACGCTGCGGCGACCATTGCCGCATAACCTTGCCATTCTTTATTCTTGTGTGAATCTGAGTAGTCGCAGATACCGCGGATCACAAGGCATGGGAAGTGATTCATCAGCCCAGCAGCTTCCATTTCAAAACACAAAACATCCAGTTCTGCTGTAAGTCTGTCACGGATGAGAGCATCCTTCATCAGCTGATTAGCTGATGCGATCAACCCGTAGTGAATTGCCGGGTTATCTTCATCCTCAGAGCGTAGATGGCGTGAAACTAAGCGGGTCGAATCATCGCCACAAACCATCTTACAATCCGATCTGCTATCCGTTGTGTGGACGATATGGCTTCGATAAAGCCGGTCACTTTCGAGATCTGGCCTTTGGTACTTTTTCCGTAGTCGTGGCTTCTTCTCAAGAGCGTGATGGATGGACTCTTTAAGTTGATGGCCCTCCATCTCATACTGGGCTTGAAGGCCGTTGACCGCTGCGCGGAGAAGGGTAGGGGGCTGATCGAGGAAGCCTGTCGGACAAAAGCCTTGACCTTGTATCATTTTACCGAAGTCGTACTGAATAACTCCACTCCGGCCGTTGTGAGGAATGCCTACTACCACATCACCAAGGCGAATGTCATGCTGAGGGCTTGGAGCTCCGCCGCCGATGCCGACCATCAGACCGATCCGAACATTAGGGAAGCTGTGTAACATGTCCTCGGCGACTCGGGCCGCTGAAGAGGTACCGTATTCTCCTAGAGGCAAAACGCAAATCACCACATTGTGTCTTCCAATTCTCCCTAAGGTGTAGTCGTTTTTATTTTGAGGCGGTAAGGACTCCGGGCCCGCATGCTGTTCATCGAGGAAGGCTTGGGCGGCAACATATTCAGTAGTAATAGCGCAGATCCAGCCGACGGTGTAGACTTTTGGATCCGCCATTTTGTGATATAGTAGCACATTTGGTGCTACGGTCGCCCGGCTGGTGTTGCGGTCGATCTGAAGTCTTCCGGTGTTGTGTTCTGTCTGCGGGGCAGTCGCCATCGGAAGTGCGGCTGATTTTAAGACACGTTTCTATTGGTGCAAAGGCTTAGTAGGAGTTCGGCTGGACTGTCGGCCCGAACCGACCCAGACCCATCTTGTTGCCCTGCGCACCTCATCAACTTTGGGCGACAGCGCGACAAAGACCATCATGGCGCCTCGACTCGCCCCCTCCCAGCTTGTGATGATTCGTGATATGATTGACAGCAGATCGCTGACTACCTCAGAAATGGCCGAAGCGGCTGGCTGCAGCAAACGTTCGATCATAACTATCAGTAACAACCTCCGAATGTTCGGCGATGTTCGAGCACCCCTGATCCCTGGTGGCCGGCCTCGTATGATCACACCGTTTATGCTTGAAGCGCTATGCGACCACTTGATCGAGAAACCGAATTTATACCTGGACGAAATGGCAGACTTCTTATATGACGAATTCGAACTACTCGTGTCCACATACACTGTTAGCCGAGCCCTTCGATCGCAGGGTTGGACCAAAAAGGTAGCACGACGAATAGCACAAGAACGAAATGCGGATCTAAGAGATCACTATTTGCATCAGCTCTCAGATTTTCGCTCGTATCACCTAGTCTTCATAGACGAATCAGGCTGTGATAAACGGGCTGGCTTCAGGAGGACCGGCTGGTCCCCACGCGGGGTGACACCTGTCCAGGTTTCCCGGTTCCAGCGCGGCCAGCGGTATCAAATCCTCCCAGCATATTGCCAAGATGGCATCTTGATGTCGCGAGTCTTCCAAGGATCGACAGACGCCAGCATATTTGAGGACTTTATTGAACAGCTTCTCCATCATTGTGGTAGATGGCCGGAGCCAAAATCTGTTCTCATCATGGACAACGCGTCTTTCCACCATACTGAACGAATAGCAGAACTATGTTCAAATGCTGGTGTAAAGCTGTTGTACTTACCACCGTACTCGCCTGACTTAAATCCGATCGAGGAATTCTTCGCGGAACTCAAAGCATTCGTAAGGCGGAATTGGCAGCATCACACAAATCAAGATTTCAAAAATTTTCTTCAATGGAGTCTGGATGTCGTCGGTGCGAAAAGAGAAAGTGCGGAAGGTCATTTCCGGCATGCGAACGTTGTGGTTGAAGAGGAATCAGATTAGATATAAATGTCGAAGAGTCCTAGCATTTCTTTGAATATACAGCTCAAGAAAGCTTCATTATTATGAGATTCGTGTACGGGGTAACATAGAATAGCGTGTAGATGCTAAGATATCCTTTGTAGATATATTGAGCCGTGGAGCCGAGTTATGTTCGTCCACTTTACCCATAAGGACTGCAAGCCATTGGTACTCCACTATCCATCGTCGTATTCAGCAGGTTGCTCATAACGTAATGTACCCAGGACCATTTATATATACCCAATTCCCGAACTAGCGGCTTGGCAGTGGGGCCCAGGAAGAACGAGTGAGTGGAACATGGTGAAGCTGGTTTTGCACTTGTCTGTACTACCCTTACGGTTCTACCTCCCGCGTAAAGCCTACCTTTGTTTTTGGTCCATTGAGAAGACACTGGCAAATCGAGGAGCTCGATAGGCTCCGAAGCCCGGGATGGTCCGTTTATCACTACACCCATGGTGTCCCTGTCGAAGATAATTCGAACCTCAAATTTGAAAATTGGAAGGGGAGCTTCGCGTACAGGGTACCCGTCATTTTCTCGACACCCACTGTATTGTGAATGAGCAGAACAATGAGGATGAGAAACTGCTGATTTCTACGAGCACAGTACTGAAGGTGCGAGACGATGTAGGGATTGACATTCATTCCTTAGGCTGCTGTCCATAATGAACGGCCTCGCTAGTTTAACTCGTATTAGCAAAGCGGGGCGGGGCGGAATCATAGTCTTCTCCTATTGGTTATGTGTCGTGGAAAAGTGGAGAGTATGATTACACTGACACGGGATTGGTCCATATCCAACCCAGTGTCCCAATGTGTTTGTATGTAATATGCGGGTAGCACCTCAGGAGAGGACTGTCACTGGAATACTCGGTTACACCGCCATGGGACAGCTATCAAAACCGGTTGAATTGGTATAGGCTAGTATGCATATGGACGAATGAGAACTATCGGAATCATACAGACAAGGTTGATTGATTGAAGAAAGGAAAGGACTCGAACGAATGGAAAAGGGGCAGGTTGAGCTGTCCCATGGCGGTGTAACCGGGTATTCGAGTGACCATACCGATGTCGAAAGGTTACCCGCATATTACATACAAACACATACAAAATCTGGGAAGGAAATGGACCAATCCGAGGTCACTGTAATGAAACTCTCCACTTTTCCACGACAACAGCTCAACCTGTCCTTTTCCCCATTCGTTTGAATGGTTTCCTTCTTTAATCAATCAATCTTTACCTGATGGTTCCGGTAGTTCTCATTCGTCCATATACATACCAGTCTATACCAATTCAGCTCGTTTTGACATTATTTTGCAGCTCATATTTTCTTGTTTGTATGTAATATTAGGTATGTCTAGCAACTTGGACAAGTTTACTTCCGATTATTACAGCATCATCACAATTGATCCTCTGAATTAGCCTACCTATATTCTCCTGAATTCACTGAAACCCACACTGTGACCACTCGAATCTGACGGTCAATTCTGAAGATTGGCCCAAGCGGACACTTCAAGTCGTTAAATTTGACCAATTAGCGTGAATCAAGAGGCCCATTGGACTCCAGGTGTATCAATTTCGGTGAAGTTAGGATGGTCAATTTGGTCGAATTCGGCTGGTGAAATCACCGCTGAATTACCCATCAAAATTTAGCTAGCTCGTCCATCCAAACTCGTGGGGTAACCTGAATTTTATGCTTCAGTCACAAAAAGCGTTCTCTGCTTCAACTAGGCCTCTGCTGTAATTCTGCCTGCGATTAGAAATCTCAATTGTTAATTGATGACTGACCTCCATAACCTGTGGCTCAGTTTTCTAAAACAAGAAACCAGCTAAAGTTCATCTTAAACTCTCCCTGTCCGGTCTGTATACTACGAAAAACAAACAAATATTCTTGGGCTAGTTAGACACGAAATCATCTCCTATATGGCAAGTGGAATAACATGTTACTTAAATTATCTAAATAGTCAGTGATTGCCGGCGACTGTCTAGAGCTCTGTTTTCCGACCTTTCTCGAGTTGATTCCCATTTCTAAGGTGAGCCGAGCACTTCTTTGTATTGCTATAATTCAAGCTCACTTAACGAATACGACCTCGCCCAGTTCATCGGGTCTTCAATATCGAAAATATTCGCTTCCCCCAAGTCGGACACGATGCCTCTGGACTCATTCCCACCGGAAATTATCTCCATCATTGGAAACCATATAACGTCGATAAATGACCTTTTCAACTTCCTTCAATCTAATCGACGCCTCTATAATGTCCTTATCAACAGCCTTTATCGCAGGAATACCAAAGCCGATGGCGGATCTGCTCTTGTGTGGTATGCAAGTCAAGGGAACGAGACTGGAATTCGAAGCATGCTGGCCGCTGGTGGGAATATCAATATTCGGGAACCGAAGCAGGCGCAATCCACAGCTCTGATGGAGGCCGTACGTCACAATCATACCTCTATTGTGAAAGTTCTCCTGGAGAATGGAGCGTTGCCTGATGCAGCGGACCTTCACTCCAGAAGACCATTAACTTTATCGACAAGTGCCCGCAGTGAGGTGGCTATTACCAAGTTGCTTCTGGATCATGGTGCTAATATCAACCTTGTTGCATTTGATAAACGGGCACCACTGGTGGAAGCTATACGGTCTAACCAGGATGCCAAGGTGAGATTGCTTCTAGACCATGGAGCCGACATTCACATCACCCATAGTCGAGATGCAATGAGCCCGTTGCACGTTGCGGCCGCAAGAAATGCCAAACCCGCAATCATCAAGGTGCTTGTGGATGCTGGTATATATGTCGATGCTCCAGATGGCCGTGGAAGGTCCCCCTTCAAGTAGCAGCCATGCATTCCAGTACGAGGGCTGTGCGGTGGCTACTGGATTGCGGTGCTACTGCGAACTTCGAAAATATGAGCCCAATCTCGAAAGGCTGGACTGCTTTATTTTACGCTGCGAATTCTAAGAACTCAAGGAATGACAACAAAACCATCATAAAAGCACTCCTACTCTATGGAGCCAAGATAGACATGACCAACTTTGCTCAAGAAACGCCCCTACTCCATGCAGTCTCTCGAGGAGCGACAAAGCAAGCTCAGATTCTTCTTGAATATGGCGCGAGTATTACAGCGAGAAACGCCAACCAGGAGACAATATTACATCTGGCTGTTACGTCCTGCAGTTGGAGGCCTGATATGATAAGATGGCTTGTGGAAAGAGGAGCTGAAGTGAACAAGGCTGGTGGTAAGCGTAACGAAACGCCGATCTTTTACGCGATAAGATGCGGTTTAGGGTTGGAAAGGATAAGAAATCTTATGTCGTTGGGTGCAGATGTGAATTTTAAAAACACCAACGGCCTCACCCCTCTGTGTCTTGCGTCATGTTTGTGCTCTACCGAATTGGTAAAGTTACTGCTCGATTCTGGAGCTTTTGTCAATTCAAGGGACATGCAAGGGAAGTCTCCTCTGCACCATATTGTTGAAACAAACTTCGGCGCTGCATCAGAAGTACTAGAGATCGTTTCACTTTTCGTTCAATGCGGTGCGGATGTGAACTCCCGGGATTCTTCTGGATATACACCTCTGCATAGAGCAGTTAGCAGAGAATGGATTTGGGAGACTGCTGGTGAGCTGATAAAGGCTGGAGCCGACCGGTGCGCCATGTCTTATGACGGGAAATACCCATATGATATGGTTAAGGCGGGGCCTTGGGCGGAGACCCAACGACTTTTTCTTCGTCACTATCCTGTTTGAGTTTACGCTTTTAGGATATCAGATGTGTCAACGGCTAATAGTGAACTACTGTACTACAATTACTACAGTAAAACCTGGTTGTAACGACCCCCCTTAGAACGAATTCCTGGGTTTATGAACCGAAGCCTCCTGCTAAAACTAAAAATCCTTTTCTCACAACGAACATCGGTATTCGGCAAATTCGTTATATTACTCAGCAAGCTAAGCCCTTTTGGGTAGTTTGCTAGCCTGAAATAGTAAATACTAACCATTTTGGAGAGGTTCGCTCACGTGGGCCATCACGGGACGGGCGAGTGCACCCTTCGCACGTGCCAGCAGTGCATCGTGAAAATATATATATCTGCTGGTTTAATATGTACACCGAATCTTGGGTGAACGAATAGAAGCCTCTGCTATGAATAGTTCATGATAACCAATTTTTATTGTACTACATGACTTTCCCATTATCGCTGAGCATGCAAGAGTGTTCTCACTTCTGTTAGTGACCTCGCCCTATGAATTTCACGACAATATAGAAATCAGACCTCTTGCAAGTGGATACAATAAAGAACAGAAGTAGCGTCTATGCGTATCCATTCTTAAGGCCAGAAAATACGTTTGCAACATAGTATTTTTTTTCAAAGGCTAAACTGTACAGACTGAACTTGAAGAACATCGAATATTGTAACACGGTTGTAGTAAATTGCACACGCCGTCTAGGTCACCATTCGAACTATTGGTATTATTAAGGATAGTGACATTATCCCCATAACCATAATTGTTACGGATTTCCCAGTTTGTCTATTATGGCCCTGCCTGCTTCAGCATATACAATCCCAGGAAAAAATCAAGAATATTGGAAACTGTCGATACCATGTTCAATGAGATGGTGTTTCTGCATTTAATACAACCATTAGAGGAATCGATGGTTTTGAGCTCGTCGTGGATCAACGACGATTAGCTTTTTCGACAATCAATTTCCATTTGCTTCATAGCTAGTATGACTAAACTTGATTAAATTACCCCTACACAAAGATTTGAACTTGCTAGACTCATTAATTGACATGGGCGAAAGATTTGAAGAGTTAGATTCTTTTCAAAAACAGAGTGCAGAGTTCTATGAATTAGAGATTTTTAACTTGCTTAAGTTTTGCCCACTTTATGTTTTTAAACAGTTAAAGTTGAAACGCCATTGTTTGACCTAGGATAGACGCAAAAGGTTATTTTTAAACTGACTGGAGATTAATTATGCTCCATTAGCCGCTTCAACTCACAAGCACAACCTCCGATGTAAGCGTGTAGTTGCTCCTTTTTTGATCATTCGATTAACATGTCTTTACATTCTTTCTGGTTCAACTTTTACTAACTCTTTGAACAAGCAACTTGCGCCTCAGCTTCATGTTACAGAATTTAGTTCAGTTAGAGTAAGTGTCAAGATATGTAGGATTGGTATAGACTAGTATGCATATGGACGAATGAGAACTATCGGAATCATACAGAGAAGGTTGATTGATTGAAGAAAGGAAAAGGACTCGAACGAATGGGAAAAGGGGCAGGTTGAGCTGTCCCATGGCGGTGTAACCAGGTATTCAAGTGACCATACCGATGGTCAAGGGTTACCCGCATATTACATACAAATACATAGGAAATCTGGGATGGAAGTGACCAATCCGAGGTCACTGTAATGAATCTCTCCACTTTTCCACGACAGTAAGCTATTTCCCTCACAAGTTCTTTCCAGTATCAAGACACCACGAAAATGTATCATCTCCATGCTCCTACTATATCGCCCCTACCGGGCAATTTGGATGGGCTAGAATACATGACTAATCCTGGCGGATCTTTAACGTAATTCACGGCCGACCCGGGTCACACGGCCGTTCGGGTCACCCCAAAACATATACTAAATTGGATAAATTACATCTTTATATCTCAACAACAATATATATTAAAGATAATATATTAAGGATATACAAACTAGAGAGTATAAATAGACTACTCATAGAGTAAGAAAAGCTAAATTCAAGTTGTGCGAGATATACACGTATATTTGAATCTGAAACATCAAAATTAAATAGTGTGAACGGCCTAAGATTCTATATACTATATTCTTATGTCTATAATAAGATGTATTCTAAAAATTAGTAATACTGAATTAGTGGTGGTTGAAATATATAGGAATCAAAATATAGCATATTCTATGTATTCTGGGGTGACCCGGACGTTAGTTACTGTAGTATCTCCTTTATCCGGGTATCACCAATCTTACTACCACGACACTGGATATTTGAAATGCACGTAACTTGTCGATATTTGGTGCCTAACAGGCGCGTGGCGTCTTCTCATAACTTCAGGCCTCAGAAAAGGTGGTTAAATAGAATGACGCATCATCCTTCGGTTATGTTACGGTAGCGACTGACGGTTGGCATCCTATGCTAGATGTACTTAATCTTGCGCTAGGCTGCATTTCCTGTGGTGTGATCGCCGATCGCCAGAATATGGGATCTAGCGGTTCTTTTCCCACTAGAGCTAACATATGCAGCTACGTACATGAAGCAACCAAATTTGCCTTGAAAGAATAAAAACTGTTCTCGACCACCTACAGGACAGGGCTACGGCAATCTGGGTACCTGGGACCTTGACAGATTTAGGAGGAGCGTTTTCTGGCCAACATTGCTCCAAAGCCAGATGAAACACATATCTAGTGCCTCAAGGCCACCAATGTAATAGAGCTGTGGAATTCTGTCCAAGCGAGCTTCGACTCTGGAGGTGTGGGTCTGCTGTTGGAAATCTGTGGTGGGAAGGCTTGGGTTTTAAACCTCGTGACCTAGAACGGTTGATTTGTGGGCATGGTTTGGCAGCAGTGGATGCAGATCCACTTTGGACCTACGTCCACAGCTCCTGGTCTAATACAGCCGTCGGGCCGTCAACTGGCAGCTTGTAAGGCCAAGTAGCCATGCGGGCCACACGTCTGCAGACTACAGTCTATACGAGCCGCAAATCTCTGGAGTAAAATCCCAAGGAAGATAGATTGTTCAATTTGGCTTCCTGAGTTTCGCTGGCTGATCATCATCATCATCATCATCACCATCATCATGCTCGGCTTGGAGTGCCCGTGTGATCGAATCCATCGTCGCTTCACTTACAGTCAGATCGTCGCCGAATGTCATGAAAACCGTGTTCGTGCCATCTTCAATCGCCGCCTGGAAGCACTGCCCAGGGGGTACCTGCCGTAGATTCTGGTCGTAATAGGTTGCCTTCTGTTTCCGCGCCTGCTTAGCTGCCATTCGCTCCACTGGAGACGGGTCCGAGGGGTCAACCGCCATTTTGTGGACTAAGCGATTCCACTCGCCACGTTTGTCACGTGCGCGGAACATGATTGTCACCTTGGAGCTCTTGGTCGCACCGCTTGCTCCTTCTCGTCGTGGAGACCTGTCTCGCTCCTCAGGCCCTTTCTCTGACTTGGCTATGTCTATTTTTGCATGAGCACCGCCATGTGTGGAAGGTTCTAGTGCCGGCGACAACGACGCACGCTCCGTCAAAGTGCCCTGTTGGGTAGCATCTGCGATAACCTGAACATCTGGCGATGCGTTCGGCGTTACAGATTGCAACCGCCGTGGTTGCCGCTCCGACTGGATATTCGTCATCCCATAGCGTCTAGAGTTCCCATCGATAGTGCTTCCGATTTCTGGCTGTGGTTCGAACGCGACTGATCCTGAAGTTTCTCCCCCGCCTGTTGGTGGTCATAAGTCGGGCCCTCCTGACTTGCCGCTGGCGATGAATTTTGCTCTTCGTTCATTCCCGACGGAGGAAGGTTCTGCGCCTCGAGGAAATTAATCTGAGTGATAGGTCTCGGTGTCTGTTGTTGGGCTGCTGTTTGTAGCAGTGCGTTTATATCCTGCTCTAGAGTTTCCTGGGGCGGCATGGAGAGCTTTGGAGTTTGTCGGCGCCGCTCTGTCTGGTCATATGGTTTAAACCTCTCCATCTCTCGCAATGCCGCACCCTTTCCTTCGATAGTTCTAGAAGGCCCCGATTCGTTTCTGGATTGCCGACGTCCTTCTAATCTGTGCAGTGCCCTTTGAACTTCTTCCGACGGAGAAACCTGCGCTGTTTCTGTCGCTTCGTCCTCTTGTTCAACTGCATGCTCTTCCATGCTGGTATCTCCCAGGGACTCCTCCCTAGTCAGTCTCTCTTCGCTCTCTCTGCTTCGTTGTTCGTCCTCATGTCCTAACTCAGCATACCATTCTGACTCTTCATTTCCGCTGAAAAGTTGCTCCTCCGGAATGGGTTCAAGGTGCTCGAGTTCATCCGGTAGAGACGGTTCGATGTCTGGAAAACCTTGCTCATCTCCACCAATTATACTGTCACTTCCAGGTGATCTGGACTCAGACTCGACTGTCGGATCTAATACCTCTTCTAGGCCACTACCTTCCAAAAGAGTGAGCTCAATTTCCATACCAGACTCGGAAGGTAATCTTTGTAAGTTTCTGGAAGGAGATATCGAATGATGGTCAGAATGTGAGGATTGGTGCATTTGTTGCTCTCTTCGTTGTTGTCTCTGTAACTTCTTCGCTCGCTTCTGCTCCCGATGTTGTCGTCTCTGTAACTTCTTCGCTCGCTTTTGCGGTCGTCGCTCTTGACGAGCGTCGTTCAACCGTTGCTGATCCAAATTGCTTTCCCGTTCGGCTTCTCTATCTACTATTTCAGCTCGCGATGAACGATTACTCGGGACAAAAAGCGGAGACATCGGGAGCTCAGTAGTTGAGCGTGCGCCTGTTGTGTCACTATCCACGATGGGTATTGACAGCTTGCTGAAAAAAGTGAAGTAGACACTCCTTCTCACCAAAATGGAAGTCGCCTTCCGATCCTCTTTGATGGAGTCGCCGTGAATTTTGTCAATGAAAAGAAACTGACAATCATGCAACTGTGCTTGGGTTTGCGGATGTCCACATCGAGACTCTTTCTTGGTCTCTATTCCGCCAATGCTTTGCACTGGAAGCTGATGGTCAAGTGGGATTGCTCTCAAGAAGCACTCAGTGACTTTGTTGATCAATAACTCAACTTCTCCCTCGGTATATCGATAACGATCCGGCCGACGGGCTCTCAAAAGGGCATCTTGCGCGATTTTCCGATCTGGCGACTGCTGGATGAGCTGCTGAATCTGTGGCGATTGAAATCCAAGCTTCTTTGCAAGTACCGCCATATCATATAATATCACTGGATCCACCACCTCGTTGGTAGCCTTCGCCGTAGGGTCTAGCTTCTGTGGTTGTTTGGACAACTTTGGGTAATGACGCATAGCATAGAGCCATAGCTGTCGGTAACCAAGCTCGGCGGGGTCTCCCTGGGAGTCCGAGTAATACCGAAGTCCAGTTTCAGATGTCTGTATCAATAACCGCGTATGGGCGGGATCGGAACTTGAAAAGGCCGCGCGCATGGCACTTCTGACAGTTGGGCATGATCTTGAAGGTGTGATAAGTCGTTTGATGCAATTGGCACATGATTCTAGGTACCAGAGATCTTTGAAGAATGTGTATAGAGATGGAATGATGCCATCTGTTCTCTTCAATCGCTTCCAAATCGAGGACCGCTCCGATCCTGTGAAATTTGAAAAGACTTCTCCGCTGTGTACAAGGCCTTTTACAGTAGTTCTATCCTTTGACGAGACTCCAGGTGCCAGCAACTGGAGCTTTTCCACGGTATGTGTTTCAATTCTTAGCATCTTAGCACGATCGTGTCCCACCAGTGAAGACCAGTATTTCAGTAGCCTATTTAGCGCATGAACTATCTCCTGCGGACGGAATCAGCATTTCCTTGGTTACAAAAAATCAAGAGACTTACCTCGTCGCAGGAAATAGCCAGTGCTTGAGGAAGAGACCCAATTTGCATTCCATGTATCAGCAACGAGGGAAGCACGAGTAAAGAATCAAAGGCAGCTCGGACGCTTGGATGGGACTCAAGTCCGCGAAGCCGCCTAGCTTTGTTGTCTGACAGCCGCGCCAGCCATCGATTCTCGAAATGCACATTTGCTTCATTTCGATATTGTCGAACTTTGACGTATATTTCACCGTCACTTGGAACTCTCTCATTAGAATACTCATCAACAAGGCTGGTTTGAAGACCTGGGCTAATGTCTTGGAGCTGTCAGAACTGACTTTCTGAAGGAAATGACACGGAGAATCTCTAGCTTACCATCCAAATACAGGTCAACAATCCACCATTGATCGATAGATGGTAAATAATGTTCTGCGGCCTTCAATCGATGTTGGCCGTGAAGGAACTTTATGGAACCAGTGGAAAAATGGAGGTGTGGGTAATGATCCGGATGATTAGTCTGTAATTCAGAGAGGTTCACTCCTGTGGCCTGTAAAGCATCAAGCTGCTGTCTTGACACGACCGCGCTAACATGGTTATATATATCAAGTCTTCGACAGCCTTCTTTGTCAAAAATCTCACAGAGTCTTTCCACGTTCTTTAGGTTTACATGTGGCGAGACAGATGGATGGGGTACCATCTGATTGATGTTAATCTTGGCTGTCCCTTGGTATTTCTGACACCTTTCTATCTGAAACTTCACCTCGGGATTGTCGTACATAGTGCCGTCCATAATTATTGATGAAGCAAGAACTTTTTAGCAGGAGAGTTTTCTTTATATTGGGCTTGTTGTGGTCTCACAAAAGAATGGCCCACCCAATTCGTCCAGTTTCAGCGCTCAGGCGGCGAAATGGGACCGCTATGCAGAGTTTGTTCAAAATGCATTTAACTCTATCGATGCTGATCAGATATAAGTAAGGCATTGTTTTTCTTCAAACTCGTACCTTGGTACCTTGTTTCTTGGCCTGGACCCCAAAACCAACACAAATATGTCGAAACAACACAAGCACTGCACAAAGGTTGACTTCTCAAGTTTCACAGAACTGTTGGCTAACAGTCCACCACAAGAGGTAATCGCGAGCGAACAACCGCACCAGCATGATGTGCCCACCCAATTGAACAGTAATTCTAACTCTAAGAAAAGAGAAATACATCCACACACTGCACATACACGACCAAAAGTCAGTGGAGGGCCAAAAAGCTTTGGATTACCCCAAGTGTGTGAGGAAGGTATATCTCGTCGGTTGATTGTGAGGGAGGAGTCACCTTGGGATACATATCGCCGGAAACTCAGGTGTAATCTGGCAGGCGATGTATTCATTGCATCTCGCCGTTCCCGCCCATCCCAGTTGGTAGCCATTCGGGAGTACACTAAAGGGGATGCGGTTAAAATGCGACGACTATATGATATTCTTGACCACAGTAATGTATTGACAGCCAGAGAGTGCTTCGTCAATGAAGGACGTATATATGCTCTCGTCCACGATCTCCCTCTAACTCTGGAGCAACTTGTGGGGTGTAGATCACTCTATCCCACGGAGACGGAATTGGCTTCCATGGTTTGGCAGGTTTGTAACCCTTCAAGTTTCAACTATCCGGAGCTCATTGTATTCAGATTTTGGATGGATTATGTTACCTCAATAATGCCGGACTAGAACATCAGTTTTTGACATGCCGAAATATACTTCTCGGCCTAGATGGCATCGTCAAGGTTGGTAAGTGTCAATTTGCTTCTTCATTCTGACCCCTCTGACTTTGTATAGCAAGCCTGGAGTTTTGCGTGGATCGTCCGCCAGGTCAGGTACAGAATGTATACATCAAAAAATTGGCTTCCATTACCATGGAAATTATGCAGAAGTATGTGAAAGCCAACGGCACTGTGGGAATAGATGATGTGGACCGTTGGCCTGTCGACTCCGATGCCTTCAGGTTTCTTTCTGCCCTCTCGACAACAAAGTCCATTGAAGCTTTAAAAGAGGTACCTAAGTCCCCAGCTTGATGTATGTGAGCACACGACTAACATTAGTCAGCAACCACTTCTCCGCAAAAAGAGTCAGTTGGTAGGAGAGCTGGTCCTTCTTGCTCGTTTGATTTTAGTTTCTGCAAGGATGTTTTATTCATACCAAGATGATTCGAAAAATATTTAGAAAAAGAGAGTGCCAAGGGGTACAGTACAGGGCCGCTCAAATTCAATTTCACCCTGGTTTTTGCCTTTTCGATTCTTTCTAATTTAGTACTAAACCAGACCACATAATAGGTCACGTGCATTTCCCAATAAACTATGTAGCCACCCTCGAGGTTTAAAGCGAAAGCCATTTCGTTCGCTGCCTCCTCATCTACTCACCTGCTACGAGGAGGGGGTAGAGTGACAGTGGAAATGCGAGCTGCAAAGATGGCATGGAAACGCTACTATTTGACTTTGTTGGAAGCTGTTTGTCCTACACAACCAATTCTTTATACAGAACATTACAGTACAACACTATATTTATTTTATTTACATTTGTTCCGGATTACCAACGAAACCGGGCCAGGTGCAGCCTAACCAGAACAGGCATACTGTAGTATTTTGCAAGATAAAGTTTAGAAAACTTTTGAAAAGAATAAACAGGTCAATCAATCAATCAATCAACACTCTATTAACCGGTTGCAGCCTAACTAGTGGCGTAATGGCTATGCAGGCGCTTCCTCCGGCGGAAGCAAGAGTGATCCGAACGCCAGACCCGTGCATGAAACAGTAAATACATAGGAAAACGGCGTATTGCCATATAAAATCAGCCTAATAACAGTACCAAAACGCCCGTAATACCCTCAGTCCCACAATATGTATATTTCTCAGTTCGCCCTCACATTGGCCTGCCGCTTCCTCCGCATCCCCATCTCTGCTTTCTCCAGCATCCACATCCTCCTGCTTCGTTCTCGATTGATGGCGTTCGTTGATGTTGGATGTAGTTTTCCAAAAGAATAAACAGGTGAAGCTAATTTTGAGCGGCTTTGTACAGTTATTCAGCTGAGAGGACATATACTGCAAGGATCCATGTATGGGCTCGAAGGAGACACGGCATATGTATATTAGGACGTGTATCGATAGATTACTTTTAGTTGCCCTTTCGGCTCAGCCGCCGGGCGTTAATGAATTGTGTGTGTACAGTTATTCTCGAAATTGGCTTTAACTAATACGTACCAACTAACTACTTTCTCGCCCCACTACAAAGGACTTATAATAGTGGGAAATCTACTGACCGAACAGGTTCATTAATCTAGGAGCAGCTTAGCAATCCGTTAGTCTTTAGGCTCCTGTTCCCAGAATCCTCCTCTCGGTGGTGTCTCCATCACTCCCTCCTTACATCACATATACACAGCCTTTGACATCATTTTGCGTAAAAGACTTCCAGGCAACTTTCTTTCACACTGAGCAAATTTTTACCTTGGTACGATGTCCAAGCCGCGATCCACATCACAGGCAAAATAGACACTCCAGTTGCCTACGTTTCCGAGTAAAAGTATCGATCTACTTAGTACCATCAGCATTAGCCCTTGGAATCATGGAAAAATAACCGGTATGCTACAGTGGGGTTATGGATAACCTTTCTAATCCAGTCCTTCGTTTCAAGGCATAAAATCATCAATTAGTCCACTAATCCACTGAATAAACCCGTGTGGCTGTGTGTGTTGGCAGTTATGTTTGACATTCTTCCTCAGGATCCGATATTACTATTGTGATATAAACAGACAGAAGGGGCGTGAAACGAGACCTTATCCAACTAGACCTCACACATAATAGACTGATTTTCGTGAATGAAGTTTGTGAAGAGTTTTTGAGCTGAGCTTGATTTTTAAGACTATTGTGACAGCATGAAATTGATGATGGTTATTTTTATCCATAGATTTAGAGATGGTGATTGGGCATCCGTAAAACCAAAAATTCTTTATGTAAAATGGGAGCAATTTGTAAGAGCATGCCGCAAATTTGGAGGCACTGCCTAGTTGCGAGCAAAGATCAGTCTATTCTGAATGCAGGGAGCCTAAATTCTGAGCATAATTGGAAGTTATAGATGCTTCAAATTGTACGCAATCCGGGCTATTTAGCTTGTATTAACGGTGTATTTGCCTCTGCGAGAGCTGCTAGCCATCGGCTCCTTGAGAAGATTGCGCTAAAAGCGTCGGCAATTATTGCGCCATTGGGCATTTATCATTCGCACCGCATATTCTGGATGATGCACGTCGTTTAGCTTGCGACTCCTTAGAAACTTCAGAGAGGTAGATAGTGGGCGCAAACCACGGGTATAATAATCATGCTGAAAAATGTGTATAAGACTGTTCATATCCTGCTTCAGCGAGCTGTATCTATGAACGGATATGCAAGGCAATGGATCTTTTGCTGTACTATGCTATCTTAGTTGGTGGCTTTTTTACAACCCTCATCCTGATTCGGATAGCGTCTCATCTAAAGGATCCCGCGAACTCTCTTTCAGTATTCGTTTCTAAACATCTTATTTACCCAAATTTAGTTGGTCGCCACCAGTTGTGTGGCCCATGGAGTCGCGCACAGGTTCTCTTGTGCCTTTTGTACATTGTAATTAACTTTTTTTTCCTTACATTCCGAGTTTCAACAGTAATGATAGCGGGACGCCGAGCTGGGACGCTGTCCGTGATCAACATGGGCTTGCTCTTTCCCACAACGCATCTAAGCTTCTTTGCAGACATGCTTGGGATATCACAGATTGCCTGTAGACAAATACACCGATTTGTTGGCTGGCTAGCGCTTGTTCTTCTCTCATTCCACATCACGGTGGCCATGGCTAAGCAAGGGCAGACCTGGAGTTTGCGCGACGAGGAGAATCTTTTTGCTGTTGTAGTAAGTGTTTATTCTACCGAGATTCGGCAGTAACTAAACTATTTAAGGGTGCAACTTCTATGGCAGGGATTGCCTTACTATCGATTCCGTTTGCTCGCCGATCTTTTTTTGAGATATATCTTCGAGCCCATCAAGCTTTTGCTGCAGTGTGCATATACTCCACTTGGCGACATCTTCCGTCCGAAGCCCTTAACCCACGAATTTATATTTATGTGCCACTTGGCTTTCTTGCTTCTACAACCCTCTTGTATATTGCGCTTCTCGTATTTCGCAACGGCATTTTCCCTCCGAGACAATATCCTCGAGCATCTATCACTTGTGATAGAGTAAAACAACCGTCTACGTTTCATGGCAACGAGGGGACAACATTGAAAATTCGTGTTGTCCTCTCACGACCACTTCAAGTAAAAGCAGGCCAATACATATATCTTTGGATGCCTACTGTTAGCCTGTGCTCTTGGGCTCAAGTCCATCCATTCATGGTAACATCTTGGTCTCCAGAAAGACAAGACGTGCTAGAGCTCTTTGTTCAAGTACGTCAAGGGCTCACGAAAATCCTCCATTCCCGTGCAGCTTTGGATGGATTTGCTTCATATACAGCCATTGTTAGCGGCCCACATGGGGTTAGCCAATCTGTCAGTGAATATGAATGTGTCCTAGCTATCGCAACTGACTTTGGTATTGCTGGAGTTATTCCGTATCTGAAGCAGCTTTTTTATGGATATAACACGTCTACATCACACGTGCGACGCGTCCATTTTGTTTGGCAAGTGCAAAACATTGGTAAGAACATAATTCAATAAATTACTTTCAAGGAGGAAGCATTAATTTCGATAGATATTGCCATTTCTGCAGAGCCACTTTTGAATAGTTTATTGAGTGACGATGTCTTGGATGAGGGTTATGTAAGTAAGCTTCTTCCACGATGTGTCTCCTTGCTAACAAGGGAAAAGATCCTGGAAATGTCATTCTATGTGGCTTCTGAAGAGGCAATAGGGGGAGGGAAACCATTTGGAAACCATGGCCGAGCTGTTGTCTTCAATGGTGTCCCGAAGTATGAAGAAATAGTGTCAGAAGAAGCTTCTGGTAGTCGTATCCAGAGACTTCCTGATACACCTGAAGAACAAGGAAAGACCCTGCTACTAGGTAAGAATCTTTAAAGAAATTGCTACATGCACAGCTCTGTACTAACTGTACAGCATCCGCATACCCTACAGTAAGGGACAATCTGAGAGAGATTGTCTGCGGGCACCTGAGTAAAAAGCTCTCTATGCTTGAAACACATTTCCAGCCAGTTCCATAGTCCATGATTGTTGAGAGCTTCCAGAATCCGCAATATAATGATGCGCGCATCCTCATTGGCATTTAGTATCAATAATATAGAGTAAATAGTTAGGTGCTCAGTACAGTACAAAAGACAAATCGTATTCTACCGAGACACGACCGTAACAAAATGAAGCAATACGGGACCCATTATTTTTGCTTCGGGAGCTGGAGGCGATGAGGGCACATAATGGAGTAATTCTGACAACTTAGGCCAATCAGAGGAGTAGCTTGAAGATATCCGTTTGAATTAATTTGTGGGTTTGAAGTAAACGCCTGTGAAGCTAGTTCTGATAGATTAATATAGCGCCCGCCTTTTAGATACAGTAGCTCCCGGATTTCCCGACAACCTACCATATGCTCTAAGCAGGGGGTTTAAATCCACGTTGGTTTTCATTTCAAGGAGGTACCACTTGTGCCATATGCTCTGCCCGATTACATGCTTGGTCAATCTATTTCCCGACTATTCGCTAGCTTGGGCCCATACGGCCCCAAACATGACGTATTCCATTACTAAGGTATTGGAAAGGTGTGGCAAAATACAGTGCATTTCTTTACTACGAATAGGATGCTGAATGTCATTGACGTTCAGGTTTAGGTAGTCAGCAGACTTGTATGGCATGCATTGGTATAATCCGATAAGTGTCCTATTTTACCCGTAAAGTTTTACACAGAACATCTAAGCATTAATTACCGAAACTAGCTTCCTGTTGTAGTTGACACTTTATATCCAATTTTGTGTAAGTTTAGACTGGTATATCGTCCGGAAGAATTTGAATAATTTGATAATTGAAAGGTGGACCCCTCGAGTACATTGACTATGTAGTTCTGTTTGTTTCCGTATGTTACGAGGCAATTGAAGAGATAAGTCAATGCGATGCTTATTAGCAAGAATAGCGAAGCCAGAGAGAAAGTAAGAAAGGATCCAGGAACATGGGAGAAAGGTGTGATAAACGCTACGATAACAGGCACCAAGATTTATGATTCTCATCCACAAAGGGTCATTCAAAGCGTTTTGGCCGTTTGCTTCGTACTGTAACACCGAAGGAGTTGTGACGTCTGATACTCTTTCCAGAAAAAATGGGATGCATTTATTAGTCCACTTCAGAGATAGTTCTCAATCTTCACTATGACATCCGGAGGGTTCAGAGAACAAATTTTGGATTACTCAAGAGTGCTGATGGACATATGTGATATCCTCCTATTTGCTCTTAGGCCGAACGTCGGCTCAACAGCGACTTATTGAGGATTTCAAGCAATTCTTTTCTGCCTCAGAGGCAACAGAGTTTTGAAAAATTTAATCATCCATACCATCACCGTGTCTCCATTAATAATAATTAGCATGTATACTATATCCACGCCGTACAGAAAGGAAGCAAATCAAAACATCTTCCTCGCATTTTGAAATTCACATCTCGCTTGGTTTTTCACGAATTACCTCACACATGGTCCTATCTACCTTCCTGGATGAAGCTTTGGCGACGGTTTTGTAGCTCAAAAATATGCGGTCTAGCAGATACTGTACGGAAACCAATAAAAATAGCCAGGCTTACCTCTTCGACCTTTCATTTATGCCCGTCTGCCCGGCGTTGCCAAGTCGATTGGATCTCCCATATGCGAACTCACTGAGACTTATTTCATCATGCTCCTTCTGGTGCCTCTATTGGGCCTGGGATGGGCCACAAATGCTGCCGTTGTTCTATCGTATAGCAATTTCACCACAAATATTAATACTCGTGACACATCTGAATATCGTTCCGTTGCTTATTTTGTCAACTGGGTTGGCTATCCCACCGAATTTGTCTACGAAAAGGTCTTGGCTAACAGGAATATAGGCTATCTATGAACGCAGATTTAACCCTCAAGACCTTCCTGCTGATAAATTAACTCACGTTTTGTACGCATTTGCCAATGTCCATCCAGACACAGGGGAAGTTTATCTCTCAGACTCTTGGGCAGATATCGAAAAACGCTATCCTGGGGATTCCTGGAATGACACAGGCACAAATGTTTACGGATGCGTCAAGGAGCTTTTTTTACTTAAACAAAAGAACCGAAAGCTTAAAGTTCTTCTATCTATTGGGGGTTGGACTTACTCGAGCAACCTTGCCAGCTCGCTGAGCACAGCCACTGGTAGAGCAACATTTGCTTCCTCTGCAACGACCTTGATAAAGGACCTTGGATTTGACGGGATTGACGTTGACTGGGAGGTAGTAAATTCCCACTATCTCCTCGTTCGATTGTAATTTCTAACTGGACTAGTTCCCTGACGATAGCACCCAAGCTGACAACCTGGTCTCCACTCTGCGCCAACTGCGCTCGGTAGGAAGATCTCACTTTATGATTGAAGAGTGCGGCTGACGTATATTAGACCTTGGATGCATACAGTGCGGCCAATGCAAATAACTATCATTTCTTGATAACGGTAGCATGCCCCGCGGGTAATTGGTCCCCGACGTTCACTACATTTGTTTAGAGTGAACTAACAAGTGATAGGTCCAAAGAACTTCCAGACACTTCATTTGTCCCAAATGGACCAGTACTTGGACTTTTGGAATCTCATGGCCTATGATTATTTCGGAAGCCAGGACACTGTGGCCAGCCACGATGCAAATATTTATGCGTCAACTAGCAACCCAGCCGCTACGCCTTTCAATACAGACCAAGCAATTGCCTACTATACTTCCAACGGCGTCCCAGCGTACAAAATTGTGTTAGGTATGCCCCTATATGGTCGATCGTTCATGAACACGCATGGGCCTGGTACTAGCTACAATGGAGTTGGGAGTGGCAGCTGGGAAAATGGTGTATGGGACTATAAAGCGTTACCCCTAACAGGCGCATCTGTAAACTACCTCCACCAGCCCATTGCAAGCTACAGTTATGATTCATCGCAGCAAATGATGATTACCTATGACAGTCCCCAGGTCGCGCAAGCGAAAGCAGAGTACATCCGAGCTAATGGTCTGGGTGGCGGAATGTGGTGGGAAAGCAGCGCCGACAGTAATGGATCAGACAGTCTGATTACTACGGTTTGTCCAGCGAATAGCCAGTCTTACTTCTACATATGCTAACAGGCAACCCACACCACTAGGTTTTCAATTCATTTGGCGGTAGCAATGCATTGGACCAGAGCGAGAATCAGCTGAGTTACCCAGTGTCGTCGTATGATAACTTGAGATGTGGTTTCCCGGGTGGCTAGATCGCACAGTCAAAGCAATAGGCACATGGGTTGACCTACAGAATGGACGGTTAGGACTATTCTTAACGCACGCAAAGCTATGGCTCGTAGATAGCCGCTACGTAGTGTAATGCACTAACGGTAGCCTGAGCAAAAAGACAGGTTCAGGTACAGTAGGATATCTATCATCACCAAGCACAGAAAATAATGAGAAAGACAACCATCCTCCAAAAGAGAGCGGCCATATCAGTTCGGTTAAACGTATAGAACAGAAGAGGCATTGCACCTCCATGAAGCATTATCCTCTCCTAAATACGGAATTGGTCACACAAACTAAACTAGGAAGCGCCAATAAAAATCATTAGAAACTAAGAATTGCAAACAATACTTCGACATGAAAAACGTAATACTGCACTACCTTCCTGCTACTAAGCCGTCGGCGCTTCCCCATTTGTTAGCAAAAGTACAACAAAGTTAGTTTGTGCCTAGCTTGCCATTATTCTTAATCGCAGTAGATAATTAGTTACTTGAGCGGCTTACATCGGACTTCTTTCTCGGCACCACCATCTGCCGAAAGTTGCATCAAATAAGAATCCAGTGTACTCGTTAATTCAACTTGATAGCTAACTAAAAAGACAGAAACGAACTCCGACACAGCAACATGCGGAAAGTAGGTCCTGCCGGTCTGACCCTAAAAAAGTGAGAAGAAAGTTACTTGTCTGTAGAGAAACATGGACTGTGCATATAACATGGCCATCGAGTTCATAGGAATTTATTTTGGGATATTCACGCAGAGTATTATTTTTGTGTTTATCATAGCAAAACGAATAAGAACTCGCAACAGTTAAACCCATATTGTGTCAACGTTTCAAGAGACAGATATAGACTATAGCTGGATGGACAAAATTTCATCGCCGGCGATGATACGTCCACCCAACCGTGCAAAGCACTCAATAGAAAGCCAAGGCAAATAGCCAGTGGAGTTTGACAAGGTCAGCCCGCCAAGTCAAAGATAAGTCATCCCTTCAAGCCTTACAACTTGGTTGAACAGCCCATACCGGAATTGTTTTCGATCAACCATATTGTCTTAGTTAGCTGAGATAGCTGGGGTATAAAAGGTTCCTTTTTTAAAGGCCCTTCCGAAGTTCATGTCATCCTCAACTCTCATATTCTGCTTTTTCAAGTCTCTGATATATATCTTGGCGGCAGCTTGGAATTGTGCAAACAGTGTATCAGAGAGTTCTTTCCATGGGATTGTAGAGTCAACCCCCCACTTTTCTAGTAATGCTTCATAGAATTCACTTATCACTGCTCGATCCTCCTCATCATCCCCCTCTGAAGTCGTTGGCTTGCTATTCCGTGGCAAAGACGATTTTTCTCCACTTATATCGTTTGATTTCACAGAAGCCTGGTTTGAGTCGCTTATGTGTGATGTGGCTAGACTTGATGTGGCTGGGCTTGATGTGGCTGGGCTTGAATCGGCTGGGCTTGATGCGGCCTGTGCCAGAATTTTCTTTCTTGGGGTATTTTGGGCGATATCTTCTGGCTCTGGCGTTTCTTCTAACGGAGTGGGGCTTCGATCATCTCTACCTTCCCGTGCTTTTCCCTTCCAGTCAATATCCAAGGCTTTTCCAGCCCAGTCCCGAAAATTCTTCACTTGGGTGCATGCCTTCTCATAGAATTTCCTGTCTGTCCGTTTACTTGAGTCTTTCCCCGCGCTACTTAGCGATTTGTATTTTGAACGGTCGATCCAAACTGACTGCATTTGTTCCTCTCCTCCTTCCAGGTCTACTAGTACGGTGCTGAATGGATATCTGTAATTGGAGTCTCTTTCTTTATTGGAGGGGTTAAGCTCCTCCACAGAATCCAGTAGACCAAGCATGGAATCCCCACCATTTCTAGGTAGCCAAGCGACTGCTTTGATAGGGCCGATTTTACCCTTATAAACGAGTGAATCAGTTTCGTCGTCTCTTTCCATGGCTTGTTTGTGGGGCTTTCCAAGCAGGTTTGTCACTTTCTTCACTCTATAGGAAGCTGGACTTGTACTCCAGATAAACATAGGGCTATTTCTTGGCCCATACGAATTGAGAGAAAGTTTTCCACCTCGTGCCTTCAGCAGAACTGTTCCATCTTCTAAGGAAAAGCTAGGAGAGTCGTCATCTTGTGTGAGATCATAGATAAAGTCCGCGAAGTCCTTTGGACGTCGTCCCGTTTCTCCATCCGAGGGCAGTTTGTTATTTTGGTTATTCAATGGCTGCTCTTGGACTGATTCCGTATTGGGGGACCGTTTGCTGTCCAAAGGTTGCGTTTGAGAGGCAAATAATTCGTTGACCTCGTTGATCTCGTTGACATCGTTGACCTCGTTGACCTCGTTGACATCGTTGACATCGTTGCCTTTATTGTCGTCTGCGCTATGCATATTTGACTCTTTGGTAGGAATTTCTGTAACGGTTGTTCCGGTGTCTTTAGTTTGCTGAACAATCCCTGGATTACTATTCCCTGCTATTTCGCTTTGATGTTCTGGTGTATCTGTTGCTTCGCTTTCTCCTGTCTCTTGCTGGATATTACTGTCCACCACTTTGTCTGGTTCACCTCTTTCAAGTTGATTAATATCGGAGTCAATCTCCATAAGATCTGCTTCAATCGTCTTTAATTCACTTTCTTTCTTCATGCGCTCAGAAAGTAGGTCTTTCATTAAGGTTTCCATCTCGCTTCGTTTTCCATCGTCCATTGCTTGCTTGATTTGAGCTTCGACATTTTCAATCTTCCTTTTAAGCTTTGCAAGCTCTTTCTCTTGGCTTGACTGTTCGTTGACCCTATCTGATCTGCGTTGCCGTAGCTTTTTCTTCCGCTCCAGGATCACACCTCTTCCACTTGGTACACGGGCATTCTGGTCCTTAGATGACCGACTTTCAATTGCCGATTTTCCTTGCTTGTTATTGGCTTTACTGTCTCCAGGGGCCATTGTTTCAATTCAAGCTTTCAACATGCAATCACGATGTCTGCTTTAATGACAGGTCGGGCCAAAGGGGAATTCTTATATTTATGCGCAGTGAAAAGGTGGAACTGATTTGGGATTTTAAGCAAAAAGGCAATAAACAACCTCCAACACAATTGATGGCGAAAAGAAAGAAGAGAGGGGGCAGCTGAATTTGGACTCTTTGCGCTCTGTAATTCCGAGGGGCAAGTCAAATTATTGGGTTGCTAGCAAAGGGAAAATAGGAGCGTGAAGTAAGATTCTTTCCTCCCCCATAACTTTGATGGTATCTTTCATGCCAATACAATACAATGGCACTGCGCACAGTGTAATTCCTTTCCATGCTGGGTACCATAATAGTCAGTAGTAGATCTCCGACACGTAATTGAAATTGAAGACACCTGTTCGATAGACTGCCTCTTTTGTTTCTCCCTCATATCATGCTGATAATATGCTGAATTATGCTCGACTTGGCGGTCCTCCTTTCGATACGAGGGAGAAGGGCGCTTAATGCGGAACGTGTAGTCCAAATTGTGAGGCCCAATTCTCTCTGTTTCAAGGCACTGTATACAAATCTCAGACATATAAGTTCTGAACACTTACTGGGGAGGGAAAAAAACTCTCAGATATTGATGCTAAAATTATAAAATGCGAAATGGATCACGATGGTCAGACAAAGAGATCGCGATTGCTCTTTACTTTTCATCTCGGGGTATCCAGGCAAAGTCCCTTCGTTCTCTCATGCTGAGACGAGGATCCAAAAGATCTTATCGTGCGATCGAAGCGAAGGTTGCGTCTCTTCGGAAATTTTGCACATCGATAACGGCCGAAAACGGTTCTTGGGACCCAAGATCAGTTGATAAATGGATTGATGATTTATTTGATAGCCATGAAGCAGTCTCTGAGCTTATTCAATTCTCCCGGGAAGATGCAAGAGATGTTGCAGCTGTCAGTTCCCCTAATTTGCCCACAATAATGCTCGATACTTACGTTGAATATATTAGAACCAATCGCTGGAGGAGGTGTCGCAAACCCTGGACAGAATACTGGCAGATTCAGACCTATCGTCCGCAAAACAGTACCGACCATAATGACCTTAAGAGAGTAACACAAAATAACATTACTTATTTGCTGTAGCTGTTACATAGTTACCACAATATGGCGATGGGAATAAAGCTATTCATTATTAGTGGGATGTATCAAACACTACCCTAACAGATAAATTCGCTTATTCTTCCAACTTTAGATTCATTCTTTCGTCGAATGCACAGTATCACCCGATTCATGTTTGGCTCGTAACATTTTGCATGCCAATGGATCAGGGTAAATAAAATGATCCATTCATCGATCCTCCTATACTACCAAATAAGAATAATTATGCGGTTATATGCCGCTTTGTTTCTGTGATTAGAGATGCAGGGATTTGATATAAACCCGTCTAAGAGGCTGTTGATAACTCCTGGGTCGAGTGTTTAGACCTACATCTACATACAACCGTTTGATGGGCCATTGAGACTGCGGTAATGAGAGATACGAATGGTTGACTGTCGGGACGCCTGGCTACTTAGATTATAACTTACGAAAGCAAAAATGTTCAGCAAGCATCGCAAGTCAAGGTAGGGAAGGAAAGGAGCATCTTTTATATCAAACGCCCGATGTATTTGGGTTCAAATAGCCAGGGTAGCTTCGGTCTCCTGGGGATCGTCACAACTGTGGCGACGGCGAGAGGGCTTGATGGTTCGAGATACCCCACTTCCTGATACGTTGGGAACCCGCAATTGCTGCTTTTGTTTTTGATCTGAACTCAACCACGACACTTGGCATGTTTCCATGTCATCAAGTATATTTAACCAAAAGAGTAAGAGCTTTTTCCATCCAGCAGAATACTAAACGAGCGCCTGTTCACAGTTCTAGACAATGGCTCGAAGGCTAGAAAAGGCCCTACAACCACCTGACTGAATAACAGAAATACGGCAACGAATGATTGGCTGCCAAAACTAAGGTATTTTTGGAATATGGCATCTACTGGACAATATTATTAATGTGAAGAGATTGCTGTTTTCAAGGGAAGCGTCTTGTCGATCACTATCCGCTCATGCTTCCTCCAGAGGACATATTTGGATATGACGGTTGGTATGTTATAATGCTTCCATGGCAAAGTGCTATGGAATCAGACAATCTCATCTTTTCTCCACATTATCGTGAGAAATTAGATCGATGCTACAAGCGATAGTATTACTTAATACAAGACCATTTTTTCAATTTCCATTGAGGAGCAGGATAAATAATTTTGTTAGTATTGTCATGACCAACCATGCCAAAAAAATAAAAATAAGATAGCGTGGAATGTAGAGCCGGGACGAAGGATTGAGCGGTTTGGAAAAGGACCTGCTATGCGGGGGGAAGCCTTCGTCGATGGGCGAAGCGAAACTGTGCGACGGCAAAGGCGATCATGCATGCGGATATAATCTGCTTTTTGGGAGTGGGGCCATTAATTATGCGGCGAGGTCGAGCTTGCAAGGTTGTAGGTGTGATACTTGGCGTGCGCAATCATAAATTTTACCGTTAGGTTAATCCACTACCGAGCTTGTGTTCAGGATGACATCGGAGACATTTCTCCGATCAATAAAAGAGTGGTTCTAGCTAGTAGTTATAGTGACTCGGAACTTGGAGCAAAATACTTTGTTCTACGTAGTGATGAACTGTAGGATTGTGGGTGTGAAGAGTAAGAAAGGGAGTATTTAGTCTATTGGTCCATCCAAGACATGCGGACAAAGAGCGTACACAGCAGTTTATGTTTCAAGGTTATAGACATTCAGGAAGAAAAACAGAAAGATAGGAAATCCCTACCAACAGGAAGTTTCAACAAAAGAGTTCAGTGTTATAAGATGGAGCGTAAAGTATAGCTCGAGATGAGAACTGAGAACCATTGAAAGGCAAGCAGTTCCCGCCAACTCGGTTGGCAGTCTTATCAGGGGGCAAAATGGAGACACAATCTGGATCTATCCCCTTTACCAGTTACTGAGTCCTTTACGTCGACGCCAATACAGGTTTGCTGAGGCCTTATGGGAGCGACAAGGTTTTGCTCCCTCTACGAGAGCCCTCTTCATCAAAATTCGATAATGACGACGAGCTTCATACGAGCTTGTCCTATAACAACCAGGAAATTCGAACACCAATCCAGCCACAATATCGAAAGACGCTCCTTTTGAGAAGAGCCAGCGAAACTTTTCAAAGTCGCCTTGCTCGTATGCTTCGCAACAGAGCCGATTAATACCGTCTGGAGCGTCTTTAAGAGAAGCACCGTGATCGATCAACAAACTTAAAAGCACTTTGTAATTTTGTGAACGAGCTGCATGCTCAATCATGCAGCCGGGAATGCGCCTCAAAAATACCTCAAGCTGGACCGGATCATCCGTCTGTGGAATCTTTCGATAGGCGCAGGATAAGATATGGGCTCGCGATATGCGATGACTTCTTGTGAATTGACAGTCCTTGTACCACACTTCCGAGGTATCTTTTTCGAGGGTCTGGACCTTTTGTAAAATGGGTACCAGGGCCGAACAGCCGAACAAAGACCATGTCATATGGCAAAGCGCACGGAAATGTAGGTAATCAGGAAGGGAAAGCGTCATTGCGATCGATTCCAAGATCTCCCGCGGTAGTTTACAGAAAGAAGACTTCCTCTTCTCTGTATGGCCCATTGAATTCAACATCTCCGGTGGTAGAGAAGACAAACAAGTCATGATTTAATCAAAAGGCCGATTTTTGGGTAATTTTTTGCAGAAAAGAGATGAGACGGGCGTTTAGGCCATAATTGAGGTCTTGGCTGTGGGGCCAGAGAAGAGAGTGTGAGTGTGTATCGGTCAAGCCGATTTCGAGAACGACTGTAGTCAGGATGACCAAATGATGACGCTTGTGAAGCAGGTTCCAGGCACGATGGGTGCTTGGAGAAAGAGAGTGACACCTCTCAAGTGACGACTGGCAGAGGAGAAACATGCCAGGTATACTGAGAGGAGAGCCGGGGGCGCCCAGAGGTGGGGGACAGATCATCAAAGAACCAGGCCTGGTCAGCTGCCAAAGATCCACCTCGGGTTCCATGGAAGTCCATGGAATTCCCATGAGAGCAGTGTATTATTACATGGATAGATACCGTCTCATACCAGGGGCATTTTACAACGTCCCTCTTGTGTAACATATGGTAGGTAGAATGCCAGATGGAATGGACAGAACGAACCGGATTCGCCTGAGAGGGGCCAACGTTGAATAGGAAAATCTTGCGGGCAAGCGGAGACTTTTAAGTAGCTGTTGAATGGATCGAAAGCTTAACCCCTTTGTTTTTGCCCAAATTGGATGTCAACTTCAAATCCCATGCATTTGCTCTCAGACCCTTCACGGTCCACAGCAATCCCATCTTGGTGTCCCAAAATCAACATCATATGGGTGCTGCAGCTGGACGCCAGCTGCTGACTGGTCCGTACCTCCGGTGTAAAGTGTGTGCTCGTCGGTGATTCGCCCAAACTGTGGGCTGACCAACAGCCACACAATTGTGACGACGGTCGGCGGTTACGGATTGGTTGATATGCCATGCCACTGGGATGTGCGATGTGATTTGCGCCAATGAACATTTGATCGATTGTAACATTTTGCATGCCAATGTATCAGCGTACATAGAATTATCCATTCATCTATCATTCTACAGTCGAAAACGGAAATGGCATTACCACAGGTGACAGCGTTGTTTTCTCTGGCCCGCCACCAAGGCCCTAGGAAAGATCGTTTATGTATCTACTTTGTGAATTTAACCCGCCATTCGATGGGGCGTCATGGTAGTTCAATAGTGCATCCTGACCCACTGTACGGTGCTCAGGTTTAATGTAATGGAATGTCTGGTTCGCTACATCCATACGACAGTTTTATGGGAGCGTAGAGTTAAATCTTCGGAGGCTAGTGCAAGAGGCTTAGGTTAGCACTGGTCACAAAAGTACAGTGAGATTATTCCCGACGTACTGGAACCCCGCTGCTCTCCGCTCGGAGTGACCCTCTTATCCTGCATCCGATGGCTATCGACATATAGCAAGTGCCCCTCTATGAGGGGGCACTCACTGCAGACGTTTCCCCCATTCTCGTTGTCGGGGGGTTTGGTTGAGATACTGCTGACTAGGACTCAATTCCTGGTACCGATCTATAGAAGCCGAGTTCTTGGGCAATTAGAACAACTGGAGTGGAGCTGGAGTGGAGCAAGAATCTAGCTGTGTCACATTCCGGACATTTCTTGCATTTTGTTCCACGGAATTGAAAGATCCTCGAGGTGGATTGCCGGACATGGCCGGAAGATCGTCGCGCTCGGGCCATTGACTACGAAGATCACGCTAGTAATTCTGCCCCTCTAGCTCGACCTGCGTAGGTCGGTGTAACCGATCCCCGCTTTCAGAGCTACAGCTCTCAATCACTAGAGACTACCATCCATGGTTCGACCACTGATGGCCCTTGGTCCGGTGAAGGTGTTCCAGCCAGACCGAGAGACGGCAGAGATGCCTCCCCGGTCTCCCCTTTGGTCAACGTGTTCTCTAGCCTCCGATTGACACTAGTATGCCTTACACTCCGATCCTCTCACTTATAGGAACAGTGACAATATGTCCGGGGATATGGGATATGAACATATAAGCGATGTTTCACGAGAGCTTCCCTGTCTAAGCTAGTTTCCCCATTTTCTTGGCCATAGGGTTCGGCTTCAATCAACGAACAGCTTAGTTTTAGTCTGATCTCGGAGTGTGCTACGTTTACTTTAGGATGAGAAACCCGAATCATGCACAGCTTGTCTGCAGAGCATTAACCTGTTGGTAGATACTGGCGCACATGTACTTCGAATTGATTGCGGTTTAAAAGTAATAATATTAGGGATAGCAACAGGCTGCTTGCCACTCACTGTCAACTCATACCGTCAGGCATCGTTCCGTATGTGTCAAATTCAGAGAGGTTTTGAGGGTTCGATGCATCAAACAGTGGCCCCGTACTCTCCGGTAGAAGCGGATTCTCCGCCATGGTAAATTGGCCAGTCTGCGCGGTCCACGAGTCCTGAGCCACGTCCGGCCCGGGCAAGCACGTACCGAAGTACACGTACTGAGACTCTTGGGACTCGTTCATCTTCGAAGTAATCTTGTCTGTGACCGATGATGAGACGCTATGCAGTTCCTTCAACGTCATATGGAATTCGTCCCGCGTGATGTGATTCTGGCAATCCGAACTAACGGTATCCAAGCGTTGTTGCAAGGCCGAGTTTTGCTCTCGTAGTTTTCGCACTTCCTCAACAGCCTTTTGTTTTTCCAAGGTGGTTTGGCGGACCCTTGCGTTCAGCTGCGCCCGTTCGGCGCGAAACCGCTGCTCGGCTTCGGAAGCTTCCTGCTGCTGCTCAGTGAGGCGAGCCATCAGCCGATGATGCCGTTCTTCGGCCGACTTGATCATCTTGGTGCAGTTCTCATGGACGATCTCAAAGTCTGTGGGCATCTCCTTCCTTAATGTCATTTTCGGAGGCGGCGTGGCTGGACCCTACGTACCAGCAACAAAATTAGTTATTTCCGCCTCACACCCTGCCTGTCATTAGGCAAGGCTTACCGTCGATCGTATCTGAGCACCCTTAGACACATAATGGGGCGCTTGGTCGACACCGGTGCGCAAAGTTCGAAGTGCTCGCGTGGAGGTCTGGCCGCCAGCCGCCGACCTTCGAACAACCCGAGCCGGAGCGGGCACTGCGGGGACCCTCGGCATAGTGGATAGTAATGCAAAAGGCGGGTGAAAGACAGAACAGAAATTTCCTGAGCAAAGAGCAAGGGAATATCAGAGCATTGCCGTTATAAGCGACGATTAGGAGAGGGCAAACTGGGGTTTAAATCTGGTTGGCTTAAAACTGTTGCTCAAAACTAAAGCTTCGCTTAATAGCGCAACCGCTATTCCATTATCTACGTCGGTCTTGAGATTTTTAATCAAATGAAGGTCGGGTTTTAGTCTAGGTAGTTCCGCGAGAAGCTGTCTTGTCGGGCTCTAATCGTGGGTTTAGACGGAGTGGCTACTTCGCAAAGAAAAATCTAGTACTTGAAATCAGCTCAAAAATTATGCGCCTTGTTTTAAAATATTTCTAGACTCACAAATTGCTAATTCCACATATTGGGGAGCAAATCTTCCCACGATCGGAAGCTTTTTGGCTCGCCGAATCAACGTGATATGATGCTGAAAATTTATTGCGTGACTCAAGACAGACATAGACAATACAGCATTGAATTGGCAAGTCCTCGATTATGCTAATTTACCACTTCAACTCACCAAGGAGAATTCAGAAGGAGGGTGAGCACAGTTTTGAGCACAGTTTTGAGCACAGTTTTGAGCACAGTTTTGAGCACAGTTTTGAGCACAGTTTTGAGCACAGTTTTGAGCACAGTTTTGAGCACAGTTTTGAGCACAGTTTTGAGCACAGTTTTGAGCACGGTTTTGAGCACGGTTTTGAGCACGGTTTTGAGCACGGTTTTGAGCACGGTTTTGAGCACGGTTTTGAGCACCTCCCAAACAACAAAAGAATATTTTGCCGCATTCATTCATTCTATCCATACTTCATTGAATGGTTGCCACCCTATTCGAAATCAGATTCCCGCGCGTCCGCTCAAGAATTAATTCTCCAAAACCGCGCTAGTCGATATTAATATTAGCTGCAGTTAGGTTCTCGTAAGACGGTGAAACGTATTTGTGGATAATGTCACATGATCGTTTTTTTTGTAATGTACAGTGGCACCGCAAAAGTTTCCGACCACCATTTGCTGATGTAATATTCTGCCCGCCAAAATTATTTCCGGTTTTCTATCATTTTCCCTTGCTTTTTGCGGTGGAATTATCGGTAAATCATTGTATATGACTTCTAGAACAACTGAATGTAAAAACATTACGGTTTCACCTTTCCAATGTCTGTGATTTGTGAAAAAACAACTTCTAGGAAAGGCGGTGTAAAGCGGCGGTCAAGGGGAGGTTGGAGACTTTTGCGCCGCCACTGTACTTGAGATAAAATACATTGCTCCATGTCTGGCATTGTCCGATCATTAAATAAAAGGGCTCCTTTCTACGGTTAGAAGGTAAAGTGTCGCTGCGTGGCCACTACTAATTTTGATAATAGACAGGAAACCTCCGTAGCATAAACCTCTGTGGATATATCAGGAATATGAGATCGAGAAGATTAGCTCCCCTGACCAACCTCGCGGTCACCTGATTGCGGGGTAAACTTCCAAGTTAGTGGCGCCAACTCTGGTACCACCAACCATCGACTCGATTCGGGGACTATTATGGCAACTAACCCCCATCCCGGTGACATGAAATGCCCTATGTGGTGAAACGCCCACCAGGTACCTGCACATTCGACCCCCGTCATTCCCAATCAACATCATTAATATTTCCTTGAAGCTGCTGGAACAATAATCATTGAATGCTTTTGTGATTGCTTCTATCAAACGCGGATTACAAAATGTTAGCGGGGCGAATTACAGACCGACACGGACTGACAGAAAATCCGCTGTTTACTACTATTACGCCAAGATCATCAACCAAACGACCTGAGATGGGTAGAAACGAAAGGATTGCATCCTTTAGTTTATCTTTTTCCCAAATCTGGTTTCTTACCTTATCGTAATCATATTGCCTTGGAGCATATCAATTTTAGTGAAAGTCTTGGCGTCAGAAAGGTACAAGAAATAAAGGCCCTGATGAGGCTAATACACAGGTAAAAAACGAACATGTAACGTGTTGTATGAAAGACACTAGCGCCCGCTAAGCGGAAGAGCCCCACCAACGTGTCCACGGGTAGGAGATAGCCTGCTAACTTACAAGGGAACGTGAGTCTAGTGGAAGAAAGTTCAGGACCGCATCTGTGAAGGGCTAAAGCCGATTTGATTCAATCTAACTAGGCCACGAACTGTTTACAACAATCTTGGGGAAAGGAAGGGAAAGGGGGCGTTCGTGCATGGCTACGACAATATGATACCGCATATGGAAGCTAGTGTGGGTCCGATGAGGAAGCAGGCAAAAGCAAGATGAAGGCCATGGTCACATGGCCACTCTCGGGCAACAGCCTGTTACAGCATCGACCTCTAAGGATAAAAAGTAACGACCGAAATGCAGGAAGAATAGACATCAGATCCATATACATGCTGCCTTTACGATACGTTGTATGGGTACAGGTCTAGAATTGAAATCCATCTCTACATTTTCTGCACCTAGAGTTATTGCTATATCGCTCAGTAGGGACCGTATACACTATCAAATCCAAGTTCCTCGCAAATAACTTATCTATAGAGAAAAAATGCTTCATCGCCATCCAGTGCCACTCTTATCCTTTTCGAAGGAGCGAACCTTAAGTGGAACGGCTTGGCGCTAATAGGTAGTCATACCTTGACATCACGTGCTATAGTTCGAAACAGATTTAGTTTAGCTTAGGCCTAGTCACTCTCGAGTTAGCTTCCCAGAGAGGAAGGATTATGTGAGCCTGCCTTTAAGGCGATCCGCAGAAATTTCGGTTCTTCATTTTCCTGTCCCTTGGGGGGACCCCGTAGACCCCGAACTCCACGTGACGAATGACTCAAGGTAGCATGGTGTGGGGTTCATCCAAAATCCACAAAATCCACCGTTTAACTCAAGATCTCGTCAAACGGTGTTGGTGAAAACTGCTAAATAGTGAAACCTAACTTAACAAATGCACCTAAGTTTGCTCAAACATTGATCCTGTTCATGTCCACCCTATCAACGTCCACGTTATCCCTATTTTCTTTTGCTTAACTGAGATTATTCGTTTTTCCACTTGTTTTCAATAGGTAGAGGCTGCTATTAAAGGTTGATTCTGAAAGCTTTAGCTTATGCTCAGGCTTAGTCTAGAGGCTGTTGATAAAAAGTCATACTTGTCCTTGTTTCATCACTAAATTATACGCAACCAACTATGCCTAATCAACAGTGTTCAAATCGTTACCTATTCTTCAACGATCACACCCGCGAGGTATTTGGGCAAATCAGGGATACTGACTGCATCACCATTATTAGCGGAATTCGCGGAAATGAACTATGATTGTTGAACACGCGACAGTTAAGTTAGTCTGGTAGATCCATCCACAGTGATCAAGAAAACCATAAGTCAGGTAATTTCACCAGCTTCAAATTTCGTTGAGGGTGTTAACATTACACATGAAGACTCTCTAGCTTTTAGCCTTCTCAAGATTTTGACAGAATTCACCGATTCTGACCGGTGGAAGATGTTTCAAGATAATCTCAATTAAGCTAGAGGTGAAAACAGTCTCAATATATATCTAAAATACAGTAACATGTCCTGGAATCCCCTTTCTTGCTCCAAACCGTATAAGTTGCGGTATATAGCCCAATACCTTCTCACGATCCGACAATTTCCATGACCCAATTTGAAGCAGTAGACACCTTGCAGTAAGCATACTGCGCTCAAAGTTGGCCCGATATCTCCCGCCAATCAACTCCAGAGGCGGGCATCTTATGCAACCCGGTCGAGATCGACGGGGATTCTCGCATCAACGTTGTGGCGCCGGGCCAATAACAAGCCTTCAGTTGCCGATAAGGCCGCCAAACAGCAGTACCTCACCCCTCAAGAGGAGCAAGCGCTGGTAGAATATGTGTTGCGGTTGGCGAATAACGGCTATCCGCTTCCAGTCAAGTTTCTACGATCGCTCGCTCTGGTCATCGCGCGCCAACAATCCTCGATTTTCCAGGTTATAGATCCCGGCCTCGAGATTCGGCCTCCGGGAAAGGAATTCAAGGAAAAATTTCCCGAGAATCGCAAGGCAACTAGCCATTAACATTCCTGAGATTACCCCAGTCCTTCAGGAAATAGTCCGCGAGAACCCTGATATCATAACAAAGACAATGCGGGAACAGTTCGAAAAACTCCTTCTTTAGCCACTAAACAGCCTCGAGCGATCTAAAATCCCTACACAGGCCATAGTGGTGGTGATTGACGCATTAGATGAATATGATGGAGATGGTGACATTCGGCTAATACTCCAACTTCTCCCCTAGCTATAAAGTCAAGGGGCTGTACGTCTACGAGTTCTTTTAACTAGTAGACCTGATTTACCGATTCATATAGGATTTTCAAAGATTGCGGACGATGACCGTAAGGACTTTGTTCTCGATGATAAACCTCCTGAAGTCATTGGGCATGACATATTGCTATTGTTTGATTACCGATTAACAGGGATTAGAACAGAACGCATCCTACTATCAGACTGGCCCGGCGACGAAGGTCTGCAAAAGCTAGTGGTATTATCTCTTCCGTTATTTATTTTCACTGGGACCCGATAGAAAGTCTCACTAAGATTTAGCACGCCAGAACGACTAATCTAAGCTAGATAGGACGTATCTTCCTGTTCTTGATCGTCTTCTCGGCAGACAACACAAGTAACATAGAGGAAAACTAGTTTCCGAGTTCCAGTAAGTAATCGGAGCTATCGTAACACTAGAGAGTCTACTCTCGGTTCCCTCACTTGCAAAGCTTCGGGACCTTCTAGAGCGGCTTGTTCGCCTTCGACTAGACCCACTATACTCGGTGCTAAGAGGGCTAGATAACGAAACGGTGCCCGTGCGGCTTTTTCACTCGTTATTTCGAGACTTTCTTCTTGATCCAGAGACCCGGAAAAATACTCCTTTGAGGATAAACGAGACAAAGCACTATATATCATATTATCCGAGTTGGCGCATTGCACAAGATGGTATACCTAGTATCGACAAGCGTACTTTAGCTCCGGAGGAAGGTTGCTATCGACAGTCTGAGGATCAGTTGGAAAATAGTACAGCAGTACGTGGCCTCGACTGTTGCACTCATCGGTGAGGTCCTGAGACAGCCTGCGATCGGGGATATCCTCCAGCACGTCCAAGACGCGGCCAAGTGCACACAGAACATTCAAAAAGACATTACGATTATCAAGAACTCTGTCGGACTAAGCATGACTCCGATAAATGCGGCCAATTTCAGTGGTGGACCTACAGTGTGGCATTCATGACACTAAGTATGGCAATACTACGTATTGCTGTACACTCATTTGGTTTTCTTGCATGAATGAACAACATAGTGTTTCTAACACATTGAATCAGAAAAGGTCGCTCTGCCAAGACGGGATATGTGATCCGATTCAAAAATGCATAGTCGGCGGAAGCGGGCCGAACAATATCGAAACAACACGAAACTAGTCAGTCCCACTGCCGCTCGTTCTAGGTGCGGAAACCTAAACCACCATGTGTGCCCGGCCCACGCAGCCTCGAAGATCGGTGTGGGGCGACCCCAGGACCGGATATTGCCGTAACCAAAATGCACACCAGCCAGTCCCAAAAGCGTTAGTCCATGCTGAGGGCGATGACGAAAGAGGCGCCCGAGAATTCAACAAGCATCGTCATCCATCAGGCTTCAGCCACCGCGCTATCTAAACTACTCCTATACATAAACACCTAGGTGCTGCTTTAGGTACTAACCTATTCTTCCCATTCTTACCATCCTTCATGACATCGCCCATGCTTCAAAACATTCCGCCAAAAGCAGGTGTCCAATATGGCACTCATTCAGATATCCCTGATTTGGGCCGTGTATGCGCTTGTGGTAGCTATGTTGCTTGCAGTGGCTTCTGTGTTTGTTCATATTTACCAAACTCCTCGGGATCGTTATCCATCTGTGACTTTTACATGCGTCATCGCGATCACCAGTCTTCTTGCGACGGTGCTTGTTCTGCCGGTGGATGTGGCGCTTGTTTCATCGACAACCTCGTCCAAGCTTGGCCAGCGGAAAGACTGGGCTACACAGGATGAGGTTGACAAAATAACCTCCTCCTTGACAGTCGTGTATTATTTCCTGTATTCGTTGGATGCAGTGCTTTGTCTCCTGGGAATCCCATTTGCATATTTCTGGTATGATGGATATGATGAGGTGGCGACAGAAACAGGTCAGCAAACGGTTGGGCAGCGGCTTTGGGGGGCCCTCAAGTACACCATGTCATTCGTTACTATTGCGATTATCCTGTTCGTTGTCGGATTTTTCGTCCCAGTGTCGAGGAACAAGAATGGCATGGAGCTGGATTACTTCAAGAAACTATTGACTGAGAATCGTGAGCATTCGCAACCTCCCTTAGGATTCTTGGGGCCGCGAAGCTGATACAAATTGATGCAGATGGGGAACGTGCTCTGACTTTTGCCCTTGGGGTGCTGATGACCATCGGAATCTGCCTCTATGTCCTATATACCTCCGCGGGTCTCGCTCTCTTCCCAATCAGCTTGATCAAGACCGCCCCATCAATCTCCAACCCGCGCTTGCGAGCCAGTACGGCAGTACAGCTCGAGACAAATCGTGAGCGGCAACGTCAGTTGGAAGGACGTTGCGGAGGGAACCCCGATATCCTATCGTCCAATGATCGCAGGGAGCTCGATACTCTTGCACGGGAGGAGAGGACGCTTATTCAGCGACAACGCCTGGTAGAAGAAGCTCAGGGCGAAGGTTGGAGCTGCTTGGTGAGGGTATGGTTCAAGATCGAAGCGATTTGCCGTCCCTTTAAGCTTCTGGGTGGCATTCTACTACTTTTGGTCGCGTCCATTACATGGGTATCTATGCTTTTGACTTCAGTTGACAAAGCAAAAAACTCGATCTGCAAGATCCTTTGTGGATATATCCTCGGACACGTCAATTTTTTCAATCCCGTTAACTGGGCTCTTGTCCAATCTGCCAACATCTTTCCCGTTGACTATGCTATTTTCACCGTGCTTGTGCTTTTTTTCTTCTGCAGTTCTATTGCCGGGATTGCTGCAGTGGGAATCCGCTTCTTGTGGATCAGAATCTTCCAAATCCGACAGGGGCACACGTCTCCCCAGGATCTACTCCTAGCGACCGCTATGTTGATGCTGATCATCTTAGCGTTGAATTATTCAATTTCGATGGTAGTTGCTCCGCAGTACGCAACATTCGGGCCACAAACTTTCTGTGATCATGCTCCTGGGCCGCCGCTGGACCAGCCGGACTGCTCAAACAATAAAGATATTATCAGACCGTGCTCGGAACTGGCAGACAGCCCCGCAGCACAGCGAGTCTGCACACCCAGTATTGGCAGCACCTTCCTTAATCGCGTCACGCTGAATGTTCCTTTCTTCGGCGCCGTGTTCTTTTGGGCCCAATTCCTCTTTCTCGGTAGGGAATCTTTTCCTTTAAGAGTAGCCCTGTCCTAGTCAAATGGTTCTCGAGCTAACGATGTATCAATAAAATAGGCTTTTCTCTTGTCACCTTTCTCACGTCTCTGTTACGCGCCCCGAACTTGGGCGAGAGGCAGTTCGACGAAGATGCCGAGGAGCATGAGGAGGAAGGATTATTGGCTAGCACTAGAAGACGGTTTAATGCCAACTGGCAGGACATCACTGGGAGGGCAAGCGGGAATGGCTCTGATGGCTGACCCGACACACCGTTCATATTCCAAAGGATTCATGTCATTGCAAAGAGGGAATTAACTATCTAGTAAACTCGCAGACGCCGCAGAGCATTTATCTATGAGCGAATCCCAGGAGCGGTAAGTCAGTCCTGTTAATCAAGGGCCTCTACTTCAGAATCGACCGATTCAGGAACAATCACATAGTTAAGAACATGCGGCTGCGAAACATCCAGGCACTCAGTAATACAAGAGAAAAGGAAAAAGGACACGCTCCCTACCTCTTAACGACAAAGTTGCGTATTACGTAGACTTAACAGTCTGCATGAATAAGCATGCCCTGCCATACAAACTTAGTGACGAACACCGAGAAAATATATCGCCCTGATTTCTTTACTTATGGACGAATATATCGGTCAGTGACTGTCTCAGTTTGTGTTTGAATAAACAGAGATCGCCTTGATGACAGGTCGCCTAGTATTCTCAAAATCAAAGACCTGAGCATGATCCAACTGTTCGTACCACAGCAGCTCAAGCCCGTATCCCACCCAGGGCCTGTTTTTCCATGTTCGGACTGGTTCTTTGTCAATTGTCCAGCCTTCAGCTGTTGAACCCATCAAGTACCGCCCCACCGTTTCGGCATCCACAATCAAATCCTTACCACTTAAAACCACTGTAACATTTCTACCCTCCTGTTGTTTTTCTCTGACCTTTATCCGGAGGTCCTCCTTCCAAATGATGTTGTCAACCCAGGAAAACCTCTTTGCCAATGTATGCGCAACTCCTATGTCTTTACTTCCGAAATACCACAGTTGGTATTCATTGGCTCGTGCTGGCTGGCGGGCTATGAAGTTGTATGCCACGTCTGGCAGGTGGAGGAGAAACGAGACCGGATCAATAAAGACCGTAGGCCCAATCAGCGGAGCAGAACGATTGGACTTAAGGAGGTGTGCAGCGATTATGGAACCATAAGAATGAGACACAAGCACGAATCTGCTCCACCCATGATACCGGACGATCTCCATGATCTCACCCACCATCACATCCTTTGCCAGAGCCGGATGAGTTATCCGAGAGCTTACTGGCATGATCTCAAGTGCAATGATGCCAACTTCACTATCGTTGGTGGCCCCAGTCCCTAGCTCCCTGTTGAGATCTCGGAGGAAGGTCGTGTAAGGGTACAGCCCAATTCCGATACCATGTATGAATAGTACGGGTAGCCGTTTCTTGGATGTATGCCGTCGATGCCAGTATGTGAGATGCCGCGCCGGTGATAGGTAGGCCGTGAATATCGTGAGAGGGCGACATGGGAAGACGGTAAAGAATTGCAAGAGCGAGCTTCGATGGAAGTGGAATCCATGGCACAACATCTTGAAATACATTATTGTGTCAACCACAAAGACACACTAGGTGAATTGATTCTCAGCCTGATAGGGTTCCATCACATAGAGTAAAGAGAGAGAGAGAGAGAGAGAGAGAACTAACAGTGTACCACAGCAGACTACGATGTGAACCGCCTGCTTCATTTAGAAGTTGTCCTAGGCTTTTCACATCCATCCTTCCCGGTGACAGTTTTCGTCCAATCATCTTCTCAATTTCTGTGGTATAGGTCTCAATTTCCTGCTCATTCCGCTGGTCCTGCTCCCACGTATGTCCTGGTCCAAAGAATGCCCATCTGATAAAGTCTTTCACGTTATCACGCTTGATGTATTCACCTTCGGAGACCATCAGCCACCGGCTGATATATTTCTCTGGATTTGGCACGTTCGTATGGCAATTCCTAAACAATATCTCTCTGCACTCTGGAGATATAGATCCATGGTAGATAGGAGACTGGCGAAAAGCGTATTTGAGTGGTATAAAAACAATTGCGAAGAAGACTGCCTCTGCAGTGAGCCAGAATTGGATAGGGTAGGGTATGCGTTTGAGATAAATTGGCAGATGAAAGAATTGGATGAGGAATAATTGAATGCAATATAGAGTGCTAATAGGTGCAATGTTGTGAAGGAATAGGATGCAAGCCCGAATAAAGAAGTACTCCGCGGGAGATGTTCCGATCATGGTGACCTTTTTGAGTGGAATAAGTCATAGGAATACAGTGAACGTATAGGGTAAATATAAGTTTGATTGTTGGATTACGTATAGCTTCCCAACAAACTTCTTTTGGCATTCAGAACCTCTGTTGAATCTACCAAACAGAAGCATAGTGACATGTGCTGGCATGTGATTACATGCATGTGATGTAATGAATGTGGGTATTTAGGATATTCCGGAGTTTGTATTTAGATTTCATTCGACAGCTGAAAAGTTGTATTGTGGGGTTACAACGAAATTTTCTCGCACTTGTGCAACGAAATGTCAGTATCAATTACCCGTACTTTCCAAGATATACGGAGGACAGAGACTGGGCATAGTGCAAAAAGCTGGAAATACTACGCAGAATTGCTTTGCGCTAGGCTTCGAATCTCAGTGCCGTTTGTTTTTCGAGATTAACTCTTCACTGCGTATTGTAGGAACATATTGTATTAGAGCGTAAAACAAATTCTGTGCATGTAGCTAGCGTTATCTCGTGTAAACTCGGGGCCGCATGACAGCAGGAAAGGAAATAGTCGTTGGGCTGATCTATGGTTCGGTTACTCCTGTATTGGGAGTGTTGCACGCTAGTTATCTTAATTCAGCGAACGAGGAAAGTTTGAAAGTAGCGAAGTTCTATTGATCAGCTGATTGGCATTTGTGCCACTGTCTGTCAATGAGGTCATTACTTCATTGTGGTAACTGCGGATGACAAATCCCATTCTCTACGAGAAATCAAAGCTGCAAATAGGTCTGTCGCTAATTTTTAAATCTGATTCTGCCTGGAGCCGACTGCAACAGGCGTCATAGTGCGGGTATTCAGATAATTGTGCTTCGATTGACTGCCACTTCAGTACCTGACAAACAACTATGCCTACCACCCGTGAGATTGAGCGAATGTCGGCTGATCTTCCCAAAGAAGATACATATATCGTTACCAATGTCATCACGGTTGATGTACCTCTGGATTTTGTCTGGGAGAACTTGCCCAAAAATCTCGATTTCAGTCAAGTGATGCAGCCTTACGGCTGGTTGCCCGGCGCATGGACATGGGAGACATCCGAGAACTTCAACGAAACGGGCTCCAGTATCACATATACCATGACGGACAACAGTACGGTCGAGGAGACCATCATCAAGCGTGATACGGCCTCTCGTCACTATGTCTATGCCTGCTTGCCGCCGATACCGGGTTTCGATTTCTGGCAGGGTAACTTGTTCTATAAAGATGCCGGAAATGGAAAGACGACTGTGATTTGGCGGTATTGGCTGAAGCCAAAAGACAATTTTCTCAGCAAGATCGTCGTTGCACGCCTTTTAAAGCTCTTTATTTGGAAAGGGTATACTGTTAAGGCTGCTTCGGGTATGAAGTCTGAAATCGAGAGATTATATATCCACCAGAAAGGGTGAATGGCTTTGATTTTGATTATTCGTTAGGGACTATCATGTTCACTCGGTCTTACATGGTAAGCGTGGCATCGCACTCGAACCTAACATTGTGGCCTACTCTGATAGACGTCACTTTTCCAAGGGAGATGCCCATAGAGGAGGACGAAGTCTTCCTGCGTCGTCCTGCGATTCCAAGCTTGGCAGCCCACAACGAGGGTTCTTTCGACGATATCGAACAGGCCAATTAGGCTTAAATACTCAGCAGGAGGGGCTCGTTAGGATTTATGGACAGCTATGATGGAAAAAAATGAGTACAAACTGCCTGAGACTTGGTTTGTTAAGGGGAAACTTCTTCGGGTAGTACATGCCCTTTCTGGACATTTGCTCTCTCTAGGCTCATCAGAATGTGGAGCAGGAAGCGACCACTCCACAGCTCTTTCCGCTCACTGTTAATAGAACTGTTTCAAGGCTGTCGATTTACTGCGGTGGCATTGCTCGTCTATTCATCCTTCTGTAAACCTGAACACGAACCCAAGTGATGTGGAAAGGGTCCTCGTTTCGAGCACACCTGGATTGATGGCGTGGAGTCTCTTGAGAAATACAAACTGAGCGAGGTATTATCTCACTATGAATAAGGATATGCTACAGGCCATTATCGCGTCGTCGATAAACTGGGTTATCAGGGCTATTCGACTCTCTGGCTTGCCCAGGACACTCGCACGAGCATCACAGCTGGCCAGCTGGCCAGCTGGCCCTTGATAAACACCATTTCAAGTTTGTAAAAATTGATAGAACAGATCGTATTAGAGCATTAAATCGATCCTTCTGCATGTAGCTAGCCTTTATATGTAAACTTGGGATCGGGTGACAGCAGGAAAGGATATGGGTGTCGCATGTTGCAGCTGAAGCGACTTGGCTGATTTATGCTTCGATAATCCTATATCGGGAGTGTTGAACGCTAGTATCAAACTGAGCTCGAGGATGCATACCGATAGTCTGTCGCTTATACATGCGAGTGACTCTGACTCCACCAACGGCCATGAATTAAAGGTGTATGCTCAGATGCAGGGGAAGGTGCGTGCGCAGAGGATGGGACAAGATCCGGGTTCTGGTTCGGAGGTGTATCAGACGTCTCTAAATGCCCGCTTACGACAGGTTCATTTGCGGCCGTGTCGAGATGGACCTCGATCCCTTGATGACGGCCTATTCCGCCATGAGAACTGTGGGTGGACTCGCCGCCGTGCCATTCGACTGGAGCCCATCCAGCCACACTGCCAGCAACAACGCCGGCCATGGCGGCCGCAGGGCCGAATTCCGGGCTGGATCGAGCCTGTGGAAACGCAAGCTCAGAGTTCGAGCTGCCACTCTCGCTATTGTCTCCAACCGCAGTGAGCAACGGGGAGGACTCTCTGGAGAATGAACTGCCGTGGGACAGAGGGAGCAAATCTTGAGGGTGCTGGAGTTTGTGTTTTACATGCCTCAGTCGCCCTCCCCGGACCTTCTTCATAAACGCTAGCTGGTCACGAATCTCTTCCAGTGCTGGATCCCGTTCGTAGTGGTGGCATTCTCGGGATATGCCCAGTTCAGTACCCTTCTTGCGGGACCAGAACCATGCAATAAGCTCGTGGACGAGTTCATCCGGGATCAGGCGAATAATTACTGCCACCAGCACTGAAAGAGCCCCAAGTACCAGGCTCACTGCCCACTGCGAGACCTGGTGGAGAGGGTGCACAGAAAAGGCTGCCCCGCCAAAGAAGATGATCAAGATCTGGCCACCAATGATGGTAAGCTGAATGCCTATGAACCATTTGTTGTTGCAGATGCCCTCCATAATATTTAGACGGTTGTCAACACGGCGCGAACTGCAGGGACCAGTCAGTAAATGACTGAATGAATCGACCAGTAAGGGAACCCCGGTACTTGCTTGTACTGGTTGAATATCTGCATGAAGACGAACGTATTGAATATCACTGTCTGCATATGTCCGTTATCCCACTTTGGGAAAATGTATTGGCCTTCAAAGTTTAGAATCAGCGTCACAAATAGTTGATAGACAGCCTGTCCAATGATCATCTTCCACATCGTCAAGGTGATTAGCGGCGCGGACTTTGGATCGGGTCTGCGTTCGAGAACGTATGGCGAAGGTGCATCCGTCGCTACTGTAGTATTAGTAATCACATCAAAATAACTATCCAAGCATGCAGTGAAAATACCTAGTGCAAGAGCGGCGAAGGTGTCCATAATGAGGTTGACCCACAACAGCTGAACTGCGCTAAGTACAGAATCCTCATCATTGCTGGCGACAGCTGAAACAAAGGTGAGGACAACAGCCGTGACGTTGACAGTTATTTGGAACTTAATGGAAATGAGTTCCTGGTCTTGGAGCGATATACGATGATCCTACCTGAAGGAACTTTTTGACTGCGTCGTTCACCGTGCGACCCCATGCTATGGCCTTGACAATTGAAGCGAAATTGTCGTCCATCAGGATAATATCTGACGCCTCCTTCGCGACCTCGGTGCCTGTCACACCCATCGCGAAGCCAACATCGGCAGTCTTGAGTGCTTGTGCATCATTGGTCCCATCCCCAGTCACGGCGACAGTCTCCCCAAGCTTTTTGAGCTGGCTGACTAAAACCCTCTTGTCGCCTGGACTTGACCGAGCGACGATCTGCAGTCTTGGAATGAGCTGGTTCATCTGGCGATGGCTCAACTGGCGAAATTGGGAGCCTTCGATAGCGACACCATCAGGTGTATAGATGCCGCATTGCCGGGCGATGGCTTTGGCCGTGACGATGTTGTCGCCGGTGACCATCCTGACAAAAACACCGGCGCGTTGGCATTGGTGGACCGCATCAGCGACTCCTTGCCTGACGGGATCCTGTATACCGAAGATGCCTAGCATCGTCATGTCCTTGAATATTGACTCAAAGACTGCCATCCTGTCATCATTTTCGTCAGTTGTTGCCCCTTTAGGCGGCCATTGCTCGAAGTCGCGATCCGCAAGAGCGATGCATCTCAGGGAGCGAGACGCGTAGTTAGTGATAATGGTGTCCAGCCTAGTCCGTTTGTCGTCAGACAGCGGTGCTTCCACCAGATCATTAGTTACATCCTGCACGATCTGCGTTGACTGGCGAACTAAAATCTCCGCAGCACCTTTAACTAACATCCGAAAGTTCCCGTTATCCAACCGAATAACCACCGCCATGCATTTACGGTTCGAGTCGAAAGGGAACATTTGCACGATATTTGCGTTTGCTCTCTCCTCACTCACTGACCCAAGCCCGAGTTGCTCTCTCGCGAATGACAGCAAAGCCGTCTCCGTCTTGGATCCGATAAATGTCATCACTCCGTCTCGGTCGCCCTCGAACGCTGTCGAGTTAAGCACAATCGACTGGAGTAGGTGGCTTTTTATCAACGGCGAAAGCGTGGACGCAAAACCTGGGGGTGAAATAATCACCGGTCCTAGTCCACTAGCCGCATGGTTTGAAGGCACTAAGTCACCAAATCGCGGTGTGGTGCCAAGAGTCGCAGCCACAACACTCATCTTATTCTCGGTGAGCGTTCCGGTCTTGTCAGAGCAAATGGTCGTGGCGTTGCCCATGGTCTCACATGCTCGGAGCAAGCGCACGAGGTTGTTGTCTTGCAACATTCTTGTTGTTGCAAAGGCGAGCGCGACCGTCACCGCCAGTGGCAGCCCCTCGGGCACAGCAACCACGACGATGGTGACGGCCACAATGAAGATCCGCAGAAAGGCCTGGACCTTGGCATCCGCCCCGCCCTCAATACTCTTGAGCCGGATCAGAAACTTGATGAAAAGCGCCACGAACAGTAGCAGGCCCGACGCCAGGCCGACCTTCGCGATGTAATCCGCCAGCACGTTCAGCTTAGTTTGCAACGGGGTAGTCTCTCCCTCATCCTGAAGAGACATCATCGTCCGGCCATATGTCGTGTGGAAACCGGTGGCAGTGACCAAGAAAGTCCCCAGGCCCTCTTCAACCTTGGCGCCCGATATGATGAACGGATCCAGATTTTTCAGGTCTTTGTTCTGTTCAACTGCCCGGTAGGCTTCGTCGCCGGAAGTTTTCCGAAGGAGGACTGACTCGCCTGTTACTGAAGACTCGTCACATTTGACGTTATGTCCATCGATCAAAATCCCATCGGCGGGGATCATATCGCCTGGTTCCAGGTATATCACCTCGCCGACCATAATATCGTAGATCGAGACTTCCGTCATCTTGCCTGATCGGATGACCTTGACATCTCGATCATCTTTCTTCCTGTTGAGTTTGGCGAATTGCCGTTCCTTCTGCCAATCATTCGCAGCACCAACAGTGACGACCACAATGATGGCAACAATGATTGCGGCGCCCTCTACCCATTCCACGCCCGTTGCTCGCACGGATTGGGGAATTCCTACCGCGAGTGAGACAACGGCAGCGACAGATAGGAGAATTAACACCTTATCATTGTACGCAATCCACAAGAGCTCCCAAATTGATTTGAGCTTCCTCTCGGGGAGCTTGTTGATTCCAAATACCCGCCGTCGATCCGAAAATTGGCCCTGTGACTGCTTTATTGACGATTCGTCCGTGGTGATAGCAGACGGTAGCACCGATGGGGAGGTTGATTTGGGCAGTGACACGAAAGTCCGTGAAACTTTGTCAAAACTCACCAACCCGTCCAACTCGGTCTCATCCATGCTCAAGCCGCTTTGCAGGTCGGTCCGTAGACCTTGTTCCAGCCCGCACAGTCCGCCAAGAGCGCCGAAAGCGCCGAAATTCCTAGGGTTCAGGAGTTTGTTTAGTTGACCGGGCGAGAAGGCAAACTTGTTGTTCTCCACTTCAAACTCATGTTCCCGGCCGGGTTCCGGTTTGAGATTATCTTCATCATCACCATCACCATGGTCATCCCTAACTAGCAATCTATGAGACGAAGTGGGCACGCAGGTGTCCCTGCCATAATTACTTGATGTTTGAGCGCTACTTGCTGGTCCTACTAACTTGCCACGACGGGCCGGAAGGGGCACGGACAGCAGGTGGGAACGGGGCGAGGTGACATCGATTTTTGGCGAGAGGGGAGTTTGCGGCGAAGTCATACAGCTCTGTCGGTCCTGGCCTTCGCAAGTGGATGCCGGCGATGGCATGTCCGTGGGCGACAAACCACTGGAATTGTGTACGACTATGCTGGGTTCAGCGACTTCAGCATTTTCCATCGGCTGTTGGAGCGAGTTTTGCGGAGGACCTGTGAGAACTTGGACTGGCGTGTGAATGCTGTCAGGCGAGGAGCTCATATTGGGCATCTCGATCACCGACTCTCGGTCTCGACGCAGGCCATAGCAGGTTGGTGGGCCAGTTCCTCGCCCTCTGTCAATTCAAATATTGATTGATTTTGAGCGATCCAGACGAACGAGACATGCCAAACCAGTCGTCTTTAAGCTGATGTATTATCAACTTCAATACTTTCTCTCCGAGACCCTGCAATGCACACAATCAAAACTCTACCCGATAGATTCGCGAAGTCACAGTCCATGCGGATCGAGGTTGGGTGAGTGGATCAGTGGTGTATTATGCCGTATTCAACAGCTGGTTAAAAATGTCACGAGAGGCGGTTGGGGCCAGAGAGCGTATCCCAAGGAGGACTACGGAAGATGGAAGAAATGACTGAGATAAACGAGGTGGCCGAGGATTGAATGAAGTGGTCGATTCTTTGGGGATGGACCGGCATTTCTGCTATTGGCACGCAGTCGACAAGAGGGAAGCGGGAAATCTTAACTGTTAAGAGATTCGGACCATATACAAGAAGAAAATTAATGCATCAGCCTCGATAAGGGTCTAGGTCCAACGTGGTTTCTTACTAGCAATTTTGCATGCACAATGGGCCATGCTAGGCACTTTTTTGGCGCATGGCCCATTGTACATGCTTTCCCTCGCTTTTGCCTTTTCCCCTTGGCCTTCCCTCTATCAACGCAGTCTCCTTATTTGACAACGGCACGCTGAACATTACATCATAATGACATGTCGTGGCTATATTTCGACGGTTCCGTGGTATTAGAAGCTCAGTCCACTTACCAGCCGATGGGTAATCGTCATAGCGAGGGTCCTTAGAAATGTAATTTTTTGAAAGGGCCGGTTTCATCCCATGGATAGAGCAAAGCAAAAGTAAATATTTTCCATGGCTCATCTTACAGGCGCACCCAACTGGCCATCGTATATTTGACCATTGCAACATATTCCATATCATGTCATAATACGAAACATTCAAGAGCCAATGCGGGTATCCAAACGAATTCAACGCTTCTCGTAACGGTTCGCCATATCTTTATTATGGCGTTTGACATCTTTTGATTCGGATTTAGGGTCCAATTCGCCACCCTCGGTATTGGGCCCTTCACGGTGCATTTTGAGGCTGTAGTATTCATCATGTTCTTTAGCTCCGTCTGTTGCGCTGGGCTGTGGGAGTTCTAAAGTATTAGATATTTCGTCAGCAACATTATGTAATACAAAACAACTATAAAAGATCCATGATGCAGTAACCAATAAGTAGAGGTACTGTTACCTTTGCTGTTTGAATAATCCTCGTTTGAATCGGCGTCCGGCGGTCTTTCAGTATCGTTCTCACGAAGTTCTGCCTTGTTCGCCAGACGCTGGGCTTGAATAAAAATAGCCATACCTGCAGGGCGGGCTATATTGCGTTGACAGCAGCAAGAGCTCAAAGAGCTTGTTCGCGCGCATCGTGTAAGACTCATTTGGTATAGGCTCTGCATTATGAAAATCTGGACAACAGCATGCTGCCGACATACGGAATGGAAAGAATTTATTATTTTAAGACTGGAGCTTGGCCTTGGCTGTGGCAAAGCTTAGGTCTGGTAGCTTGCGTGCTCTGATCATATGATGTTCGGATGCAAACAAGATTTACAAACCCATCCCACCCAAGTTACGACCAGTCCTAGCTTCTGTCCCCACCAATACATTTCTAGTGCAATTCTCCTGAGTACGCGTCTTTTGAGGGCATAGGTTAAAGCTCATATACTGCGTAGAATCCCTCCCAGTGATACTCCTTGAGCAACCAAAGCAACTATCTAGCCAACTGAGATAGCAAAATTCATGATGAACACCTGGCAGGGTAAGTTAATTGGTTATAGAAGCTGAACTACCGAAATCTCTAACATTAGTCAGGGCTTTTAGAAGCAAAGTACCGCCGTCTCCACCTAACCTAGTTAAGCGGCTAATCTTACTAATCACTTTTGGTGCTGGGTCTAGCCTGATTTCTAATGGCGCAGCGACAGACGCTGCTCTCTTTGATGCCGAGAATGGGGGTGTTTGGGCGATTTCGCCTGGCTATATGGTACGTTGATCTAACTGAGCATGTCGACCTTTGTGAGCACTGGAGTTAATGAGATAGATAGGTCCACCAAGGCGAACTCCATGATCTTATAGATCTCTTTAGGAACCCTGGCTCTGCTTCAAAACAAGGCATCGTTGTGGATGGCAAAAACTACATGTGCATTCAAGCCGATGACAAGTTTATATATGGGAGAATGGTAAGATTAGACTTTGGATCTTCATTTATCCGACATTATACTAATTATACATGTCTAGAACATGACAGGGATTGTTTGTGCTAAAACAGATAAGTTGATCATCCTAGCTTACTATGATGAGAACAAAATGCCCGGAGAAACTGCTCTTGCGGTTGAGAAAACAGCCGACAAGTTCAGAGAGCTAGGATACTAGGTAATAACATAAAAGTTCATGTCATCTAAGAATGTGGTATTAGTTTCAGAAGTTTTTCGTGAGGGTGAAGTAGAGTAGACTACGAATTTCAAAACTAAATAGCTGCGTTAAAAGATTATTTGGTATGTATACGAGGATACTGTAGAGGATTCGATATATATTTCATATTTTCCCCTAGAAGTATAGACAAATTTCGAGTGCTCAGGTAGCGGAATGTACTTAATCAGGCCGATCCAGGCCTGTTCCCGCCTATCTGAATAAACGTGTAAAGATTGTGAATAGAAATCTTCCAGGAATCAAGCATCAAAACAAAATAGATTCAACGGCGAGTAGTGCTCTCGGAATAACTCATAGTTTATGAGAAAGCTTTATTGAAGGCGACAATGACCTCCATAGTTTGAGCTTCTAGGTCATTGCTTAATTTGCCTTCATCTTCGATCCTGGAGAGCATCCCTGGCTTGTTGTGTCTGCAGTGGGCGAGAAACTCAGCTTCCCAATCCATAATCCTGTTAACAGGTATATTATCAAGAAGACCATGGATACCAGCATAGATCAAGGGTACCATTTCATTGACAGGCATAGGAGCGTACTGTTTTTGTTTTAAAAGCTCCATCAGACGCTCTCCACGTCGAAGAGTTTGCTTCGTGGCGGCATCCAGATCCGAGCCTAGCTGAGAAAAGGCCGCAACTTCGCGATATTGGGCCAAAAATAGCTTGAGGGAACTGGCAACTTGTTTCATGGATTTGAGTTGCGCGGCAGAGCCAACACGAGACACGGAAAGTCCAACATTGACCGCGGGACGGATGCCCTTATAGAAGAGTTCGGATTCCAAAAATATCTGCCCGTCTGTTATGGAGATCACATTGGTAGGGATGTACGCAGAAACATCACCGCCCTGAGTCTCAACGATAGGAAGGGCGGTAAGAGAGCCGCCACCATGCTTATCGTTCAATTTTGCTGCACGCTCCAAAAGACGTGAATGGAGGTAGAAAACATCTCCAGGGTAAGCCTCACGGCCAGGGGGCCGGCGAAGCAACAGCGACATTTGACGGTAGGCCACTGCATGCTTTGATAGATCATCATAAACAATAATAGCATGTCTGCCGCTGTCTCGAAACCACTCCCCCATAGCACAGCCAGCAAAGGGAGCAAGGTATTGTAGAGGAGCAGCTTCCGAGGCCGTAGCTGCGACAATGATCGAGTATTTCATGGCATCATTTTCTTCAAGAGTCTTGACAAGCTGGGCCACAGTAGAGCGTTTCTGGCCGATAGCGACGTAAATACAGTACAGCCTGTCGGATTCAGTGGAGGAGCTATTCCACCTTCTCTGATTTAGGATAGTGTCTAGAGTGATGGCCGTCTTCCCAGTTTGACGGTCCCCAATGACCAGCTCACGCTGACCACGGCCAATTGGCACCATAGCATCAATTGCTTTTATACCAGTCTGAACAGGTTGATTGACGGAATGTCGAGGTAAAATCCCAGGAGCCTTGAGCTGAGCCCGCCGCTTCTCGGTAGTTTTGATGGGCCCTTTGCCATCGATTGGACTTCCGAGTGCGTCAACCACTCGTCCCAGCATCTCAAGGCCGACGGGAATATCAATAATCTCGCCAGTCCGCTTGACAGTATCTTCCTGTTTGACAAGGCGATCCGAACCGAAGAGCACGATACCGACACGAGCAGCTTCCAGGTTCATGCACATACCCTTCACACCGGACGGAAATTCGACCAGCTCTTCAGCTTGGATATTGGTTAATCCACGGGCGCGAACGATACCATCACCAACAGACAATACTCGGCCTGTCTCTGTTAACTTAGTATCATCCTCAATGCCGTGTATTCGGCGTTCCAACGTTGAAGAGACTTCATTGGATCCAGCCTTGGCGTTAATAGCATATGAACGAAATTGCTTGTGAAATTTCGTCCAATCTGGTGTTGAGCCATAGAATGACCTGCTGATCTTAAAGATAGAAGCACCATCGACGGTGCGATGAAATAGCCGCGAGGTGGGGTTGGGCATATCGAGCTAAATTCCACGATGTTAATGATAAGACCTCGCAGAAGTCGGGAGAAAAGATGAGGTTAACGGATCCCTAAATTATGACGTAACTATGACTTTGACTATGAGAATTAACTTTCTAGTCAACTTACCTGTCTATTTTCCGACATACTTTGTCTTGAGTCCGTCCAGCCTTTGTTAGCAGTGGGGTAAGCTATGGTAGAATTGTCTGCGATTATGACTGCACACACATATTGTGCACTAGTATGCGGGTAGTGACGTATAACTAGCAGAGTCATATGACTGACTGCCATAGTTAACGTAATCCACAAGCGACCCGTACACACAAGCGAGCCGTACACCCTCCCTCATTAGAAAATCCTAAAGTCGATTATTTTAACCAACACTAATTAATTCAACTAAATATACCGATTTTTACATACATTAATCCTGTGGCCAATCTCCCTACACCCACTACACCTAGGCGGAGCCCTCTTTGCTGGTTCATCTGCCTGAATAGGCAATTCGACCTCCGCATGCGAATCTATCTCATCGTCTTCCACTGGCTGGTTTGGCTGCTCAACTAGCTGCATAGCTTCTTCAATAGTTAAACCCTCTTCGCAGGGTATCTTCTTGGTTGACCGATTACGCTTTTTGACCATCTTCTCATTCGCCATGCGTAGATTCGTGATATCCTCTGCTAGTAAAGCGCCGCCGTGTAGCGCTAGAGCGCACCCCTTGATTATCTGGTCTAACATCTCTTTTGATGGGCTCGGAGGGCTATTTGACCGCCGCTTTAGTAGATCTTTCAACATAGAAGCTTGCTTGAATAGCTGAGCGGCCGTTCTAGGCGTTTGTGGTGTGAATTGGCTAGATCTGCTGCTTGGCCGGCTGCCTGGTGGTGTTGGAGTTCGTAGAGAGATATTAAGCTTGTTAAGCACTCTCTCAGCATCTAATGGTACTAGACCACTAGCAGCGAAGCTATTTTTGATAGTAGGATTGGTTGATTGGAACGCTTCTAGGCGCGCGTGCTGGTAATCCACTAAGAAATCGTGCTTGTCGATATGGTTATATCCTCTACGCGCAAGATCGCTAACGAAGCGACCGTACGCGCGCTTAACCACTGCAAAACACCCAACATCTAGTGGTTGTAGTAGATGCGATGAGTGTGCAGGCATACAAAGAGGTATAATGTCGTTTTCTGTGCAGATTCGGTCGAATTGGGGTGTAAGATGGCTACCATGGCCATCAAGAATTAATAGCCGAAATCGCCCACGTACGCGCGAATTTGTATATGGGATAAAGATCTTTTGTAGCCACCGGAGGGTAATCTCATTGGTAGTCTAACCGTTATTAGAGACAAGACCGTTGGAAGCTATATCGTCCCTGGCAAAAACCATCTACATCCCATGTGGCATTGATGTCCCGTCACTCAACCGTGAAAAATCTTGGAATTTCAAGCCGGGAACTTTCAGAGTGGGAGATCACATCACAGGTGGCGATATCTGGGGAAGTGTCATCGAGAATAATTTACTTGATGACCACAAAATCATGCTTCCGCCGCGTGCGAGGGGACAGATTACCCGAATAGCAGAGGCGGGTAGCTATACAGTCACAGAGAAGCTTTTGGCAGTTAAGTTTAACGGGAAAACCACCGAGTATAGCATGATGCACGTTTGGCCGGTGCGTGTTTCTCGGCCAGTTACTGAGAGATTGCGCTGCGGTGCCCCGTTACTCACTGGACAGAGGACCCTAGATGCTCTCTTCCCATGTGCCCAGGGCGGTACAGTATGTATCCCCGGTGCGTTCGGAAGTGGCAAGACCGTCATCAGCCAAAGCATTTCCAAATTCTTGAATAGTGATATTGTCGTATACGTTGGCTGTGGGGAGCGTGGTAATGAAATGGCTGAGGTCTTGATGGAGTTTTCTATGGTATGTTGGCGATCCGGCACGGACGTTGATTTTAAGGATCTAATTTGAAACCCAGCGGTCAATAAAGCTTGAGGGGAAATCAGAGCCTATACTGAAGCGATCTTGTCTCATCGCCAACACCTCTAACATGCCTGTCGCCGCTCGTGAAGCTTCAATCTACACTGCTATCACTATCTCGGAGTATTTCCGTGATCAAGGAAAAAACGTAACGTTGATGGCCGATTCTACCTCTCGTTGGGCTGAAGCCTTACGTGAAATATCTGGTCGCCTAGGTGAAATGCCTGCGGATCAAGGGTTCCCTGCGTATCTCGGATCCAAGCTGGCTTCCTTCTATGAACGTGCTGGACAGATCGTGGCTCCTGGCAGCCCGAAAAGAAAGGGTAGCGTCAGTATTGTTGGTGCGGTGAGCCCTCCCGGTGGAGACTTTTCAGACCCCGTCACCAGCTGTACTCTTGGCATTGTTCAGGTATTTTGGGGCCTTGATACAAAGCTAGCGCAAAGAAAGCACTTTCCATCCGTCAACATCGCGTTATCCTACAGCAAATACCTAGCAGTATTGGATGAATACTACGAGAAAGAACACCCTGGCTTTCCCCAGCTGAGGGACAAGATAAAAGAGCTGCTCTATTCCTCTCACAACTTGAAACAGCTCACACAGCTAGTCGGCAAGGCTGCACTCGATGACCACGACAGAATAACACTTGATGTGGCTTCACTGGTTGAAGAAGGCTTTCTACAGCAGAACGGATACAGTGAGTATGACGAATTTTGCCCTTTATGGAAAACTAAGTATATGATGAAAGCTTTTATACGTTTTCATGATGAGAGCCAACGAATCATATCTGAGGGTCATAACTGGGCAAAAATCAAACAACTCACCGGTGGGATTTTAAGCACACTCCGAAATATGAAGTTTGAGATACCTGATGATGAGGACACTGTTTCATTCAAGGTAGGGAGCGCCCAAAGTTGCTTTATTAATTTAGCCTGACACCTTGACAGTACGATAATTTCCTGCGAAAAATGTCAGAAAAGTTTGTCTCCATTTCCAACCAGTGATAGTGCCCACAGAGAAATGGACGCCGATACCTAATTTCCTGATATTTCAATCTATGTTGCAACTCCATGGACTCACCAATTCATTTACTTCATTATTATAAGTTCAGTCGAGCCTTACCAACCAACACTAGACAAATTCACCGAAACGAAAGCCCGCTGCCTTTAGGAAACAGCGTTGACACGGACATCAGCTAGCTAAATAGACTTCCGGCTACTTTTGAAAACAGTATTGTGCACTAGGTTGAAGCTCTTTGATCAAAACAGCTTGAATATGACCACCATAATCAATAGATGAAACGATAATCAGTCACCAACCAAATTGATATCCGTAATCTGCTTTCTTAGAGGTCTTAATGAATACCTCGTGGTCCCTGGCATTCGTTTTTGATTCCTTGTCGCTCAGAATTCTGTATGCGACCTGGTGGTTAGGGCTTGTCTTCAAGAGCAAGGTATTAAGTCTTGGTATCGGCATCGGTAATGAATATGGATAATGATTTGCGATACAAACGAGAAATCAGTACTTACGACACTCTCCTGGATTTCTCCTTTCTCCAAAATGTGAAATATGACCTCTCGGTCATTGGATGTTCCGAACTCGTGCTCAAGAGTATCCCTGCTGGCTTCATTATGTATCCCTTGAGGTCCATGTCTGCAAGGTCGCAAGGTTCCATTAGCACATAGCCTTGTGTGCGCCTAAAAGGCATTCATTACTAGGCTGACAGATATTCCCTGGACTCGGGTAAAGCATATGGATAAATGAAAACAGGCACCTACTGATGTGAAGTAAATATCTTCCACCCATCCATCACCTGCGCAAGTGGGAGTGTATGATCTTTCTTCCAGTTCTGCGCCGCGGTAATGTCCCCAACGAAAATAACGAAGTCTTCGGTCCGGCCCTTATAGTAAACCTTGGACTGCCTTGTATTCCCTCGGGTCATTCTGAATGGTGGTAGTGCAGATTTGTATCCGCTATATCAGATAGTTGTTGTGACAAGATAAGTAGCGTGGAAAGATAGCAAAGACAACATTCATGCAACATCCTCAGAATGCAGCGAAAACAATAATCGAGAAACACAGGGGTGGCAATATCGGCAGTTTTCGATAAGCCCCGTTGTCATGATGATGCAAGGGAACCGAGAGCCACAAGGTTGATACGGGGATCCCGGTCGATCTCGACCGGGTTGCGTACGATGCCCGTCTCTGGAGTTGATGGGCGGGAGACATCGGGACAATTTTGAGCGTAGTATGCTTGCTGTAAGGTATGTCCTACTTAGAATCGAGTTATGGAGACTGAGATCGTGAGAAGGTTTTGGACTAGATACCGCAACTTATACGGATGTCAGCAAGTAAGGGTTTCTAGGGACATGTTACTGTATCTTAGGTTGGTACTGAGATTAATTTCACCTCTAGCTTAAATGAGATTATTTCGAAACATCTTTCACCGGTCGGACTCGGTGAATTCCATCAAAATCTTGAGAAGGCCAAAAACCATAGAATCTTCATTTGCAATCACAATTCATTTCCGCAAATTCGGCCAATAATAGTGATGTAGTATCCATGATTTGCCAAGATGCCTCGCAGGTGTGACCGTTGAAAAATAAGTGACGATTTGAACACTGTTTTTTGAGCATAGTTAGTGGCGCATAATGTAGTGATGAAACAAGAATATGTATAACTTCTTATTAACAGCTTTAGACTACAGCATGAGCATAAGCTAAAGCTTTCAGAATTAGCCTTAGATAGCGCACCCTCTAACTGTTGAAAACAAACAGAAAAGTAAATATTGTCAGTTGAGCAAAAGTAAATAGGGATAAAGTAGACGTTGATAGGGCGGTCATAGAAAGAGTCAATATTTGAGCAGATTCAGGTGCATTTGTTCAATCAGGTTTCACCATTTAGCAGTTGTCACCAACACCGTTTGACGAGACCGAAGCTAATTAAACGGTGGTTTTGGTGATTTTGGTTGAACCCCACATCTTGCTGCCTTGAGTCATCGGTCACGTGGAGTTCGGGGTCTATGGGGTCCCCCAAGAACAGGAAAATGAAGAACTGAAATTTCTTCGGATCGTCTTGAAGGCAGGCTCACGTAATCCTTCCTCTCTGGAAAGCTAACTCCCAGACCAGCTAACCGGCCCCTTTCATAAATTACAATTTATGAAAGGGGCCGGTTAGCCCGAAAATGCTACTGTGCGGGATCATCGACGAACTGACCCGATCGATTGAGAATAATGCAACGGCCGTTATCCGTGTCTTGATTTATTCACTGGTCGAGAAGCAGCCATCACTTCTCTCCCATGTACGAAGCCGGTACGACCAAGCGGGAAGACGCTGTTTGAGGACGTAAACGCGTGGAATGCGCTCTCAAAAATCTTCAACAATATTTTGAAAGATCGGGCCTTACGGGATACTTATTTGGTGATCGATGCGCTAGACGAATGCACAACAGACCTTTATTTCCTACTGGACTTGGTTGTTCAGCAATCGTCCACCTATTCGCACGTGAAGTGGATTGTCTCGAGCCGCAACTGGCCTGGTATCGAAGAGCGTCTGAATACTTCAATTCAGACAGCACCTATCTCATTAGAGTTAAACGAGACATCCGTATCTAACGCTGTGCTACAGTTCATTCGGCATAAGATTGACCAATTGGCAGAAGCCAAAATTATAAAGATGAACTCCGTGATGCTGTTTACCGTGACATATCATCACAGTCACAAGGCACTTTCCTCTGGGTCGCCCTAGTTTGCCAGGATCTCACCAGGACATCGCGGAGGCATGTCCTTAAAAAGCGTAAGGAGTTCCCTCCCGGGCTTGACGCTTTATATAGCCGAATGATCGATCAGGCTCAAAAGTCGGACGATGCTGAACTTTGTAAGCGAATACTGGCCTGCATGTCAATTGTGTATCGGCCTATCGCTGTTGACGAAGTAATCACCCTGGTTGAAATACCCGATGAGCTATCTGATGACTATGAAGGTCTAATAGATGTTATTGCAACTTGTGGGTCATTTCTGACTGTCCGAGAGAACATGGTCTCGTTCGTCCATCAGTCTGCGAATGAATTCCTCCTCAAAAATGCGAGCAACGAGATATTTTGAAAGGAGAAAAAAACCGAGCATCTTACCATCTTCTATCGGTCTCTTCAAACTATGTCCAAGACCCTTCGACGCAACATTCTCAACCTCGAACCTTTTGATATCTTAACTGAATCTACACGACGAGGCTCGAGTCTTTTAACTGCCGCAAATTACGCATGTGTCTATTGGGTTGAGCACCTTCAGGAAGGATGGGGTGATAAAAATAACGATCGAAGCCTTGATGATGGATCATGCATTGATAACTTCCTTCGGCACAAGTATCTTCACTGGCTCGAATTTATCGGCACTTCAGGAAACGTTTCAGAGGGTGTAGTGGCTATGCCGATGCTTGAAAACTTCCTTCAGGTGAGTAAATATCAACGTTCAGAACAATACCGTCATATCTAATCAATCGCTCTCTTATAGAGGGAAGGAACGTCACAGGCCATGCTAGACCGAGTTCAAGATGCATCACGTTTTATCCGATACTTTGGACATACGATTGAAAGCAGTCCCCTTCAAGTATACAGTTCGGGTCTCACTTTTAGCCCGATCAGAAGTATAACGAGGATAGGATATCTGAAAGACAAACCAGACTGGATTTTGAACAACCCAGCTGTTGACGAGAGCTGGAGTTTGTGTCTCCAAACTTTTGAGGGACATAGTGATATAATTTTCTCGATTGCCTGGTCACCAGATAGAAGCCGACTCGCTTCAGCGTCCGCTGATGATACCCTCAGGATCTGGGACCAGGCCACCGGTCAGTGTTCATTCATTATCGAAGGACATGGTTGCTTGGAAACGCCAATTACCTGGTCACCAGATGGGAACCGACTTACATCAGCCTCGGATGATAAAACCGTCAGAATCTGGGATCTGGCTACCAGGAAATGTACGTCCATTGTTAGGGGCCATAGTGACTCGGTGACGTCGATCGCCTGGTCACCAGATGGAAGCCGACTCACATCGGCTTCATATGATAAAACTATTAGGATCTGGGATTCAATTACAGGCCAATGCATGTCTACCCTTAGGGGGCATAGTCACTCGGTCAGGTTGGTAATATGGTCGCCGGATCAAAGGCAACTTAAATCAGCCTCTGAAGAATCCACCGTCAGGATATGGGACCCAGCTACCGGCCAGTGCATGTATACCCTTGTAGGGCATAGTGACTCAGTCACGTCGATTGCCTGGTCGCCGGATGGGAGCCGTCTCGCATCAGCTTCGGTTGATAAGACCGTCAGGATCTGGGACCCCGCCACCGGCCAGTGCGTGTCAACCCTAGATAGGCATAGTGATTCGGTTAACTCGCTCGCTTGGTCGCCAGATGGAAGCCGACTCACATCAGTGTCGTACGATAACACTATTAGGATCTGGAATCGGGCCTTAGGACTATGCACGGCTATCCTTAATGGGCACAGTGACTCGGTAATGTCAGTGACTTGGTCACCACATGGACACCGACTTGCCTCTATATCTAGCGATGACACTATCGGGATCTGGGATCCAGCCACTAGCGAGTGTTCTATACGCTCTCTGGGCATAGTCGCTTAATCCGGTCAATTTCCTGGTCACCAGATGGAAGCCAACTTGCATCAGCGTCCTTTGATAGACCCATCAGGATCTAGGCGCCACAGTGCCGGCGCCCGTGAGTCAGTCGTCTGCAGTGCCGTTAACCTGGTCGGATCTATTGTCTTGAGAGTTTCTGCGAGGGGAAACCGGAAACGTGAGCCTTTATTATTTCTGCATCTCTGGGGCTGTGGTAATATAGCCCAGATAGGACGTTCACATGGCAAACTGTGTAGCTGGGCGACGGTGCGTTGGGCTCGGTGGCAAAGACAAAGACAGGTGGGAAGGATGTGCGCTTCTACTTCCAGGGTCGTTGTGGCTACTGTTCAGAACGCTGACAGGACTCAGATCAACGCGGCTCTCTACACGGTGCTCAGGTGTCGCAGACGAGTCTTGTCTCTTAGAGTGTTGTACCACACGGTCGAAGCGTAGTCTAGGACTGGTGTGACGCATATAAAAATGGCCTCTAAGGCCTTGGCGGTTGGCCAAGGAAGAGAGTCGAAGAGTGTACTGGTGAACCCGATTTCGAGAAATCTGTACGTAGCCACGCAATGCGTCGATTGCGGCAATTTGTTTTGAATGTCGTAAAGAAAAACCTGGTCCGCACGAGGCCTTTTGGTCAGGGCTGGCAATGGTGTTTTCGGTTCGCGAGCGGCCGCGGTTGATGCACTATTCTGCTCCTCAGCCAAGCGTGCCTTCATCTATTGATACACGTTGAATTTCGACAATCATCATGATATTAAGAGTCAGGCTAGTTTTTCCGACGCTGTCTAGGAGTAAAGTGGGTAGGGAAAATTCTGTTCAACCAATATAAGTGGCATGTATACTGTGCTCTACGTCATGTCGCACCTCGGAGGAAAATGGAAACCAAAATGGAAACCCAATTTTCTACTGTAGAATTCTAAGAGGGAGTATTTAAAATACTGTAGCATCAACTCCACGATCTTTCTGCCCTCTTCACTGCTCTGTCAATACGTTTGCTAATATTTCCCCGAAGGAGAATAGCTCTCCCAGTTTCCGAGTACGTTAACGATACCCCTCCTGATATTCTCAAAGGCATGGCCATAATATAATACCAATGCCTCCTGACTGGCATGCCGGCGCTCCAGGGCCTGTAATTCCTGGCATAAGTGGATGTTTGAAGCACGAAGTACCTCATTTTCTTTCTCAAGTCTTGTGATGTGGTTCTTCTTTTCGGTATATCGGCCCCAATATTCTGAAAATAGTCCAAGGATGTCCATTGCGTGCCGTACATGTTGTAAATTGCCCTCATTTAACCAGTCTAACTCCTCAAGCAGCGGCTTAAATGGGTCCGGTGTGTATTGTCTTTGATCATCAAAACATGGCAAGTTTGGCAACTATCACCTATGTCAGTACAAATCTCACTCTCTTAAGAAAGACTTACCGGCCATTGATCCATGCTCTGTCTCGCTACATGAAGGGCCGAACAATCCTGGTTATCTAGCGGTGCGTATGGGGTCTCCGTTTTGACTTCATCAGCCTCTGATTCGTGTTCATGACCCGGGCTAGCCATTGCTAACAAAGCTGAAGACGGTACTGCGGATGGCTCATCTTCGAAGGGAAACCTTCATTTATAACACAGATCGGCTTATAGGTTTGATTCAAGGTCATTCCTGATCAAGTCATTGATCAGCTTCGAGTATTCAAACCGCAGAGAGCGTTATTCCCAGAAAATGATTTTTGCTCGGTTCCAGCAATTTGCGGCCCGCCATACTTGTTTTTGGACACTTAAGCAGAACTATAGTCACACCCGGGTCTGCATAATTAGAGACATATTTGTTTATTTTGCCATTGCGAGTAAAATATTTCGGGTGCTGAATTCTGGCGGTCCACAATCCTAGCTATGTAAGTCTCAGTTCAACATTTGGCGAATCATAACACCGGACGGCTTGTGAATCCTACCGGTCACAATTTTTCCTTCATAAACTGAGATATACCAACGGCTATTCTCAATGTGAAATTAGATTTTAGAGAAGCATTTGTGCATTGCTACGGCCTAAACAGTCGAAAATGCGACTGCGTCTCCAGAATTGAGGGGTTAGATATTCTGCCGCTTTCTAATAGAGGCAAAAAATGTCCTGTAGGGCCAAATGCGTCAACTAGGATTTGGTTTAGACATTATAATTTCAGATGTATGTCTCTAGAGTGGGCACAGTATCAATTTGCTTAAACATAATCGCCTATTCGTCCCATTTAGACTACCAAAGTCTGTTTTGGTACAAATATTACAGCGGCGACCGTTATTTTATTCCCTGTAGATATACACTAATGCTAGTCAGTAGTATTTATCAGAAATCTGTCAGAACACAGCAGAAATAAAGGGACACCGGAGACACGGAGACGGGAGATATGACGTAATTCCCGGCCTATCCAGTCCACCCAGGCGTTCGGGTCTATTCTGTATTTTGATTACTCTATACTGTATAGTATTCAACCACCACTTCTACAGTTCTGCTGAATTTTGGGATCTATCTTATATAATACAGGGGATTGGTATAGTGAAACCCATGGAGCAGCCCCAATTGACCTCCTTATACAGGATACATTTTACTGCTCTCCTCAACGAGTTGTGGGCTGCAGTATTAGATAGGCGGGGCTTATGGGAAATTAGCTTGTTACGTTTCAATCAAAGACCTCATCACAACTGATCACCAGGGCTTGAGGATAGGCCATATTTTGTAGTCTTGCGCTAATCAACTGACTTTCAAAGCTAGTACAGTAATTAAACAAAATGCTCGGTTACGTCTCGGCAGAACCGCTTCTATCCTCTAGCCCTTCCCCATTTAGACCTGGCTATTACTGGATCCCTCGAAGGGGTTGTCTGGGGCGCAAGCATCGAAGCCAGTCCTCACGACTTCTTCCTTGCATCGCGATTGCCTGTTCGGACCAATCATGATGACGGTTTTGGGCGTTGGCGACGATCCACAATGCTCCCTCCTTTTTTGGGCTCTGTCGTTGCTGCTGCTTCAGTTGAAGGGTGACGCGGCTTGCAGCATGCGGACAATCGACTCGGATTTTATTGACACTCTTTCGCTCTACTTGCTCCCCGAGAACCTCGCGTTCCCGTGACCTACGTTTGCCATGGGAGGTGCGATGCGCAAGACAAACTGTGTCGACAGGACTGCCATTTTGCAGTCTGCTTTTGCCAGCCAGTCGCGCCATTTACACGAGTTAAGTTGAGTCTAGCAAGTAGATGAAAGGAATGGTCCTGGGTTAAGAGAGCTATTTATCTTGGATACCGCAGTATGGCTTTTATTTTCCAGTTTTGCAATGTCCAAAGAGCTACAATTTCATTCTATTGAATGAATGTGAGGACCTCTACTTCTTTATTCCTAAGAACTCAATGATGATTTGGACCTAATGTGTTGCCCAAAGTCAACGCCATGAGAGAGAGAGTGTGCTTCTTTTTCAAACTCGACATTGACCATCCAAAACATGACCCAAACATTAACTCATATCGCTGCGCGTACACTAATCTTTTTGGCATTGATTTAGTCAGACAGTTCCATTTGCACTTTGTTTTTAATGTGATTTCCCTGACAAGATTCATACACCGTGTCCGCAAGTTTCATGATCTCAGAAGAACCACACTTTTACTTCAGCGGTGACTGACTCAGTGACGGATATAAAGATAGATTTTGCACTCTTAATCTGTCTCTAGGGGATTTCCTGAACGCTTTTGCAGACCAAAGACTTTTGTTAGGAAAACCTTCCATAACCCAGACACACAGAATGCCCAGCCTGTTCCAGATTCCCCGAGAAATTTTGGATCTTATAGTGGAAAGGCTAAGCCCTCATTCGACCAAGAATATCTGCGATAGTCTTCTGTTCAGTGAAAAGCAAGAAAACATACTTTGGAGAGCGATATTCAAGAGCGATGAATGGATCGACGAGGCTTTCAAACTAGGGGCCTGCCCGGCGCTTATTGGCCCAAGGTTAGATTCGATTGGGATGCCCCGCTACAAAGGCTCCAATCGCCATCACATTCTTCTAACGACAAACGATTGTTCGGGTGACCTTCACTACTGCCAGGAACTTTTATTCAAATCCCTCAGAGACGGGTATCATTACAATAAAACCAAGTTTCAAGTTACCATTCCAGAAACAAGCTTTATAAGCCCAGACGAGCGGAAGATTAAGATTCCAGAAATTGTACTTTATGTGAAAGATGCTATCAGTCCCTGGGAAACTATCCACCTCACCAGGAGAGCCATTCGAAGATTATTTGAAAAGAGCGTCGTACGAACGCAGTACTCTTTTGCGAGACAAAGGAAAGTCTGTAGTCTACAAAGTCCACACATTTTTGGAATTGGAGGAAGCATCTCCAAGCCAGAGGCACTTCTTCCGATATGTGCCATGTACCCCGTTTACTGCGGGAAAGAATGGGTGACAATTTTGGAAGCACCCAAATGCCCCCCCGTGAACCCAATTCACAGTGACGGCAAGAGCAATCGAATTGTCGGCTGGAAGGCCAGATTTTAGGTGGAGCAGGTTGGTCGGGCGGGTGCCAAGAAATTTCCACACTTGGTGTGGATAAATCAGACTGAATGCCTACTTTATTTGGCGATACCATGGAGCATGTTCAATTAAGGTATCTTGGTGAGTGACTGGCAGACGACAGGATGCACGGAATTTTGATACAGGCTCGTTATAGACAGTTGATTGACTGTAAACTAGCATTTTACTTACCGCAGACCCAATAGTCAACATGAAATAGTCTCAATACCATCATTTCATTCCATTAAAATACGTTGCATTGTCTCGTGACTGTATTGGCGACCCAGTAGACTAAGATTTCTATGGAAGAGCAAACAAGTCAACTCTATATAGGGTTTGCCTTTAGAACCTGGCATTCTGAAACTTCGTCCGATTCCAAGGGGCTATAGAAAATACGAGGAATGCGCCAGCATACAGATCGGTATAACATCATGGTTTATTCTGGATGAGTCCTGCAAGGCATGTGCAGAGCAGGGCGTTCTTTCGAATTGTGACCACTCGCATTGGAGAGCATATATTCGTTAGAAACCCTGAGTCACGACTTGGAGAGCAATTTGATAAACTTTACTTTTGAGCATCCATTTAATTGCATCAACCACGGAAACAAGATTGCCATGATATAAATCTCCGACAAAACAAGAAAGGATCATCGAAAAAACAAACTTCGGTTAGTATGCGACCCTCTGATTACTGTACCAACGTCATTCTGCCGATACTCCTTACCCTGCATTTGCGGATCAACCTTACCCGTAGTATTAGCGCTTGGCATATCTGTCGGCTCTGTGACATGAGCCTGGTTATAGCTACTACCGCTAACAGAGACGCGCGGGGGCCAAATTGCGGCTGAGCAGCCCCGATATTAAGTCCCGGCTCCGTACGAGCGTTTGCCTCCCAAGCAGCAGTATGGCTAGTGCTATATTGGGTTTTGTGTTCCTGTGTGGAGCTGCTGAAGTCATCTTTGTTGGCGGCCTGGTTGCCTGCCCCGGGCATGCTAGGCTAAGTGTGCGCTTTTTGCTGCTGTGTGGGCTTGTTGTATTTTATCTTGTCGACGTCATGGTTGTCTATACCGAAGGTGCCAGGCTTCCCGATAGAAGGGCATATTGCCAGCGTTCGTGCCTTTGGTGGTGGTGCCGCCGACGTTCTGAAATTCCATGCCTGGTTTCTGGGCTCGGCGGTCTTCAACAGAACTTGTGTTAGTATCTTGATAATTGGCTTACAGCGATAAACCTGCTTCCTCAGCCTATCCAAATCACTGTCCACACGACAGTCGAGCTTGTTGGCCGCCTTAGAATCGTGAGGACCGACGTTGGCCGTGTAGGTGCCGATCATCCCAGAGTCGTAGATATCAGGACCTCTGGCTGCGCCCCGGTTGTTGGAATTATACCTAGCCCCATGCTCAGTCCCAGGGACCTTTGCGTAAAGATTAGTAAAACTGAATGCGTTATGTCTTCTTGTATAGATGATTATGAGCATCATAACACTCTAGCGTAATAAGTCTTCGCTGAGAGATGACTTGTCTCACTAATGGACTCGTCGGTGGGCATATTGTCTCGATCACGGTAGTCAGATACGGCCTCTTCGATCTTCTGCATGAAGTTCGACATCATTGGTAGAGGTCAGCAAATTAGTTAAATTATCTGGGATTGTTGAAGATTGTGAGTATCAAAAGTATGGCGTGCCAAGCTTCATGGCATAAGGTCCTGCGAATACCTTTATGTACACTGAGAGTATCCTCTAAACTCCCGAAAGCTTGCCTTCCGAGAGCCATTGACGCCATATTCAAATGGCAAGCTCTATAAGGGGGTTCCGTCTTTCTCTAGTGGGCTAAACGTCCCAACTCCCCTGGCCCCCCACGATCCCATTGAGCACATGCCCAAGTGATCCTGAACAACGTATCGACTACCGACTGCTGTACAATTCTTAGACGCCCTAAGTAAGATATCTGCTCAGCCAGCGAGCGTAGTCTATAATATAATCGTATTAGAAAGTCTAAACACACACAAGCCCCGGTCACGTGCATGATGCGATGACAGGCGGTATTTTGCTGCAGAGGAGTTTATTCTTATTCGGTGCCCCTCGATGAGGAGGCGGGGTAATATCGGTGGGTATAATCATGCTTAAGCTCTTATTATCGACGATGCTTCGTGCCATATCCGGTGAGGCAAGACCTTGATCACCTGGGCCCAATAAACCGATGGTCGGTTCACATAGCGGAGCTCATTGGCATCTTCTACGCGATCATCACGGTGGTCAAGATCGCTTATCAGCGGTTAAGCTTAGATAGTAGACAAAAGGCCGCAACGATCCTGTGCGACAGTAGGTCAGCCCTGCAGGTAACTCAAAACCCAAGGAGCAAATTGAGCCAGCGGATCGTGCACGCGAGCCTACAAGCTTCCACAAAGTTCAAGCTGAGGGAGTTGCCATCCGTCTCCAATGGGTTCCACGGCACTGCAACAACCCATGGAAAAGACGCCGCGTGACCAGGAAAAACCTACTCGTTCCGCCTACTGCTTTCGAGGGAGAATGCACGCCTCCGAGTCAATATCCTCATCCAGTGGGAGCAGGAATGGCCGTCGTCCAGCAAAGAAGGCAGCCACCGAAAGATCGACGGCACCCTTCCAGCGATGTACACCATGACGCTATATAGAAGCCTACCCGGGAACCAGGCGTACCTGTTAACACGGCTTCGTACCGACCGCAACTGATTATCTACCTACGCTACGGAACTTGACAAGGCTCTAAGTTTTTTTTTTCAGGAAGCGGAATACTCTACATGTAGGTAAGCATATATATACAGTAGTCGTATGCTGATATCGCTGTCGAGGGAGGGGTCAGCGTAAATGAGATCAACCAATCAACCAACCAGCCACCGTAATATAACAATATTCAAGTTTTGTCTCTGCCATATCAATGAAAGATAATTGGGTGCAGAGTCTACGGTATGTGTTTGTTAACATGATCTTATTGGTGTTTACATTCCGGATCTACTCTTATGATGGAAAGGCAAATGTGGTAGCTCACAACACTTGTCAGACACGTTGAGAGGCGGATTGTTTTATTTGTGTCTCTCTGTAATACTGGCCTATGCTTTATTCTCGGCTTGTTGAGCCCCATGATTGTTTACTGTAGCAAACTCCTACTTGATAGTTTGTTTTACCAATCAGTCAGATCGACGCTCGATTTAATTCGATTTGTATTTGACAAGCTCAGTCAATTTGTCGCATATATGTAATACCCAATTATGCATAGTCGGAGGTGCTGTTGGTGCCAGAATTCACGTCTCCACTGTCGGGTTTTGATTTGTCTTCAACTTGTTTCAGCACCATATTGAATACTGTGTCGAATGATTTGGATTCTTGATCCCCCAGTTTGATTATTTGTTCTTCTAACAGATAGTCTGTAACGGTACCAAGTTTTTGATTGGTCTCGTAAAGGATCTCCGCAAGTTTTGCAATCTCCTCCAACTCATGATTGGCCTGCGTTAGCGACCGACGTGCAACCGACAGCTCTTGCTCGTATCTTGCTATGATCCGTTCGGCTCTAACGGCGCGCGTGTTAAGAGTCGCAATAGTGCGGAGAATTTCCTAAGACACCTTTAGCTGAAGTAAGGGGAGGAGGCCCGGATTGCGTGGTACCGAGTTGTCCATGTTAGCGGATGCTAATCTTATTGATCCTTGGACGGATAAGAGAACTGTGGCGACTTATTGATATCCAAGGTGTCAAAAAGCTTCAGAGACGCCTACTAGAACAAAATTGGGCGAAGAAAAATTCAGTTCTTATAAGAGTTCTGTTCACCGCATAGTATGCATTTTCGTGTGGTAATCAAAGCCTTAACTACTTGACCTCCAAGCACTAAGCAATACTTCATGTACACTTTGCCACTACTGATTTTAATTGCGCTCTCTGAATATCTACACAAAATGCGAGGAAACAATCAAATTATTCTCGTCTTTTCAAACAATTCACGTTTAAAATCACAGCGGTACTGTGCACAAAAATAATCTACGGTCGATGCGTAAAAAGAGAGAGAGAGGATTTATTTTCATTGATCCCATTCTTTTCAATCCCAAAGCACTACACGCAGCTCTTTGTCGTTAATACCCCTTTCTTGTGAGCTTCTATAACCAATACCGTCTTTATGGTCACACTTTAAGCGACTAGTGGAGAAATTCCTCGGCCTTAGGGTAGTATCATCCTATGCGACAGCAAAACAACTCTACAAGCAATCCAAAAGCCCATCTAACAGATTTAGAATCGTATTAGTTACAGAGTACATGGGTAGACTCCGGGGTATAGGCAGCAAGCGCCAAGATCCGCCTCCACTGGCTGCTAGGATACTGTGAGAACTTCGGAAACGGTCCCAGGGGATCGACCCGTGAAGGACGCCATCCAGCCAGACAATTTCCATCTCTGTGGGCCACTATTATTGAGAGAGAATGTGTGGGTCTGTTCTTTAGTACAGCGGTTTTCGAATTCTCTTTGACCACTCACTCTTGAAACTTGACTCCCGGAAAATAAATCATAAATGTGAGAATTCTGATTGGATATTATTTTAAGCACTCTTAATTAGACCCCTTTCTACAATAATGCATGTATTTAACTGTAGGTCTTCATTACTGTACAGAGACCTGCAAAACCAGCTTCACCAATTTACACAGACACATTCTTTCCGGGCCCCACCGCCCAGGCGCTAAGTGAAGAAATGGGTGTATTCGAATGGCCCTCTGTACTTTGCTTTCTGTACCCACTCGACAGACCATGCCAATGTTCTCTCGAGTATCATAGAATTAAGTCGTGGTATTTCCTGAATGAATTATATCCTCCTTTCTTTCGAACAAGTCTCTTGTATCTTTAATCTTATCTTTTCACTGGGGAAATGCATGATTAGTCATATTGACACGTGAGATGTACTCTAGATCACAGCCTCACACCCCGCGCCTAACTTGCCCCTCTTACTCTTCATCTCGCCAGCAAGGCCTAATTATATATCGAACCCGAAGTTTCTACACTTCAACTGCCAACTTACCTATTTACGTGGTACAAAGGCTTTCGTGCCGTGTCCCATCAAATGGATTGTTTATCCTCGGCGGCGAGCGTTATCGCGATCATCCAGCTAACAGGAAGCCTTGTCAAGCTTTGCGGGGGCTACATTCAAGAGGTGAAAGATGCACGAGACGAAATTTTAACCCTACAACGGGCGATTGCAATCATCCAAGGGACCCTCCAAGACCTGCAGAAATTCCTTCAAAGTAACGACGGAAAGGGCCTACCTACCTCCTCACGACTAGGCAGCAATATTGCCGACTGCCTCTCTGACCTCCGAGCCTTAGAAGCGAGACTTGATCGAGGAAAAGGAAAGAAACTAATGAGCAAAATGGGATTACGAGCCTTAAAGTGGCCCCTGAAACGCATAGAGGTGCAGGGTGTTATTCAGAACCTCGAGAGATATAAATCTTCATTCCTCTTATCTTTACAGGTGGATCAAACGTACGTTTAGCGAACACGGTATTATAGCTCTGCATAATTGACCCAAAGACTGCATAGTTCTCTGATGGTCGATGTGGTCCAGGGTATGGATCTTGGGGTGTTGAAAGGTGCGAAGGAGGCAGGGTTTGAGTCATTCTCCGACCGAGACGAAGTCCAATGTCTCCAAGGCACTAGGACCCAGCTTCTCCAGCAGATAATGGAATGGGCTACGTCGCCGTCCCAAAAAAGCATTTTCTGGTTAAATGGAATGGCCGGGACAGGAAAATCCACCATATCTCGGACAGTGGCAAGGTCGCTCAAGGACACCAATTATCTAGCTGCCAGCTTTTTCTTTAAGAGGGGTGAAGGGGACCGAGGAAACGCGAAGAAGTTTTTCCCGACATTAACAAGGCAAATGATGCTCATGATTTCTGAGCTGAGGTCTGGCGTGCATAAGGCACTCCACGATGACCCTGACATTGCGTCAAAATCGCTCAGGGAGCAGTTTGAGAAACTACTCCTTCAACCGCTGCTCGGTCTTGACCAACTCGGCCGACAACCTCAAGCCGCTGTGATAGTGATCGACGCTTTGGACGAATGTGAACATGATCAAGATGTCCGAAACATCATTCGATTACTCCCCCTTCTACAGAAGGTAAAAGCGGTTCGCCTTCGGATTTTGTTGACTAGTAGGCCTGAACTCCCAATCAGGCTCGGCTTTTCAGAGATGGCGAATCATGACTATCAGGACCTAGCTCTTCAAGAGATTCCAGAAGAAGAAACAGAGCACGATATACTTTTATTCCTACAGGACCGATTTGCGAAGATCAAACACGACAAGAACATTTCTGAAGATTGGCCTAGTAATAACGTCATCCAAGCATTAGTCAACATGTCCGCTCCACTGTTTATTTCGGCTGCCACTGTGTGCCGTTACATCGAAAATTCAAAATGGGAGCCAAAGTCGCGCCTCGCGGACCTTCTGAGGGACCAAGCTAAATACGTATCGAGGATGGATAAGACATACCTGCCAATTCTGACGCGACTACTAGACGATCAAGAGAGTGATGAGCGGGAGCAGCAGCAGCTACTGCAAGAGTTCCAGAAAATAGTCGGTGTCATTATCCTTCTTGCTGTTCCGCTTTCTATAAATGCGCTATCGTTGTTTCTTGACATAGGAGCAGACCAAATCAGCAATCGATTAGATTCATTCCGATCGGTATTGAGCATTCCCGGTAACCGAGATCAGCCTGTTAGGACTCTACATCTATCATTTCGGGATTTTCTAGTCCAGTCTAGAACCAAATTTGTTGTGGATGAGCCAAAGAAGCACAAAGACATTGCCAGGTCCTGTCTCAAAACCATGCGGAGCCGTCTACGGAAAGATATATGCAATCTAGCAAGCCCTGGAACGCGTAGGGCAGACATCGACCCTCAACATATCGGCCAGTATCTACCACCGGAATTACAATACTCTTGTCGCTACTGGATACACCATCTTGAACAAAGTCAGGCTCTATCCTCCGAGATAAAAGAAGTGCGACTATTCCTCCAGAAACATTTTCTGCACTGGGTGGAAGCGATGAGTCTGCTAGGTTTTGTATCGGAGGTGGTGAGTATGCTTGATCTCCTTCGCACGATTATACAAGTAAGTAATACGGTAAACAGCCGCTCGTCACTATACTGATATGTTTAGGGCGATCACGATTCCATAATAGGTGACTTTCTATATGATGCAAAGCGCTTTGTTTTGAAGAATCGCCAGATAATGGATGAAGCACCACTTCAAATTTATTGCGCAGGACTGGTATTTGCACCTCGAACTGCAATCATCCGTAAAGAGTTCGAACAAGACCTTCCTACTTGGATAAGCCAGTTACCACGAGTTGATGAAGGATGGGGTACCGAATTACAGACTCTCGAGGGCCATTCAAGCTGGGTAACCTTGGTGGCCTTCTCGCCCGACGGTCGGCTACTAGCATCCGGATCTCATGACAAGACCGTGCGACTCTGGGATACGGCGACCGGCGCCCTATGGCAGACTCTTGAAGGCCATTCACGCTCGGTTACCTCAGTGGCCTTCTCACTCGACGGCCGGCTACTGGCATCCGGCTCTCACGACAAGACCGTTCGACTCTGGGATACGGCAACCGGTGGGCTACGGCAGACTCTCGAAGGCCATTCAGACTCGGTTACCTCAGTGGCCTTCTCACTCGACGGCCGGCTACTGGCATCCGGCTCTCACGACAAGACCGTGCGACTCTGGGACTCGGCAACCGGTGGCCTACGGCAGACTCTCGAGGGCCATTCAGACTGGGTTACCTCAGTGGCCTTCTCACCCGACGGCCGGCTACTAGCGTCCGGCTCTGGCGACAAGACCGTGCGGCTCTGGGACACGGCAACCGGTGGCCTACGGCAGACTCTCGAGGGCCATTCAGACTCTGTTACCTCGGTGGCCTTCTCACTCGACGGCCGGCTACTAGCGTCCGGCTCTGACGATAAGACCATTCGACTCTGGGACACGGCGCCCGGCGGCCTACGGCAGACTCTCGAGGGCCATTCAGACTCTGTTACCTCAGTGGCCTTCTCACCCGACGGCCGGCTACTAGCGTCCGGCTCTGACGATAAGACCATTCGACTCTGGGACACGGCGCCCGGCGGCCTACGGCAGACTCTCGAGGGCCATTCAGACTCTGTTACCTCAGTGGCCTTCTCACCCGACGGCCGGCTACTAGTGTCCGGCTCTGGCGATGAGACCGTTCGGCTCTGGGACACGGCGACCGGCGGCCTACAGGAGACTCTCGAGGGCCATTCAGACTCTGTTACCTCAGTGGCCTTCTCACCTGACGGCCGGCTATTAGCGTCCGGCTCTCACGACGAGACCGTGCGACTCTGGGACACGGCGACCGGCGACCTACGGCAGACTCTCGAGGGCCATTCACACTCGATCTGGTCGGTAGTTTTCTCACCCGACGGCCGGCTGCTAGCGTCCGGCTCTGACGACGAGACCGTGCGGCTCTGGAACACGGCGACCGGCGGCCTATGGCAGACTCTTGAAGGCCATTCTGGCTCGGTTACCGCGGTGGCCTTCTCGCCGGATGGCCTGCTACTGGCATCCGGCTCTAACGATAAGATCGTGCGGCTCTGGGACACGGCGACCGGTTACCTACGGCAGATTCTCAAGGGCCACTCACACTCGATCTGGTCGGTAGCCTTCTCGCCCGACGGTCGGCTAGTGGCGTCTGGCTCTGTCGACGAGACCGTGCGGCTCTGGGACACGGCGACCGGCGGCCTACAGGAGACTCTCGAGGGCCATTCAGACTCTGTTACCTCAGTGGCCTTCTCGCCCGACGGCCGGCTATTAGCGTCCGGCTCTGACGACGAGACCGTTCGGCTCTGGGACCCGGCGACGGGCAGCCTGAAAGAGATTTTGAAACCGAATGCCGCTGTCGACAAACTTTCTTTTTCACCAGATAGCTCATATCTCAGTACTGACTTAGGCAACCTCATCGTTCAGTCGGGGCAGGTGAATGATGCCTCTAGTTCGAGTCCAGTGTTCTTCATTGTCCAAGAACAGTGGATAATTATCAACGGCGAAAATGTTCTATGGCTTCCCTATGAGTTTCGGCCTAGCTGTTCGGCAGTTACTTGCGATTCACTTGCCCTTGGACAAGAGTCAGGGCTGGTTTCTTTCATACGATTTCAAAAATAGCAGTTGTCAATGATTCTCGCTTTCATTCCTGTCTCTATTTTCTAATCTCTCTATGAAAGAAGTGCCTGGGAGGGAAACCGAATTTATATATCACCCTGTAGTACTAATGGAATGTGTCATCAAGTTCCAATAGGTTTCAAATCTGATGTAGCCTCTATATATTGTCGTTTGCCACTATTAGTTAAATGGCTGGGTCTGACTAAGTCTAGCAGGTCCTACGTATCATACGGGTAAGTTGTGGCGGGAAAAAGGGTACATATGATACCCCTCTAAACAACACCCACTTCACAGACTGAAAACTTGGCGGTGGGGCCGCGAATCCAGAGAAGAGAGTAAAATGGTGAAGCTGGTTTTGCTGTTCTCTGTAAGTGATGTATTTCAGACGAAACTTGCATATACTGTGCATCTACCTTCGTATGTAAATAAACCTCTCCGTTTCCCTCGCGTCTCTCTTCTAGTTGGGACAATAAGTAGCTCAACGCCTATATGGGTCTCTGGGAAAGTAAACGCGTGTCTGGGGGATAAATTGTTTTCGAAATCCTCTGTACTACCTACGTAAGGATAGTTTTTCGTGGTTGATTGTTCCGCATAAGATGCTACAAAACGCATATCAAACGGAATGAGCTTCATCTATCGGACAAAACTTCCAATCATCTAGGTCCGTTCGGTACGAAACTATCTTGAGTGATCTAAAAGGCTGGAAGAAGTGGAAAAACCTGTCTTCCTTTTCCCAGGATTTCTGCTCATCGAAGGTATTCGGCCTGGGAGGTACTGCCTCAAATGGAATAAACTTTGCGAGGCTCGTGGCAACCTTGCCCTTTTAGTATACCTGTCCTCATCTTTATTGTTATCATCATCGTAGGATTGCTCTTGCTTTGGGAGGACTCGTTCCCTAACCACACTCCAGCTTGGGACCCAAAGTTTATTGTCCTCGGTCAAATATCCACCGCCTTCCACGCAGTATTCATGATGGATGTCGTCCAAGGCGATACAGAAATGAATTTGTTGCACCTTTTTAGCCTTTCTCTCGGCCAGAAGTAGATGCAAGGTATTCGAGCCAACCGTTGCCATTATAGGAATACTATGGTAAAAAGACCTCTTCGTGGTGGGTTCAAGTTAGCGAATGCGTTCCAAACAAGCTTGTGGAGGATTCCTGTCCAGTCCTAACGAGGATACGGATTTCTGTCCGAAATGAGGAGAATGAATAATCTATTGCCGTGGTAGGACCAGGTTATTGGAGATGTGCCGTATGCCATACAATGTATAGTAGGAATTCCTGAGACAAGGAAAGGGACGTATGACGGGAAGGAACGGGCGCTTGTTGATCTGGTAGGTGGAAAGCTTAGGTCCAGTCATCGTTTGGAATTGATCAGCCTCTATTAACTGACAGGCTCTACGCCATGGACGTGTAAAAATACTACGTGTCACACTCTGATCAACCTGGAAATTGATAATGTAAATGTAAACATGGTAAAAACGCATCAAATGAACGAAATCGACCCGATATTTCCAAAATCAAGATAGAAATTTAATTCCTTGAATACACCAAAAGTCTTAACTCCGTTTTGACTACTAGTTCAATTTTTTCATGGTATTTTTGTCCTATAGTGCCCTTTTGCGTATTTTTAATGAATCTGCTCAATCTGTAACAACTTCGCCCAATAACTAAACTTTTCAATGGAGCTTTATTACGCATTGACTTCCTACTCCTTTCAAATCTGTCAATGATTATTCTTCAACTGCGTGGCTATACTTTACGTTACGCTGCGTTTGGCGAATTGAACGAATGGCGATGGGGTTGGACGTTTTTGAGTATGGGTTTATTTGCATCAAACCGCGGTGGATATTGAGACTGGAGTAAAAGATTCACTTATCTCGCTCGACAAGATTAACCACGTTTTGGCCAACATTGGCCCACGAACAAACGTCCACAGAGCCACAGAGAGCCGTCCGTGAACGACGTCGGTAGATTGCAATAGTTAGAATCTCACTCATTATAAAATCCAGTCGGTATCATGACATATCAGATGCACTGGCTTTTGGCAAAGGCAAGGCTGCTCCTATAATTTGATCCTGGACACTCTTTGTCATTATCTCATAAATCCCCTCACCCCATAGTTTGGATCGTCATCTCTCAACATGACTGAAGAAAAGGAGTTCTGCAATTTGCAAGCGCGGCCTCCCACCCCTCTCGAGATACACCCATCCCAACGGGTCGACCAGGAGAAAGGGCTGCATGTTCACAATGTGTTATTAATGCAACAGAACCGTCCTGCAAACCCCTATCATAGCCCTTATCACTGGCGTTTCCGCAGAAAGATGTTGGTATCGGTGGGTGCAATTGCATCTTTCTTGGTAATGTGAGTACTGAATATAGGACACTAAGTGAACGCGTATCTAATCTCAATATGTGCCAGTACGTTGGCGACTTCAATCTATGTTGCGAGCATCCCCGGAATCATGGTTGAGTTCAAAGTCGGAAGAACACTGGCTATTTCACCACTCACATTTTACGCCATGGGCTTCATCTTTGGCCCTATGTTTACCTCAGCATTATCTGAGGAATTTGGAAGGCAATGGATCTATAAGATCTCGCTGTTTCTTCATCTGGTACTGACGGTCGTGGCGGGTTCCGCGAAAAACTTCACCACTATTGCCGTGTGTCGCGCGATGTCAGGTCTCGTGGGCTCTCCCTCGGTGACAGTCTTTGCAGGAGTTCTCAATGACATGTGGAAAATGCCCGAGGACAAATTCGCAGTTCCCCTTTTCATGCTCTATGGACTAGGAGGAGCTGTTGCTCCAGAGCTAGGACCTGCGATCGGCGAGTCCATCGTGGCGTCCCATGGCTGGCGAAGTACATTCTGGCTGACAGCCTTTCTCGTGGGGATTTGCCTGGTTCCCATGATGTTTGTGCCAGAGACATTTGAGCCTGAGATCAAACGGAAGACGTTGAACCTTCCGCGCGACCATTGGCGTAAGGTTTTTGTCGCTGCGTTTGCGCGCCCGATTCGTATGCTGATGGTTGAGCGCATCATCTTCCCTACTGCATTTGTTGTGACAATGAGTCAAGTGGTTCTTTTTATTCTCTATGCCGGCTACCCGATTGTGTTGCAGAGGACTTATCAGTTTTCGTCTTACCAGGCGGGATTGGCTTTCTTGCCGCTCTTCGCAGGATCTTTGCTGGCAGCACCTGTGCTATCTTTCCTGGATCGACGTAAACGTGCACTTGATAATCCAACTCCCGAAGATAGTCTTAGTGGGGCTTTCCTGGCAGCCCTTCTTCTTCCAGCTAGTTTATTCTGGTACGTGGTTATTCCAAGTTATGCAGACTAAAGTTTTAATCCGGGTCACAGGTTGGCATGGACAGTTCGTCCCACTATTCACTGGATCTGCCCCATACTTGCTGGAGTTCTCTTCGGACTTGGCTTTGCCCTATCACAGGTGAATATGCTCCCTGTGTCAATTGTACTTGTGCGCAAAGCCTGCTGACATGCATGATTGAACAGCTGGTCTATCCCATTTACAAAAATCTCGTTTACGGTGCTGGTCTGGGAGCTTCTTCCTTAGCTATCGATGTGTTCATGCGATACTCTGTCTCCTGCGTATTTCCACTTTTTACGATTCCACTCATCGATCACATCGGCTTTGACTGGGTTATGACCACATGTGCGTTGGTGATGACCGCACTTATACCAGTACCTTGGTGGTTACAGAAATACGGTGCACTATTGAGAAGTCAAAGCCCCTATCTCAACAGTTCCAAGCATAAGATGAGGTCGATGGGGTCAGCAATGGTGGAGTCTATATAGACTACATATTAAATGATGTTTGGATCATGTGATTAGTTTGAGAAATAATCAGCGTTGAGCATGTCAGCACTCCTTTGGCTCCTTCGAAATAGGCTCAAAAGATTACCAAACAGGTGAACAATTAAGAATAATTGTTCCAAGACTCGGAGCACTTGATTGAAACGATCAGCTTTACGTGATATAAACACACACACACACACACACACACACACACACACACACACAATTCATTAATGCCCGGCAACTGAGCCAAAAGGGCAACTGAAACTGATCTACGATACAAGTCTTAATAGAGACATGCAGTACTCCTTCGAGCCCATACATGGATGCGCTATCAAAACATCAGCAATCCTGTCATATCCCACCTGCTATTCATTATAAATACCATTGGAATGTAGGTCGCTAGGCCTTTCGCTCAACAACTGAGAATGCTTTCTCATATCCGAGCTCTAATTATATGATTTGGAACGCCAACCTTTTAGCTCACTGTTGTCAACCCCTCAGACCTTCAGAACCCACTTATTCTGATCCTGGCTGGAGTTGACTACTTTGACAATATCCTTTCTGCCTCAAACTCAACCGTCCGCGTCATTACTGCAACGCCGAACCTGGTGGCGGTTACGACTTTTTTCCATCACGGCTGTACCGCCGTCTTCGATAGTTTACTAGCCAGCGGGCACAGTCAGACTAGGATCCTTAGCGATGTTTTATATCATTATTGAATACTGGAGACTGATGACAGAGTTATATTATATTTACATATAATGGTGTGGTTACGTGGTAATGTTGCTTTTCGTTCTCTACTGAGCTGCGTTCTATCTGACTCCGAGTTTGTTACCCGTGTGATGGGTTCCTTAGAAGACATAGTCATCTAAACCGTAGACGAGTGTATTACCAATAATCCAGAAGCCAACTTTCCTACGACCGGTCCGTCTAGTTGCGATCCAGAATCGAACTATAAATTCCACCTCAGGCTGGCGCATAATACCGAACTAGTCGGTCAGTTTACACAAATGCACTCCAAAAGCCACTTCGCCGTTGCTTCAAGCACCGCGCAAATGTCCGCGCCGGGAATTCTTGTCGATTTAGTATGCCTCGAGAACTAGCGCCGTCCTCTAAAATCGACAACGTTAGTGTTATCCACCTGGCCTACAATAATTCTTGGATTAGCCCGTGAAATCCGGCCATCGCTAGTTGTTTACGTTCAAACCATGACTATGCATGCATTTCTACCGTCTCAAAATCCTTGATCCTTGTCTATTATATCACCAAATACACTCTTTCTGACCCCACTGCCAAGACCTTAGCGTGGATTCTTTACCGAGATTGGCACCACGCCGAATTAACATCTGGTGCGTCTGCGAGAATAGTAACCATCAACGTTGGTGTAGTTTTCAAAATGGCCTTTTCTCTCCACACTTTTAATACACAATTTGCCGAATATTTTTCCGTACCGCGCTAACCGATCTCGGTGACAGTATTAAAATTCCCGGCAGAACTGGCATTGTAATGAATGTACTAGTGTAATAAGTCATTGTTCAAGTACTGTATTTTGAAACCACATAAAATTCCTCAAACTCTTATTATCGACAATGCGTGATAATTAGAGGGATAGTCATTTAACTTGTAAACAATTCAAACCTTTAGAGAATCCCGCGTATCAGCTAGAAGCGCGACCAGGGGATGGGTACATGCTAATTTTCTCCATGACGTCATTCACCTGCTGTACGTCTTCGTCGGAATCAAGCCAAACAGCACCAAGAATAGCTTCCACGGTGGTAGCTAATGTGCTATCTGGTACACTCCTTTCTAGGTCTGGTCTTTGGTGGATAAATCTCTGCAAATCCAAGACTCTAGCCATAGAGGTTAACTGCTTATTACAGGCGTAAGTCTGAAGCAGATTTGTCCCTTGCTCTGTGTATATTAGCCTGATGCTCATTGTGGGAGGATTAGACGTACCTGTAGTGTTGCCTTCATGGTACCAACGACGAAGCAGCATAAGGGCGAGTATTTTGTCTCCTAGTAAGGCCAGCCGTACTGGTACTAGTAGTGGTGGTGGTGCATAATTTAAGACTGTTTCAATTTCACCCTTTAAAATATATAAAAGTTCCCCATTAGTGAAAGTAAATTAATTGATAGTTGAGCGAGAAGGCACTGTATATCAGGGATTTCTATAGGTTCTTAATGCTACCGTCTGGGATAGTGTTAATATCATATCGTAAATCAAGGCTCTAACCCCAGTTTTTATAAACTGTATGTCCTTGACTTTTCGAGTAAGCTAGACGGAGAGGTGCTTAAAGATAGATCGCGTGGCGTATAGACTAGCGAAGATCCCGGGTATTAGAGAGTATTCCTGTCAACATGTGGATGTTGTGGGGTCACATGACGAAGGACCCACTCATATAACCCCTCTCTACATATAGATCTTCTTCTATAAAGATCTAACAGATTGATCCTCAACGATCTCGCATATGATTGCCTACCTAAGCAAGAGACTCTCAACACTCTGATTCTGTTGATTTATCATGTGATCTTTTGCTATGTTTCTTGTGATATAAATACTGCTATGTTACCTAGTTAAATTGAATCAAGTTTATCATCCTTTGTGATCTCTCTTCTAGATCAGTGGTACTCTTCCACAATCGTGGTACTTCTCCTTCATAGAAGTGCGCACGACCGATAGACTCATAACCGTGTATTCAGACACTACGTTGAGTATTTACCCTTATGCACACTATCGTCTTGTGTGTATAACCACGACTTTATGGTCACCGCCTAGAGTCCGACAATTCCTATAGTTTAGGCTCATCGACATGATACGGGCTCTTGTGTCCACTCTACAAGGATTCTCAATCCTGAGCGTAGGCTTCTGAGTTATGACTGGCGGGTGCAAAAGGAGACTGCGCCGGATCCGGGAATAACGAGGGGCATGATTAGATGGGGCAGATGGGACTGGAGTGAGTAAGCTGGACGATCATGCAGATCGCCATAGCTTCCCGAAGATTCGACGTACAGTGGCATAGCAAAAGTTTGGACACCCCTTGTGCTACCGCCTTCCTAAAGAGGCCCTATCGCCCGGTATACTCGGTCTTTGATTAGTGGAATCTAGACTGCAGAATTAGGGGTGTTCAAACTTTTTCTGTGTCACTGTAGTTCCATAGAACATTACGGTATTATTACGACGACTCATCTGTCAAGTAAGGCCATTACTACCTCTGTTTTGCCAAACTTATAGAGCGGTAAGCTAAATGAGGTTAGCGTATTTTGGATTTATTTTCCGGGAATGAAGTTGCAAGAGTGCGGAGGTATAACTGATTTCGAAAACTACTGTATATGTTAGCTTAGTTTTAGTTGCCCTTTCGGCTCAGCCGCCGGGCGTTAATGAATTGTGTGTGTGTGTATATGTTAGCTAAAGCGTTGGATGAAGTATTTATGAAATAAATAAATAAAACAGGATGTTCCTTTGTTGTTTAGGAGGTGTTGACGACCGTGCTCAAAACCGTGCTCAAAACCGTGCTCAAAACCGTGCTCAAAACCGTGCTCAAAACCGTGCTCAAAACCGTGCTCAAAACTGTGCTCAAAACTGTGCTCAAAACTGTGCTCAAAACTGTGCTCAAAACTGTGCTCAAAACTGTGCTCAAAACTGTGCTCAAAACTGTGCTCAAAACCGTGCTTAAACCGTGCTCACCCTCCTTCTGAATTCTCCTTGGTGAGTTGAAGTGGTAAATTAGCATAATCGAGGACTTGCCAATTCAATGCTGTATTGTCTATGTCTGTTTGAGTCATGCAATAAATTTTCAGCATCATATCACGTTGATTCGGCGAGCCAAAAAGCTTCCGATCGTGGGAAGATTTGCTCCCCAATATGTGGAATTAGCAATTTGTGAGTCTAGAAATATTTTAAAACAAGGCGCATAAATTTTGAGCTGATTTCAAGTACTAGATTTTTCTTTGCGAAGTAGCCACTCCGTCTAAATCCACGATTAGAGCCCGACAAGACAGCTTCTCGCGGAACTACCTAGACTAAAACCCGACCTTCATTTGATTAAAAATCTCAAGACCGACGTAGATAATGGAATAGCGGTTGCGCTATTAAGCGAAGCTTTAGTTTTGAGCAACAGTTTTAAGCCAACCAGATTTAAACCCCAGTTTGCCCTCTCCTAATCGTCGCTTATAACGGCAATGCTCTGATATTCCCGTGCTCTTTGCTCAGGAAATTTCTGTTCTGTCTTTCACCCGCCTTTTGCATTACTATCCACTATGCCGAGGGTCCCCGCAGTGCCCGCTCCGGCTCGGGTTGTTCGAAGGTCGGCGGCTGGCGGCCAGACCTCCACGCGAGCACTTCGAACTTTGCGCACCGGTGTCGACCAAGCGCCCCATTATGTGTCTAAGGGTGCTCAGATACGATCGACGGTAAGCCTTGCCTAATGACAGGCAGGGTGTGAGGCGGAAATAACTAATTTTGTTGCTGGTACGTAGGGTCCAGCCACGCCGCCTCCGAAAATGACATCAAGGAAGGCGATGCCCACAGACTTTGAGATCGTCCATGAGAACTGCACCAAGATGATCAAGTCGGCCGAAGAACGGCATCATCGGCTGATGGCTCGCCTCACTGAGCAGCAGCAGGAAGCTTCCGAAGCCGAGCAGCGGTTTCGCGCCGAACGGGCGCAGCTGAACGCAAAGGTCCGGCAAACCACCTTGGAAAAACAAAAGGCTGTTGAGGAAGTGCGAAAACTACGAGAGCAAAACTCGGCCTTGCAACAACGCTTGGATACCGTTAGTTCGGATTGCCAGAATCACATCACGCGGGACGAATTCCATATGACGTTGAAGGAACTGCATAGCGTCTCATCATCGGTCACAGACAAGATTACTTCGAAGATGAACGAGTCCCAAGAGTCTCAGTACGTGTACTTCGGTACGTGCTTGCCCGGGCCGGACGTGGCTCAGGACTCGTGGACCGCGCAGACTGGCCAATTTACCATGACGGAGAATCCGCTTCTACCGGAGAGTACGGGGCCACTGTTTGATGCATCGAACCCTCAAAACCTCTCTGAATTTGACACATACGGAACGATGCCTGACGGTATGAGTTGACAGTGGGTGGCAAGCAGCCTGTTGCTATCCCTAATATTATTACCTTTAAACCGCAATCAATTCGAAGTACACGTGCGCCAGTATCTACCAACAGGTTAATGCTCTGCAGACAAGCTGTGCATGATTCGGGTTTCTCATCCTAAAGTAAACGTAGCACACTCCGAGATCAGACTAAAACTAAGCTGTTCGTTGATTGAAGCCGAACCCTATGGCCAAGAAAATGGGGAAACTAGCTTAGACAGGGAAGCTCTCGTGAAACATCGCTTATATGTTCATATCCCATATCCCCGGACATATTGTCACTGTTCCTATAAGTGAGAGGATCGGAGTGTAAGGCATACTAGTGTCAATCGGAGGCTAGAGAACACGTTGACCAAAGGGGAGACCGGGGAGGCATCTCTGCCGTCTCTCGGTCTGGCTGGAACACCTTCACCGGACCAAGGGCCATCAGTGGTCGAACCATGGATGGTAGTCTCTAGTGATTGAGAGCTGTAGCTCTGAAAGCGGGGATCGGTTACACCGACCTACGCAGGTCGAGCTAGAGGGGCAGAATTACTAGCGTGATCTTCGTAGTCAATGGCCCGAGCGCGACGATCTTCCGGCCATGTCCGGCAATCCACCTCGAGGATCTTTCAATTCCGTGGAACAAAATGCAAGAAATGTCCGGAATGTGACACAGCTAGATTCTTGCTCCACTCCAGCTCCACTCCAGTTGTTCTAATTGCCCAAGAACTCGGCTTCTATAGATCGGTACCAGGAATTGAGTCCTAGTCAGCAGTATCTCAACCAAACCCCCCGACAACGAGAATGGGGGAAACGTCTGCAGTGAGTGCCCCCTCATAGAGGGGCACTTGCTATATGTCGATAGCCATCGGATGCAGGATAAGAGGGTCACTCCGAGCGGAGAGCAGCGGGGTTCCAGTACGTCGGGAATAATCTCACTGTACTTTTGTGACCAGTGCTAACCTAAGCCTCTTGCACTAGCCTCCGAAGATTTAACTCTACGCTCCCATAAAACTGTCGTATGGATGTAGCGAACCAGACATTCCATTACATTAAACCTAAGAACCGTACAGTAGGTCAGGACGCACTATTGAACTACCATGACGCCTCATTGAATCGCGGGTTAAATTCACAAAGTAGATACATAAACGACCTATGATATATTGTCCTTGCACGGGTGCCTGTAAGCAGAGTAGCCATAGGATTATCGTACCCTACAGGAGTATTCAATTCTCATCTGGGATACTCCGTGTCTATCCCGAATGTCTACAGTCGATAGCGAAAACGGCTTCCTTCCCACAGACTCGTTTTCTGCTCTCGGGCTCCGTTGCCAACGCATCAGTGTAAATTTATTTGAGGGACCTTAATATAGTCGACAGCAATATACTGTGCCAGATTTTACCCGTATTTTCCGAAATTATTGTTAATTTGGTATGTCCCCAAGTATCGGATGATGGGCGACTTGTTGGATTATCAAAACCTAGCAGTGGTAGGCTGCGAAATCTAGCCTACTCTATTTTGAACATCCACATAGGTCTGTCGCTTCCTTACCGAAAGGCTGACTTTACTGTCTCTCTGAAAAAGTTGAAGCCTCACTTTAGTGACTCCTCAAAGTCCATGGTGCGGCTAATCCCGATTAGGAGTGGTTGTTAATCCTACATAGAATGCCATGGAATCAATCCGGACGAACAAAAGAAACCTTACGTCGCGTCCCTGGTGTCAAAGAGACGCCCCTGTGCCCGCAACTGGATTAACCTCAAAATGAAACCCAAAGTCTAGCCCCTGTCACGTGTGACTCCTAATAGCCCAAATACAGCAAGCGAGTCGCTTCGACTTCGATCTGCTCCCTGAGCACTGTGAGGAGATATTATTTTAATTGGGCGCTTTCTAGACCCACAGGACCCGAAAACCTAGGCTCTTGGCATGGAAACACATGGAATAGTCGGAGGGACCTTTGCGGGATGTCGGAATAATATTCGGCCGAAACCCCTCACGAGGAAAGCAAACATCTTGCTTGCAAGTTTCATCGACGGTGGAAACAGGTGCCTTCTGTATACCGTACCCTCCTTGAGTTTATGGCCAATGGAGAACCTCCCTGAGGTGGGACACCTGCAGCATTACATTTTTAAAAAGCTCCGCTAACAAATGCAGGAAATCATCTTGGAAATATTCCGTCACCTAGAGCATGAAACTCTCAGGGAATGCCATCGTGTCTGCCAGACATGGTGTCGGCTTGCTACCAGATTTCTATTTTCTCGAGTCATTCGCCATGGGAAAGTTTTGGGAAATTTCAATGAAATCATTGCGCGAGGCAACCTGTCAGTATTCATTAAAGTCATATCAATCGGGCAAGATATTTTCCGTGATATACTGGTCAATTTGGTGACCCGCGAAACACTGCGGCATTTAACTCAATGGCCAACAATTGTCGAAATCCGCGAACATCGTCAAGAAGAGTTTATAACCACACTCGCGGGTATGACTTCTCAAAAGTATTCGTCAATTCTTCCGGCTCTTGAAGAAATACGTCTTATAACCAAGACAGCGCCGTATCTACAAACACAGCTCTTCTTGAACCTTCGAATACTTTTCATTGATATGGCCATTATTCAACTACCAGATGTTCTTAAATGGCCTTCTTTGTCAATTGTCGAATTAAGGGGAAGCTTCGACACTAACAACGTGGGGGCTTTTCTGTCGCGTCACAATCATCTCATGGAATTGAAATTAGCGATTGTTTCCAGCCTCAGACCAGTTGATTCCCCAGAAGCGATTTGCTAGAGACATTGAGGCTTTTTTTAAGTTCTGGATTCGAACCCGAACTTGTTGGATCAATCATGAGACATATCGAAAGAAATCCCCCAAATCATGAAAGATCACTGTTACAACAAATTCATGCTCAATTGGGTGCCAAAACAGATGATGGAACAGCCAAGGATATGCAGGAGGCTATTGTTGATTTTTTCAAGAAATGGCTGCAACTCGAACTTAACAGATGGCTTCCTGATATAGGGAAGATGCAGATTCCGTTGGAAAACCCATCTCGATTCAAGCTAAGCTGCTCGATAGAATATTTCTGGGAAGATGAGCTAGCAATCAAGGGGACAATACTTTCGGAGGACTATGCATCAAAGATTGGGCTATGGATAAATGATGATTTCAAGGAAAGTTTCGGAATCAGTCATGTTTTTTCTGTCTCTAGATGATTCAAATTACATGATATTTTATAACTAAGACTACCAGTGATACGCATTATCAATACCTGACGACATCCCAAATCAACGTTAATTTGAAAAATAGCTAAATTTGGTACGGTACACACACACACAATTCATTAACGCCCGGCGGCTGAGCCGAAAGGGCAACTAAAACTGATCTATCAATGCATGTCCTAATATACATATGCCGTGTCTCCTTCGAGCCCATACATGGATCCTTGCCGTATTTGTCCTCTCAGCTGTCAATATCATAGGGATCCCTGTGGGTTAGTAATTTCGGTAGTAGACTGGCTTGAAGGCGCTTCTTCAAGTGTTCAACATCCTATCTTCGGCAGTTGAAGCGCGTCCACCATTTGTGG